TCGAAACTTAACTGAATACATTTTCTTGTAGATTTCGAGGCCTAGAACTCACTTCCGGTCTCGTTTCTTTGATAACTGCAACCGTTTTTCCGGAATCGACCGTCGAAATATCGAAATTTTCAAAAATTCTCAAAAATTCGCATTTCGCCCCGATTCTTTCGAAAATGTTGCTCCGTGACCATCAACACCCTATATTTTTGGAATCAGCACGTCGAGATCTACGTCCCTGAATTTTTTCAGAATTTTTAGACAACTTTTTTAAAAGTAAAAATTTTTCCAATGGTCCCCCCTTCTTCAAATTTCGGCCAAATTTTGACATTTTCGAAACTTAACTGAATACATTTTCTTGTAGATTTCGAGGCCTAGAACTCACTTCCGGTCTCGTTTCTTTGATAACTGCAACCGTTTTTCCGGAATCGGACGTCGAAATATCTAGATTTTTAGAAATCTGCAAAAATTCGCATTTCGCCCCGATTCTTTCGAAAATGTTGCTCCGTGACCATCAACACCCTATATTTTTGGAATCAGCACGTCGAGATCTACGTCCCTGAATTTTTTCAGAATTTTTAGACGACTTTTTTTAAAACTGAAATTTTTCCAATGGTCCCCCCTTCTTCAAATTTCGGTGAAATTTTGACATTTTCGAAACTTAACTGAATACATTTTCTTGTAGATTTCGAGGCCTAGAACTCACTTCCGGTCTCGTTTCTTTGATAACTGCAACCGTTTTTCCGGAATCGACCGTCTAAATATCGAAATTTTCAAAAATTCTCAAAAATTCGCATTTCGCCCCGATTCTCTCGAAAATGTTGCTCCGTGACCATCAACACCCTATATTTTTGGAATCAGCACGTCGAGATCTACGTCTCTGAATTTTTTCAGAATTTTTAGACGACTTTTTTTAAAACTGAAATTTTTCCAATGGTTCCCCCTTCTTCAAATTTCGGCCAAATTTTGACATTTTCGAAACTTAACTGAATACATTTTCTTGTAGATTTCGAGGCCTAGAACTCACTTCCGGTCTCGTTTCTTTGATAACTGCAACCGTTTTTCCGGAATCGACCGTCGAAATATCGAAATTTTCAAAAATTCTCAAAAATTCGCATTTCGCCCCGATTCTTTCGAAAATGTTGCTCCGTGACCATCAACACCCTATATTTTTGGAATCAGCACGTCGAGATCTACGTCCCTGAATTTTTTCAGAATTTGTAGACAACTTTTTTAAAAGTAAAAATTTTTCCAATGGTCCCCCCTTCTTCAAATTTCGGCCAAATTTTGACATTTTCGAAACTTAACTGAATACATTTTCTTGTAGATTTCGAGGCCTAGAACTCACTTCCGGTCTCGTTTCTTTGATAACTGCAACCGTTTTTCCGGAATCGACCGTCTAAATATCGAAATTTTCAAAAATTCTCAAAAATTCGCATTTCGCTCCGATTCTCTCGAAAATGTTGGTCCGTGACCATCAACACCCTATATTTTTGGAATCAGCACGTCGAGATCGACGTCCCTGAATTTTTTCAGAATTTTTAGACGACTTTTTTTAAAACTGAAATTTTTCCAATGGTCCCCCCTTCTTCAAATTTCGGCCAAATTTTGACATTTTCGAAACTTAACTGAATACATTTTCTTGTAGATTTCGAGGCCTAGAACTCACTTCCGGTCTCGTTTCTTTGATAACTGCAACTGTTTTTCCGGAATCGACCGTCGAAATATCGAAATTTTCAAAAATTCTCAAAAATTCGCATTTCGCGCCGATTCTTTCGAAAGTGTTGCTCCGTGACAATCAACACCCTATATTTTTGGAATCAGCACGTCGAGATCTACGTCCCTGAATTTTTTGACAACATTTTTAAAACTGAAATTTTTCCAATGGTCCCCCTTTCTTCAAATTTCGGCCAAATTTTGACATTTTCGAAACTTATCTGAATACATTTTCTTGTAGATTTCGAGGCCTAGAACTCACTTCCTGTCTCGTTTCTTTGATAACTGCAACCGTTTTTCCGGAATCGACCGTCGAAATATCGAAATTTTTAGAAATTTTCAAAAATTCGCATTTCGCGCCGATTCTTTCGAAAATGTTGCTCCGTGACCATCAACACCCTATATTTTTGGAATCAGCACGTCGAGATCTAGGTCCCTGAATTTTTTCAGAAATTTTGGACAACATTTTTAAAACTGAAATTTTTCCAATGGTCCCCCCTTCTTCAAATTTCGGCCAAATTTTGACATTTTCGAAACTTAACTGAATACATTTTCTTGTAGATTTCGAGGCCTAGAACTCACTTCCGGTCTCGTTTCTTTGATAACTGCAACCGTTTTTCCGGAATCGACCGTCGAAATATCGAAATTTTTAGAAATTCTCAAAAATTCGCATTTCGCGCCGATTCTTTCGAAAATGTTGCTCCGTGACCATCAACACCCTATATTTTTGGAATCAGCACGTCGAGATCTACGTCTCTGAATTTTTTCAGAATTTTTGGACAACATTTTTAAAACTGAAATTTTTCCAATGGTCCCCCCTTCTTCAAATTTCGGCCAAATTTTGACATTTTCGAAACTTAACTGAATACATTTTCTTGTAGATTTCGAGGCCTAGAACTCACTTCCGGTCTCGTTTCTTTGATAACTGCAACCGTTTTTCCGGAATCGACCGTCGAAATATCGAAATTTTTAGAAATTCTCAAAAATTCGCATTTCGCGCCGATTCTTTCGAAAATGTTGCTCCGTGACCATCAAAACTCTATATTTTTGGAATCAGCACGTCGAGATCTACGTCCCTGAATTTTTTCAGAATTTTTAGACAACATTTTTAAAACTGAAATTTTTCCAATGGTCCCCCCTTCTTCAAATTTCGGCCAAATTTTGATATTTTCGAAACTTAACTGAATACAATTTCTTGTAGATTTCGAGGCCTAGAACTCACTTCCGGTCTCGTTTCTTTGATAACTGCAACCGTTTTTCCGGAATCGACCGTCGAAATATCGAAATTTTTAGAAATTCTCAAAAATTCGCATTTCGCGCCGATTCTTTCGAAAATGTTGCTCCGTGACCATCAAAACTCTATATTTTTGGAATCAGCACGTCGAGATCTACGTCCCTGAATTTTTTCAGAATTTTTAGACAACATTTTTAAAACTGAAATTTTTCCAATGGTCCCCCCTTCTTCAAATTTCGGCCAAATTTTGACATTTTCGAAACTTAACTGAATACATTTTCTTGTAGATTTCGAGGCCTAGAACTCACTTCCGGTCTCGTTTCTTTGATAACTGCAACCGTTTTTCCGGAATTGACCGTCGAAATATCGAAATTTTTAGAAATTCTCAAAAATTCACATTTCGCGCCGATTCTTTCAAAAATGTTGCTCCGTGACCATCAACACCCTATATTTTTGGAATCAGCACGTCGAGATCTACGTCCCTGAATTTTTTCAGAATTTTTGGACAACATTTTTAAAACTGAAATTTTTCCAATGGTCCCCCCTTCTTCAAATTTCGGCCAAATTTTGATATTTTCGAAACTTAACTGAATACAATTTCTTGTAGATTTCGAGGCCTAGAACTCACTTCCGGTCTCGTTTCTTTCATAACTGCAACCGTTTTTCCGGAATCGACCGTCGAAATATCGAAATTTTTAGAAATTCTCAAAAATTCGCATTTCGCGCCGATTCTTTCGAAAATGTTGCTCCGTGACCATCAACACTCTATATTTTTGGAATCAGCACGTCGAGATCTACGTCCCTGAATTTTTTCAGAATTTTTGGACGACATTTTTAAGATTGAAATTTTTCCAATGGTCCCCCCTTCTTCAAATTTCGGCCAAATTTTGACATTTTCGAAACTTAACTGAATACATTTTCTTGTAGATTTCGAGGCCTAGAACTCACTTCCGGTCTCGTTTCTTTGATAACTGCAACCGTTTTTCCGGAATCGACCGTCGAAATATCGAAATTTTTAGAAATTCTCAAAAATTCACATTTCGCGCCGATTCTTTCGAAAATGTTGCTCCGTGACCAGCGACACCCTATATTTTTGGAATCAGCACGTCGAGATCTACGTCCCTGAATTTTTTCAGAATTTTTGGACAACATTTTTAAAACTGAAATTTTTCCAATGGTCCCCCCTTCTTCAAATTTCGGCCAAATTTTGATATTTTCGAAACTTAACTGAATACAATTTCTTGTAGATTTCGAGGCCTAGAACTCACTTCCGGTCTCGTTTCTTTCATAACTGCAACCGTTTTTCCGGAATCGACCGTCGAAATATCGAAATTTTTAGAAATTCTCAAAAATTCGCATTTCGCGCCGATTCTTTCGAAAATGTTGCTCCGTGACCATCAACACTCTATATTTTTGGAATCAGCACGTCGAGATCTACGTCCCTGAATTTTTTCAGAATTTTTGGACGACATTTTTAAGATTGAAATTTTTCCAATGGTCCCCCCTTCTTCAAATTTCGGCCAAATTTTGACATTTTCGAAACTTAACTGAATACATTTTCTTGTAGATTTCGAGGCCTAGAACTCACTTCCGGTCTCGTTTCTTTGATAACTGCAACCGTTTTTCCGGAATCGACCGTCGAAATATCGAAATTTTTAGAAATTCTCAAAAATTCACATTTCGCGCCGATTCTTTCGAAAATGTTGCTCCGTGACCAGCGATACCCTATATTTTTGGAATCAGCACGTCGAGATCTACGTCCCTGAATTTTTTCAGAATTTTTGGACAACATTTTTAAAACTGAAATTTTTCCAATGGTCCCCCCTTCTTCAAATTTCGGCCAAATTTTGACATTTTCGAAACTCAACTGAATACATTTTCTTGTAGATTTCGAGGTCTAGAACTCACTTCCGGTCTCGTTTCTTTGATAACTGCAACCGTTTTTCCGGAATCGACCGTCGAAATATCGAAATTTTTAAAAATTCTCAAAAATTCGCATTTCGCACCGATTCTTTCGAAAATGAGAATTAAAGAATCTGTACAATGAAGCGAAAAAGTGCGCTCGAAAAAAATCAGATTTATTAAACCTTAAAAAGTGTGTCAAGTTAACACTACATATCCATTTCACTATGCTATACCCAGGTGTGTTTTTTTGTGTTTACGAAAATTCGAACTATATTTATTTTTGTATGGACACAGTTCGCATTTGTACCATTTTACATCCTTTCCATCTGAATGGCAGTTGTTCGTATGGTTTTTTAAATAACTTTTCAATTTCGCCTTATATGGACAATACTCGCAGTGGTATGGTTTGACGTCTGAATGGTGCAGATTCATATGTATCTTTAGCTTATTTTTTTCTTTACTTTTATAGGAACATTTGGCACATTCGTACCATTCTGGTTTTTCCGAATGTTGAAAATGAATATGCTTCTTCAAACACGAATTAAATTTACTCCTGTAGGGACACTGTTCGCATTCGTACCACTTGACTTGTTCTTCATCCAAGTGTCGATATTTAAAATGATTTTTCAAATGGGCCGGCTGTTTAGCCTTAAATGTACAGTGTTCACACTTGTACCATTTGATATCCTTCCCGTCTGAATGTCGATTGTTCATGTGATTTTTTAAATAACTGTTCAATTTAGCCTTATATGGACATAATTTGCACTGATATGATTTAATATCCGAATGACGCACAGTTATATGAAGTTTTAAATCAGCTTTTCTTTTACTTTTATACGAACAGCTGCCACATTCGTACCACTTAACTTCATTTTCATCTAGATGTCGACAAATCACGTGTTTTTTCAGCTGCGACACCCAGTTAGTTTTAAATGGGCATTTTTCGCATTCGTACAATTTAGTTTTTGGTTCGCCTTGATGTTTCACACTTACGTGAATATTTAAATTCCTTTTGTACTTAGTTTTGAAAGGACAATCGCTGCATTCGTACCATTTAACGTCTGCTTCGTTCAAATGCAAGAAATGTATGTGGATTTTTAAACTATGTTTTATTCTAGTTTTATACGGACACTGATTGCACTGGTGCCATTTAATGTCGTCTTCGTTCAAATGCACGGAATTTGTGTGCTTTTTTAAATTTGATTTTGCTCGAGTTTTATAGGGACACTTGTCACAATTATACTGTTTATTCAAATGTTCAGTTTGCTTGTTTTCTTTATTTCCTGTACACGTTGAAGCATGCTGAAGACACTTCAATGAGAAATTCGTTTCAAAGTGGCATTTTTCGCAAACATAATTGTGTATATGAAAATCTGCACATTCTCTCTTCGGACCATGATACTGATTGACGTGTTGTTTGAACACAACTGTTAGTTCGGTTTTAAAATCACAGTCTTTACACAAATAGGCTTCAATTTTGGAGTCTGAGCATGAACGGTGTTGTCTCATGTGGTTCCCCATAAAGAAAGGTGACGTAAAATTCAATGAAGACCTCTCACCTGTTGGGAGTGCTTTAAATTCCAAAGTTGACATTTGTGACATCTAACCTAAAACCGTTTCATCACACTATAGAATTGTGGCAATTTTTTTACACAAACCTCGTCGAAACACAACCAAAGCCGGAAACTACTAAAAATTGCTTCAACCAATGCTGACGAGCCAACAAAGTATTTAGAAAACTCTTCACAATGTTTGTAGATTTTCGATTCACATAACCTCAAACATTTGAACAACCACAACCATAGATGTAGAAAGTAAAGAGGGCTTCTCTAATTGAAATTTAAAGACCATACTTGTTAAAAACACGATTTATTTTATAAACTTAATACAACCACAAAATTAAATTAAAGTAAATCCTACATATGCACTTTTTTGTGCCTATAAAAAGCCGATTTATTTTTAACTTTGTGCGGACATTGATCGCATTCGAACCACTTAATATCCTTTCCACCCAAATGGCGGCAATTTATATGGCTTTTTAACTGATCACTGCGCCTCCCTTTATAGGGGCAATATTTGCACTGATACGATTTGACCTCCAAATGGACCCTTATATGATGTCTTAAATTCTTTTTTGTTTTACTTTTATATGAACAGTTCGCACATTGGTACCAATCTTCCGAATCATCAACATTTGTGTGCTTTTTTTCATTTGAATGGGACTTTCTCTTATGATAATTTAAACAAGTTTTGCTTTCACTTCGAAATGGACAGATGGCACATTCGTACCACGTGATTTCTTTCTCATCCACGTGTCGAGTAATTAAATGACTTTTTAGATGCTGAATCCATTTGGTTTTGTATGGGCAAATTTTGCATTCGTACCATTTATTTTCTTTGTTTTGATGTTTTACAGTCACGTGCGATTTTAAATTTCGTTCATACTTGGTTCTGAATGGACACTTTTTGCATTGGTACGATTTAAACTCGCCTGCGTTCAAGTGTCCAGCATTTATATGTCTGCTGAAGCCGTTTTTGAATTTAGTTTTAAACGCACATTTTTCGCACTTATACCATTCAGACTCGTCTAAATGGGCACAATTTTCGTGGATTTTTAAAAGCGCTTTACTTGTACTTGTAAATTGACACTTATTGCAAGCATACCGCAAGTTTACAGGTATTTCGTCTGCTTGCTCAATATTAGAAGTCACACTGTCAGCACTTTCGTTCTTTTCCGTACATTTTGAACTATGTTGAATCCACTTTAACACCAGATTTGTTTCAAAGTCGCAATTTTCACACGAGTAAGTTTGTACGCGAAAATCGTCTCTACATTCTTTCTTAAGGCTGTGATGTTCGTTAATGTGTTGTTTGAACAAAGTCGTTAGTTCGGTTCTAAAATCACACTCTTTACAATAATACAGTTCGATTTTGGCGCGTTCACAGTTAAATTTCTTCGGGGATGAACGGTGTCGTCTCACGTGATTCACAATAAGAAAAAGTGAGGTTGTGAAATAGGGACATCGTTTGCAGTTGTGAACATTTTTCCGGGAAGAGCGTTCCCAGGATGCTCCAAGAGCTTTGGAGTAGTCCAGGGTGGCCATCTAAAATCGTTTTATCACACTGGGGAAGAATATTGAGGTTATTCTTACTCGAACCCTAACACACGTGTTGGTTGCCACAACAAAACACAACACACAACTGACAGATCGGCCATTGACATTTTGACATTGACACAACTAGACTAGAAAATGAATATCCCCAGATTTAGGGAATTTCAGACGCATTTATTGAAAACGATTACACAAAGTGATGCTTTTTTAATACAATTTTGTGTTACTTTTACATTTCATACATTCGTACTACTCGACTTTGTCTTCATCCACATGTTGAGAAATCACGTGACGTTTCAAATACCAGGTGTTACTAGTTTTAAACGGACAATTTTCGCATTCGTACCACTTGACTTTTTCCTCATCTAGATGTTTCCTAGTCACGTGTTTCTTCAACGACGTTCTGTGCTTAGTCTTGAAATCGCACTCTTCGCATTGGTGCCACTTCACCTCCTCTTCGTCGATATGTCGACAAATTATATGTTGTTTTAAGTGCGACGTTCGTTTAGTTTTGAATGGACACATTTCGCATTCGTACCAGCTGATTTTTTCTTCAGCTAGATGTTTCGCAGTGACGTGATTGTGCAAATTTCTTTTGTTCTTGGTTCGGAATGGACACTCTTTGCATTCGTACCACTCGACTTTTTCGTCGTCGAGGTGTTTACAAACCACGTGACGTTTCAAATGCGACGAGTTTCTACTTTTATATGGACAATTCGCGCATTCGTACCACTTAATTTTGTTCTCGTTTGAGTGTTTCGCGTTGTTGTGGAGTCGCAGATTTCGTTTATTCGTGGCTTTGAATTGGCATTGTTTGCATTCGTACCATTTAATGTCGTCTGCGTTCACGTGTAGCGCGGATGTGTGTCTTTTTAAGCCGTATTTCACGGTGGTTTTAAATGGACATTTGTCACATGTGTACCATTCGGCGTCTTGGTCTTGTAAATGAACACGTTTTAAGTGGTTTCCTAAAGTGACTTGATCTTTACTGGATGGACAGTGTCCATCTGAGTGTCGGTTCTTCATATGACTTTTCAAGTAACTTTCCAACTTGGTGTTGTATGGGCAAAATTCGCACTGAAACGATTTAACATCTAAATGGTGGAGAGTTATATGCTGTTTTAATTTATTTCTTCTTATACTTTTATAAGGACAGGTTGCACATTCGTGCCACTTCACTTCTTTTCTGTCCAAATGTCGAAAAAGTCTGTGGCTTCTTAAATTCGACGCGAGTTTTGTCTTGTACGGGCAATTGTCACATTTGTACCACTTAATTTTTCCTTCGTCTAGATGTTTGACAGTTATGTGAGTTTTTAAATATTTTTTGTACCTAGTTTTGAATGCACAGTCAGTGCATTCGTACCATTTAACGTCTTCTTCGTCCAAGTGGACGCAGTTTATGTGTCTACTTAAATTACTTTTCGCTCTAGTTCGGAAAGGGCACTTTTCGCAATTGTACCATTCACCGTGGTGTTCATCAGAGTGGATTCGGTTTATGTGGACTCTTAAATCCCGCTTGTGTCTGGTTTTATACGGACAGTTGTCGCATGCGTAGCGATGGTTCAAGTGGCGACTTGCTGTATGACGGGTTAAATTACGTTTGAGTTTAGCTTTGTAGGTACATTCTGTACAAGAATACCAAAGTGATTCGTCGGTTTTTATACTGTGAAGATTTTCTTTCATTTCGGTGCACTCTGAATCATGCTGAAGCCACTTCAAAGAGAGGTTTGTTTCAAAGTCGCATTTTTCGCAAACGTAATTTTGTATGTGGAAATCGTTACTAGATTCGCTCTTAACGCCGTGATATTTAGCAACGTGTTGTTTGAACAAAATCGTTAGTTCCGTTTTGAAATCGCAATCTTTACAGTGGTAGAGTTCAATTTTAACGTTTGTGCATGTAAATTTTTCCACAGGGTGTCGTTTGAGGTGATTTTCCATAAAGAAAAGCGATGTTGTGAAATAGGGGCATAGTTTACATCTGTGGACGTTTTTCCACAACGATCCGCTCCATTGACAAGTTGACATTGTGGTTGTCTACAACTGCTCTATTATTATATGGACGAATTAATCATTCTGGTTACCTAAAATCGTCGAACTAGGGTTAAAATTGGAAATAAAAAAATGTTTCAAGTAATGTTGCAGTCCTAACCTAACATTTTTACGTCATAAATTTGTTTTCCATGTATTTTCTCGTACCAGCGAAAATCAGGCACAATTGTTGGAAATGAAATAGTTTTCCACTACAAATAATTCCAGAAATTGTAAACTTGTATTATCTAACTGTCATCGTTATCACCAAACGCCACAGTTGTTAATTTTGGAAGTGAAACTAGGGGGGCGATTTTGAATTATTTTCACTTGAAGACGAGCCAAAAAGCGACTACGTTACAGAGCTTAGAGAACGGGGCCCCAGATGGGGGCCTTTTCCTTTTCGAGTCTTAGTGACATATAGGGTATTTTGTGTCTAGTATAAAGATATGGTGGTAATAACAGTGATGAACTTTAACGGAGTCAATTTTGTTTTTATTTTGGACTATCATATTTATCCTTCGCTCTACCTCTAAATGTACTTTTATTATTTTGTTTATTTGTTTATTATTTATTGTTATCAACATATCCTTAACTAACCAACGTAAAGACACAAAATACCCCAAATGTCACTAACTAAACTGCCTCAAACTTGCTATTTTTCAAAAAATGGAAACAAGATTTGACGCTCCTGAAACCATTAGAGGTCAGTCTAAAGATATTAAGAAAAAAAAGACAAAATATAGCCCCGCCCACCCGCCCTATCTCAATTGTGATGATTTTTTTATTCGCCGTAAACCAATGGGGGCGGAGCTTAACTGCAAAATACTATCTACATTAAGAAAAAATTAAAACGAAATATTAAGCCCCACCTATAACTACTTGCCCTGATCTAAATATGTAGTAATGAAGTTTTCATTCTTGGCTACACCTAGGGGCGGAGCCTAATTGCAAGATCCATATTTCCTTACAAAAATTTATCATTTTCAACGTGTTTTAAGTTTCTAAGAAAAAAAAAATATCACAAGTGAGATGGGGTGGGTGGGCGGGGTTTATATTTTGCCTTTTTTTCTCTTAATATAAGTAGTATTCTTTGAAAACACGATACTCAAAAACATGTTTTTAATTTCTTTGTAAAAAATAAGTATTTTGCAGTTAAGCTCCGTCCCCTTGGTTTACGGCGAATATGAAAATCATCACAGCCTATACCATGTCTCCTTCTACCATGGCTCCGCCCCATAATTTCAAAATCCATATTTCCTTCTAAAAAATTTACCATTTAAACCATGTTTTAAGTTTCTTGTTGTGAAAAGATGGCCATGTACGTTAAAAAAAAAAAACAAAATATAATCCCGCCCGCCCACCCTATCTCAATTCTGATGAATTTTTCATTCGTTATTAGACTGAAGGGCGGAGTAGCTGCAAAATCGATGTTTCTCTAAACAAATTTACCATTTTAAACCTGTTTTCAGTTTCTTGTTGTCAAAAGATGACTACACAAATTAAGAAAAAAAGGCAAAATGTAAGCCCCGCCCACCGCCCCTGTCTCAATTGTGATGATTTTTTTGTTCGTCGTGAGCCCAGAGGGCGGAGCTTAACTGCAAAATCCTTATGTCTCTACGAAAAATGAATAACATATTTTTGAGTATCGTGTTGTTCAAAGAATACCATATATATTATGAAAAAAACAAGGCAAAAATTAAGACTCACCCATAGCTATCCCAAGCTTAACTGTGATGAATGTTTATAAATAATTTTTATTTGTTTATCATTTATTGCCATCAACATAGCCTTAACAAACCAACGTAAAAACACAAAATACCCCAAATGTCACATATAACCATATAACAATGACAGATAAGAACACAGATTACCCCCTCGATAAGAATGATCATTGATCAGCAATGATCAGTTTATAATTTCTGTAATTATTTCGGGTGGCAAAAATTAAGCACGAGTGAGTACATGCACCACTTATCATCGTCTAATCTGCTGCAAACTGTTGCTATTTTAAAAAAAATGCAGTTTATGACGTAAAAATGTTAGGTTAGGTCTCTGACATTCCTGGAACCGTTAGAGGGTGAGACGGTTATTTTCAATTTTTACACTACTCTAACGAAATTCTAGGTAAGCAAAGTTTTATTATTTTATCTCTAGTGTAATACAGTTGTTTTAGACACTAAAATGCCAACTTTCGAGTATTCGAAAGCGTTAACAGAATGGGGAAGATCGTCGTGGAAAAACGTGCACACCTGTAAACTGTGCCCCTATTTTACAACATCAATTTTGTGTATGGTGAACCACGTCAAACGACACCGTTTTCCTGTGGAAAAATTCACATGTACAAACGCTGAAATTGACTTCTACCACTGTATAGACTGTGATTTTAGAACGGAACTAACCATTTTGTTCAAACAACACGTCGCTAAATATCACGGCCTTAAGACAGAATCTAGTGAGGACTTCTGTACACAAAACTACGTTTGCGAGAAGTGCAACTTTGAAACAAACTTCTCGTTAAAGTGGTTTCAACATATTTCAACATGCACTGTAACGAAAGAAAACCTTGAAAGTGTGAATTCCGACGAAATACGTTGGTATTACTGTGCGCAATGTTCGTACAAATCCAAACTCAAAGTTTACTTAAAACGTCACATTCAGAATAGCCATGCAGCCAAGCGTTTTACGTGTGACAAGTGTTTGTATAAAACTAGACATAAACGAGGTTTAAAATACCACATAGATCGAGTCCACTTAGGTCTAATAGATGATAAGTCGTGGAATTGCGAGAAATGTCCTTTCAAAACCAGAACAAGGTACAATTTAAAATTACACATGTATTACATGCACTCGAACGAAGACGAAGTTAAATGGTACGAATGCACTGACTGTGCATTCAAAACTAAGCAAAAAAATTATTTACAGATACACGTAAACGCAAAACATCTAGACGAAGAAGAAGTTACGTGGTACGAATGTGAACATTGTCCATACAAAACAAAAATCGCTAACGGTTTAAGAAGACATGTAATTTGTCGACATTCAGTGAAGAGAGAATTTAAGTGGCACCATTGTGCGATCTGTTCATATAAATGTAAAACGAGGAATCAATTAAAGCGACATTTAATTCGCCACCATTCAGATACGAAATCATTTCAATGCAACTATTGCTCATATAACACTAAACAGGAACATTATTTAAAAAGACATATGACGAACTGCCACTCGGATGGAAAGGATATTGAATGGTACACATGCGAACAGTGTCCATTTAAAACCACAGTGAAAAACGGTTTAAAAATACATACAGATGCCGTTCACTTGAAAAAAGACATTGTTAAACCGTTTAAATGCAAAGAGTGTGAATTCAAAACTACGAATCAAAAAAATTTAAGCACACACATCAATAGAAACCATTTAGACGAAAACAAAAGTAAAAGGTACGAATGCGCACATTGTCCCTACAAAACTGTGAACTCGTCGCATTTAAAATGTCACGTGGTTTCTAAACACCTGGACGACGAAAAAGTCGAGTGGTACGATTGCAAAGAGTGTCTATACAGAACTAAGAGAAAAATCCTTTTAAACTTGCACATAAGGTCGAGACATTTAGATGAAGAAGAAATTGATTGGCACGAATGTCAAATTTGTACGTTCAAAAGTAAACAAGCGCAGGGCTTAAAACAACATGTAGCTTCTCAACACACCGCTGAAGAAGAAATCAAGTGGCACGAATGTGGAGAGTGTCCTTTCAAAACTAAGTACCAGGGACAGTTAAAGAAACACATAACGAGAAAACATCGAGATGAAGAAAAAATTTAGTGGTACGAAAAACCAAGGACGGTGTGAATGTACGAACTGTTTTTATAAAAGTAACTAAAATTCTGTTGAAAAGGCATTACTTTGTACACTATGTTTTATCTTTTTATTAAAATTTTGAAAAACAACGATTTATTTGTTCATTTATTGTCAGCAACATATCTTTAAGGAACCAACGTAAAGACACAAAATTCCCCAGATGTAACATATAATAATGACAGATAAGTTTATAATTTCTGTAAATATTTGTGGTGGAAAAAATTAAGCGCGAGTGAGTACATGCACCACTTATCGTCGTCTAATCTGCTGTAAACAGTTGCTATTTTTCAAAAAACGGTAACATTATTTGTAGGTTATGACGTAAAAATGTTAGGTTAGGACTCTGACGTTCAAGGAACCGTTAGAGGGTCAGAGGGTTCATTCCAATTTTAATACTACTCAAACGGGATTTTAGGTAAGCAAAATAGCGGTTTTTTCTATAGTGTAATACACTGACTTTAGACAACCATAATGTCTGCTTTGGAATACTTGAAAGCATTAACAGAATGTGGACGATGGTCATGGAAAAACGTCCACAACTGTAAACTGTGCCCCTGTGGAAAAATTTACATGCACAAATACCGAAATTGAATTCTACCACTGTACAGTCTGCAATTTTAAAACGGAACTAACGATTCTGTTCAAACAACACGTTGCTAAATATCACGACCTTAAGACAGAATCTGGTGAAGATTTCCATATACAAAACTACGTTTGCGAAAAGTGCAACTTCGAAACAAACTTCTCGTTAAAGTGGTTTCAGCATGTTTCAACATGTACAAATAATATAATTTTAGAAGGACACAATGCTGAAGTGTACACATGTGAAAAGTGTCCGTTTAAAACCACAGTGAAAAACGGTTTGAAAAGACATGCAGGTGCAGTTCACTTGAAAGAAGACATTGTTCAACAGTATAAATGTAAAGAGTGTGAATTCGAAACTACGATTAAAAAGAATTTAAGAATGCACAACAATAGAAAACATTTAGATGAAAACAAGATTAAATGGTACGAATGCGCGAATTGTCCCTACAGAACTGTATACCAGTCGCATATAAAACGTCACATGATTTGTAGACATTTGGATGACGAAAAAATCAAGTGGTTTGAATGTGAAAATTGCCAATACAAAACAAAAATCGCGTCGAATTTAAGAAGTCATATGATGTTTCGGCACTTGGACAAGGAAGAAGTGAAGTGGCACGAATGTGCGATCTGTTCGTATAAATGTAAAATAAAGAGTAAATTAAAGGAGCATGCAATTCTCCACCATTCAGATATCAAATCATTCCAGTGCAAATATTGCTCATATAACAGTAAACTGGAAAGTTACTTAAAAAAACATATGAAGAACCGCCACTCAATTGAAGATGGTGTTAAATGGTACAAGTGTAGGCAGTGTCCATTTAAAACTAATGATAAAGTAGTTTTAGGAAGCCACTTAGAAGGACACGATTCTGAAGTGTACACATGTGAAAAGTGTCCATTTAAAACCACAGTAAAAAACGGTTTGAAGACATATAGGTGCAGTTCACTTGAAAGAAGACATTGCTAAACAGTATAAATGTAAAGAGTGTGAATTCAATGTCGGTTCTTCATGTGACTTTTCAAGTAACTCTCCAACTTGGTGTTGTATGGGCAATATTCGCACTGAAACGATTTAACATCTAAATGGTGCAGAGTTATATGCTGTTTTAATTTATTTCTTGTTATACTTTTATAAGGACAGGTCGCACATTCGTGCCACTTCACTTCTTTTCTGTCCAAATGTCGGAAAAGTCTGTGATTTCTTAAATTCGACGCGAGTTTTGTCTGGTACGGGCAATTGTCACATTTGTACCACTTAATTTTTCCTTCGTCTAGATGTTTGACAGTTATGTGAGTTTTTAAATATTTTTTGTACCTAGTTTTGAATGCACAGTCAGTGCATTCGTACCATTTAACGTCTTCTTCGTCCAAGTGGACGCAGTTTATGTGTCTACTTAAATTACTTTTCGCTCTAGTTCGGAAAGGGCACTTTTCGCAATTGTACCATTCACCGTGGTGTTCATCAGAGTGGATTCGGTTTATGTGGACTCTTAAATCCCGCTTGTGTCTGGTTTTATACGGACAGTTGTCGCATGCGTACCGATGGTTCAAGTGGCGACTTGCTGTATGACGGGTTAAATTACGTTTGAGTTTAGCTTTGTAGGTACATTCTGTACAATAATACCAAAGTGATTCGTCGGTTTTTATACTGTGAAGATTTTCTTTCGTTTCGGTGCATCCTGAATCATGCTGAAGCCACTTCAAAGAGAGATTTGTTTCAAAGTCGCATTTTTCGCAAACGTAATTTTGTATGTGGAAGTCGTTACTAGATTCGTTCTTAACGCCGTGATATTTAGCAACGTGTTGTTTGAACAAAATCGTTAGCTCCGTTTTGAAATCGCAATCTTTACAGTGGTAGAGTTCAATTTTGACGTTTGTGCATGTAAATTTTTCCACAGGGTGTCGTTTGACGTGATTTTCCATAAAGAAAAGCGATGTTGTGAAATAGGGGCATAGTTTACATCTGTGGAGGTTTTTCCACAACGATCCGCTCCATTGACAAGTTGACATTGTGGTTGTCTACAACTTCTCTATTATTATATGGACGAATTAATCATTCTGGTTACCTAAAATCGTCGGACTAGGGTTAAAATTGGAAATAAAAAAATGTTTCAAGGAATGTTGCAGTCCTAACCTAACATTTTTACGTCATAAATTTGTTTTCCATGTATTTTCTCGTACCAGCTAAAACCAGGCAAAATTGTTGGAAATGAAATAATTTTCCACCGCAAATAATTCCAGAAATTATAAACTTGGATTATCCAACTGTCATCGTTATCACCAAACGTCACAGTTGTTAATTTTGGAAAGTGAAACTAAGGGGCGATTTTGAATTATTTTCACTTGAAGACGAGCCAAAAAGCGACTACGTTACAGATCTTAGAGAACGGGGCCCCAGACGGGGGCCTTTTCCTTTTCGACTCTTAGTGACATATAGGGTATTTTGTGTCTACTATAAAGATATGGTGGTAATAACAGTGATGAACCTTAACGGAGTCAATTTTGTTTTTATCTTAGACTATCATGTTTATTCTTCGCTCTACCTCTAATAAATGTACTTTTATTATTTTGTTTATTTGTTTATTATTTATTGTTATCAACATATCCTTAACCAACCAACGTAAAGACACAAAATACCCCAAATGTCACTAACTGACCTGCTTCAAACTTGCTATTTTCCAAAAAATGGAAACAAGATTTGACGCTCCTGAAACCATTAGAGGTCAGTCTAAAGATATTAAGAAAAAAAAGACAAAATATAGTCCCGCCCACCCGCCCTATCTCAATTGTGATGATTTTTTTATTCGCCGTAAACCAATGGGGGCGGAGCTTAACTGCAAAATACTATCTATATTAAGAAAAAATTAAAACGAAATATTAAGCCCCACATATAACTACTTGCCCTGATCTAAATATGTAGTAATGAAGTTTTCATTCTTGGCCACACCTAGGGGCGGAGCCTAATTGCAAAATCCATATTTCCTTACAAAAATTTATCATTTTCAACGTGTTTTAAGTTTCTAAGAAAAAAAATATCACAAGTGAGATGGGGTGGGTGGGCGGGGTTTATATTTTGCCTTTTTTTCTCTTAATATAAGTAGTATTCTTTGAAAACACGATACTCAAAAACATGTTTTTAATTTCTTTGTAAAAAATAAGTATTTTGCAGTTAAGCTCCGTCCCCTTGGTTTACGGCGAATATGAAAATCATCACAGCCTATACCATGTCTCCTTCTACCATGGCTCCGCCCCATAATTTCAAAATCCATATTTCCTTCTAAAAAATTTACCATTTAAACCATGTTTTAAGTTTCTTGTTGTGAAAAGATGGCCATGTACGTTAAAAAAAAAAAAACAAAATATAACCCCGCCCACCCACCCTATCTCAATTCTGATGAATTTTTCATTCGTTGTTAGACTGAAGGGCGGAGTAGCTGCAAAATCGATGTTTCTCTAAACAAATTTACCATTTTAAACCTGTTTTCAGTTTCTTGTTGTCAAAAGATGACTACACAAATTAAGAAAAAAAGGCAAAATGTAAGCCCCGCCCACCGCCCCTGTCTCAATTGTGATGATTTTTTTGTTCGTCGTGAGCCCAGAGGGCGGAGCTTAACTGCAAAATCCTTATGTCTCTACGAAAAATGAATAACATATTTTTGAGTATCGTGTTGTTCAAAGAATACCATATATATTATGAAAAAAACAAGGCAAAAATTAAGCCTCACCCATAGCTATCCCAAGCTTAACTGTGATGAATGTTTATCAATAATTTTTATTTGTTTATCATTTTTTGCCATCAACATATCCTTAACAAACCAACGTAAAAACGCAAAATACCCCAGATGTCACATATAACCATATAACAATTGACCAGTAAAGTAAGGTTAGAATTTAGAATGCGCGGCAGTTCATAATTCAAAAATTCTACTATGGGTTTCTTATGGGAGCTTGATTTTACAGACAAAATACGCCGCATAGGTAGAAATCTTAACTAGTTCATGCTACAAGCGATAAAGACTGTACAATTATCTTCCTGTTACTAAAGGTTTAACTATATAAAAAGCTTCTGTTAAAGATATATTGCAAATTAAAAACAACGCTATCCATCGAAGTAACGTACATCGTTTCTAACGTCTTGCGCATGAGTGAAACGGAAAATCCAGAAACACTTGGGAAAGAAAAAGAACGCGAATATTTTGCGGTACTAGTGACGTTTAGATCGTGAAAATCCCCAAAATATGACAGTTGATTTCGTATTTTCATCACAACAAACAATCATAATCACAATTTTTGGATGATATATTAGTTCTGTGATATTGATTCACATTGGGCTGTATGTATCTGTGGACTGGTTTTTTTGTATTTGTTATTAATAATGACAGAAAGACATGTGTTAACAATAGGGGCAATTGCCATTTTTTTTGTTGGAGAAAATTCTTTACAGTCAAATAATGTAGCGAAAGTCAATTGGTATACTGAATTAAATGTGCTTGAAGAGTTTATTCGAGCTAGAATGCGAGAAGATTATGGTAAGTTAATGTATATTGATAAATTCTGTGTCAAGTAAAATTATGACGTATTTTGTTTTATTATGCATAGATATTCCTTACGAGAGGCAACATGTGAAACCCCAAGAGGTGCATTTGTATATCATCATATGGCTACACCTGCCCTACACGGACGTTATAATGTATTGTGGACCAATAATTTGCGTGCTTGAGACGTACATCTGAAGAAAAGTGAATCAGCTGAGGTCCGAGCTGTTGTCTCTGAAAATTCTTTTAATCCCCAAGTCAGCCTAAAAACAGCTAATGTTGAGGTACAACTTCATGAAAGCTTAGGACAAACTGATAGGAGCGAAGCACTGCTTTTGCTATTGGGCCCTGAACTAGAAAGATCTGAAGAAAATCTACTTCACAGTGTCGAAGAACTATTAGTGTCCGAGGAATATTTTAATGGCCCATCAAGAAAACAGTTTGTGGGTCAGTTTTTCACCAAAAGTGAATCAGATTTTGCATTAGGAAGTGCAATTTTTTATTGTAAAATACTTTTTTTTTGTTTTGAAATAAATTGTTCTTTAAATTGTGATTTTTTTTTTTAAAGGGGTGTTTCAGACCCAATTCGTACTAAAATGAGAGTGATTTTTACTTGTACATGAAAGGTTTAATCAGGAATGCTAAGTTTTTCCTTTTCTAGCAAAAATGTGTGAAAAGAAAAAAGCTTGGGATTGATGATGATTCTTAAATCAAAATTTGGCAATTGATTGAAAACATTTGCAAATATGAGATCTCCTTTATGTATTATTTTAAATTCACAGCCGTATCTGTAGCATCTGAAAATCAAAGCCATTTATGTGGAGGGGGAAGTCAATGGCAGTATGAACCACTGTACGACATACGTTCGAGGCAAATGTAGTGGTAAAAGTTGAATTTAAATATTTATTAAATATCGAGCGAGCAATATAATTTGTAATCGAGTCATTTCTTGATTTTCATTTGTTTCGCAAAAGTCACGTCGATGATTGATCCACCTAGTTCATAACTTCATAATTAAATTGACAGATCGAAAGAAAAAAATGGCGTGAACTCAGAACGGAATTTAAATAATGAATTAATGAATGATTAACCATTTAAATCTTCAGATTTTTTATTTAGTAAGACTCATCTTCTTTGTTTTGAACGTATCCTGAAATGTGGGGGCGAATTCGGTGAATATAATTCCATAAAGTCTGACCACAGTAAAGGAATCGACTTTTAAATCGATGATGGTTTGTTTTCACCTTAATGAGGTAAATCGACTTGTGCAAACACATTTTTCAGCCAAAAACAAACCAAAATTTTGAATATTCATCATTTACTTTTTAATAAAAAAAAATACACTTAAATTCACAATTAATTTCTATTAGAGCATTAAACACTTTATTTAAAGTCCCCATTCACAATAAATGCTGAAAATGTTCCCCATTTTCTTGTAAACACAGCAAAGCTCTTCTTCGAACTGCATCAATGACATTGTTCAACATAACCTCATTGTTGTTTATTTCGTTAATTTTTTCGGTTATTCTGTTCCTTAAATCTTCCAAATCATTAACAGGAGTACAATAAATTGTGTTCTTTAAATGCGGCCAGAGAAAAAAATCAGCAGGTGTAAGATCACATGATCTTGGAGGCCAGATGTGTTCAGTATTTCGACTAATGACTCTTTGGTCAAAAAACTCTCGTAATGTCGCTATTGTTATTTGAGCAGTATGTGCTGTGGCACCGTCTTGTTGGAAAAAACCAAAAGCTAATTCATCATCATGGAGTTCTCTTATGAATGGCCCCAAAATTTCTTCCAGATATCGAATGGCTGTTAAATTGCCTAAAAAATGATAAGTTGAGGAGGAAAGTTAAAACTTTAGTTTTCATTTTCTTACCATTAAAAAAGAATGGGCCTATGATGCGTCTTCGGCTAATTGCAGCCCAAACACCAATTTTTTGTGCATGAAGTGGGGCCTCAACATAAAAAGATGGTTTCTCTTGGCTCCACATTCGCATATTTTGGGAATTAACATAACCACTCAAGTGGAACCAAGCTTCATCCGTAAAAAATGTCTTCTCTAGCAGTTCATCATCAAATGTGTTCAAAAACCACTCACAGTATTCACGTCTGATTGGAAAATCCCCGTGATGTAATTCTTGCACACATTGTAATCGATAAGCAAATAATCCCAAGTCTTTTTTCAATATTGTTCGGCAAGTGCCATATGACAAGTCCACTTGTTGTTGCAAATGACGAACAGACGTTGTTGGGACTTCGTCCATGATTTCTCGAACATTTTCGATATTTTCAGGAGTTCTCTTGTTTTTTGTTTTGCCAGTTCCTGGTTTTCTTTGGAAAGACCCAGTTTCTCTGAACTGTCCCACACTACGCTTTAAAGCATTGCAAAAATTAGCATAATCCACAATATTGTTTGGAAATTGCTCTCTAAATTCGGTCCACGTGTCAGGAATTGAATATTGCCATTGTCCGTCGATTTTTTGACCATTTCGAAAGTAAGACTCAATCATAAAAGTCTTATGTTCCAATGTAAAAGCCATTTTTCATCAAGTTCTTGAATTTGTTGAAAATTTAAGCCAAAAAACGGCCCAAAATGAAAACAAGCTAGTTCTGAAAAGAACTGTTTTTTTAAGAGGATTTTCACTACGAAACACAACAAAAGAAAAAAATCGTTCGTTACGGCACTTCAGTTACTTAAAGAATTCAGAAAAAGATACAATTCAGTTCGAAAACACTTGGAAAACACAATCAACTTAACCTCAAACGTAACGAACAGTTGAACAGTGGTTCAAGTTACATCCAATATCGGTCAAGGTCTTACTGCAAATACCACAGGCGAATACATATTCAAATCATGTAAAAAATAGGGATGAATTTTAAAAACTGCAGAATTGCAAAACTGAACGACTCAGTACAATTTAAAATTTTTAGCATTAATTTTAATAAAATTTCCAAAACCCATTAATGCAGCTAAACGGCGGAACTGTAGACATCATTAATCGTCAGAATTTGGTAAGACACACGTACCTTGTTCAAATGTTTTTTGCAAATGTAACTCGATTACAAATTATATTGCTCGCTCGATACTACCGGTTCCGTTCATGTTTGGTATCAAGATCAACAGTAAAAATATCAGTCTTAATGGTACAGGTAGTGGGATATATAAGAAAATTACTTTAATGGTACAATTTAAGCGTTAAAGTGACGCCTCGATTTCACCCATAAGAATTACACGGGGAACTGAAATACGGGTCTCGTGTTATGAACTGAGTTCAAATTTCGCGCGTCATTCACTTTACTGGTCAATTACAGCAGATAAGAACACAGACTAGCAGACTACCCCCTCGATAAGAATGATCAATGATCATTGATCAGCAATGATCAGTTTATAATTTCTGTAATTATTTCGGGTGGCAAAAATTAAGCACGAGTGAGTACATGCACCACTTATCATCGTCTAATCTGCTGCAAACTGTTGCTATTTTAAAAAAAATGCAGTTTATGACGTAAAAATGTTAGGTTAGGTCTCTGACATTCCTGGAACCGTTAGAGGGTGAGACGGTTATTTTCAATTTTTACACTACTCTAACGAAATTCTAGGTAAGCAAAGTTTTATTATTTTATCTCTAGTGTAATACAGTTGTTTTAGACACTAAAATGCCAACTTTCGAGTATTCGAAAGCGTTAACAGAATGGGGAAGATCGTCGTGGAAAAACGTGCACACCTGTAAACTGTGCCCCTATTTCACAACATCAATTTTGTGTATGGTGAACCACGTCAAACGACACCGTTTTCCTGTGGAAAAATTCACATGCACAAACGCTGAAATTGACTTCTACCACTGTATAGACTGTGATTTTAAAACGGAACTAACCATTCTGTTCAAACAACACGTCGCTAAATATCACGGCCTTAAGACAGAATCTAGTGAGGACTTCTGTACACAAAACTACGTTTGCGAAAAGTGCAACTTTGAAACAAACTTCTCGTTAAAGTGGTTTCAACATATTTCAACATGCACTGTAACGAAGGAAAACCTTGAAAGTGTGAATTCCGACGAAATACGTTGGTATTACTGTGCGCAATGTTCGTACAAATCCAAACTCAAAGTTTACTTAAAACGTCACATTCAGAATAGCCATGCAGCCAAGCGTTTTACGTGTGACAAGTGTTCATATAAAACTAGACATAAACGAGGTTTAAAATACCACATAGATCGAGTCCACTTAGGTCTAATAGATGATAAGTCGTGGAATTGCGAGAAATGTCCTTTCAAAACCAGAACAAGGAACAATTTAAAATTACACATGTATAACATGCACTCGAACGAAGACGAAGTTAAATGGTACGAATGCCCTGACTGTACATTCAAAACTAAGCAAAAAAATTATTTACAGACGCACGTAAACGCAAAACATCTAGACGAAGAAGAAGTTACGTGGTACGAATGTGAACAGTGTCCATTCAAAACAAAAATCGCGAACGGTTTAAGAAATCATGTAATTTGTCGACATTCGGAGAAGAGAGAATTTAAGTGGCACCATTGTGCGACCTGTTCATATAAATGTAAAACGAGGAATCAATTAAAGCTGCATTTAATTCGCCACCATTCAGATACGAAATCATTTCAGTGCAACTATTGCTCATATAACACTAAACAGGAACATTATTTAAAAAGACATATAACGAACTGCCACTCGGATGGAAAGGATGTTGAATGGTACACATGCGAACAGTGTCCATTTAAAACCACAGTGAAAAACGGTTTAAAAACACATACAGATGCCGTTCACTTGAAAAAAGACATTGATAAACCGTTTAAATGCAAAGAGTGTGAATTCAAAACTACGAATCAAAAAAATTTAAGGATACACATCAATAGAAACCATTTAGACGAAAACAAAAGTAAAAGGTACGAATGCGCACATTGTCCCTACAAAACTGTGAACTCGTCGCATTTAAAACGTCACGTGGTTTCTAAACACCTGGACGACGAAAAAGTCGAGTGGTACGATTGCAAAGAGTGTCAATACAGAACTAAGAGAAAAATCCTTTTAAACTTGCACATAAGGTCGAGACATTTAGATGAAGAAGAAATTGATTGGCACGAATGTCAAATTTGTACGTTCAAAAGTAAACGAGCGCAGGGCTTAAAACAGCATGTAGCTTCTCAACACACCGCTGAAGAAGAAATCAAGTGGCACGAATGCGGAGAGTGTCCTTTCAAAACTAAGTACCAGAGACAGTTAAAGAACCACATAACGAGAAAACATCGAGATGAAGAAAAAATTTAGTGGTACGAAAAACCAAGGACGGTGTGAATGTACGAACTGTTTTTATAAAAGTAACTAAAATTCTGTTGAGAAGGCATTGCTTTGTACACTATGTTTTATCTTTTTATTAAAACTTTGAAAAACAACGATTTATTTGTTCATTTATTGTCAGCAACATATCTTTAAGAAACCAACGTAAAGACACAAAATTCCCCAGATGTAACATATAATAATGACAGATAAGTTTATAATTTCTGTAAATATTTGTGGTGGAAAAAATTAAGCGCGAGTGAGTACATGCACCACTTATCGTCGTCTAATCTGCTGTAAACAGTTGCTATTTTTCAAAAAACGGTAACATTATTTGTAGGTTATGACGTAAAAATGTTAGGTTAGGACTCTGACGTTCAGGGAACCGTTAGAGGGTCAGACGGTTCATTCCAATTTTAATACTACTCAAACGGGATTTTAGGTAAGCAAAATAGCGGTTTTTTCTATAGTGTAATACATTAACTTTAGACAACCATAATGTCTGCTTTGGAATACTCGAAAGCATTAACAGAATGGGGACGATCGTCATGGAAAAACGTCCACAATTGTAAACTGTGCCCCTGTGGAAAAATTTACATGCACAAATACCGAAATTGAATTCTACCACTGTACAGTCTGCAATTTCAAAACGGAACTAACGATTCTGTTCAAACAACACGTTGCTAAATATCACGACCTTAAGACATAATCTAGTAAGGACTTCCATATACAAAACTACGTTTGTGAAAAGTGCAACTTCGAAACAAACTTCTCGTTAAAGTGGTTTCAGCATGTTTCAACATGTACAAATAATATAATTTTAGAAGCACACAATGCTGAATGAATGGTTCACATGTGAAAAGTGTCCGTTTAAAACCACAGTGAAAAACGGTTTGAAAAGACATGCAGGTGCAGTTCACTTGAAAGAAGACATTGTTCAACAGTATAAATGTAAAGAGTGTGAATTCAAAACTACGATTAGAAAGAATTTAAGAATGCACAACAATAGAAAACATTTAGACGAAAACAAGATTAAATGGTACGAATGCGCGAATTGTCCCTACAGAACTGTATACCAGTCGCATATTAAACGTCACATGATTTGTGGACATTTGGATGACGAACAAATCAAGTGGTTCGAATGTGAAAATTGCCAATACAAAACAAAAATCGCGTCGAATTTAAGAAGTCATATGATGTTTCGGCACTTGGACAAGGAAGAAGCGAAGTGGCACGAATGTGCGATCTGTTCGTATAAATGTAAAATAAAGAGTAAATTAAAGGAGCATGCAATTCTCCACCATTCAGATATCAAATCATTCCAGTGCAAATATTGCTCATATAACAGTAAACTGGAAAGTTACTTAAAAAAACATATGAAGAACCGCCACTCAATTGAAGATGGTGTTAAATGGTACAAGTGTAGGCAGTGTCCATTTAAAACTAATGATAAAGTAGTTTTAGGAAGCCACTTAGAAGGACACGATTCTGAAGTGTACACATGTGAAAAGTGTCCATTTAAAACCACAGTAAAAAACGGTTTGAAGACATATAGGTGCAGTTCACTTGAAAGAAGACTGTTAGAGCCTCTGGCGGGGACCTGTTTCACCCCTCCCCACCCGTAAGGGTGGGAGCCAGAGCCACCCCCACCTTGGAACACAGGGTAGCATTCAATTCTTAATTCTTAACTCATTCATACACATTCAATTCTCAATTCTCAATTCGTAACTAACATTCAACTATCTCGACCGCACGGTCACATAATATTCTATTCTTATCATTCTTATTTATCCTAACACTTGTCACTAGCAATATACATTTATCTTACTGTTCGCTGGTCTTATTCATTTATACAAACTTTCGACATGGTCCTTCGAGCCGGATTAGCGACAGAATAACAGTGGTAGTGATAAGTGTAATTCTCAACATATCATTCATCGGCTGGAATTCAGCAAAGTAGTTATCAAAACATCACCTAGAAATCATCCGCGCAGTGTTCAACTATCGGTGACGACCGCGAGTGCTGTGCAAAATCCTCAAGTATCATTCAGCGTCAGCCAAGATAATTCTATCCAGGAATCCAGGATTCCAGGTAAGCTTTAATTCTGTTTGGTTGGTGTAATACATTTATTCTCGTACTCAAGATGGTGGTAATCCAAGACAATACTTTTGTTAAATTTTCAATTCTTCTCAGCGAAATAGATTCACATTCTAATTTTATATCAAATGTTGCAAATCATCAAAAAAGAGGCCACTTAAAGCGTCGATATGAAGACGTACAGCGAATTTATTCAGAATTACAAATGCTTGTAGTTCAGCAAAAATCCGAAACAATGGTAGTCCCAAATGACACGAGTAACACGGAAACGATCAAACCTATAATTTATAATATCAGAGACGTGCTAAATTATATTCAAAAAATATCCGAATTATATAAGGCTCTCATTGAGAAAACTAATCCATTGTGTACTTTCTCGAATTCATGTAAGATAAACACTAACGTACCAACCACGGATCTAGAAAAAGCTTGTCAAAACTTAACGCCTCTAAAGGTACACAAATTAAGAAATGGAGAACCCATCAAAATTCACAAAACCCATTTCAATGCTCTACGTAAATTGCGGTTCACTGTTGGTAAAAAATCCCCTCTTGATTCCGTTATTTCAAAAACTCCTAGTATAATATCAAATCGTTCAAAATTTCCAAATTCAACACCCAATGAAGAGAAAAATAATCTTTTTAACGATTGTTACAACTCCGAAGGCGTATCTCAAATTAATTTAGATAAAACTTCTAATGCAGAGTCATCTACCGCACTAGACAAAGTAAAAAGTCCTCCAGTTAATTCAAAAAACTGTGGCTCATTGTTAGTCTGTAACCAATTTAAAATTAGGTCGCAATATTTATGTGAATCCGTAGACTCAAATATTAAAGACAACACGTCAAACGTAGCAATACTCGACAAGAAAAAACATTCCGAAAATGCTAAACCCAAAATAACAAGTCATTTCAGTAAAAACCCACCGGTGCTTCAAAATACCGCGCTGGGGTTGATTCTTAGCGGCAGTTTTGCATATTTAAAAAATAATACTTCCCATCATCACAAAATTAGTTCAGCCCAAATTATTTCTCGGTTCTTGGAAGCTGAAACCGTCAAAACCGGAAGTAGGTCATTAAGCAGAGGGTTTAAAAGCGATCTTTGTGCAACCTCTTTTCAGTATACTACCACAGGCCATTCACCCGATGGCTATTTCATGGTCAAACACCCCTTTTCGGAAAATCAGCCGCGGTTTACACAAATGCATCCAAAGTGGCTATTATCAGTCGAGAGGAAGTTGGGGCATTCCACAGTCCCTTATTTCGAAAATCTACCTAAATTAGGAAATTCCCCAGAACTCGCTCTCCAACTGCTATTGTTAGCAGAGGGGCATAATCATAAACGTAACGAGGGTTTTATTGTCTCTCAAAGGAAGTACCTAGACCTTGTACACCTGAAGGTACTTAAGGAGAATTCCTCAAATAATTCCGTTTACCTGTCACACAATTGTATTCTAAATCCCCACATTTCTTCCAATAAACTTTGCGAGGTTGTTGACCGTTCCAATCTTAGTTCAAAGAGTTTAAATATGAATCGCCGGAGTTATAACGAAATTACTGGTAAAAACCATCTTGAGGGCGAGGGCGTGTGTGCGCTCGCTGTCAGGGTTAAAGCCGTCCTGAATTCGCGCCTTTCGAAGCCTCTGTCCAGCGACCGCAATAATTTGGTCGCATTTATACCTGGCCAGTGCCTCTTTCGGCCAGCCATCAACTGGTCCCTCAGGAAAAGACCACGCTGTCGTTCCCATCAACAGGCCATCCCTTGCCACCTCATCCACGCTTACCATCAACACTTCTGGAAGTCGTGGTACCTCGAATATTTGACCACACTGAAAGGCAGGTTAGGGTGGCAAAGGCCATCTTCCAACGTTCTAGGAATGGCTAGATGGGTCCTCGCGAAGGAGGAGAAATTTCCGCGTCTACAGTGGCGGTTAGGACGCGGCCCTCCAACATCATTTTGGAAAGGAAGTGGTGGTGTGTGTAGTGTCGGTGAAGTGCAAAAGATAATTTCGCAATCGCATGCATTATCAATCTCTTTAACCATATTGCATATATCTTGTCAATTTGTTATATACATCTCATTGTTGATTTATTTTACTATGTTCTAAGTATTCATATTTGTATTATTGTTATATTCATTCGCCATATTATTCACCCATCGTATTTTTCATTAATTTGGATTATTATAATTGTTGTAAATTTACATTTAGGTCTATTGTAAATATTGTGTATTCACTGATATTGTACACATGTAATTTGTTTTAGATATCTTTTTTTAAAGTTTAATGCATTTCTTCAGGTTCATTGCTTTCTGTAACAATGTCCACCCAATTCATGTAATTTCATCTGTATTTATCATTACTAAATCATGTTTTCATTCTAATGTTCCATATAGTTTATTTTTGATCTTAAAACAATGTAATTGTTTCAAGGCGGGGGGTATGTTAGAGCCTCTGGCGGGGACCTGTTTCACCCCTCCCCACCCGTAAGGGTGGGAGCCAGAGCCACCCCCACCTTGGAACACAGGGTAGCATTCAATTCTTAATTCTTAACTCATTCATACACATTCAATTCTCAATTCTCAATTCGTAACTAACATTCAACTATCTCGACCGCACGGTCACATAATATTCTATTCTTATCATTCTTATTTATCCTAACACTTGTCACTAGCAATATACATTTATCTTACTGTTCGCTGGTCTTATTCATTTATACAAACTTCGACAAAGACATTGCTAAACAGTATAAATGTAAAGAGTGTGAATTCAATGTCGGTTCTTCATGTGACTTTTCAAGTAACTCTCCAACTTGGTGTTGTATGGGCAATATTCGCACTGAAACGATTTAACATCTAAATGGTGCAGAGTTATATGCTGTTTTAATTTATTTCTTGTTATACTTTTATAAGGACAGGTCGCACATTCGTGCCACTTCACTTCTTTTCTGTCCAAATGTCGGAAAAGTCTGTGATTTCTTAAATTCGACGCGAGTTTTGTCTGGTACGGGCAATTGTCACATTTGTACCACTTAATTTTTCCTTCGTCTAGATGTTTGACAGTTATGTGCGTCTTTAAATATTTTTTGTACCTAGTTTTGAATGCACAGTCAGTGCATTCGTACCATTTAACGTCGTCTTCGTCCAAGTGGACGCAGTTTATGTGTCTACTTAAATTACTTTTCGCTCTAGTTCGGAAAGGACACTTTTTGCAATTGTACCATTCACCGTGGTGTTCATCAGAGTGGATTCGGTTTATGTGGACTCTTAAATCCCGCTTGTGTCTGGTTTTATATGGACAGTTGTCGCATGCGTAGCGATGGTTCAAGTGGCGACTTGCTGTATGACGGGTTAAATTAAGTTTGAGTTTAGCTTTGTAGGTACATTCTGTACAATATTACCAAAGTGATTCGTCGGTTTTTATACTGTGAAGATTTTCTTTCGTTTCGGTGCACTCTGAATCATGCTGAAGCCACTTCAAAGAGAGATTTGTTTCCAAGTCGCATTTTTCGCAAACGTAATTTTGTATGTGGAAATCGTTACTAGATTCGTTCTTAACGCCGTGATATTTAGCAACATGTTGTTTGAACAAAATCGTTAGTTCCGTTTTGAAATCACAATCTTTACAGTGGTAGAGTTCAATTTTAACGTTTGTGCATGTAAATTTTTCCACAGGGTGTCGTTTGAGGTGATTTTCCATAAAGAAAAGCGATGTTGTGAAATAGGGGCATAGTTTACATCTGTGGACGTTTTTCCACAACGATCCGCTCCATTCCAAAGTTGACATTGTGGTTGTCTACAACTACTCTATTATTATATGGACGAATTAATCATTCTGGTTACCTAAAATCGTCGGACTAGGGTTAAAATTAGAAATAAAAAAAAATGTTTCAAGGAATGTCGCAGTCCTAACCTAACATTTTTACGTCATAAATTTGTTTTCCATGTATTTTCTCGTACCAGCTAAAACCAGGCAAAATTGTTGGAAATGAAATAATTTTCCACCACAAATAATTCCAGAAATTGTAAACTTGTATTATCTAACTGTCATCGTTATCACTAAACGTCACAGTTGTTAATTTCGGAAAGTGAAACTAGGGGGGCGATTTTGAATTATTTTCACTTGAAGACGAGCCAAAAAGCGACTACGTTACAGAGCTTAGAGAACGGGGCCCCAGATGGGGGCCTTGTTCTTTTCGATTCTTAGTGACATATAGGGTATTTTGTGTCTACTATAAAGATATGGTGGTAATAACAGTGATGAACCTTAACGGAGTCAATTTTGTTTTTATTTCGGACTATCATGTTTATTCTTCGCTCTACCTCTAAATGTACTTTTATTACTTTTTATTTGTTTATTATTTATTGTTATCAACATATTCTTAACCAACCAACGTAAAGACACAAAATACCCCAAATGTCACTAACTAATCTGCTTCAAACTTGCTATTTTCCAAAAAATGAGAACAAGATTTGACGCTCCTGAAACCATTAGAGGTCAGTCTAAAGATATTAAGAAAAAAAAGACAAAATGTAGCCCCGCCCACCCACCCTATCTCAATTGTGATGATTTTTTTATTTGTCGTAAACCAATGGGGGCGGAGCTTAACTGCAAAATACTATCTATATTAGGAAAAAATTGAAACGAAATATTAAGCCCCACCTATACTTGCCCCGATCTAAATATGTAATAATGAAGTTTTCATTCTTGGTCAGACTTAGGGGCGGAGCCTAATTCCAAAATCCATATTTCCTTACAAAAATTTATCATTTTCAACGTGTTTTAAGTTTCTAAGAAAAAAAAATATCACAAGTGAGATGAGGTGGGTGGGCGGGGTTTATATGTTGCATTTTTTTTCTTAATATAAGTAGTATTTTTTGAAAACACGATACTCAAAAACATGTTTTTAATTTCTTTGTAAAAAAATAAGTATTTTGCAGTTAAGCTCCGCCCCCTTGGTTTACGGCGAATATGAAAATCATCACAATTGAGACAGGGCGGGTGGGCGGGGCTTACATTATTTCTTTTTTTCTTAATGTGTGTAGTCATCTTTTGACAACAAGAAACGATTTTGCAATTAGGCTCCGCCCCATAATTGCAAAATCCATATTTCTTTGAAAAAATGTACCATTTAAACCATGTTTTAAGTTTCTTGTTGTGAAAAAATGGCCATGTATGTTAAGAAAAAAAGCAAAATATAAGTACCGCCCACCCACCCTTTCTCAATTCTGATGAATTTTTCATTCGTCGTCAAACTGAAGGGCGGAGCGTAACTGCAAAAATATTTCGCTATACAAATTTACCATTTTAAAACTGTTTTCAATTTCTTGTCGTCAAAAGATGACTACACAAATTAAGAAAAAAAGGAAAAATGTAAGCCCCGCCCACCGCCCATTTCTCAATTGTGATGATTTTTTTATTCGTCGTGAGCCAAGAGGGCAAAACTGCAAAATCCTCCTTATGTCTCTACGAAAAATGAAAAACATTGAGTATCGTGTTGTTCAAAGAATACCATGTATATAATGAAAAAAACATGGCACCCATATCTGTCCCAAGCTTAACTGTGATGAACACTTAGATCATATAATAATATGATCTAAGGATGAACATTTATAAATATTTTTTATTTGTTTATCATTTATAGTCATCAACCTTAACAAACCAACGTAAAAACACAAAATACCCCAGATATCACATATAACAATGACAGATAAGAATAATCAGCAATGATCAGTTTATAATTTCTGTAATTATTTCGGGTGGAAAAAATTAAGCAGTAGTGAGTACATACACGACTTATCGTCTGATATTTAAAAAAAAAATGTTAACATGATTTGCGGTTTATGACGTAAAAATGTTAGGTTAGGACTCTGACATTCCTGGAACCGTTGGAGGGTGAGACGGTTATTTCCAATTTTTACACTACTCTAACGAAATTCTAGGTAAGCAAAGTTTTATTATTTTATCTCTAGTGTAATACAGTTGTTTTAGACACTAAAAATGCCAACTTTTGAGTACTCGAAAGCGTTAACAGAACGTGGACGATCGTCGTGGAAAAACGTGCACACCTGTAAACTGTGCCCCTATTTTACAACATCAATTTTGTGTATGGTGAACCACGTCAAACGACACCGTTTTCCTGTGGAAAAATTCACATGCACAAACGCTGAAATTGACTTCTACCACTGTATAGACTGTGATTTTAGAACGGAACTAACCATTCTGTTCAAACAACACGTCGCTAAATATCACGGCCTTAAGACAGAATCTAGTGACAACTTTTGTACACAAAACTACGTTTGCGAAAAGTGCAACTTTGAAACAAACTTCTCGTTAAAGTGGTTTCAACATATTTCAACATGCACTGTAACGAAGGAAAACCTTGAAAGTGTGAATTCCGACGAAATACGTTGGTATTACTGTGCGCATTGTTCGTACAAATCCAAACTCAAAGTTTACTTAAAACGTCACATTCAGAATAGCCATGCAGCCAAGCGTTTTACGTGTGACAAGTGTTCATATAAAACTAGACATAAACGAAGTTTAAAATACCACATCGATCGAGTCCACTTAGGTCTAATAGATGATAAGTCGTGGAATTGCGAGAAATGTCCTTTCAAAACCAGAACAAGGAACAATTTAAAATTACACATGTATAACATGCACTCGAACGAAGACGAAGTTAAATGGTACGAATGCACTGACTGTGCATTCAAAACTAAGCAAAAAAATTATTTACAGACGCACGTAAACGCAAAACATCTAGACGAAGAAGAAGTTACGTGGTACGAATGTGAACATTGTCCATTCAAAACAAAAATCGCGAACGGTTTAAAAAGTCATGTAATTTGTCGACATTCGGAGAAGAGAATATTTAAGTGGCACCATTGTCCGACCTGTTCATATAAATGTAAAACGAGGAATCAATTAAAGCTGCATTTAATTCGCCACCATTCAGATACGAAATCATTTCAGTGCAACTATTGCTCATATAACACTAAACAGGAACATTATTTAAAAAGACATATGACGAACTGCCACTCGGATGGAAAGGATATTGAATGGTACACATGCGAACAGTGTCCATTTAAAACCACAGTGAAAAACGGTTTAAAAACACATACCGATGCCGTTCACTTGAAAGAAGACGTTGTTAAACCGTTTAAATGCAAAGAGTGTGAGTTCAAAACTACGAAACAAAGAAATTTAAAGATACACATCAATAGAACCCATTTAGACGAAAACAAAATTAAAAGGTACGAATGCGCACATTGTCCCTACAAAACTGTGAGCTCGTCGCATTTAAAACGTCACGTGGTTTCTAAACACCTGGACGACGAAAAAGTCGAGTGGTACGATTGCAAACAGTGTCTATACAGAACTAAGAGAAAAATCCTTTTAAACTTGCACATAAGGTCGAGACATTTAGATGAAGAAGAAATTGATTGGCACGAATGTCAAATTTGTACGTTCAAAAGTAAACGAGCGCAGGGCTTAAAACAACATATAGCTTCTCAACACACCGCTGAAGAAGAAATCAAGTGGCACGAATGCGGAGAGTGTCAGTTCAAAACTAAGTACCAGAGACAGTTAAAGCAACACATAACGAGAAAACATCGAGATGAAGAAAAAATTTAGTGGTACGAAAAACCAAGGACGGTGTGAATGTACGAACCGTTTTTATAAAAGTAACTAAAATTCTGTTGAAAAGGCATTACTTTGTACACTATGTTTTATCTTTGTATTAAAATTTTGAAAAACAACGATTTATTTGTTCATTTATTGTCAGCAACCAACGTAAAGACACAAAATTCCCCAGATAGATAACAATGACAGATAAGTTTATAATTTTTGTAAATATTTCTGTTGGAAAAAATTAAGCGCGAGTGAGTACATGCACCACTTATCGTGTTCTAATCTGCTGTAAAATGTTGCTATTTTTCAAAAAACGGTAATATTATTTGTAGGTTATGACGTCAAAAAGTTAGGTTAGGACTCTGACGTTCCGGGAACCGTTAGAGGGTCAGACGGTTCATTCCAATTTTAATACTACTCAAACAGGATTGTAGGTAAGCAAAATAGCAACTTTTTCTATAGTGTAAAACACTGACTTTAGACAACCAAAATGTCAACTTTGGAATACTCGAAAGCATTAACAGAATGGGGACGATCGTCATGGAAAAACGTCCACAACTGTAAACTGTGCCCCAATTTTACAACGTCACTTTTCTTTATGGTAAATCACGTCAAACGACACCGTTCCACTCTAGAAAAACTGACTTGTGAAAACGCCAAAATCGAAGCATTTTACTGTAAAGACTGCGATTTTCAAACGGAACTAACGATTCTGTTCAAACTACACGTTGCTAAATATCACGGCCTTAAGAGAGAGTCTAGTGAGGACTTCGACATACAAATCTACGTTTGCGAAAAGTGCAGCTTCAAAACAAACTTTTCGTTAAAGTGGTTTCAGCATATTTCAACATGCACCAGAACGAAAACCGACGAAATACGTTGGTATTACTGTGCGCAATGTTCCTACAAATCTAAATACAAAGTTAACTTGAATCGTCACACTCAGAATAGCCACTGGGCCAAGCGTTTTGCGTGTAACAAGTGTTCATTTAAAACTAGACATAAACAAAGTTTAAAATACCACATAAATCGAATCCACTTAGGTCAACAAGTTGGTGAGTGGTGGAATTGCGAGAAATGTTCTTATAGAACTAGAACAAAGAACGATTTAAAAATACACATGTATTATGTACACTTGAATGAAGACGAGGTTAAATGGTACGAATGCAACCAGTGTCCTTTTAAAACTAAGTACAAATCGTACTTAAAGACGCACGTAAACGCAAAACATCTAGACGAAGAAAAAATTACGTGGTACGAATGTGAAAATTGTCCGTACAAAACAAAAATCGCGTCGAATTTAAGAAGTCATGTGGTTTTTCGGCATTTGAATAAGGGAGAAGTTAAGTGGCACGAATGTGCGACCTGTTCGTATAAATGTAAAACGAAGAATCAATTAAAGCTGCATTTAATTTTCCACCATTCAGATATGAAATCATTTCAGTGCAAATATTGCTCATACAACAGTAAACTGGAAACTTACTTAAAAAGACATTTAAAGAACTGCCACTCAGATGAAAATGATGTTAAATGGTTCAAATGCGAACAGTGTCCATTTAAAACTAAATATAAAGGAGTTTTAGGAAGCCACTTTAATCATATTCACTTAGAAGCACACGATCTCGAATGGTTCAAATGTGAAAAGTGTCCGTTTAAAACCACAGCGAAAAACAGCTTAAAAAGACACACACGTGCAATTCACTTGAAAGAACACATCGTTAAACAGTATAAATGTAAAGAGTGTGAATTCAAAACCACGAATAAAAAAAATTTAAAGGTGCACAACGCGACACATTCAAACAAAAAGAAAATTAAGTGGTACGAATGCGCGAATTGTCCGTACAGGACTGTGTACCAGTCGCATTTAAAACGTCACGTGATTTGTAGACATTTGGATGACGATAAAGTCAACTGGTATGAATGCAAAGAGTGTCCGTTCCGAACTAAGAGAAAAAGAGATTTAAACTTGCACATAAGTGCGAGACATTTAGACGAAGAAAAAATTAACTGGCACGAATGTGGAAGTTGTACGTTCAAAAGTAAACGAGTGGAGGGTTTAAAACGACATATAGTTTCCCAACACACCGATGACGAAAAAGTAAAGTGGCACGAATGCGAAGAGTGTCCTTTCAAAACCAAGTACCAAAGAGCTTTAAAGAAACACATAACGAGAAAACATTGACTAAAATTCTATTACTTTGTGCAACATGTTGTATCTTTTCATTAAAATTTTGAAAAGCCGATTTATTTGTTCATTTATTATTGTCAGCAACAGTCCTCGACAAACCAACGTAAAGACACAAAATTCCCCAGATGTCACTAACATCTTTCTTTTTCTATGGTTACTTCTACCGAACGTGAATGCTTAATTAAGTTTATCATTTCTGGGATTATTTCTGGTGGAAAAAATTAAGCACGAGTGAGTATATACACCACTTATCGACTTATCGTCGTCCAGTCTGCTGCAAACTGTTCCTATTTTTCAAAAAATTGAAACATGATTTGTAGGTTATGACACTAAAATGTTAGGTTAGGACTGACGTTCCTGGAACCATTAGTGTCAGACGGTTATTTCCAATTCTAACACTACTCAAACGGGATTTTAGGTAAGCAAAATAGCTAGCTTTTCTCTAGTGTAATATAGTGGTTTTAGACAACCAAAATGTCCACTTTGGAATACTCAAAAGCGTTAACACAATGGGGAAGACCGTCATGGAAAAACGTCCACAACTGTAAACTGTGCCCCTATTTTACAACGTCATTTTTCTGCATGGAAAATCACACCAAACGACACCGTTTCCCTGTGGAAAAATTTACATGCACAAATTCCGAAATTGAATTCTACCACTGTATAGTCTGCGATTTCAAAACGGAACTAACGATTCTGTTCAAACAACATGTCGCTAAATATCACGACCTTAAGACAGAATCTGGTGAAGATTTCCATATACAAAACTACGTTTGCGAAAAGTGCAACTTCGAAACAAACTTCTTGTTAAAGTGGTTTCAGCATGTTTCAACATGTACAAATAATATCATTTTAGAAGGACACAATGCTGAAGTGTACACATGTGAAAAGTGTCCATTTAAAACCACAGTGAAAAACGGTTTGAAAAGACATACAGGTGCAGTTCACTTGAAAAAAGACATTGTTCAACAGTATAAATGTAAAGAGTGTGAATTCAAAACTACGATAAAAAAAAATTTAAGAATGCACTACAATAGAAAACATTTAGACGAAAACAAGATTAAATGGTACGAATGCGCGAATTGTCCCTACAGAACTGTATACCAGTCGCATATAAAACGTCACATGATTTGTAGACATTTGGATGACGAAAAAATCAAGTGGTTCGAATGTGAAAATTGCCAATACAAAACAAAATTCGCGTCGAATTTAAGAAGTCATATGATGTTTCGGCACTTGGACAAGGAAGAAGTGAAGTGGCACGAATGTGCGACCTGTTCGTATAAATGTAAAATCAAGAGTAAATTAAAGGAGCATACAATTCTCCACCATTCAGATATCAAATCATTCCAGTGCAACTATTGCTCATATAACAGTAAACTGGAAAGTTACTTAAAAAAACATATGAAGAACCGTCACTTGATCAAAGATGGTGTTAAATGGTACAAGTGTAGCCGGTGTCCATTTAAAACTAATGATAAAGTAGTTTTAGAAAGCCACTTAGAAGTACACAATTCTGAAGTGTACACATGTGAAAAGTGTCCATTTAAAACCACAGTAAAAAACGGTTTGAAAAGACATTTCGGTGCAGTTCACTTGAAAGAAGACATTGCTAAACAGTATCAATGTAAAGAGTGTGAATTCAAAACTACAAATAAAAGATATTTAACGCTGCACAACAATAGAAAACATTTAGACGAAAACAATATTAAAAGCTACGAATGTGCGAATTGTCCATACAAAACTGTGTACCAGTCGCATTTAAAACGTCACGTGATTTCTAGACATTCGGATGCCGAAAAAATCAAGTGGTACGAATGCGAAGAGTGTCCATTCAGAAGTGAGAGTCAAAGGAACTTAAACTTGCACATAAGTGCGAAACATTTAGACAAAGAAAAAATTAACTGGCACGAATGTGGACGTTGTACGTTCAAAAGTATACGAGTGGAGGGTTTAAAACGACATATAATTAGACAACATACTGATGAAGAAGAAGTCAAGTAACACGAATGAGGCATTACTTTGTACATGTTTTATTTTTTTATTAAAATTTTAAAAAACTACTGAGTGTTGTATTTTTCACAATAAATGAACATAGTGTATGGAAAGGACTAAAACAATTTTTGTGATTATAAAAATCATTTATTTATTTTTTACTAACTAAATCATGCACGTGTTTCTGTCTGTGTCTATAGAAAGTCGAAACATCTTTAGTTTTGTGAGGACACCGTTCACATTTGTACCATTTAACATCGTCCCCAACCGCGTGGTGTTTGTTCACGTGTTTCTTCAAATACGCATCCAGTTTAGCCTTGTATGGACAATATTTACACTCGTACAACTTGGTATCAGAATGCTGGGTTTTCATATGTTTCGGCAAATTATACTTAATTTTAGTTTTGTACGAGCAATTCGCACATTCGTACCACTCTGGTTGTTCCAAATGTTTATTATTCACGTGCTCTTTTAACGATCCTTTGAATTTAGACTTGAAAGGGCACTCTTCGCATTCGTACCACTTGATTTTTTTGTCATCGAGATGTCGCGAAATTACGTGATTTTTAACAATGGATGGTTGCTTCGCTTTAAAGGGGCAATGTTCACATTCGTACCATTTAACTAGTTCTTCGTCTAAATGTTTCAACGTTATGTGTCTTTTCAAGGACGAGTTTTGCTTGGTTTTGAAAGGACACTGGTCGCATTCGTACCACGTAACGTCTTCTCCGTTCAAGTGAAACGAATTTATGTGTCTTTTTAAGCCACTTTTTTTCCTAGTTTTGTAAGGGCATTTTTCGCACTCGTGCCATACGATTTCTTGTTCGTTTAAATCGATGCAGTGGTCACACTTGTGCCATTTGCTCATCTGAGGGTTTAAATAACTGTTTAATTTTGTCTTATAAGGGCAATATTTGCACTGAAACGATTTAACATCCGAATGGTGGAGTAGCACGTGTCTTTTTAATATATATTTTGTTTTACTTTTATACAGACAGGTCGCACATTTGTACCACTTAATTTCTTCATCCAAACTTTCACAAATCACGAGACTTTTTAAACGCGACGCGTAATTTTGATTTTCTTGTTCCTTAATTTTTTCTTTGTCTCGATGTTTAGCATTTTTGTGTCTCGTTAACGACTTTTTATACTTAGTTTTGAACGAACACTCGTTGCATTCATACCATTTAATGTCTTTTTCGCTCGAGTGTAAGTAATTGATGTGATTTATCAAATTGCTTTTTGCTCTAGTTTTGTAAGAACACTTTCCGCACTTGTGCCATTCTGCGTCTTGTTCGTCCAAGTGGATCATATTTATGTGAATTTTTAACACTTGTTTGTACCTGCTTTTAAATGGACACTTGTCACATGCATACAGTTTGTTTAAATTTTCTTTCGTTCCAGTGCACTCTGAATTATGCTGAAGCCACTTTAACGAGTGATTTGTTTCAAAGTTGCACTTGTCGCAAACGTAACTTTGTACTCTGAAGTCCCCTGACAAACTCTCTGTAGGTTTTTTTTTAACATTGTGATACTCATTGATGTGTTGTTTGAACAAAATCGTCAGCTCTGTCTTAAAATCGCAGTCTTTACAGCAATAAGCTTCAATTTCGTTTCCACACGTGAATTTTTCCACAGCGAAACTGTGTCCTCTGACGTGGATCTCCATTACGAAAACTGATGTTGTAAAATAGGGGCATAATTTACAATTGTGGATGTTTTTCCATGGCTTTGTTGGCATTTTGGTCGTCTAAAACACCTTTATTACAACATTGAAGAATAATACAGCTTTTGTCTACCTAAATTAAAGGTTCAAGGAGTGTCAACAACATAACCTAACTTTTTTCGTCATAACTAAAAACCATTTTTTGAAAAGTAGAGACAGTTTGTGAACGTCGTAGACTGTGTGGAGCTGAAACTTGGAACGTGGGGGTCAATTTTGTAATTTTTCTGCTTGAAGACGACTCAAAATTCGATGACATCACAGTAACATTTGGGGTTTTTTGTGTCTTAACGTTGGTTTTGTTAAAGATCTGTGACATAAAAAAATCCAATCTACACATTTTCTAATTTTATTATTTATATTAACACCTAGACGTGTTTTTTTCTGTGTTTATAATGCATTTGGTTTTGAACACATGTGCAATTCTCTACGATCTGGAGTGGACACGCTTTATGTGGTTTCTTAAATTAGATTGATGTTTGCTTTTAAATGAGCACTCTTCACATTCATACCAATTGGCTTCTTCGTCCTCTAAATGTAGCGCATTTACGTGTTTCATTAAATAATGTTTATCCCTAGTTTTAAATGGACACTCATTACATTCGTACCACTTGCCTTCTTCGTCCTCTAAATGTATTGCATTTACGTGTTTTTTTAAACAATTCCTATACCTAGTTTTAAATGGACACTCGTTACATTCGTACCATTGCACGTCTTCTTCATTCAAGTGCATAAATTTTAGGTGTTTTCTGTAACTATTTCTTAATCTGGATTTAAATGGGCACTTTTCACATCTATACCACTCAACGCCTTGTTTATGACTAATTTCATTTTCAACTGGGTGACGATTCTTCACGTGCCTTCTTAGATAACTTTCCGCTTTAGTCCGAAATTGGCAATATTTGCATTGGAGCAATTTGACATATAAATGTTGGACGGTTATGTGCAGTTTTAAATTAGCTTTTCTTTTGCTTTTATGCGGACAATACGCACACTTGTACCACTTGACTCCTTTATACCTAGCTTTATACTGACATACTAAATCATGTTGAAGCCACTTCAATGAAAAATTTGTTTTGAAGTCGCATTTTTCGCAAACGTAGTGTTGTACGTAATAGTCATTGAACAAGTCATCCCCAGATTCTTTCTTAAGGCCGTGATGTGTATTAATGTGTTGTTTAAACAGAATCGTTAGTCCCGTTTTAAAATCACAGTCTTTACAGAAATAAGTCTCAATTTTGGAGTTTAAGCACGTGAAAATTTTCACAGGGAAACGGTGTCGTTTGACGTGATTTACCATAAAGAAAAATGACGTTGTAAAATAGGGGCACAGTTTACAGTTGTGGACGTTTTTCCATGAGGATTCTTCCCAAGCTGTGAGAGCTTCAGAGTACTCCAAAATTGACATTTTGGTTGCCTAAAACCGGCTCATTTGGCAGCAAATGCAAGTTGGGTTACCGAAATTTCTTTGCAACACTGTTACAACTGAAAATAAGCGTCTGAGTTAAATTTTTACGAAACTCTTATTACTTTCTAACCTAACTTATATGCGTCAAAAATAAAGTCCCTAAATATATCTGGGGACTTTAGTCGAAAATGACGTGAGTGACATTTATGTTGTATTGTGGGTTGCCTACTTTGGGCGCAACTCAGATTTTTAATTTTTTCGGACATGAAATAAAATTCTGAGATAGGGCAGGAGGGTGGGGTGACCTACATTTTGTTAGTCACAAACAAGTAAATTTTCACCACCAAATATATTTTTTATTGTACAACTTACAACATTTATATCCTAATTGTGTTTATGAACACAATTATCCCCATTTTCGTCACCCGAATGTCGAAATTTCACATGATTTTTCAAATGCCACACCCGCTTAGCCTTGAATGGGCACTTTTCACATCTGTACCACTTAATTTTCTCTTCATCTAAATGTTTCGCAACCACGTGCCTCTTCAAAGACGAACTATGCTTGGTTTTGAACGGACACTCCTTACATTCGTACCATTTAACCTCCTCTTCACTCAAGTGCAGCAAATTTGTGTGTTTTTTTAAACCCTGTGGCACTCTGGTTTTAAACTGACACTTGTCACACTGGAACCATTCGGCATTTTCTTTTTTTATATGGATAAGATTCACGTGCATTCTCAAATCCGTTTTACGTCTAGTTTTATAAACACATTGTTCACACTTGTGCCATTTAACATTCTTTCCGTCTGAGTGTCGATTGATAACGTGATCTTTCAAGTAACTTTTCAGTTTTGCTTTATACGGACAGAATTTGCACTGATACGACTTGATATCTACATGGTTGACTTTTATGTGCACTTTTAAATTATTTTTTCCCTTACTTTTGTAAGGACAGGTCGTACATTTGTACCATTTTACTTTATCTTCGTGCGAATGCTGACAAACTACGTGATTTTTTAAACTCGAAGCCCGCTTAGTTTTGAACGGGCAATTGTCACATTCGTACCACTTGATTTTGCCTTCGTCTACATGTTTCACAATCACGTGAATCTTTAAATAACTTTTGTACTTGGTTTTAAATGGACACTGGTTGCATTCGTACCATTTAACCTCTTGTTCGTTCAAGTGTATGTAGTTGACGTGGTGTCTTAAGTTGCTTTTGGCTCTACTTTTGAAAGGGCATTTTTCGCACTTGTGCCATTCTGCGACTTGTTCGTCTAGGTGGATCATGTTTACGTGGATTTTTAAAACGTGCTTATATTTACTTTTATAGGGACAGTTGTCACAAAAATAGAATTTAGATTCTAGACATCGTGTTTCATTGATTACCTTCATTCCTCTGCATATTACAGTATGCCGAAGCCACATTAACCATGAATTTGTCTTAAAGTCGCACTTTTCGCAAACGTAGTCTTGGATATTTTCACTCGATGATTGTTTTTTATGAGCATGATATTTACTAGTGTGTTGTTTCAACAGAATCATCAGCTCTGTTTTGAAGTCGCAATTTTTACAATAATAAAGTTCAATTTTGGCGTTTTCGCAGCGGAATTTATTCATCGTAGGAAAAAGTGACATTTTCGTTGCCTAAAACCGTTTTATTACACTAAGAACGAAGAAGGAGCTTTAATTACCGTTAAAGTTGGAAGAAATTATCATCAAACAAAGAATTCTAACCTCACATTTTTACGTCATAAATGATATTTCGATTTTGGAAGTTTAGGCAGTGATAAGCACATGAATGTTGTCCTTCCAGCTAAAACAAAGCAAAATTATACTACGTGTGTTCATTTTCACGTCTAAATAACCGCAGAGATGATAAATTACATTAAACACATCTTAGTAAAAAATTTAGTGCGGACATGTTGGTACTAGTAAATGACAGGTGTCAATCGCAGATCCCCACAAAATTTAAACAAATTAAGAATATTTATCTATAGTTTTATAAGGACAGTCTTCGCATTCACATCACGTCACTTTTTCCCCATCCGAGTGTTGTTTTTTTGCATGTTTTTTCAACAGCCAGCGCAAAATATTTCGAAATTTGGTTAATCGTTTTTCGGTGTACATAACCTCACAATTTAAATTCAAATGACATTTAACAACTGTCATCGAATCGCGATTCGATGTAACAATTCAGTTTACATCGAAATTTTTCGATGAAGGGGATCAAAACATTAGATTTTGCCAGTTTTTTTTTATAAAAAATACAATTTAACTAATGTTTGACAGCTACGTGTCTTTTTAAAGACTTTTTATGCTGAGTTTTGAACCGACATTGGTTGCATTCGTGCCACACAACTTCTTCCTCGTTTAGATGTTGACAAATCCCATGACTTTTTAAAGCCGATTCGTGTTTGGTCTTGAATTGGCAATTGTCACATTCGTACCACCGTACTTTTGCTTCGTCTAGATGTTTCGCAGTCACATGTCTGCCTAAAGATCTTTTATACTGAGTTCTGAAAGGACACTGGTTGCATTCGTACCACTTAATGTCTTCTTCATTCAAGTGACACGAATTTAGGTGTTTTTTTAGACTATGTTTCCACCTGGACTTAAATTGACACTTGTCACATGTATGCCACTCACCCTCACTTTCCTCTAAATGGTGGTTGTTCATGTGACTTTCCAAATAATTTTTTAATTTTGCTTTATACGGACAATATTTACACTGAAACGACTTGACATCAAAATGGCGGCGAAATATATGCATTTTTAGATCGTATTTTGTCTTGCTTTTGTGTGAACAGTTCGCACATTCGTACTTAATTTTTTGTTTGTTCAAGTGACTACTAGAATTGTGACTTTTTAAACAAGTCGCTGATTTAGTCTTGAATGGGCAAGTGTCACACTCGTACCACTCAACTTTTTCTTCACCTAGCTGCTTTGGAGTCACGTGCGCCTTTAAATTATTCTTGTACCTAGTTTTAAATGGGCAGTCGTTACATTCGTACCACTTAATGTCTTCTTTGTTCGTGTGTAAGTTTCTTGTGTGACAATTCAAAGTACTTTTTACTCTAGTTTTAAAAGGACATTTTTCGCACTTGTACCATTCAGCGGCTCGTTCATCTAAGTGGACGCAATTTATGTGGATTCTTAAGGCTGTTTTACGTTTACATTTAAAGGAACAATCGCCACAGCAATACCAACGTATTCCACGATATGTTTTTTGGTTCTTTCTCGTGCATCTTAAACAATGCTGAAGCCACTTCAACGAGAAATTTGTTTCAAAGTTGCATTTTTCGCAAACGTACTTTTGTATGTGGAAATCTTCGCTTGATAACTCTGTAGATTCTTTTTTAATACGGTGATATTTATCGATGTGTTGTTTGAACAAAACTGTCCATTTCGTACTAAAATCGCAGTGTTTGCAGTAACAGACTTCAATTTCGGCGATTTCGCACCCCAAAGTTAACATTTTGGTTGCCCAAAACCGTTTTATTACAAAAATCTGTGGCAGTTTTAACATAACCTCAAACTAGAGATGGGCTCACCGATTCAATTTTTATATTTGTAATTTCGATTCGCAATAAATGTTAATCGATTTATCGCTACTTTTTGGTTGTTGAGTAACCACAGTACTAAATATTTTTCGTTATGAATTTGTACTTGACATGTAATTCTAATTTGTTGTTAACATCAATAAGCACATCTCTAACCCGTCCCACTCATGTCTGACGTTTTCTTTGACAGTTCTAATACGAGATTGTTACTCTTCCAATGACATTGTAAACATAGACTGAACATTAATGAATAAATTTGGTCATGTGTTTATTTAATGGAAAAAAAACACTTTCTGTTTCGTTTCGCGGTATACACTTGTCATTGTCAGTGACATTTGCAGCGGTTACCAATCTTAAAAACAAATAACACTAATTCTGTTACGAAACTTATTTATTATATGTATTTTATTGTATAAAATAAACAAATAGTTTTTAGTGTGTATTATTCGCATTTAAATCATTTATCATCCGTTCCATCTGGATGTCGGTTCTTCATATGAGTCTTTAAGTAACTTTTCAGTTTGCTCTTGTACGGACACAATTTGCACTGGAACGACTTGATATCCAAATGATGTATAGTCACATGCATTTTCAAATGATCTTTCCTTTTACTTTTATACGAACAGCTCGCACATTCGTACCATTTCGCGTTCTCTTCATGTAACGACTTTATGTGTTGTTTTAAATACTCTTTCGCTCTAGTTTTAAATGGACAATATTTACACTGACTCCATTGAACGTCTTCGTTGTTCGAATGCAAATTGTTTATGTGTCTTCGTAAACTAGTCTGGGACCTAGTTTTAAAAACGCATTTTTCGCAGTAAAACCAATTAGCGTCTTCATCATCTAAATGGATCTGATTTATGTGGAGCTTCAAACCTGACTTTCGTGCACTTTTAAACGAACACTTGTCGCAAGCGTATTGCTTGTTCAAATGACGCGCTTCTATGTGAGCTTTTAAATAATTTTTCACTTTGGCTTTGTAGGGACATTCCGTACAGTAGTACCAACCGATTTCGTCGCTTTGCTTCAAGTAGGAGTTGTACTTGATGTTCTCCTTCGAAGAAACCACAGTTTTTGGTCGCTTGCAAAACGAAACATGTCGCAGCCATTTCAACGAAAAATTTGTTTTAAAGTTACACTTTTTGCAAACGTAGTTGTGTATATTGAAGTCGTCGTTTGATAAATCGACTCCGGATTCTCGGTGATGTTTGTCGATGTGTTGTTTGAACAGAATCATTAGTTCGGTTTTAAAGTGGCAGTCTTTGCAGTAATAGGGTTCCATTTTGGTGTTCTCGCAGGTAAATTCTTCCAGAAATAGACGGTGTTGTCTCACGTGGTTGAATATATGAAAAAATGATGTCGTAAAATAGGGACATTGTTTACAATTGTGGACGTTTTTCCACGAAGACCTACATTGTGCGATTGTATCACAATATTCCAAAGTTGACATGGTGACCAGCTAAACCGTTTTTTGAAACTAGGGTAAACACTGGTACTTTTTTACCCAAATCTGGTCGAATCAGGTTACTACATAACCTCAAAACGACGTAGCAACGTAGCAACCATGGAACTACAAACAGGTGGGCTCATTGTACTTTTACATGACCTGCGACGTCTTCACGTGCTTGTTTAAATCACCCATTGTCTTAGAGGCATTTCTTACTTAATTTCGCGTTCGTCCTACGAAGTTAACATTTCAAATTGCCTAAAATGTTTACAAATTTTTGTTTGTAAACATTGACACGCAAGGCTACCACCCGTAGAAACTAAAAAGCACGGAAGGTCGCTACATTGAATAAATAATCACCATATTAGCTAAAAACGACTGTGTAATGACCACTTAAACTAGAACATGATGTTCAACAATCGTATTTATATCGAATCGTTGGGTTCATTTTGATTTAATAATAATTATCCGTCAAATTTGATACCAACCGTAAAATAAAAGTCACTAGCAAACTCAATTTTTTACTAATCATTTTTGGACAATTTTTTTAACATGTAACACTTCTCATCCTCTTCGTGGCGCTTATTGTGGGTGTTCAAATTCGACCGATGTCTGGTTTTAAAAGCGCACTCTTTACATTTATACCATCTAGCTTCGGCATCATCCAAGTGCAGCGCATTGACGTGATTTTTCAAAGCATAGTTCAACTTGGCCCTATAAGGACACCTGTCACACTTAAACCATTTCACCTCGGTTTCGTCCAGATGGTTAGCAGTTATATGAATTTTCAGCGACGAGTGATACTTGGTTTTGAAACGACACTTGTCACATTCGTACCATTTAATATTTTCAGTGTCCACATGTTGCGAATTCACGTGTAGTTTCAAATTCCCGCTCTGTTTAGTTTTGTAGGGGCACTTTTCACACTCGAACCACACAATATCGCGCTCATCCACGTGCTGCACCTTCACGTGTCTTTTCAGCGACGATTTATGCTTAGCTCTGAATTGGCACATTTTACATTCGTACCACTGAACGTTTTCTCCGTCCAGGTGCGAGTTTTTGTGCACTTTTAAATTACTGTTGTGTTTGGTTTTGTACGGGCACTTGTCACATTCGTACCACTTGACGTCGGTTTCGTCGGAATGTCTCGATCTGACGTGGTTTTTTAAATTTGAGTTTCTTTTAGATTTGTAGGGGCAATTTTTGCATTCGTACCAGTATATCGAGTGTTCGTCTAAATGGAGCGCTGTTACGTGTCGTTTCAAGTCGCAGTTGTATTTAGCTTTGTAGGGACACTTTTTGCATTCGTACCACTTGATACTTTGTTCGGAATGTCGAACTAGAACGTGTCTTTTTAAAGACTTCTTCGTTTGATATTTAGTCGGGCAGTTTTCACACTCGTACCATTTACCCAAATGGTGCACTTCTACGTGGTCTCTGACGTATCGTTTTTGTTTGGCTTTGTATGGACACTTCGGACAGTGATATGGTTTATTTAGGGCACAAAATCTGGTGTGGTGGAGCCACTTTATTACGAAGTTGGTTTTGAAAGTGCATCTTTTGCATGCATAATCCTGGATGGCGTAGTGCTTTAATGAATCCTCAGTGTTTTGATTTTGAACGCAGTGACGGTCTCTGAAATGGCGTTTAAGCAAAAGTGCAAGTTCGGTTTGGAAGTTGCATTTGTCGCACAAATAACTGTCAATCTTGGAAGTTTGACAATTGAAAAAAGTAGGGACAAACTTTATTTCTTTCCCCAACATGTTGCTCCACCTGAAATAATAACTACAATTTCACTACAGTATGACGAAAGTGTTGGATTTTTCTCACTTAACACTGTGATGGCAAACATAACCTCAAAAATTGCTTCAAATTTATAGTTGTGTTTTGTTGCAATGTGGATTAATTATTAGCACAGTTGTTAGGTGTTCTCACTAGAATTGTCTTAATAAGTCCATAATTCTGGCCACAACCACGATATTACATGATAAACAACGTTTCAGATCGTTTAAAATATTCTGTTGGCACGCCTGCATTTGCTGTCAATATTGGGGGTTAGGCAACCAGTAAATCAACATTTAATTTTATTTATATTAACATAAATCGCCTACAAATAAATTAACTTCGCTAATTGTGTCCCTTCAGGTGCTTGTGTAACGACGACTCGTGTTTGCTTTTAAACGAACACTTATTGCACTCGTACCATTTGGCATCCCGTTCGTTTAAATGGTGCGCGTTGACGTGACTCCGCAGCGACGACTTGTGTTTAGTTTTAAAAGAACACTTCTGGCACTCATGCCAAATGGCATCGTCGTCCAAATGTCGCGCATTGATGTGTTTTTTCAACGAATAATTAACCTTCGCTTTAAACGGACACTTCTCGCACTTGTACCATTTAATCTCCTCTTCCTCTAAATGGTACGCGTTCAAATGCACGTTCAGCGACGACTTCCGCTTGGTTTTGAACGGGCACCTGTCGCACTGATGCCATTTAATGTTTTCGTCGTCCAGGTGCTTGGCATTGACGTGCTTTTTCAAATCCGAGTTAGTCTTAGCTTTGTGCGGGCACTGTTTACACTCGTACCATTTAATATTGCGCTCGTCTAGGTGCCACGCGTTGATGTGGTTCTTTAAATTGTGGTTGTGTTTGGTTTTGAACGAGCACTGGCCACATTTGTACCATTTAATGTCTTGTTCTTGTAAATGGTGCGCGTTTATGTGGCTTCGCAATTGATAGTTTCGTTTGGATTTGTAGGGGCAGTGTTTGCATTTGTACCACTTGATGTCTTCGTCGTTCAAATGTCGAGCGTTGATGTGTTTTTTTAAGTCGCCTTTTTCTTTGGTTTTGTGGGGGCACTTTTCGCATTCGTACCACTTGATGGCTTCAGCGTCCAAGTGTTGGCTGTTTATGTGTTTTTTTAAGTTCGAGTTGAGGTAAGTTTTGTAGGGGCATTGGGAGCACCGGTGCCAGAATATTTCGCCGTCGTTTAAATGCTTGAGGATTTTGTGTTGTTTCAAGTACCATTTGGATTTGTATTTGCAGTCGCATTGGTCGCAGTTGTACGTAGGGGGGCTCTTTTCGGTGCACCTGGTGGTGTGCCGGAGCCACTTCAGTGAGAAGTTTGTTTCGAAGGTGCACTTTCTACAAATGTAGTTGCGGATGGGGTTACAATGTAGCACTTTGTCTTTTTTAAGACTGTGACACTCCTGGACGTGCTGCTTGAAAACTAGGGTCAGTTTCGTGACAAAGTTGCAATCTTTGCAGGAGAAGTTTTCGATGGTTGAGTTTTCACAGTTGAAATTTTGAGGGGGCGAAGGGTGAGGTCTGACGTGGTTTACCATGAGGAGAAACGATTGGCAACTGTGGAGGTTTTTCGAGACTGGCTTTACATCAACAAGGTCTTCGGAGACTTCCAAACTTGACATTGTTGTTACCTAAATCAATTAATTTTTACAATTATTAAAATGTGACGGTAAATTCAATTTTTTTCACCTGGTATTTTGACGAAAAAGTGGCGAATAGTTTAAAGTTTAACAATTATTTACGTAGACATAACCTCAACAAGTAAATATTTAGCCAAGGTGGATAGTACAGAGGTCTGACTATTGCGTTTAAATGGCATTCGTTACGTCAGCGAAGCTGACCAATGACAAGTTGCGAAAATAAAACACTAAATTAATAATTGATTATTTATTATCAACTGTGGCTCTGCACGTGCCTATACAACACCGACCTACACTTCGTTTTAAACGAGCAATTTTTACATTCGTACCACTTAATATCCTCCCCGTCTAGATGCCGCGCGTTCACGTGACTGTTCAACGACGACCGATGTTTGGTTTTAAAAGGGCACGTTTGGCATTCGTACCATTTAATCTCGCCTTCGTCCAAATGGTGCAAATTCACGTGTTTTTTTAAATCCCGACTGGTTTTAGCTTTGTACGGGCATTTTTCACACTCGTGCCATTTAATCTCCTGCTCCTTTAAATGTCGCGCGTTCGTGTGTTTCTTCAAGTCGTAGCTTGACTTAGCTTTATATGGGCAATTTTCGCACTCGTACCATTTAATTTCGGCGTTATCTAAGTGTTTCACGTTGATGTGGATCTTCAAACAGTGGTAATACTTGGTTTTGAACGGGCACTTCTGGCACGGGTACCATTTAGTGTCGTGTTCGTCCAAATGGTTGATGTTTATGTGGGTTTTTAACGACTGTTGGAACTTGCTTTTGTAGGGGCAGATTTGGCATTCGTACCATTTAATGTCGGCGCCGTTTAAATGGCGCGCGTTTATGTGGCTGTTTAAGTACGGTTTGTGCTTGGTTTTGAATTGGCACTCTTTGCATTCATACCATTTAATGTCGTCTTCGTCTAAATGAAGAGCGTTGATGTGTTTTTTTAACTCCCAGCTAAATTTACCTTTGTAGGAACATTTGTCACAGTAGAACCATTTAATTTCGGTTTTATCCAAGTGTTTAACGTGGATGTGCATTTTCAAAGAGTGGTTGTACTTGGTTTTAAATGGACACTCTTGGCACGTGTACCATTTAATATCTTGTCCATCGGAATGGCGCCCGTTTATGTGACTTTTTAAATGGTAGTTTTGTTTAGTTTTAAACGGACACTTTTTACAAGCGTACCATTTAATATGTTGTTCACCCAAATGGTTGATTTTCGTGTGGTTTTTCAAAGACGACTTGTACTTGGTTTTAAAAGGGCACTCTTCGCATTCATACCACTGGTCCGAATGGTGTGCATTTACGTGGATTTTTAAATTTCGTTTCTGTTTGCTTTTGTACGAACATTCGGTGCAATGATACCAACTTATATTTTCGATTTTTTCGGACTTCATGGCTTCATTTTTTCTAATTTTAATGCACACTAAGACATGCTGAAACCACTTGATTGAGAAATTTGTTTCAAAGCTGCATTTTTCACAAATATATTTTCGAATTACGTATTGTTCTGGTTCTTTTTTGATACCATGACGGTCCTGAAGGTGTTGTTTGAAAAGGAGGGTTAGGACAGTCCGATAGTTACAATCTTGGCAGTAGTAACTTTCCACGTCGTGAGTTTCACAGTTGAAATGTGACGGAGACCAGTGTCGTCCGACGTGGTTCACCATTAGGAACGCCGACCTTGTGAAAAAGGGGCACACTTCGCAGTTGTGAACACTCTTCGGAGACTTCACATGTGTAGTGGAGGCTGCGGAGTATTCCAAAGTCGACATTCTGACCCCTATAAATTAATTACCACTAGAGTGTAGTACGAAAGACACGCTGAATTATCCTCACCTTACACCCCTATGTCAACATAACCTCAAAAATGTATCTTCTCTTAATTGTTAGTTCAAAGTACATTTACGCAAAAGTTCAAACTGTTAAAAATAGTGTATCAAAAAACAATAATTAGTAACATTATATTTAGATATTTCAGCTGAAAAAGGAGTTTTTTTTAACAAAAATCCAAGTCTAGGGACTTTTGTTTTACCACTAGATCACATTCCGATGTTTAGTATCTTGAATATTTGCATCGCACGTTTTGAACTTATTACAGATATGAGCTAAATTGTAATTTTAATATTTTTTTATCTTCTGAATTAGTTTAATTTGTCCGGTCCGACACTCTTGTTACAGTCTCTTGTCAATAATGTCAAATGATGTGCCAACATAAGAAAATGAAATAATTTTTCAGGTTACATTTTCCCAAACAAACATCTGTGAGGTGAGAAAACAAGCAATAATTTGACTGAAATAAATAAATTCAGGTGAATAGACACGTGAGTGTGCAACATGTGGCCGAAAAGGACGTGGTGTGGTACGAATGCCGCCAGTGCCCATATAAAGCTAAACGGGTGTCTTATTTAAAAAATCACGTACGAATACGACATCTGGACGACCACGATGTTAAATGGTATGGATGCGACCAGTGCCCGTATAAAGCTAAAGAAAAAGCGTATTTGAAAAAGCACATAAACGCTCATCACTTCAACAAAAAATAAAACTATTTTTTTAACGATTTTCTGTCTTTTTGTTTTTCGACATCCCAGAACTTACGTGTACGAGCCGCCACTGCTCTGACAGTTATCTAAATTACGTAATCTGTCATCGAATTTTGAGGTTATGTTAACATGTTTTTTTTATCTAAAATCGTCAACAATTATTAAAGGTAAGTGAAAACGAAACAGCTGTTTTGACCACGAGTAAAGCAACAAATTTAGGACCACAATGCCCCTCCAGAAGCCCCAAATTTGCACAACTTGTCCCTACTTCACAACATCAGTTTTTCTAACCGTGAGACATTCCCGAAGCCCCCACTCGTCGCACTTTGACTGTGAAAATGCCAGCATTGAGTCGTACACCTGCAAAGACTGCAATTTTTCCACAGGACTTAGAATTCACTTAAATGAACACACCTCCGATCAGCAACACTACGAAATGCAAAAGTACACCTGTGACAAGTGCGGTTTTGAAACGTACTTCTCGATGAAGTGGCTCCAACACAGCGTAAGGTGTTCGAGACACGGAAAGAACCCCGCGAAAAAGAAACTCCCTCAGTGGTACAATTGTGACCAGTGCCAGCGAAAGTATAAAGAAAAGTACTGTTTGAAAGTCCACAAAATCGCGAAACATTTACACGACAACGAGATACTTTGGCACCGGTGTGGTCAATGTCAATACAAAGCCAAATTAAAATCGAATTTAAAAAAACACACAAAGGCACACCACTCGGATCAAAATTTCAAGTGGTATGAATGCGACAAGTGTCCTTACAAATCTAGACAAAAAGGCAACTTAAACAGTCATATAAATGTGCACCATTTGGAAGGTCGTGATATAAAGTGGTACGAATGTGACAAGTGTCCATACAAAACTAAACACAAGTCGTCTTTGAATTCGCACGTAAATACCAACCACATGGACGGACAGGACGTTAAATGGTACGAATGCCAGAAGTGTCCCTATCGAACTAAAAAAATTTCGCATTTAAAACCCCACATCGTAGCGCGGCACCTAAACGCGCAGGAAATTAAATGGCACGAATGCAAACAGTGCCCATTCAAAGCTAAAACCAATTCCAATTTAAAGCAACACATAACCACGCAACATCTAGACAAACACAACATTAAATGGTACGAATGCGACAAATGTATATACAAAACCAAAGACAAGTCAGTGCTAAATCAACACATGAGTACGCACGACCTCGACGTACAAGATATTAAATGGTATGAATGCGAACATTGTCCATATACAGCCAAACGCAGCTCTCAAATCAAACAACACATAAATATACACCACTTGGACGCGAAAGACATTAAGTGGTTTGAATGCGACAAGTGTCCGTATAAAGCTAGAGATAAGTCGGCTTTAAAGCAACACGTCAATGCGCACCATTCGGACATGTGGTTTGAGTGCAAAGAGTGTCCGTATAAAGCTAAAACTAAGAGCCAGTTGAGGAGACACACGATCGCGCGCCATTTGGACGAAGGAGAGATTAAGTGGTTTCAGTGCGACAAGTGTCCATATAAAGCTAAAGAGAAGTCCCATTTGAAAAGACACGTGAATGCGCGGCATTTGGACACACATTAAATAAAACTGTGTCAAAATTGTGTGCACGAGCCGCCACTGCTCCGACAGATAACTTGTGCGCATGCGCAGCTGTCAAAGTTTGAGGTTATATAAATTATTATCAATAAAAACAAAAATTGATCATTTTTAACGAAAATTTGTTGATATTAAGTGTATTAGAAGCGACCTCAGGCACCAGAATGTCGATTCTGGAATTCTCCGATGTGAAACCCCGCCAAGAAAAAATCCAGAATTGTGAGCTGTGCCCCTATTTTACTACGTCGGTTTTTCTCATGGTGGACCACGTAAAACGACACCACTCAACGTTGCCACGTTTCAACTGCGAAAACTCCAAAATCGAGGATTATCGCTGCAAAGACTGCAATTTCCAGACTGATCTGACTCTCGTTTTCAGCCGACACGTCCAACTTCATAGCGAATCATCAAACCAAAACCCTGTTATTCAACAGTACTTTTGCGAAAATTGCAGCTTCGACACTCACTTCGCAATGAAGTGGCTCCAGCACACCCTAGACTGTCTCAAGATCCCCAAAATTGTACAATCCGACAAAATAAAGCACTTCTGTGATAAATGTCCATACAAAGCTCGGTACAAAGTTCACCTACAAAGACACGTAAACGCACGACATCTGGACGAAGGGGCCGTCACGTGGTACAAGTGCGAGAAGTGTTCATACAAAGCTAAACAAAAAGGCAATTTAAAAATCCACCAAATCGCTCGACATCTGGATGAACAAAACATCAAATGGTATCAATGTGAACAATGCCCATACAAAGCTAAACAAAAAAACCACTTGAAAAACCACACAGACGCACGACATTTGGATGAAAATATTAAATTACACGAGTGTGACAAGTGCCCATATACCGCTAAGTCCAATCACAATTTAAAAAGGCACGTGAAAGCACACCATTTGGGTCAACGGCGCACTGTTAAATGCTACGAGTGCACGAAATGTCCGTACAAATGTACCGATGGAAGTCTTCTAAAAAGACACGTTAACGTTAACCACTTGGTTGGAGACGATATTAAATGGTTTAAATGTGAGTGGTGTCCATACACAGCTAAAAGAAACGATCAGTTAAAGAGACACATTAACGGCCACCATTTGGTTGGAAACGACGTTAAATGGTTTGAATGCGAGAAGTGTCCGTACAAAGCTAGAGATAAGTCGGCGCTACGGCAGCACGTTAACGCCCACCATTCAGATCACTGGTTTGAGTGTGAGGAGTGTCCGTACAAAACCAAAACTGTGGTACAATTAAAAAGACACACGAGTCGGCGGCACTTGGACGAGAGGGAAATTAAGTGGTTTCAGTGCGAAAAGTGCAATTATAAAGCCAAGGAGAAGTCGCATTTGAAAAGGCACGTGAAGAGGTTGCATGTGAATGATAAGAAAATCTAGCTTAAAACCTTTAAATGTTAATAAAGTATTGTTTTATAAGTTGGTGCTACTGTTACTGATAAGTCGGTAAAACAGATTCCTACCTGTCAAATGGCAGGCTTTTGCAAGTTTGAAATTTAATAAAACTCGGAATTGTCGCAAATTCCACTTGTTTTTTTTATCAGTACTTGCTTAACAATTAAAGAATTAAAAACCTCGACAGACAAAATATAACCAAATTGTGGTTAACTTTAATTTGACAACTCGAGCTCACGAGCCGCCACTGTTCACCCAACTTTGAGGTTATGTTTGCAAGTTTGTTATTATAACTGCAATATGTGCGACAAAAAACGTTTCGACTGCGAAAACTCCACCATCGAGGCTTATTTTTGCAAAGGGTGCACCTTCCAAACTGACTTGACTCTTCTCTTCAAGCACCACAGACACGCTAAAAATGACAACGAAAAGTACATAATTCAGACGTACGTTTGCGAAGATTGTAACTTTGAAACAAACTTCTCGTTGAAATACCTTCAACATACAACCTTGTGTTTGGCGAATGAAAATAAAATAAGCGAGCTATACAGACACAGATGTGCCAAGTGTCCGTACATATCCAAGTACAAATCAAACTTGAAAAAACACACGATTTCGCGCCACTTGAGCCAGCAACACATCAAGTGGTACGAATGTACAAAGTGCCCCTACATAAGCAAATCCAACTACAACGTAATCAAACACAAGAGTATCCGACACACCGATGAAAACCCTAAATGGTTCAAATGCAAAAAGTGTCCCTTCAAAAGCAAGTACAAGTCGGCTTTAACAAGACACTCCAAAGTGTGTCATGTGGATATCACAAATATTAAATGGTATGAGTGCAAGTTATGTCCCTACAAAACCACACTCCTGTTCAACTTGCAAAGTCACAACATTAATCGCCACCTAGACCACCAAAAAATCAAGTGGTTTCGCTGTGAGGAGTGCCCCCATAAAGCTAAAAGCAAATCGACGCTAAAAACACATATAATCTCGCGACACTTGAACGAGCACAACATTCACTGTCACGAATGTGAAAAGTGTCACATGATAGCCAGTCGTGACTGTTGTGGTGATAAACAGAGCATTGAGTGGTACGTATGCAATCAGTGCACCCTTAGAACTAAGTATAAGTCAAATTTTAAAAGACACATGATTGTACGTCATGGAAATGTTAAATGGTACAAATGTAAAGTGTGTCCGTATAAAGCCAAGGACAATTATGATTTGAGGAATCACATCATCAGGCATCATGTGATCGGGCTGAAAATGAAAAACTATGAGTGCGAAAACTGTCCATATAGGACTCAACGGGCTTCAAGTCTGGAAGCACACGTAGCGATACAACACGCGGTTGAAGATAAGTCGGGGAAAATCGAGTTGAAGAGCGACATAAATGCGCGGATGAAGAAATTGTTAAATGTAGCGACTTTAAAATAAATTACTTGCTTTTAAAAAGTTTTTCATTGACGAGCCGCCACTGTCACACTTTTAAGGTTATATGACAGATAAACATAACCTCAAATATTTCTATTTACAATTAAATAAATTCGTTTTTAAGCGCCCCGACACAAGTATTAGGTGAGAATAGTCGCTGTCGTAACTAATAAAACAGTCAGTCAGTTTAGGTACACCAAATGTCCACTTCACAATATTTTGGCCCGAAGTGTGCAAAAGACAAATCCAGTCCATATTTTCCATCATCAGTAGGACGTTTCAACTGCGAAATCAACAACATCGAATCTTTCTATTGCAAAAACTGCAACATCGGAACACAACTGACGATTTTTTTCAAGCGTCACCTAGCAGACCACGCTCTCAAAAACCAAAATTCGCCCTACATCATACGAAAATACATTTGTGGCAAATGCAGCTTCGAAACCCACTTTTCAATGAAGTGGTTCCAACACACTCGAACGTGTCGAGGAAAAAAGGAAAATCCCCAAACATCAAAAAAATCCGTCTTAAAAACTTTCACTTGGAGCATTTGTGACCAGTGCGGGCGCAAATACAAGTTCAAATACAGCTTAGAAATGCACAAAATATCAAAACATTTAAAAGACGACGAAATCTCGTGGTTCAGTTGTACGAAATGCTCCTACAAAGCCAAACTAAAGTGCCACTTACACCGCCATATAAAGCGCCAGCATTTAAACGAACAAGCCTGCCAACTGTATTTGTGTGACAAGTGCCCATACACAACCAAATATAAAGCAACTTTGAAAACACACTCCACCAAGCACCACTCGGACGAAAGCAATATTAAACGCTACCCCCGTCACGTGATACAAGTGCGAGATGTGTGCATACAAAGGTAAACAAAAAGGCAATTTAAAAATCCACCAAATCGCTCGACATCTGGATGAACAAAACATCAAGTGGTACCAATGTGAACAGTGCACATACAAAGCTAAACAAAAAAAAAAACACTTGAAAAATCACACAGTGCGAAAAGTGCACTTATAAAGCCAAGGAGAAGTCGCATTTGAAAAGGCACGTGAAGAGGTTGCATGTGAATGAGAAGAAAATCTAGCTTAAAACGTTTAAATGTTAATAAAGTATTGTTTTACAAGTTGGTGCTACGTGCTACTGTTACTGCTAAGTCGGTAAAACAGATTCCTACCTGTCAAATGGCAGGTTTTTTCCAAGTTAGAAATTTAATAAAACTCGAAATTGTCGCAAATGGCACCAGTTCTTTATCACTACTTGCTTGACAAAGAATTAAAGACCTCGACAGATAAATTAAAACCAAATTGTGGTTAAATTTAATTTGACAATGCGAGCTCACGACCCGCCACTGCTCACCCAACTTTGAGGTTATGTTTCCAAGTTTGTTGTTATTGTAATCAATTTCTGCATTTTGAACGGTTTTCTGTCGCACTATGCGCGACAAAAAACGTTTCGACTGCGAAAACTCCACCATCGAGGCCTATTTTTGCAAAGGGTGCACCTTCCAAAGTGACCTGACTCTTCTTTTCAAGTACCACAGACACGCTAAAAGTGACAACGAAAACTACACAATTCAGACGTACGTTTGTGAAGATTGTAACTTTGAAACAAACTTCTCGTTGAAATACCTTCAACATACAACGTTGTGTTTGGCGAATGAAAATAAAATAAGCGAGCTATTCAGACATAGATGTTCCAAGTGTCCGTACATATCCAAGTACAAATCAAACTTAAAGAAACACACGATTTCGCGTCACTTGAAGCAACAAGACATCAAGTGGTACGAATGTACAAAGTGTCCCTACATAAGCAAATCCAACTACAATGTAATCAAACACAAGAGTATCCGACACACCGATGAAAACCCAAAATGGTTCAAATGCAAGAAGTGTCCCTTCAAAAGCAAGTACAAGTCGGCTTTAACAAGCCACTTAAAAGTGCGTCATGTGGATACCACACATATTAAATGGTACGAATGCAAGTTATGTCCGTACACAACCACAGTCCTGTTCAACTTGGAAAATCACAACATCAATCGCCACCTAGACCACCAAAAAATCAAGTGGTTTCGCTGTGAGCAGTGCCCCCATAAAGCTAAAAGCAAATGGGAGATAAAATCCCATGTAATCGCGCGGCACTTGGACGAGAACGACATTCACTGGCACGAATGTGAAAAGTGCCCATACCGAGCCAAACAACGTTGGAATTTAAAAAAACACATGATTACCCGTCATATGAGTGACGGTGGTGGTGATAAACAGAGCATTGAGTGGTACGTATGCAACCTGTGCACCCTTAGAACTAAGTATAAGTCGGTTTTTAAAAGACACAACATTGTACGTCATGGAGATGTTAAATTGTACGAATGTAAAGTGTGTCCGTACAAAGCCAAGGACAATTATGATTTGAAGGATCACATCATCAGGCACCATGTGGTCGGGCTGAAAATGAAAAAGTATGAGTGCGAAAAGTGTCCGTACAGGACTCAACAGGCTTCAAGTCTGAAAGCACACGTAGTGAAACAACATTCGGTTGAAGATAAGTCGGGGAAAACCGAGTTGAAGAGCGACATAAATGCGCGGATGAAGAGATTGTTAAATGTAGCGACTGCAAAATAAATTAAAGACATTTAAATGTTAATAAAGCATTGTTTTACAAGTTGGTGTTACTGTTACTGATAAATCCGCAAAACAGTTTCCTACCTATCAAATGACAGGTTTTTGCAAGTTTGAAATTTAATAAAACTCGAAATTGTCGCAAATTGCACTAGTTTTTTTTATCACTACTTGCTTAACAATGAAAGAGTTAAAGACCTCGACAGACAAAATATAACCAAATTGTGGTTAACCTTAATTTGACAACTCGAGCTCACGAGCCACCACTGTTCACCCAACTTTGAGGTTATCTTTCCAAGTTTGTTGTTATTGTAACTCCAATTTCTGCATTTTGAACGATTTTCTGTCGCATTATGTGCGACAAAAAACGTTTCGACTGCGAAAACTCCACCATCGAGGCTTATTTTTGCAAAGGGTGCACCTTCCAAACTGACCTGACTCTTCTCTTCAAGCACCACAGACACGCTAAAAGTGACAACGAAAACTACACAATTCAGACGTACGTTTGTGAAGATTGTAACTTTGAAACAAACTTCTCGTTGAAATACCTTCAACATACAACGTTGTGTTTGGCGAATGAAAATAAAATAAGCGAGCTATACAGACACAGATGTACCAAGTGTCCGTACATATCCAAGTACAAATCAAACTTAAGGAAACACACGATTTCGCGTCACTTGAAGCACCAAGACATCAAGTGGTACGAATGTACAAAGTGCCCCTACATAAGCAAATTCAACTACAATGTAATGAAACACAACAGGATTCGACACACCGATAAAAACCCAAAATGGTTCAAATGCAAGAAGTGTCCCTTCAAAAGCAAGTACAAGTCGGCTTTAACAAGCCACTTAAAAGTGCGTCATGTGGATACCACAAATATTAAATGGTATGAATGCAAGTTATGTCCGTACACAACCACAGTCCTGTTCAATTTGCAAAGTCACAACATCAATCGCCACCTAGACCACCAAAAAATCAAGTGGTTTCGCTGTGAGGAGTGCCCCCATAAAGCTAAAAGCAAATCGGCGCTAAAAACCCATGTAATCGCGCGACACTTGGACGAGCACGACATTCACTGGCACGAATGTGAAAAGTGCCCATACCGAGCCAAACAACGTTCAAATTTAAATAGACACATGATTACCCGTCATATGAGTGACGGTGGTGGTGATAAACAGAGCATTGAGTGGTACGTATGCAACCAGTGCACCCTTAGAACTAAGTATAAGTCGGTTTTTAAAAGACACAACATTGTACGTCATGGAGATGTTAAATTGTACGAATGTAAAGTGTGTCCGTACAAAACCAAGGACAATTATGATTTGAAGGATCACATCATCAGGTACCATGTGGTCGGGCTGAAAATGAAAAAGTATGAGTGCGAAAAGTGTCCATATAGGACTCAACGGGCTTCAAATTTGGAAGCACACGTAGCAAAACAACATTCGGTTGAAGATAAGTCGGGGAAAATCGAGTTAAAGAGCGACATAAATGCGCGGATGAAGAGATTGTTAAATGTAGCGACTGCAAAATAAATTAGTTGATTTTAAAAAGTTTTTCATTGACGAGCCGCCACTGTCACATTTTTAAGGTTATATGACAGATAAACATAACCTCAAATATTTCTATTTACACTTAAATAAATTAGTTTTTAAACGCCCCGACACAAGTATTAGGTGAGAATAGTCGCTGTCGTAACTAATAAAACAGTCAGTCAGTTTAGGTACACCAAATGTCCACTTCACAATATTTTGGCCTGAAGTGTGCAAAAGACAAATCCAGTCCATATTTTCCATCATCAGTAGGACGTTTCAACTGCGAAACCAACAACATCGAAACGTTCTATTGCAAAAACTGCAACGTCGGAACACAACTGACGATTTTTTTCAAACGTCACTTACAAGACCACGCTCTCAAAAACCAAAATTCGCCATACATCATACGAAAATACATTTGTGGCAAATGCAGCTTCGAAACCCACTTTTCAATGAAGTGGTTCCAACACACTCGAACGTGTCGAGGAAAAAAGGAAAATCTCCAAACGTCAAAAAAATCCGTCTTAAAAACTTTCACTTGGAGCATTTGTGACCAGTGCGGGCGCAAATACAAGTTCAAATACAGCTTAGAAATGCACAAAATATCAAAACATTTAAAAGACGACGAAATATCCTGGTTCAGTTGTACGAAATGCTCCTACAAAGCCAAACTAAAGTGCCACTTACACCGCCATATAAAGCGCCAGCATTTAAACGAACAAGCCTGCCAACTGTATTTGTGTGACAAGTGCCCCTACACAACCAAATATAAAGCAACTTTGAAAACACACACCACCAAGCATCACTCGGACAAAAGCAACGTCAAACGCTACCCGTGCGTCATGTGTCCATATGAAGCTAAAACAATGAAGACGCTAAAAGGCCACATGATTGCTTTCCACATGAACGACCAAGAAATTAAATGGTATGAATGCAAAGAGTGTCCGTACAAAGCTAAAACTAACACCCATTTGAAAAGTCACATAAACATGCGTCACTTGGACGAGAAGGACGTGAAGTTGTTCGAGTGCGAACAGTGCGATTTTAAAGCTAAAAGTAAGTCGAATTTGAATCGACATATAAGTGTCCGGCATTTAGATGAAGACAGTGTTAAATGGTACAAATGTGAACGGTGCCAATTCAAGACTAAAAGCAATTTTAATTTGAAACTGCATATAAACGCACGACATTTGGATAAAAAGGATGTTAAATGGTACGAATGCGACTGGTGCCCCTATAGGGCGAAACACGGGTCTAATTTGAGGAGGCACGTGAATTCGTACCACGTGGGGGCAAAGGAGTGCACGGACGAAGACGATTTTGTTTGACTTTTGTTGTATAAATTAAAGTAAATTTTAATTCGTGTATATTTTTTTATGCAAAAAATATTAGCGGTACGCCACTGCTTGTGCTAGGTGACATTTGACAGTTACATGTGAGGTTATGTCACAAATTCAAAATTGACCACTTTTAGGGGTAAACAAGTCCGAAATAGATATTCTCACGCCCCAAAATGTCGTTTCTGGAATACTCCGAGGAACTAGTCCCCACGAAACCGTCCAAAGTCCAAAACTGCAACATGTGCCCCTATTTCACGACATCGTTTTTCCTCATGGTAAGCCACGTTAACCGACACAAATCCTGGCGAAATTTTGTGTGTGAAAACACCACTATTGAACGCTATCGCTGCAAAGATTGCAATTTCGAAAGCGACCTGACGCTCATGTTCAAGCTTCATCTCCGAAACCACCATAGTATTCATAGCAAACCGCAAGAAAATGCACCACATTACTACGCTCGAACGTACATTTGTGAAAACTGCGCCTTTGAGTCCCACTTCTCACTTACGTGGCTCCAACACACTCTTTCCTGTGGCAAAAACGCAAACCGTGCACTCGAACGCAAAGGTTTGCAGTGGCATAAATGTGACCAATGTGACAGCAAATACGCGTCAAAGTCGTACTTAAAGATCCACAAGATCGTCAAGCACTTGAGCGACGACGATAGGATTTGGTACCGCTGCGAAAAATGCCCATTCAAAGCTAAAGTTAAATTTAATTTAAAAACGCATTACATGAGACAGCACGTGGACGAGCGAGACGTGAAGTGGTTTAAATGCGAAAAGTGTCTCTACAAAACTAAACAAAAACCCCATTTACGCAGCCACATACTCACGAACCATTTGGATGAAAACGAGATTAAGTGGTTTGAATGCAGGAATTGTTCGTACAGATCCAAGACGAAAATCGGGCTGAAAACGCACGTGAGTTATCGGCATTTGGACGGGAAAGATGTCAAGTGGTACGAATGCGAACAGTGCCCGTTTAAGAGCAAACATAAGGGTTCTTTGAATTACCACGTGGTTGCCCGACACACGGATGAAAAACACATTAAATGGTATGATTGCAAATATTGTTCGTACAAGTCTAAAGTGAAGCTGGTGGTGAACAAACATATAAAGAAGAAGCATGCGGATAAAGAAAAGTGTCGTGTAGACAATGTTGTTTTAAAAAGTCAAATCAATTTGCGATTGAAGAGGATTTTAAGCGACAGTAAAAGTGCCTGTATTGCATAATTAATAAAAATTTTGATATAATATAATCTTGTTTTAAATCCCTACTCACGAACCGCCGCTGTCCGTATGACAACACGTCAACTCGAAACGTCAAAGCGCTAGCCTTACATCTTAAACGCGAATTGTGAGGTTACGTTTCACAAACTTGAGGTAAAGAGGTTAAAAATCACAGAATGTATACAACTAAAATACAAATAATTTGTTTCAGGATCGAAAATGCCGTTTCTAGTATACTCCAAGGCTCACACGAAATCTTCCCCTAAAAAAATCCACAAGTGTGGACGATGCCCCTACTTCACCACATGGTATTTCCTCATGGTCAGCCACCTTAAACGGCACAAATGGCCACGAATTTTTACATGTGACAAGGCCACCGTTGAATCCTACTACTGTAAAGATTGCAATTACCAAACTACTGTGACTCTTCTTTTCATACTTCATGTTAGAAAACACCACAGTATTAAAAAGCAACGGCACGAAGATCCCCCACAGTACTCCGTCCGCAAGTACATTTGTGGAAACTGCCCGTTTGAATCCCACTTTTCGATGACATGGTACCAACATACTTTTTCTTGCCACAAAACCAAACAGATTCAGGAAGTCGCGAAGCAAGGAACAGTTTGGTACTACTGTGAAAAATGTTCATTTAAAACAAAACTATTGACAAATTTGAAAGGACATTGCAAGGTGATGCATGCCCCACCCGAATTAAAAGACAATTTTCTTTTAAAAAATCAAATGAGTTCGCGATTGAAGAAAATATTAAGCCACAGCAAAAGTGTGAATAAATTTAATTGTTAATAAAAATTAGAAATCTTGTTTCAACCCCAATCCACGAACCGTCGCTGTTCGAATGACAGTTTAAAGTGTCAAAGCGCCATCTTTAGCTTTACGTATTAAAACGTGAATTGTGAGGTTATGTTTTACAAACTTAGGGTAAAGAGGTTTAAAAATTACACAATGTATATAACAAAAACAAAAATAATTTGCTTCAGGACCGAAAATGCCGTTTCTAGAATACTCCAAGGCTCTGACGAAATCTTCCTCCAAAGAAGTCCATAAGTGTGGACTATGCCACTACTTCACCACATCGTATTTCCTCATGGTCAACCACATTCAACGCCACAAATCGCCGCAAATTTTTACATGCGAAAAAGCCACCGTTGAATCATACTATTGTAAAGATTGCAATTACCAAACTACCGTGACTCTTCTTTTCAGACTTCATGTTCGAAAACACCACAGTATTAAAAAAGCACGACAAGAAAATTCCCCACAGTACTCCGTCCGCAAGTACATTTGTGGAAACTGCCCGTTTGAATCCCACTTTTCGATGACATGGTCCCAACATACTTTTTCTTGCCACAACAAACCAAAACAAACCAAAACAACCAAACAAACTCAAGAAATCGCGAAGCATTTGAATGAGGGAATAGATTGGTACAACTGTGAAAAATGTGTATTTAGAACAAAGCTATTTAACAGTTTTAAAGGACATTGCAAGGTGATGCATTCATTAGAAATGGCTAAAAAGCCGTATGTATGCGAACAGTGCCCGTTTAAAAGCAGATACAAATCGTTATTAGACAGCCACGTGATTTCGCGACACATGAATAAATGCTACAAGTGCCAGTACTGTTCGCACGTGGTTAAAACGCACATTGATTTAATGATTCACACGAGAGAGGTGCACTTGCACAAAAAAGTGACTGGTTCCAGACAGCTTCTATGTGGCAGAAACCCACACAAACTTAAACACATTAATTTGCTTTAAAATAAAGTTAATAAAAATCAACCAAATATAATAAATGTTGTATTTAGCCCCTACTCACGAACCGCCGCTGTCTAAATGACAGTTGCAAATGTCATCTTTAAACGTGATTTGTGAGGTTATGTTTATAAAATGATATAGAATTAATTTCTAGACAAAGCATGAACAGGTGATAAAATACGCAATACACATTCGCATACTGAAACAGAAATGAAGATAAATTGTTTCAGATCCGAAAATGTCGTTCACAACCAAAAAGGTCCAAAGTTGTAGATTATGCCCTTACGTTACGACATGGGTTTATCTTATGGACAACCACGCCAAACGACACAATTCTCCGCAAGATTTTACCTGTACTAGAGACTCCGTTGAATCCTATTACTGCAAACATTGCAATTACCAAACCGATCTAACACTCCTTTTCAAACTTCACGTTAGAAAACACCACAGCAATCAAAAACAGAAGAAAGAAAACCCCCAACAGTACTCCGTCCGAAAGTACATTTGTGGAAACTGTCCGTTTGAATCCCACTTTGTGATGACATGGCACCAACATACTTCTTCTTGCCACAAGACTAAAAATAATTTGAACGACAACTTTAAAGCCCCCTGTGAAGAATCCGCACATAAAACAAGATTATATTACAATTTAAAAAAACATACATACCAGTATAACTGTGAACCGTGCACATTGAAAAGTTTAAATGAAAACGATATTAAGAAAGAAGATATGACCTTCTACAAATGCAAAAAGTGCCCTTATAAAAGTAAATCCAAAGTAGCTTTAAATAACCACGTGACTCTTCAACACGTAGATGAAGACGAAATTACGTGGTTTCAATGCGGAGATTGTTCTTATAAATCCAAAACAAAGCACGGTTTAAAAAAGCACATCAGTGTGAAGCATGTGGACGAAAAAGATATCAAATGGTACAAGTGTGAGCAGTGCCCGTTTAAAAGTAAATATAAATTTTCGTTAAATTGTCACGTGGTTTCGCGACACACGCACAAATCGTACAAGTGTCAATACTGTCTATATGAAGCTAAAACGAACACCAAGTTAACGTATCATACAAGAGGGGCACACATGGACAAAAAAGTAGCCGGGTCTGAAAAGGTTCCACCCATTCCACCCAAAGAAGAGCCCCCTTCAGCCGAAAACCCACCCGAATTGAAAGACAATTTTCTTTTAAAAAATCAAATGAGTTTGCGATTGAAGAAAATATTAAGCACAGCAAAACTGTCGTTGAATAATTTTTAATTGTTAATAAAAATTAAAAATGTTGTTTCAACCCTAATTCACGAACCGCCGCTGTTCGAACGACAGCGCAAATGTCAAAGCGCCATCTTTGGCTTTACGTCGTAAAACATAAATTGTGAGGTTATGTGTCACAAACTTAAGGTAAAGAGGTTAAAAATCACAGAATGGTATACAACTAAAATAAAAATAATTTGTTTCAGGAGCGAGAATGTCGTTTCTAGAATACTCCAAGGCTCTCACGAAATCTTCCTCTAAAAAAGTCCACAAGTGTGCACTGTGCCCCTACTTCACCACATCGTATTTCCTCATGGACAACCACGTTAAACGACACGAATCCCCGCAAAGTTTTACCTGTACAAGAGACTCCGTTGAATCCTATTACTGCAAACATTGTGGTTACCAAACCGATCTGACGCTCCTTTTCAAACTTCACGTAAGCAAACACCACAACATTCAAAAGGAGAAGACAGAAAATCCCCAACAGTACTCGGTTCGAAAGTACATTTGTGGAAACTGCCCGTTTGAGTGCCACTTCGTGATGACCTGGCACCAACATGCTTTTTCTTGCCACAAGACTAAAAATAATTTTGACGACGTAAAAGCCCGCTCCGAAGAATCCGAACATAAAACCAAATTATATTACAAAAAAGTTAAAAAGCCGTATGAATGCAAACAGTGCCCGTTTAAAAGCAATCGCATATCTTATCTCAACAACCACGTGATTAGACGCCATTTAAATGAAAACGAAATCAAGTGGTTGGAATGCAAACTTTGCCCTTATAGAGGCAAAACAAAACCAGCTTTACACGAACACGTCAAAAGGCGACATTTAAAACAAGGTTTGAAGTGGTACAAATGCAAAAATTGCCCTCATAAAAGTCAATCTAAAGGGGGTTTAAATGACCACGTGATTCGTCGGCATGTAGATGAAAACGAAATTACGTGGTTTCAATGCGGAGATTGCCCTTATAGATCCAAAACAAAGTTCGGTTTAAAAAAGCACACCAGTGTGAAGCATGTGGACGAAAAAGATATCAGGTGGTTTGAGTGTGAACAGTGCACGTTTAAAAGTAAATATAAATTTTCGTTAAATTGCCACGTGTTTTCGCGACACACGCACAAATCGTACAAGTGTCAATCCTGTCATTACGAAGCTAGAACGAGAACCGAGTTAACGAAACATACAAAAGGGGCGCACATGGACAAAACAGTAGCCAGTTCTGAAAAGGCTCCGTGTAAAGAAAAGCCCTCTTCACCTTCAACCGGAAACAATTTTCATTTCAAAAATCAAATCAGTTCTCGATTGATGACAATATTAAGCAACAACAAAAGTGTCGAATAAGTTTAATTGTTAATAAAAATAAATCTTGTTTCGACCCCAATTCACGAACCACCGCTGTCGAATGACAGGTGAAAACGTCAAACCTGCCAACGTAATAACGTAAAATATTTGAGGTTATGTTTGACGTTTTGTATTTTGTAAGCAAAAACCAAATAATTCTTGCTACAATTAACTTGTATGAATTTAGATTCGAAAATGTCGCCCCCTGAGCCCTTCAGCAACGTGAAAATCCCTGAAAGAGTCCACATCTGTAAAGTTTGTTCACACTTCTCGACTTCATTTTTCTTCATGGTGAACCACGTCCGACAGCACAGTTCGCTCTCACGATTCAACTGTGAAACCACCACAACTGAGTCTTATCGCTGCAAAGACTGCAATTTCCAAACCGAACTGAGCCTCCTCTTCAAACTGCACGTCGATCACCACCACAACATCGCAAAACCCAAAGAATACACCACTCGGAAATACAGTTGTGAAAAGTGCGCTTTTGAAACTCACTTCGCGCTGAAATGGCTCCAACACACTGTACAGTGCCCCCGCAACGAAGCCCCACGCCCGAAAAAGCAAAACCTTTCCAAGTGGTTCTGTGACCACTGCGAAGGCAAATACAAGGACGAATACTCTTTAAAAATCCACAAAATCGCCAAACACTTAAACGACAAGATAACTTGGTACTTGTGCGAAAAATGCCCCTACAAGACCAAACTAGACTCGAATTTACGAAAACACATGAAAGCGCGCCACTTATACCCACAAGAAATCAAGTGGCATCAGTGTAAAACGTGCCCATACAAAACTAAACGTAGCTCAAATTTGAACAAGCACATAATTGCGCGGCATTTAGAGACTCAGGACATAGTATGGTACGAATGCAAAAAGTGCCCCTATAAAACCAAGTTCAAGTCGTCTTTAACCGTTCACATAAACGGGCTACACCTCGACGAACAAGACGTTAAATGGTACGAATGCAAAAGTTGTCCGTACAAAACGAAACGAAAATGCCATTTAAAAACTCACACGATCGCGCGGCATACCGAAGAGCGCGATATTAAATGGTACAAATGCCAGATATGTTCGTACAAAAGCAAGTTCAACCATCAGGTGAAGCAGCACATGAAGGTACAACATTTGGATAAACAGGACGTTAAATGGTACGGGTGCCAGAAGTGTCCGTACAAAACCAAAGACAACGCGGCGTTGTACCAGCATATGGTTGCGCACCAGTTGAATGAAGAGGACTGTAAATGGTACGAGTGTAAAATGTGCCCTTACACCACCAAGTACAACGCGACTTTGAAAACCCATATTAATGTACACCATTTGGACGAAAAGGACGTTAAATGGTACCAGTGTGAGAAGTGTCAGTATAAGTGTAAAGATAACTCAGGCTTGAGGCACCACATTATCGTGTACCATTCAGATAAGTGGTACGAATGTAAAGAGTGCCCCTATAAAGCTAAAACGAGCTCTCAATTGCGCAGGCACATAATTGCGAGACATTTAGATGAACAGGACATTAAATGGTACCAGTGTGAAAAGTGTTCCTACAAGTCTAAAGAATATTATCACTTGAAAAGACACATAAAAGCGCGACATTTAAATGAGGATGAAACTACGACTGCACGAAGTGTTCATATTTAAGTAGTCATTAGTTTTTGTGATTTTCAATAAAAACGTAATTGTCGTACGAGTCGCCACTGGTCACCCTTGTTTGAATAGCAGTGCGCATGCGCGCCACAAACGTCAACTTTTGAGGTTATAAATCTTGGGTTATAAAATTATTACAATTTTTTTAAAGACAGTTGCACTAAACCCCCATAGTTTCTAGCACGTCCGCCCTCAGACGTCCCCCATGTTGCAACGCTTCAACTGCCAAACCTCCAACCTCGAAGTCCACTATTGCAACGACTGTAATTTCTACACCGAACTAACCCTCCTGTTCAAGCTGCACCTTCAAGACTGCCACGGCGTCAAAAAAGAGCACTACCAAGAGTACACCATCCAGAAATACTCTTGCCGGAAGTGCAAATTCGAAACCCACTTCTCCCTCAAGTGCGTCCAGCACGGTTTAACATGTCTACGACACCTCAAAAACCAAAAACCCGCCAAGACCCCAAAAACTATAAAACATTCCAAAGACGAAATCATCCACTGTACAGAGTGTCCATACAAAACCAAAACGAAGGCGCTTTTGAAAAGACACATAAATCGGCGCCACGTGGACGAAAAAGACACCAAAAAGTACCACTGCAGTGAGTGTCCGTTCGCCACTAAATACAAATCGTCGTTGAAAACGCACGTGAACGTGAACCATCTAGACGAGAAGGATGTTAAGTGGTACGAGTGTGACAAGTGTCCGTACAAGTCCAAAGACAATTCGGCGTTGAAGCACCACACGAACATGCACCATTCGGACACGTGGTACAAGTGCAAAGACTGTCCGTACAAAACTAGGACGACGCGGCTGCTCAAACTCCACAGAATCGCGAGACATTTGGACGAAAAAGACATCAAGTGGTACGAGTGCAAAAAGTGCCCCCACAAAACCAAAAGAAAAGATGCGCTAAAAATGCACGTGAAGACGCGACACTCGCAGGAAGCCCCCTTGTAACGTTTTTTAAAAACTTTGATCCATTTATGATAACTACGAGTTTGTGTATTTGAAATAAAAAATCCGTACTATTTTTATTATTGTGACGAGTCGCCACTGAAGTGAAGTCGCACTGCGCATGCGCACGACCCTTTTGTGTGGTCAACTATTATTATTATTAATAATAATAATAAAAATGTCGTTATTTAAGTGATCAAATAAACAATTAGCAACGAAATGTCGCTTCTAGAATTCACCGAACACTTCTCTCACGTGAAAGCCGCCTCCGAAAATGTCCACAACTGCAAAATCTGCCCCTACTTCACCACCTCTTTTTTCGTAATGGTCAACCACGTCCGACGCCACTACTCATCATTACAACGTTTTAACTGTAAAAACTCCAAAATAGAATTTTATTACTGCAAAGACTGCAATTTTCGAACGGAACTAACCCGTCTTTTCCAGCAACATCTCCGCGATCACCACAACACCAACCACTCGGAAAATTTACCCAACGAAGACTCCATCGACAAGTACGTTTGTGACAAGTGCGCCTTCGAGACCTATTTCTCGTTGAAGTGGCTTCACCACACCTTGGCATGTTTGCGCAAACCTAAACCAAAGTGTAGCTTGAAAACAGACACCGAGTTGTACCAGTGCGCCTTGTGCGAATTTAAAACCAAATACAAGGCGTCTTTGAGGGGCCACACGAACAACAAGCATTGCAGTGGCCCCAAGTTGGACGTTACGTGGCACGGGTGTGCGCAGTGTCCGTACAAAACCAAGCACAAATCGGCACTGAGGTCACACATTAACAATCACCATCTGGATGAAAAGGACGTGAAACGGTACAATTGCAGCCACTGTCCGTTCATCACAAAGCACAGAGGGTCGTTGAGGACACACATAAACATTAACCACTTGGACGAAAAAGCCACGAAATGGTTTGAATGTGACAAGTGTCCATATAAATCTAAAGAACGGTCAGGATTGAACCACCACACCGACGCTGTCCACTCGAACAAGTGGCACCAGTGCCAGGACTGTATATACAGGGCCAAAACGTCAAGACAGTTAAAAAAACACATAAATGCGCGCCACTTGCCCGAAAAAGACATAAAATGGTATCGGTGTAAAGTGTGTCCACACAAAACTAAACGAAACTACGATTTAAAAAAACACATGAAAATACGACACTCGCTCGACGAGAATGTAGTGTAGTGTGAATCTAACGATATAAAATAAACAATGAAATAAAACAGTCTCGTTTTTGAGGTTATGTACATATTTTTTGTGGTTATGTAATTAAAAGTGTCTCAAATCATTCTTTACAAGCTACAAACTCCCCAACGCACGAAAACACATCTCTAAACATAATAATCAGCAGTATTCTAATAAAATTATATTTTAAAGAATTTACTTTTTGAGGTTATGTATTCTTGATTCAGTTTTTGGGGTTATGTAACAGCTACAAAATGTCTCAAAACTTGCGCCGGGAAGCCCTAAAAGCGTTCAAGTCGCTCCACAGGGCACGACAGCACGTGTTTGAAGGTGACAACAACGCTCTAACCCAAGCACGGGCCAAAATAAACGAAGAATACAAAAAGTGCACACAAGTGTCCGACCCTCAAGCTATTCAAGAATTGATCGCTTATTCGAAAGCCATCGAGAACGAATTGAAGCTGACTGTGATTCAAGCGAGGGAAATTCAGCCGGGTCAGTACGAGGTTAACTTAAGGGACGACGTTGTGAGGTTGGACAATGTTCCGTTTAAAGACTGTAAATAGTAAATATAATAGTTAATAAATTCGCGTATTTTAGCTTCAGATCTGAAACATTTATTATCAACTTTATTAATCTTCAACACATATCACAGAACATGAAAATCTAAAATAAAAACTCATTTTGATGTTATGTTACAAAAAATACTATACATATAATACTTCTTAGCACTATTAACAGCCATTAAGGTCACCATTTTCGCCCCCTTGTTAATAAATGGAGTAATTTTTATCTAGAATCTCACGAATTTTTCCTACTAAAGGGAAAGGCTTGTTTTGTACATTTGGATCAAGCTTGCAGGCCCCCATGTGGTCGTCGGCGTTCAACGAATAAACCATGGCCCCTCCAAACTGATAGTCGCGCACGAATTCCGCCTTAAATGACAGACTCTGCTCATTATCGAATGACACCCATTCGGAACCTTTGGTAGCATAGGGACTCTTGGAGTCTAAATCAAAAACTGGCGAAATTTGATTCAGATCAAGAAATTTGCACACTTGTGTGTAGTCTACGAAGCCTAGACTTCCGAGCTTGCCGACGCCTCTGGCGGGGGCATACAGACCCCGATTATGCGAATTGGTTAATCTAAAAATTCACCATTAGTTGTGTATTAGTCACGGTTATAATCATACCGAAAAGTGTGTCCATAAGTGGGCAACCCGACCATAATTTTCGCCCTACTCATCCCCCTAGACACCCAATAATGCACCGTGTAGTTAATATTGAGGCTTCTAAAGTACCCCTTGTCGTCCTGAGATTCAAACAACGGCGAATTTAACCCCGTAAACGGCGTCACTTTACTGAAAAAATGAAAATCGTACGTCATCACACTAATAAAATCTGTAAACCTAAAAAAAACCACATTAATAACCTTGATTTTTTCCGCAAACAATTATTTACTCGTTTAAATAAACCACATCGTACGAATTATCTACGATCACAGCAGGCGCCGCCACCGCCACCGTCAACAGAAACTTGTGCCGGGTCTGCTTGTTAATCGTGGCCCGGATCTCCTCCAAAAGTTGCACAAAGTGCAGTTTCTGGTTCTTGTCGTGGTGAGGAATCTCGTTGGGGAATTCCCAGTCAAGGTCGACCCCGTCAACTTTGTGTTTTTTCACCAAATTCACGACCGAGTGGATGAAGGTTTTGCGGTTTGTGTGGTTGACCACCATGTCGCTGAAACCCGTATCATCCCCGGCGCCCCCCACCGACACTAGCACCTTCAAATCCGAGTTGAAAGTCTTCAAACTGGCCACCATGGAGAGGATTTGCAGCTCGTTCTCAGCCAGATTGATCGAATGATTTGCGATTGAAGCAAACCCGACCAAAATATGCGTGCACAAAAAAGGATCGATGTCTTGGGGCTGCAGGGTGTTGAAATCGTCAGTCGGGAAGTTGTAGTAGCACACGAGCTTAAAATCCTTGACTTCGTGGACACTGGGGGGCGCATGAATGTCGAAGTACTTGGAGCTTCTCGCGTCGCTGTAAGATTTGGCACGGTGTTTCAGCAGTGACGGCACTTCGACGTACGACTTGGGGTACAGCAGGGCTTCGTTCCCCTTAAGTATGATCGTGTAAATACCACAAAAAATGATAATTGGAACGGTGACAACAATCAGCAAAAATAAAGTCCGGCCGTCGAACCATCGTCTCCTGAAACACACGAAGTGAGAAAGTGGCCCCAATTCGCCCCTGTTTACCTGTTATCAGTTAACAAAACAAACTGAGAATGTCCGGAATATACGTCTGTCATTATATTTGTGGTTATGTCAGGTGATTGAAGGGTTTTTGTTTATATTGCGTCAGGCACACTGCGCAAACATCAACCAGTCGCGCGAAATTTAAAAATCGACGGATTCGTTTCCAAATACAAATAATAGCGAATTGAAATTTCGCAACGTGACCGAATTGTAGCACTTGTCTCCGAAAACGCACTAATTTTTATCGACAAAGCCAAGATTAAGGCAACAAAGCGACGGAATTATTTATTAGTGACTAAATTTGCGATAAGATAAAATGCTAATTTGACATTGTCGGCACAATGAAGTCAATAGTTGCGTTGCTTTTTACAATAGGAATTGTGGAGGTAATAAATAGGCTTAAATTAAACGAGTTTTAATGGTTTGTTTTAGGTTAGTTACGGTGTACGTGTTTGTAATATTACGTGCGAACCGAAGGATGAATTTTTGGGCGAAGAAACAAGCGAATGGAATGACTTCATGGACGATTTGGTACCTCACACTTTCGAGCCGCGGACTTTACGTTGCAAGAATTCGGACGGCCTAGCGACCATTGACTACAATTCTGATATTATATGGGATTTACGGTAAGCTGACTTTTCAAAAATGTTAAAACTTTATGATTTATTCGTTTTATTTTAGGTTTAGAATTTATAGCTCACGTACGGATGAGCAAAAGAAAACCCTAAATGACTGCTTTTGCGATTTCACAGATTGTCAGAGCGTAGAATTTAGGCAGTGCTTAGCAGAAGTAAGAACGGAAATGAATACTGAACTTATGTCAGTTATGGCTGTAGAAGTGGGCGCAGCACTTCAGCAGCTTGCCAGAGAGTGCTAACACAAGCTTTATTGGTGTTTTACTTTTGATTTAACATATTATTTTAAATAAAGTAGTCGCATGCAAACGAAAAATTGTATCATTTATTTGACAATTGCGCTCCGCGCCCTCTCTTAACAGCCACCTATTACGCACGGATTTATTGCTCTTCTACAATTTCGTTATACTTGGCACATTTAAGCTTAATTAAGAATAGATTTATCTTATTGTGGTGTATTAATGGTTGCCTACCACGACAATCTCAACAGAAAAAATAGGTTGGTAGCAACTTTTGAGGTTACGTCCGCCAAACGTCACAAATAATGACATTCATGTTTTGAAGCCCCAAAAATGGCTGCAGCGACAGTGCAACAATCCAGCGTAACAGATTATTTATCGAAAAAACAGAAAGAAAGCCCCAAAGACTTGGCTAACGAATGGGCGGAAATCGAAGAACTCCACAATAAAAAGTACGTACGAAAACCACCTCTCCACATTCTAATAATCACTTGATTGTAGATTGTGGCACCAACTCACTCTAAAACTACTCAAATTCATCAAAAAAAGCGAACTCCAGAAGGGCGACAACCTGATCCAACTCTACAACAGCTTCATCCAGACTTTCGAGAACAAGTACGTCGCTCATTTCTTTAATCAATTGCTAGAATTAAAATTTTAGAATCAACCCGCTTTCGCTGGTGGAAATCGGGGCTGTGGTAGCTGAACAGTTCAAGGAGCCCAAAGACGCTATCGCGTTTTTGGAAAAAACCGAAACTAAGGTTAAAATCAACACAGATGCGCAGAATTTGTGCAAGGTGTTAGTCGGGCAGTTGCAGCTCGACAAGTTGAACGATTTAGATGCCACGAAAAAAATAATCGAGGAAGTGGAAGCCACTCTTGATAACGCAGAGGGTGTAACTGCCGTACATGGAAGATTCTTTTTATTAGCTTCACAGTATTACCGGTAATCACAACCAAAATTAAGTCATTTTTCATTCTGTTTGGGTTTTGTTGTGTAGGATACAAGGTGACCATGCCCAGTACTATCGCACCGCTTTGAGATACCTGGGCTGCATCGACCTTGACACTTTATCATCGGAAGTCAAACACCAGCACGCGTTTTTCTTAGGTCTGGCGGCCCTTTTGGGCGAAGGAGTGTACAATTTGGGCGAACTGTTGGCCCATAAAGTTCTAGATTCTCTCAAGGCGACCGATACGGCCTGGTTGGTCGAACTACTATACGCTTTTAACTCAGGGGATATCAATAAGTATGAAGCGATGAGGCCCCAGTGGTCGAATATTGCAGATCTGGCGGCCCAAGAGTTGTTTCTACGGCAGAAGATTTCGTTGTTGTGTTTAATGGAGATGACGTTCAAACGTCCGTCTCACAATCGCCAACTGACTTTCAACGAAATCGCAAAAGAAACTAAACTACCGTTGAACGAAGTTGAAGTGTTGGTGATGAAAGCGTTGTCTCAAGGGTTGGTTAAAGGAGCAATCGATCAGGTAAGTCGCGCGCGCGGTTTTGATTATAGTGATTTTTAACGTCAAATTCCTAGGTTGCCGGTACTGTCAACATGACGTGGGTACAACCTAGGGTGCTCGACAGGTCCCAGATTTCTTCCATGGTGGAAAGACTCAACGAATGGTGCATCCATGTCAGCAGTATGGAACAACTACTAGAAGAAAAAGCGAGCGAAATATTAACTTTGTAATTTCTCATTTTGCGTTTGAAATAATTTAATAAATAATAATTCACAAAACTGTGTTGTTTTTGTTTGCGTGTAACCGATTGGCAACGGTCCAGCACCCAATGATTCGTCAAAATACGTAAATAAAAGTAAAAAGAAACTTTGAAATCGTGAAACGAATAAATCGAATTTAGTGACTTTTCTAGGGACTTTCGTTCCGTCTTCGTCTGATATGGCGGCATGGCTACTACAAGAGATTCGCCAGACGACGATGGCTACAAACACTTCACAGAAGACTCCCACAACGTCTCGTACGGCTCGAACAGCTCAAGTAAGCCCCCTCTAATCTCCCTTATCTTATCAGCAGCTCCGACAGCAAACACCCAACGAGGTCACCGCGTGACCCTTATCTCCACTCTCTTTAGGTTGCGAGTCGCGCAGCGCGCCTGTGCCCCCAAATCCGCAGTCCAACGCCAAAATCACTCTTATTTTAAAATGACAACTTAAACCCACCTCGAATTTTCGCACAAACCCGAAATGTTCCTACGTAATTACCTCAATTAAAAGCAATTAGTTGTTAATTAGTGTAATTGTAGACCCCCTTGATGAAATGGGCAGCCGCTCGAGCCTCAGCAGAGAAATCACCGAATCGATGGACCACTGGGAGATGAACTACCACGAAGCCGCGATTTTCCTAGAAGTAACCCCCCCACAAAAAAAAAACTGAAAAAAAACACTCATGATTTCTGTTTTCAGGAAGGTGAAAACAATGAGAAGTTTGATTCGCACCCAAGACACCCGTCAGCGCTTCCGGCATACCTTCTCGTCCACAACTCGTGGTACTACGGTTTGGACTTGACTTTCTCAATAATCTTGCTGCTGCTGGCATTAGCAGAAAGCCCCTCAGTTGATAAGTTTCAACTACCTGTAGGGATACACGGAACGCTCGAACTGGTCTCCCTGGGGGTTATCGGCGTAGAGTTAGCACTAAAGCTGCGCTGGATCGGTTGGACCATGATCCTGAAACACAAACGCACCATGGTTAAAGGAATAACCCTGTTCATTATGGTCCTAGAGTCTGTGATCGTTCTAGTAAGACAGTCGTCGCACTTTCGGGTCACGAGGGCCCTCAGACCCATTTTTCTGGTGGACACTAGGGCGTGCGGGGCTGTGAGGAGGTTCATTCGGCAGATTTTGCAGTCCTTGCCACCCATTCTCGACATGCTGGTTTTGCTACTCTTCTTTGTTTGCAGTTACTCTTTACTAGGTTATTTTTTGTTTAGTGAACACGCCACCAACTTGTATTTTCGTAGTTTGAGCGACAGTTTCGTCAGTATGTTCGTTTTACTCACCACTGCCAAGTAAGTCGTTTAGGGATTTTAGTTTCTTGCGGGTGTCACTTTCTAGGTTTTAGTTTCCCGGATGTGATGATGCCCTCGTACAAAGAATCGAAATGGAATGCGATTTTTTTCATTTCGTACATCTCCACGGTGCTCTACGTGTTAATGAACCTCGTAAGTTCTCACTAATTGTTAAAAATTTAAGTAGCAACTTTTGCGTTTAAGATGTTGGCAGTCGTTTATGAAACCTTCACCGGAATCGAAAAAGACAAATTCCGAAAGTTGTTATTACATAAAAGAAAAGCTTGTCAGTTGGCATTTCGGTTGTTGGTTAGTAAGCAGACCCCCAACATGGTCAGGTTTAAGCAGTTCCACGGACTGATGCGCTACTACTCACCCAGAACTTGTAAGTACTGTCAATTATCTAGGGTTTTTAGTTTTGACAACCGAAACTCAACTCAACCAATCGTTGCAGCCCAACGTGACGTCGTCCTAATTTTCCGCCAATTAAATACGTCGGGGACTGGATCTCTGACAGAAGACGAATTCTTGGGGATTTATGACGCGATCACTCTCAGGTGGCGCTTGAAGGACCCCCCGGACCCGTGGTTTTCGGCAGCTTGGCCCCCTTTGCGCATGTTCTGTCGAGCCGCACGTAAAATAGTAACTTGGGAATATTTCGAACACATTGTATGTATGTACTCCCACAAAACAATATACAAAAAAGTACTAATTTCAATAAATCTAGACGTTTTGATCGTCGGAAATGGCTTAGCGATGTTCATCCGAGTCCTCGAGTCTTCCGTGTCTCTAGAAGAGGGAGCAAAGAATTTCTGCGCTTCGTGGGACACTTACTTGTTCCTGACACGTATACCGGGTGTCCTTGTCACAATTTTTAGTAACTTTTACTTTTTAGTGTTTTTGGTTGAAGCTTTGTTGCGCATTGTGGGTTTGGGGTGGGGGGAATATATCTCTTCAGGGTGGAACTTCTTCGACTTGTCGGTAACCCTAGTCGCTCTGATTGGTTCCTTATTATTATTAGTACGACCCAACTTGACCGTGGTCGTAATACTACGCCCTCTTCGATTGTTACGATTATTTAAACTCAAAAAACGCTATAGGGACATTTTTGGCACTTTAGTGCTACTTTCGCCCTTGATGTGGTCCACCGCAATCGTCATGATGGTCATGTATTACTTCTTCGCCATCATCGGAATGGAACTGTTTGCCAAATACGAATTACGCGACTGTTGCACGTAAGATTTTTTCGACGACACGTCATTGTGACTAAACACACTTTACAGAGACACAGCAGTGAAAGACTTCTACAAGTACGACCCCACCGCGAACGCCACCATCGGATATTATTATTATTTGAACAATTTTTCAAACTTGTTGATCTCAGGGGTAACTTTGTTTGAACTGACCGTAGTTAATAACTGGTTTATCGTCATGGAGGCGTACGCTTCCGTAGCACACCCATCTTCACGCATCTTTTTTATGTTGTTTTATTTATTTACCATGGTTGTTTTAACCATCGTGGTCGCGTCGGTCCTCGAGGCTTTCCGCTTCAGGATCCAGTATAAGAAACAAACGTCAAAACGAGACGGTATGTATAGGAAAAGCGCCATTTTATATTTATTTAAAAACGCTTAATAGAGGAACAAATGCTTCATGAGGAAGTGGTCGTCGACTGGAATTCGCTCCAAAGACAGGTGCAGGAACCCAAACTCTTGGAATCGTTGCAGTTGGATTTTGTACCTGGGGTAAGATTTATTAGTGACTTTGGTGATTTTCGTGGTGTGAACCGGGTTTTTGTTAGGGTGTTTCGATTTATATCGGACGGCGCCGTCGGACCCGCGACGTCCTTCAGCGCCATATGTACATCTCCGAGATCGCCCAGTGGCTCCAAGAAGCCGAGGAACAAGAACGCATCACCGGAATCAACTTTGTTGAAGAATCTCACATCAACACTAGACTTATCCATTCAGAGGTTTAATCCGTTAGTGTTGCATTAATGATATTATTTAAATAGTAGGACCAATAAGTATTGTGCAATTGATTAACGTCGCTTCTATGTGATGTCAATAGGCAAACCTTCGTTAAAAAAATTGTAATTTGTAATTACCTAAGTGCAGTTTCAAGTAGGTAATACGTAGCACACGAACCCATGTGATAATGATAACAATGTACTAATAGCTAGTCTTCATATGTATCCGTTATTTTTACAAATTTTTATTAACTGATAATTTATTCAAATATATAGATATTTATTTACATTGGTGCGTTTTATTTCGTTGTGTTGGTAGTGTCAATTGACGTGTTATGGTGTTATTGAGGAAGCGCCATCTGCCGGTCTTTTCTCATTGTTGACATCTGACAAGGTGAGTGTTGGTGGTCGCGATATTGCAAAAATCGGAAATCATCGTGTGTTAAATAACATTCAAATCGAAATTACACCATTAACTAAACCCCACAGTTTCCCCTTGATGCGTTTCGAGTGATATTTTAGTGAATTTTGTAAGCAAATCTCGAACTAGGTTATGTTAACATGTCTCACGAATCTCACGATTGGGGCTAAAACCCCACTGCATGATGATCTTAGCACTTAGGACACCTCCGAAAGTCCGTGTCGACGCTACTATTCTGACCCTAAAACCTCCTCCAACCCCATACAACCCATCTTCTCTTGTTACAAGTGTTGTGATTGCAGATGGCTCCGACCGCCAAGGAAGAAAAGAAGCCGAAAGCGGCCAAAGACGCCTCTAGGACCGAAACCAAGCAAAAACGGGGGCGCGCACGCAACTATGACCTCGGTAACGGCGTGATGAGATTCTCGCGGACTTCCATGTACCACCGGAAGGCCCTCTACAAATTCATGGGCAAGAAAGTCAAAGCTACGAAGAAGCCCGCCAAACCCACCTTCGCCATCAAGGAAATCGGCGGCGAAAAGAACGGAAAGGAGCGCCGAGTGTCTTTGATCAAGCGCAGGAACTATTACCCCACTGAAGACAAGTAAGTCGCTTTGGCCCCCATAAAACCGGTCTTATGCTTGCACGTTTCAGGATTCGCAAACGCCCCGCTAAAAAAACCTTCAAGCAACACAAGCGTTACTTGCGGTCCACTCTGGCCCCCGGAACCGTGTGCATTCTTTTGGCCGGGTCACACAAAGGCAAGCGCGTCGTTTTCTTGAAGCAGCTGCGTTCGGGGCTGCTTTTGGTGACCGGACCCATGCGCATCAATTCGTGCCCGTTGAGACGGATTAGTCAGAGATACGTGATCGCGACTCAGACTAAGATTGACGTGTCTGGGGTGAAGTTGCCGAAGAATGTGAACGACGAGTATTTCAGGAGGCAGAGGGAGAAGCGCGCCAAGAAGGAAGAGGGGGATATCTTCCAGGCGAAGAAGGAGGCGTACAAAGTGAGCGATCAGAGGAAAACTGATCAGAAAGAAGTGGATAAGCAGGTTTTAGAAGCTATTAAGAAGCACCCCGATCGGAAGGTTCTTTTGGCGTATTTGTCTGCGATGTTCGGGTTGAGGTCTTCGCAGTATCCTCACAGGATGCAGTTCTAGATAGTGTTCCATGTTTTATTGATTTATTTGTAAAGTTTTTTCAATAAAATGTGGGTTCGTATTTGGGGATTTTTTTTCGGTTGGTAGTGTTTGTTTGGTCAATATTTTGAATCCGTGTTGAGTTCTTTGAAATCCATTAGTTAATTAATTAAAGGGAAATTAATAATGGAAAAAGGCACAGAAGGAGAAAAGGGGTCTGTTGTGACCGTGACGTCAAAGCAGTCGTCGAATTGCTCCGAAATTACCATTAAAGAGTTCTTGGATTTTCTTCGGACTGCGTATCAGGTAAATCGAGGTTTGAAAAATCGATTTTCGTTTATTTTGGCCAATTTAGCTGCAAGATAGTCTTGAAACCATGCTTTTGAACAACGGAATGACACAAGCTGTCGACTGGTTGAAATTAAAAGAGAACGATCTTGTCAAACCAAAAGAAACAGAAACAGAGCCTAAATTGAAAGCAGAGGACAAAAAAGGTATCACTAACAAAAACAGGAACAAACTTTAAATCCGAGTTTCGCAGATTTAGTGAAAAAAAAGAGCGAAGTTGGAAGTGAAGGGGATTCCATCAAAAGTAAGTTGAACGAGGTGCTGTCCGAAGGGCTCCTTGACTCAGTTTTACCCTATTTGGTCCCGAGTTCGTCTCATCCTGTTTCTAGAAGGAGCAGCGTGGGTAAAGTTCCATCAGGTAAAAAAGTGGGATTGCTTTTTTAGTAATAATTTTGAAAATGTGCAGAAAAACTAAGTCAAGCGGTTGTTTCTGCCACTTCGGTGGTAAAGAAGAAGAGTTCAGAGACTTTAAAGACTTCGCTTACGAAAACAGAGTGAGTATTGTGGGGGAAAATTGTAATCAATTTGATAATATTTAAACTCGCCGCCATGTCAATGATTGAGAGTCTCCGCTTAAAAAAGTAGTTCATCAGTTTTAATTAAATTTAACCAAAATATAATACTACAAATGCGAGAAAAATTAAAGACTTCAAACACAGAAGAACGAAGTATTGGTATAAGTCGGAACACTTCAATAGTTGGTCCACTGTGCAGAAGTTCAAACGGCGTAGGAATACAAAACAAAATTTGAACTTTTCTATTTAGGTATTTTGCGGCCGTAAGGTTTTAGTAACCAACTACCACATTCAAAAAATGTAAAAATTTTCAAAAATTCAAGCTCCGAGGTGGAGATCCACGTGTGCGACGAGGTCAAAAACATGAAAAAGGACTTTGTCTGCAACCAGAAGCTCCTCGTGGAGAAAATGGGCTACTTCGCGGAGGTCACCACCGGGCAGCGTCTGGAAGACATGGACATCTCCGTGCACTGCGACATCGGCATCTTCGAGTGGCTCATGAAATGGGTGAAAAAGGATTCGCTCCTGGAGGAAGACTGGCCCCAGCTGGACGCCCAGTGCGTCGTGCCCATCCTCGTGTCCGCCGCCTTCCTCCAGATGGAGCCTCTGCAGCACGACTGCCTCCTCTTCTGCCACCAGCACATGAACGAGATCCTCCGCACCGCCACCAACCTCTCCTGCTTGAACGACTCCATCCTGACGCGCCTCGCCGCCATGTACACCAACACGGAGGTGGAGATGATCAAGGACAGGAAGGACAAGATCCAGAGCAGGATCTATACGAAGTTGATCCAGTCGCTGGCGGAACCGTGGCCGGAGAGCGTTAGGGGCCACTGGAGCTCCGTGGCCAGAGTCTACAGGTATCGAGATGTACACCAATCGTGTATTAAGGGTTGCCTAATTACGCGTTTTATAATTAGATGTGGCAAATGCCAGCAGCTCGTGAGCCCCGCTGTGGCCCCCCAGATCCCGTGCGCCCCCTCGTGCATGCAGCTGCAGTGCGACGGGTCCATCCTCAGCCACCACGTGCGCGACCCCTCGTGGAACATCAACGACTACATCCTCAAACTTCACAAAGCGTTAAAAACCTGGCGCAAGGTGTACTGGAGGCTGTGGGGCGACGCTCATTTTCTGTATTGCACCACGTGCAAGCGCTTCTTCCCCGCCCACCAGATCGGCTGGTGCCGCCACCACCCAGATCCGCCGCAGTACTTCACGCTGGACGCCCAGAAGGCACCGCTCCCCGTAGGCAGGTATCCCTGCTGCGGCGAGCGGGCCTACCGCTTCCAGCTGCTCCAGGACTACTCCGGGTGTCAGTTCCGGGAGCACACGGTGTCGGCGAAGGACGTGCGGGACTCCGCCGTGCTGGCTCTCCTGGAGAACTACAGGCAATTGATAGAGGAGGAGCCGCCGCAGCTGATGTTCCCGGAGCGCCTGACGAGGTTGGTGGCGAGGGACCCCTCGGCCGGGGACTCCAAGAAGCTGGTGTGTAAGGAGAACTTCTGGTGGGAGGGGTTCCAGATAGTGCCGCCGAGACCCAAGCTGGGGCTGCTGACGGGGTTCGCCAACAGGCGGCTGATACAGGAGGCGGAGGCGGCGCCGGCGGCGGAAGAGTCGAGCGACGAATGCAGCGATGAGAGCTCGGGGACGACCTCGAGCGGATCGTCGTCGTCGAGCTCGACGAGGGGCAGCGCTGAGAGCAACCCGCCGCCCCCGCTTCAGAAGGTAACACGTAAAACTTCCTAAATAAAAGTTTCAAATTCGTAATTGAACTGGTGTAATTTGTTTTCAAGGTTGGTAGTTACTACAAATGTCACTGTCAAATAACAAATAAAATAAAACCCAAAATAACGAAATTTGGACAATTTCCCGTATTTCGAGCGCCGTGAGATGGTCTCCAGCTTCACACATTGTTAATAATAATTTATCGTTTGACATTTGTCGTACCAACCACAAACAAAATTCCCCAACATTTTTAAAACTACAATTTTTAATTTTTGTGTCGTCTAGGTGATCAAGCGAAAAAGGGCGAAGCGTGAAGGGCGCCTCTGGCAACATAACCTCTCGGCGAGAAGTAACCAAGACATACAAAGGGCCTACGAAGAAAACGCCATTAAAGAAATCACCACAATGTTAAATCGGCGAACCGCAACCATATCGGAAGGGATTTCCAAAAATCCGAAGGGCTTTTTGCGCAGCGCCACTCCATTAGGTACGTTTTCAGACACATTTTCAAAAACAAAAACCTTCAATTTATTCTACACTCTCTAATTTAACAACTCAATTATTTTTTCAAGTGTTTGTTGACGTGCTTCGTCAAATTCGACTTGTACTTGGACTTGTGGGGGCACTTTTCACACTCATACCATTTAGTCTCCCCCTCACCCAAATGTCGCGCATTCACGTGCCTCTTCAACACCGAATTGATTTTAGTTTTGTACTCGCACTGTTCACACTGAAACCACTTAACACACTCTTCGTCCACGTGATGTCCATTGATGTGGGTCTTCAAAGACGGCTTATACTTGCTTTTAAAAGAACACTTTTTGCATTCATACCACTGAATATCCTTTTCGTCCAAATGGTGCACGCTCGTGTGTCTTTTCAATTTCGAGTTTTCTTTAGCTCTATAGGGACACTTGTCACATTGAAACCATTTAATGTCCTCGTCGTTGGAATGCCGCGAGTTCGTGTGTTTGCTTAACGACGACGTATCTTTAGCTTTATATGGACACTCGGCGCATTCGTACCACTTAATATCGTCTTCGTTTAAATGGTGCACGTTCACGTGTCTTTTTAATTTCGAGTTTTCTTTAGTTTTGTACGGGCACACTTCACATTGGAACCATTTGATGTCTCGGTCGTCTAAATGTTGCGCGATCATGTGGCTCTTCAAGTGAGACTTCTGTTTAGCTTTGTACGGACATTTTTCACACTCGAACCATTTAATATCGTCCTCGCTCAAATGTCGAGCAATCGTGTGATTTTTTAAGTGAGATTTAGTTTTAGCTTTGTATGGGCATTTTTCACAGCGGTACCAAACCGTTTTAATCGACGGTGTGAGACTTTTTTTCTTTTTATTATTCAAACATGATGCACTATGTTGTAGCCACGTGAGGGAGAAGTAGGTTTTAAGACCACACTTTGTACAAATATACGGTCGTGGGGTGCATTCATTTTCAACACAATGTTCTTTCACGTGTTGTTTGAATACAAGAGTTAATTGTGTTTTAAAATCGCAGTCTTTGCAGTGGTAAACTTCAATGTTGCTATTCTCACAGTCAAAAGGCTGTGACTTTACAAAATATTCCAAAATTAACATCTTGATTATAACATTTTTCTGGGCAACATAACCTCAAAATTGTGTTCAATTCAGATCGATATAATGCGTGACGCGACGTTTCAGTGTACCTAAAATCATCAATTAATCCGTTTCTGGGCGATTTATATGTGCTTACGTATTTTTTGCATGAAATTTGATACTAATCGTTCAATTTTCTCACATAACCTCACTTTTCTAATACTAACGTATGCAACACACAATACACTATAATGTATTATTTCAGGTGGAATTTGGGTGCGTCTCGAAACCGAATGGAAAGAAATGTACTGTGCGTCCAACTCCCAGCAGAAGACTCGCAGCATCTTCACTGGAAAAATTCGCCCCAAACCACTGAAAATGTAATTAACCCCCAATAAACCCTCTGAATACGATTTTATTATTAAAACTTTACACTACACAATGTCTAGCACTGACGTGTCTGTTTAAAGCTACTTTATACTTAGTTTTAAAAGGACACTTTGCACACTCATACCAAACAATATCTTCGCCTTCCAAGTGATGAGAGTTTATGTGCAATTTTAAATTCCCGTTCGTTTTAGCTTTGTACTGGCAGTGCTCGCACTGAAACCACTTAATGTCCTTTTCGTCCAAATGCTGCGAAATTATGTGCAGCTTTAAATGGCCACTTCTTTTAGCTTTATATGGGCATTTGTCGCACTCGTACCACATGGTACTCCGTTCGTCTAAATGCTTAGCATTCGTGTGCTCTTTCAACCTAGAACTGTTTTTAGCTTTATATGGGCACTTGTTGCACTTGTACCATTTAATATCTTGCTCCCCTAGATGCAAGTTGCTTATGTGCTTTTTCAAGCTCTCTTTCTCCTTAGCTTTATATGGGCATTTGTCGCACGGAAACCACGTAATCTCCTGTTCTTTTAAATGTCGCGCGTTGACGTGCTTATGTAAAGCAAACTTTTGTTTAGCTTTATATGGACACTGTTTACATTCGTACCACTTTATAGTGTGTGTGTCAGAATGGTGAATGTTGGTGTGACATTTCAAGTGCACTTTTTGTTTAGCTTTGTATGGACACTGGTTGCATTCAAACCATTTAATCTCTTGTTCATTTAAGTGTCGAGCAATTATGTGGTTTTTCAAATGCAACCTCACTTTAGTTTTAAATGGACACTTTTCACATCTGCACCATTTTATATAGTGTTCGTCTAGATGAAGCGCGTTTATGTGTCTCGTTAGCTTTGAATTTTCTTTAGCTTTGTATGGGCACTGGTTGCATTGGTACCATTTAATGTCATTCTCGTCTAAATGCCGCGCTATTGTGTGTCGTTTCAACGTTGACTTCTTTTTAGCTTTGTATGGGCATTGTTGACACTCATGCCAAATATTATTGTCTTGTTGATTTGTCAAACATGTTGTGGCATGTCGAAGCCACCTTATTGAAAAATTCGTTTCAAAGGAACACTGTTCACAAATATAGTTTTTTATGGTGTAGTTGTTTTTATTTCCTTGCTTGCTGTGGTCTTGGAGGTGTTGTTTAAACACAAGTGTTAGTTTGGTTTGGAAGGAACAGTCCGTACAAGAATAAATTTCAATGTTGCTGGTTTCACAGTTGAATTTTTGTAAAGATGAGTGGCGTCTGACGTGGATGTTTTTTGTACGAGAGAGGTTAGCAACTAGTTTATGAGAATATTCTAGTATGGACATCTCAGTGGTTTTTAGGTAACTTGAAGTGTTTCTTTGCTTATTGTTTTGATGAATAATTGTGCCACAGGTGGGTTTCGCTCACTTCTTAACCTAAACATATTTATTACGTTTGTTGGACACCTAAAACAAATTGTGTGTGTTTTTCTTACTTACGGTGTTTAATTATAGTTGCTGTAATAGAAAAGGGACAAAATCACTCTGAAATTATCCAGTTTCGTTTTCTTAGCTAATAAAATGGAGGAAATATTTTTGATGTGTTTATATGAATTGTGTGTTGCCTATGTTGCACGCAGTTTTTGAGGTTATGTTGTCAACATCTATCTAAAACTGCAATTTCTTTTTAAATTTTAGACAATATAAACAAAAATGTCACCCCGGTGGTCTCACGAACGGTCTTCAACTACGTTTCTTCTAAAATATCCGCGATTTTGAATTGAAGTTTGAGGTTATGTTTCGAAAAAACAGGTACGAAAATTTCCACAAACAATATTGTTAGTTGTAAAAAAAATTATAAATGACTGTAGACAACCCGCGATGTCAATTCTGGAGCCGTCAGAGACACTTCCTGACAATCTAAAATCACCCAAAAATGAAGTTCGAAGCCACTTTTCTTCGTTGCGACATTTCAACTGTGAAAGCGCACCCGTGGAAACTTACCGCTGCAAAGACTGCAACTTCCAAACACAATTAACCCTTCTCCTCAAACAACACATTGATGACCATAAAAACAACCACCAAGAAAATCTACACCCCATCCAAAAATATATTTGTGGAAAGTGCCCCTTTGAAACCCACTTCTCTCTAACGTGGTTCCAACACACTACAGCATGCCCCAAAAATCGAAAAAATACCCAAAAACCCGAAATAGTGTGGTACCAGTGTGAAAAATGCTCGTACCGAGGCAAAGAAAAGCGCTACTTAAAAAACCACACACTTGTCCGCCACTCCATCGATCAAAACATCAAGTGGCACCAATGTCACCAGTGCCCCTACAAAACCAAGCACCGAGACCGCTTAAAAACTCACATAATCGCCCACCATTTGGCCGAGCGCGATATTAAATGGCACCAATGCCAGAAATGCCCGTACAAAGCTAAACTTAAAGCGACTTTGAAAGATCATGTCACTGCCCGCCATTTGGACGAAAGCAACATTAAATGGCACGAATGCGACAAGTGCCCGTTCAAAACCAAAAGAAGCTCGAATTTAAAGCAACACGTGAATTCGCGCCATTTGCTTGGGATGGATATTAAATGGTACGAGTGTGACAAGTGTCCGTATAAAGCTAAACAGTAGCATGGTTTGAAGAGTCACGTGATTACGCACCATTTGGACGTGGGGGATATTAAATGGTACGAGTGCCAGAAGTGTCCGTACAAAGCTAAATTGAAGACGACTTTGAAGGACCACGTGGTGGCGCGACATCTGGACGAGGAAAATATTAAGTGGTACGGGTGTGAAAAGTGTCCTTTTAAAACTAAAACTAAATCGAATTTGAAACAGCACGTAAATGCGCGACATTTAAATGAGAAGGATGTGAAGTGGTATGAATGCAAAGAGTGTCCCTATAGAGCTAAGCAACGGACTAATTTGCAGACTCACGTAAAAGCACGCCATTCAGATAAACAAGAAAACAAATAATTGTATTGTGTGTTGCATATGCACAACTTTGAGGTTATGTTTTTTCAAACAAGATTTTAAAATTTTTGATAAAATTTAAGAGATTGTGGCACAATTCTTGTCACAGCACTTTCGCACGACTTAATTCACCCATTTGAGTTACCACTACTCTTAATCGCTGAATCGAAACCAAATGTATTGATCCAAATATAATTTTGAGGTTAGGTAAGCCAAACCAAATGCTCCAATGTTCTAACAAAAGCGTAATTTAGCCAAACCAGGATGTCGATTCTGGAATACTCGTCCCCCACATCATTTTTTCTCAACGTGAACCATTTTAATTGTATGACCACCTCTATTGAAATTTACTTCTGCAAAGACTGCAACTTCAGCACCGAATTGACAATTTTGTTCAAAAAACACGCAAAAAGACATAAAAACCCATCAAATGAAGACTACACCACCATCCAAAAATATATTTGTGAAAAGTGTGGGTTTAAAACGCACTTCTCACTTGTGTGGTTGAAACACAGCCAAAATTGTTTGAAAAACAAAAAGACGTGGTATAAGTGTGACCAGTGCAAGAACCAATACCGATACGAAACCGGTTTGAGGAGGCACAAAGCCTCAAAACACTCAATCCATGAAATAATTTGGTACGAATGTGAAAACTGCCCATACAAAGCTAAAGAAAAACGCTATTTAAAAAGACACATAAACTCGCACCATTTTGACGATCAAAATATGGAACTGTTCAGATGCATGCTGTGTCCATATAAAGCTAAATTTAATTCGACTTTAAGATCTCACGTGATGACGCGCCATCTAACCAAGCAAAACATCAAATGGCACGAATGCCAGAAATGTCCATACAAAACTAAAAGAAGCTCCAATTTAAAGCAGCACATAAATTCGCGCCATTTGGACGGGCAGGATGTTAAATGGTACGAGTGTGACACTTGTTCATACAAAGCTAAACAGAAACGTTGCTTGAAAAGTCACATAATCACGCACCATTTGGACGAACAAGATATTAAATGGTACGAATGCCAGAAGTGTCCATACAAAGCTAAATTGAAGACGACTTTGCGGGATCACGCGATTGCGCGCCACTTGGACGAGGAAAATATCAGATGGTACAAATGCGAGAAGTGTTCGTTTAAAACCAAAGCCAAGTCCAACTTGAAACAGCACGTAAATGCGCGCCATTTGGACGAAAAAGACATTAAATGGTATGAATGCAAAGAGTGTCCGTACAAAGCTAAACAGCGCGCTAATTTGAGGAGCCACGTAAAAGCACGGCATTTGAATAAATTAAATTAAACTCATTAAAGTGTTGTTTTATTTAATGTGTATTGTGTGTTGCATATGTTTGGGTCAATTTTGAGGTTATGTTTTCGAACTTTTAATTTCAACGAAATTAATTAAGTGTGTGAATTAAATTTATTTATTTTAAAGATTCGTGAACGGTGTGTTTAAAACAAATAAATACCCGAATTAAATAACAAAATAAACTTTATTATCACAAGTGTCAATATCAAACATAACCTCACTTTTTATTTTTATTTTAATTATTACCCTCATTACGTCTTAAAATTGGATAAAAAATGGAAAAGTGAGTTCTAGTTGCTTTCTTGTTTGTCCAGATGCCGCGCTACCACATGTCTTTTTAAATTACAGCGATATTTAGCTCTGTATGGACACTCTTTGCACTCATACCATTCGACATTCTGCCCATTCGAATGCAGCGAATTCACGTGTTGCTTTAAATTGCCTTTTTGCTTGGATCTGTACGAGCACTGCTGGCATTCGTACCACTTGACTTCCAGTTCGTCCAAATGGTGCGTATTTACGTGTCTTTTCAAATGCGAATTCTGTTTAGCTTTATACGGACACTGTCCACACTCGTACCATTTAAGCACCTCATCGTCCACATGCTGCGTATTCTCGTGCATTTTCAAATGACTTTTGTACTTAGTTTTGTACGGACACTGCTTACATTCATGCCACTTGACGACTTTCCCGTGGAAATGGTGCGCGCTCACGTGACTCTTCAAACCGCAGCTATGCTTAGCTTTAAACGGGCACTTGTCGCATTCGTACCACTTAATCTCACGCTCGTCCAAATGGTGCGTAATCACGTGACTTTTCAAATAGTGTTTGTATTTAGCTTTATACGGGCATTTGTCACATTCATACCATTTACCATCCTGCTCGTGGCGCGCATTGACGTGCTGCTTTAAATTCGAACTGGTCTTGGTTCGGAATTGGCACTTTTGGCATTCGTACCATTTAATGTTTTCCTCGTCTAGGTGATGCGCGATTACGTGGACTTTCAAAGTCGATTTTAGTTTAGCTTTGTATGGACATTTCTGGCACTCGTGCCATTTAATATCGTGGTCGTCCAAGTGGTGCGTGATTATGTGGGTTTTGAGCCGCTCTCGGTGCTTAGTTCTGTAGGTGCACTGCTCGCATTCGTACCACTTGATGTCTTGGTCGTTGAAATGGTGGACGATTGTGTGATTTCCCAAGTGACGCTTTTCTTTGCCTCGGTATGAACACGAGTCACACTGATGCCAAATTATTTCGTCTTGGTTGGTTTTCAAGACATTTTTCGAACATTGTGTGGTGTGTTGAAGCCACGTCAGCGAGAAGTGGGTTTCGAAAGAGCATTTTCCACAAGTGTACTTTTTGGTTGGATTTTTTTGGTTGCTGTGTTGTTTGAAAAGAACGGCTAAGTCTGTTTGGAAGTTGCAGTGTTTGCAGAAATAGTTTTCCAGGGATGCGTCTTCGCAGTTAAAATGGGGCAACGAAGAGAGGTGGTTTGAGTATTCCAGAATTGACATCTCGGTGTGCCTGCAGTCATTACGGGTTTGTTAAGGCTGAACAGAATTGTTGGATCTTCATACCAGATAACATTAGGCAAATTTTCATTTTTTACATAACCTCAAAATTTGCGTTTTGTGTTATCCACAATGTATTTTGTTTGCGTAAATCCCTCAGTTATCGTTTTGTGAGACCAAATAAAGCACTATTTTTGCTTACATTCATCTAAAATTGGTAGAAATGTCTTATAACTGTTTCGAAAAACATAACCTCTAAAAATGGAAACGTTGGCTGTATTAAGGGTTGCATAGCTGTTATGTGACGATGTATGCAACACACAATACCCGATTTCGTTGACAAAAGAAATAATTCGAAAAATGCAGTGGAAACGAATTTAAACACTTGATTTTCGCACTTTTTACTACCCTATTTATTTGAATGTCGAAATTTTACATGTCGAAGCAAACAACTGTTTGTTTTGGTTTTATATGGACACTTTTCACACTCGTACCATTTGACATCTAGTCCTTCCAGATGTAAGGCATTCACGTGTATTTTCAAATTCGAACTAGATTTAGCTTTAAACGGGCACCTGTCGCATTCGAACCACACAATATTCTTTATATGCGAATGTTGCGTTTTCACGTGTCTGGTCAAATCCACATTTCGCTTACTTTTATAAGAGCATTTAACACATTCGTACCATTTAACACTTTCTTTATCTAAATGCTTAAATTTTATGTGCGCTTTTAACCCCGGCTTACGTTTAGCTTTAAATTGGCACTTTTCGCATTCATACCACTTGATGTCCTTGTCGCTCAAATGAAGCACTTTAACGTGACTCTTCAAAACATACTTTTCCTTAGCTTTATAGTCACACTTGTCGCACTCAAACCACTTTATACTTTGTTCATCCAAATGCCGATTCATTTCATGTCGCTTTAAATAACACTGGTGTTTAGCTTTATACGAACACTGTGCACAGTGGTACCAAATTCGTTCGTCGTCGTTCAAATGTTTCGAGATTTTGTGCATCCTCAAAGAGTATTTTCGTTTTAACTTTTGGCTGCACTGGTCGCACTCGTACCACCGATTTGTCGAATTTTTTGAACATTGAATTGTGTGGTGAAGCCACTTCAAAGCAAAATGTGTCTCAAACTTGCATTTGTCACAAAAATAGTTCCGAACGGTGTCGGATTCTTGGATGTGGCGGTGCTCTCGAAGGTGTTGTTTGAATAAAAGGGTTAATTTTGTTCCGAAAGTGCAGTCCTTGCAGTGGAAAATTTCAATGTTTTCGCAGTTGAAATGTTGCAAGGGGGCTTGGTGGCGCCTTACGTGGTTCACCATCAGGAAAGACGACGTCGTGGAGAAGGGACAGAGGTTGCAACGAGGGGGCATTTTCATGGGGGCGAACTTGTCGGAGTATTCCAGAAACGACATTTCAGGCTACCGAAAGTATTAATTAATTCCATTCGAATAAAACTAACCCTTTTCTTACCTAATATACGTCGTAAAACATGTTTATTTACAAAATACACGTCGGATGACATAACCTCAAAATACACAACATATGCAACACACAATACACGTATTTATAAATGCAGCTTTTTCAAGTGTCTCCGCAAAAGTCGCTCACTTTTAGCCTTATAGGGGCAATTTCGGCACTCAAACCGAACTTTTTCATGTTGCGCATTCACATGCCGTTTCAAATTATCGTTCCGTCGGGCTTTATAAGGGCACTTTTTACATTCATACCACTTAATATCTTTCACATCCAAATGGAGTTTCGTGTGCTGGTTTAAATTACTGGTGGTTTTAGCTTTATACGGGCACTTGTCACACCCGTACCACTTAACATCTTTGTCGTCCAAATGTTGCGCATTCATGTGACTTTTCAAATAATCGTTTCTTCGGGCTTTGTATGGGCACTTTCCGCATTCGTACCACTTGATCTCCTCTTTACCCAAATGGTGCAACTTCACGTGTTGCCTTAAGCTACTATGGGCTTTAGCTTTGTATGTACACTTCTCACACCTGTACCATCTGACGTCCTTTTCGCTCAAATGGTGCACGTTTATGTGTGACTTTAAAGTCGATTTTTGTTTAGCTTTGTATGGACATTTGTCACAAGCGTACCATTTAACGTCGTCTCCTTCCGCGTGAAACGCAATCGTGTGGTTTTTCAAGCCTGAACCCGTCTTGGTTTTAAAAGGGCACTCTTTACATCGGTACCACTTGATACTGTCTTCATCCAAGTGCTTAATTTTCACGTGTCGGGTTAAATCGTAGCGAATCTTAGATTTGTAGGTACATTTTTCGCACTTATGCCACTGGATCACTCCGTCGTCCACATGAAGCAAACTCGTGTGTCTTTTTAACGTTGATTTATCGTTGCTTTTGTACACACACTTTGTGCAGTAGTACCAACACACCTCGTTGCCTTTCGTGTGTTTTCTTATTTTGTGCATTTTTAACGACTCTTTGTGCTTGGATTTGAAGTCGCACTCGTCGCAGTCGTGCCACACATTCTCGTCCAGGTGTCTACAATTCGCGTGTCGCTTTAAATCGGATTTTTTTTTAGTTTTGTAGTCGCATTTTCTGCACCGATACAAATTTGTTGTGTGTTCGTCCACATGGACTAAAGTGTGTTGTTTTAACTTTGAGACGTATTTAGTTTGAAAGTCGCACTGGTCGCAACTGTACCACGTGAAAATTTCGCTTTTTGAGCATTTTATAGTATGTTGAAGCCATTTTATAGCGAAGTGAGTTTCAAAGTTGCAGTTTTGGCACACGTAGAGTTTCACGGCGAACTCGTTTGCAAAGTTTTTCAGGCTGTGGCGCTCTCCGAAGTGTTTTTTGAGGAGAAGGGTGAGTTCCGTTTGGAAGTTACAATCTTTACAGGAGAAAACCTCAATGTCGGAGTTTTCACAGTTGAAAGGTTGCATTGGTCCGTCTAAATTAATGACTGAGAGTTAGTTTTATTTGACTAATAAATAGGCATTGTCTCACCTTACACTAAGGTAAAATGGTTAAAAATTGTGGCCCCAGTTGTAATCGACAACAATATTAGGATCAATTTTTTTTTAATAGATTGCTTTTTTTACACTATTGGGTCACACTTCTTGTGTATTTGTACCTCGCGAGTCCAATTAAACACTTGAAAATTTAATAAATGGTTATAAATTCTTTATTGACGATAAAGTACATAACCTCAAATTTTGTAGTAGTGTATGCAACACACAATACACTTAACTCTAAAACCAACTACAATTTGCTTTATTTTTATTCGTCCCGATTTCGAATACTGGGTGTATTTATGTTACGTTCGTTTCGTTCAAATGGTGCACGTTTATGTGTCTATTCAAATCGCACTTCCTTTTAGCTTTGTACGAACACTTGTCACACTGAAGCCACTTGACATCCACCTGCCCTGAATGCTGCACATCAATGTGTTTCTTCAAATTGGACTTATCCTTACACTTATACGAACACTCTTTGCACCCATACCATTTAACATCCTGTCCGGTTAAATGCTGGGTGTTCATGTGCCGCCTCAATGGCGACCTCCACTTAGCTTTATACGGACACTTTTCACACTGAAACCAGATTATATCCTGTTCGTCCAAATGTTGCGAATTTATGTGCTCATTTAGCAACGCTCTGTGTTTAGTTACAAACGAACACTTTGAGCACCGACACCATTTAATGTCTTTTTCGTCCAAATGGTGCGAAATTACGTGACGGTTTAACTGTCTTTTGGCTTTAGCTTTATACGGACACTTGTCACACTCGAACCATTTAATATCCTGCTCGCTCGAATGGAGGGCGTAAATGTGTTGCTTTAAGCTAGAGCTTGTTCTAGTTTTGAACGAACAACTGTGACACTCGTGCCATTTAATATCGTCGTTGGAGTGATGAGCGAGCATGTGGCTTTTCAAAAGCGACCGCAGTTTAGCTTTAAATGGGCACTTTTCACATTTGCGCCACTTCGAATCGGGGTCATTTCGGTGAGTTTTCATGTGTCGGGTTAGAGTGTAGTTTTCTTTAGCTTGATAAGGACATTGTTGGCATTGATAACGCAGCGGTTTGGAATTTTTGTCTTCGGTGTCTTTTTTAGAGGGGTCTGGGTGGCGCGTATAGAAGTGTCTTTTTAATGTGAATTTTTCTTTAGCTTTGTAGGGGCACTTTTCACATTGGTACCATTTAATGGCGCTTTCGTCTAAATGTCGAGCGATTATGTGTCTTTTAAAGTTTGAACTGTCTTTGGTTTGGTACGGGCATTTTTGGCACTGATAGCGCAAATGGGTTAAATTTTGATTACCACTGTCTTTGTTTTTAATAGTCTGTTCTTCATTCTTTGTCCGGCATTTCGAAGAATGTTGAAGATATTTAATAGCAAAATGGGTTTCAAAGCCACAGTTTTTACAAACGTAGTTTTGAATTGTGTATTTGTTATCTTCTTGGTGCTCTTTTTTAACGAAATGGTGTTCTTGAAAGTGCTGTTTGAACAATAGGGAGAATTCAGTTTGAAAAAAACAGTCCTTGCAGGAGTAAATTTCGATGCTGCTAGTTTCACAGTTGAATTGTTTCATGGGTAACTGGTGGCGTCTGACGTGGTTCATCATGAGGTAGAACGACGTTGTGAAGAACGGACAAACACTACATCGATGGACATTTTTAAAGCTCATTGCAATTTTTGAGGAATATTCCAGAGCGGACATCGTGGATTCCTTGAAACAAATGCAATTATACAGTACGAAGCATATTGTGGCTTTCTCACCCAACACGATTAAAAAAAAATCTTCACAAACATAACCTCAAAATTTTTGTAAACCTGGAAAACAAAACGGTGCACGAATCGACGCTTCTGTTAACTAAAATTCGCCAGTTTTTGTCGTTTTAAGTGTAAAAACGAATAGAAAATGTTGCAAATGCAACAATAGTTGACACACATAACCTCACTTTTTGAATGACAGGCATATGCAACACACAATGCACCTATGATAATCCGTTGAGTATGCAACACACATTACGACAATAAAATTTCCAACAATTTTATTTATTTATTTTTATTGACAAATTATCTTCAGCGTTTCTGTCGAATGTCGCGCATTTAAATGCCTCTTCAAATGCGACTTTCTCTTAGTCTTGTACGCACACCTGTCACACTGAAACCACTTCATCTCCTCTTCGTCCAAATGGTGAAACTTGACATGTTGCTTCAAATTCGAGTTCTGTTTGCTTTTAAACGGGCACTTGTTACATTCGTACCACTTTATGTCCTTCGCGGTGAAATGTCGCGCGTCCTTGTGTTTATTCAGTCGCGACTTCTCCTTAGCTTTATACGGGCACTTTTCACACAGGAACCATTTAATATCCTGTTCGTTCAAATGCTGCGTGTTGACGTGCCGCTTCAAATGCGACCTCGTTTTAGCTTTATATGGACACTTATCACACTGAAACCAGTTAATATCGCGTTCATCCAAATGCTGCGAATTTGTGTGTGCATTTAGCGACGACGTGTGTTTTGTAATGAAGGGACACTTCGCACATTCGTACCATTTGATGTCTTTTTCGTCCAAATGGTGCGAAATCACGTGACGATTCAGCTGCCCTTTTTGTTTAGCTTTGTATGAACACTTGTCGCATTCGAACCACTTAATGTCTTGGTCGTTGGAATGGACGCCGTAGATGTGTTGCTTTAAATTAAAGCTTTTTTTGGTTTTGAACGGGCACTCATCACACTCGTACCATTTAATATCTCGCTCGTTTAAGTGGTGAGCGATCACGTGGTTTTTTAAAGTCGAGTTTAACTTAGCTTTAAACGGGCACTTTTCACATTTGCACCATTTAATGGCGTGCTCGTCTAGATGGCGCGAATTTATGTGTCTTTTCAGTTTGGAATTTTCTTTAGCTTTGTAGGGGCACTGGTTGCATTTGTACCATTTAATGGCGCTTTCATCCAGGTGTCGGGCAATTGTGTGTCTTTTTAAGCTGAAACTTTCTTTGGTTTTGTACGGACATTGTTGGCACTGGTACCGAAGCTGGGTTAAATTTGTCTCTTCAATGTCTTTGTTTTTCACGGTTCGTTTTTCTTGTTTCGTCAGACAAGCTAAAGAGTGTTGGAGCCATGTTACGGCAAAGTGGGTTTCAAAGACACATTTTTCACAAACGTAGTTTCTCATGGTGAATTTTTCGTGGTGCTCTGTTTTAATGGAGTGGTGCTCTTGGAAGTGTTGTTTGAACAGAACTGACATTTTTGTTTGGAAAAAACAGTCCTTGCAGGAATAAAATTCAATTTGCCCAGTTTCACAGTTGAAAGGTTCAAGATTTGACATCTTGGCTAAATCAAACCACTGGTTAGTACAATGTGAGTATAATTTGAGGGCTTTCTCACCCACTATTACGGGACTTCGTTGCTAAAAAATGTTTACCCTCGACATAACCTCAAACTTTGTTGGCAGCTCGCAAGCGAAAATCTATCCACGAGTCGACGATTTTGTTACACCCAAATGCATTAATTAAGTCTTTGTGTCTTTTAATGCCCAAACATTGTTAGAAAATGTGTTATTTTGATAACCACATAACCTCACTTTTGGTTATTTGAACATATGCAACCCACAATACACCATTGGTTGCTGTGTCTATGCAACCCACAATACACGCCCCAAAAATTCCAATTTGTACTACAAAGTCCAACAACACACCTATGAAACAACATTAGGGACTTTTTATTTTAGCCAACTATAACTACAAACTCAACTTCAAAACCAACCCTATTTCACCCTTTTCGTGGAGTCCATCAGCTCCGGACACGTGTAATTCACCAAAAAGCAGCATATTTTCCAGAAAACGTTCAGCTGCTTAACGCTGGTGACAGAATTGGGGAAAGTACCCTTCAAAATTTTAAACCCTTTAACAAACCCCAGTATTTTTTGCACGTGCGTTTGTAAATCACTGAAGTGGCTCGGTTTTCCCACTGGTTCTTGTTTCGTCGAGTTTCCGTTGTTCGGTTTGTCCACTTTGGTTTCGCTCCAACTCTTGATGATTTGCTCGTTGGTGACGTACGACGCAAACAAATCCGACGCTTTGATGACGAGCCCGTTCGAGTTTAGTTCGATCAGAGCCCTCGCCCGACCGTACGTTTTTTCCGCTTTAGTTTTATTGTCTTTGGAAGTTTCGAAAAAGGTTTCGTAGCACTCCACAATGACTTTGTGGGTGTTTTTGTCGTAGTTGAACTCGCAGTTGGTGACTAGGACGTCGGTGAGGAGTTTGATCCAGAACATCCAGATTTTGAGAACCGTGGTGAGGGATATATTGAAGCGATACGCTAAGTCGTTGTGCATTAAACCTAATCGTAGTCTACTTAAAACTAGAACTAGTTGAGGCACCATCCCGAGGTGTTGTTTGCGCACTTCTCCGGCTTCCCGTTTTCGAACTTTAAAGTACTCCGGCTCCAACATTTCCACGAATTTTTGAAAGTCGTCTCGTTTGGAAAAACCGGTGTAAAACTTGAGGAGTTGTTCATTGTCGGGGATAAGTCGCAAAGGGTAGGCCAACGTTTCTTGACTCATGTTCGTCTTCAGCAGATCGTGATTGATAACCTTGAGGCGCTGGATCTACAAAAAAAACAACATCCACATTTTTGTTTTTATAGTTTATACACAAACCTCGGCTCTACAGTTTTCGATTATTTTTAGTGTTTTCTTGCTATCCGTCTCCCGTTCCTCGATACACATTTCATACTCATCCTTCAAAAATTGTATGTATTCCAAATTCACCGCATAGTTGTGATCCACATGCTTCGTCGGCCTCTTCGGCGCCATCAACTTCTTCTGCTTGCTCAAGTCAATCATGTTCACTTCCATCACCGGCGGAAAAATTTCCTCGTGATCCACAATTATGTCTTCGCTGCTATACAGCGACTTGAAATTCAAAGCTAAAACCAAACTCTGAAAAACCGCCTCGCTCTAATTTCCACTCTTACGTTTACGCGAATAATGGCTAACTGATATTCTCAACCTCGGGAAAAAAAATACAGTGCTTGCAGTCATGTCCTTGATGCCACACAACCGATAGTGTTTTCCACAAATCACGTTCGAACGCAGTTTCCATGTCTGCTTGTTTCCGGGTTTGGTAATGTACTCGATTATGAGTTTGTGCCACATTGGCTTGATTCCGTAGAAGGCTACATGCTTCAGGTTTGTCTGGTTGGAGAGCAGAGAACAGTTCGGAATGCAGCACCTCATGGACTTCATTGCACCAAATTGGGCTAAAGCATGGCGCTAAACTAAAAAACACGAAACGTTAAAGGGCAAGGTGGACACAAACGACGCTTCAGAGGAAAATTTGCCCAGAAATGGGGTTGTTGTTTTGTGTTTGACAGGAATAGGTTACGTTATTTTAGTACGTTTTTGGCCGGTAGATGTCCTCGCGACTAACTGGTTCCGTGGAAACAAAAATCGTGATTGTGGCGCCATCTGTGCCAACGTAATGGAAATGTTTGTCTTCTTATTGTTGGTTGCATATATATACACAATCTCTATAATTCTTTACTAAATTTTTTAAACACGTTCACTTATGAGCTGACTATTGTGATTGTGGAAAACTTGATTCGTAACAAAAAAATTTAATCAGTTAAAAACATAACCTCAAAAATTGACTCAAAGTTCCGCACTAATTTGGCTTCTTCAATTCAGATTAATTAATTAACCCTCTGTCAGTCTTTTCGAATCAAACTTTGCCTTACAAACTCGACAACTTCATGAAAAAACCATATTAAAACCAATTCGGGAAACATAACCTCAAAACTTGTCAATGTATGCAACCCACAATACACCAATAAAACACTCCTTTTGTAGACATGACTTCATTCTATTATAAAAATTCTGAGCTTTACATTCGTGCCAAGTTCTCCTTACTTAAATTTAATTGCCACTTATTGAAGTGTTTTCTCAAGTGGGGCACATTTCGCACTGAAACCACTTAATATCCCGTCCATCGAAATGCTGGGAATACACATGTCCGTTCAACGACGACGCGATTTTGGTTTTAAACGGGCACTCCCTACACTCGTACCATTTCACGTCCTTTTCGTCCACACTTTTCGCGCGTTTTTTCTTTATTGTGTGACAACTCATGGTATGCTTCAACCATTTCATCACAAAATGGGTTTCAAATTGACACTCTTTACAAATGTAGCTTTTGATGACGTATTTCTCATCTTCTGGGTGTTCTTTTCTGATGGTATGGCGGGCTTGAAAGTGTTGTTTTAGCGCAATTGCTAAATCCGTTTGGAAAGGGCACTTCAAACAGGAGTACAATTCAATGTTGTTGGTTTCACAGTTGAACTGTTGGAGAGATGGGTGGCCTTTCAGGTGGCTTACCATGAGGCAAAGCGACGTTGTAGAGAAGGGGCAGATTTTACAGTGACGAGTATTTTTAAAGGAAGCTCGCAGTTTTACCATAAACTTATCCAAATCGAGCGACATTGTGGGTTTTTTTCTGTAGTACGAAATCCAATCTGCTAGGAGTAAATGGGTATTTTCCTCCTAGAAATTTATTCATTAACTAATTTGTGTGCAATTTAAGACAAAATTTGGTAGAAAAAAGAGTGCGTCAACCCAGGGGCGCACGTATGGAATTTTAACTCTTAAATAAAAACCAAAAATATGTTGCATTTGTATTTTTTGACAAAATGATGACGAAAAGAAAGGAGTTAAAACTCCAACAAGTATTTCAGAAATTGGTAAAATGATTAAATGAATGTTTATTAATAAAATTTGTCAATAAAATGTTTATGTATACCTGTAAAGGTTGGCGAGTTTGCAATATTTTCTGTGCATCTGCATATGGTTCATTTGGAAATGGTAGCAGCTCAGTCGTGCTATAAATGTCGAGTAAATGGGACCGCATTTTTAGATGATGGTAGTTTTCTTTTGATGGGTCCCGGTTATTGAGTAACGATGTAGCAAACGCAATAGCGTAGACTCCGCAGTCTGTATTATTGGGTTGCTGCCTAACTCCATGAAATTTGTACTGTGGTTTGTGCGGAAATAATCGATTAAAAAAAAATTCCATTTCTGGATACAAACTCTCCCTATTTAAACTATCATATATATTAATAACATTTCCATCATAATACGTGCAAATCCAGTGGGTTATTTGATGAGGTTGTCCAGAAACACCACTTATTATTTGGATGTGTTTTCGTAAATGAGATATTGGTCGAACAAATTGTGGCAAGGCAATTAGATGAACATCAATTGGTCTGAAATTTAAGAATCGACTTGCAATTATATCTTGAAAATTATTAATATGTTCTCCGTACAATTCACCACCGCTAATAATATCTTTCTTAAAATTTGCGGTGTTTTCTTGGTGTAATTTAATGTATCTAATTGACGCTGCAGATGGCTGTACTTGTACAAAAGATGACTTATATTGTTGTGTGAATGTGGACTGTAGTTGATGAAGTTGACGAATTGGAGCATCATTAATCATATCATCGTTTTCTTGTTCATTATTCAATCCCGAAAACTGTAGTGCCTCTGCTTTCTTCCGTTCTCTATATCTTTTACATTTTTCAGCATTTTTCTTTTTCTTCAACGTAATTTTTGATGGCTCTTCTTGTTCATACTTCAATGCCGAAAACAGTGGTGCTTCTGCTTTCTTTCGTTCTCTATATCTTTTACATTTTTCAGCATTTTTCCATTTTTTCAATGCTATTTCAGGCAGCTCTTGTTCATTATCCAGTGCCAATGGATCATACTTCCTTCTGTTTTTATTAACAAGAAAAGAAAAGAAAAATCATAAACTTAAGGAAAAATGTATTTTTTATAAAGGATATTATTTTCATTAAATTATCTAATCAAAGTATTTGCAAATATATCTACAAAAAAAAATCAACATTACTTACTTCAATTTGTTGTCACTATTCTCAATTTCTGGTGGCCCACTTTCACTTCTATCCATTGTCCCAGTAATGATATCATGAAAAAAATGTAAGTTTTGACTTGGCACAGCAGTACGCTTCAAGCACGGTCTCTTAGTTGGGACACCTTTCACACATTCCAACATTATTATACACCACAACTACCGAGATAAATGTGTACCTGGTAATATAAAATCATCTTTAGTAAAATGGAGAGAACACACTGTTGCATACTTCGTTGATCGCTTTCCCATATTTAGTTTCATTATCCATGCTTCAAGTTTATCCACTTTTTCTCTCATTCCTAACCTAAAAATATAAAGACGTTAAGCCACCAAATGATTAATTGACATTATTATCAATAACCTATGTTAAATGTACCATTACTTACTCATTTGTAATGAACACAAACGATTGCTCCTTGGTCGGAAACCTGTGAAAAGACAACTCTCGATTTTTACTTTTTCTGCTGTGGCAACCAAAAACGCAACAATTTATGTTACACACACTCATTTTTACTCAATATAACCATTTTGTTGTCTTTGCTTCTTTAATATATTGTACAAACTCAGAAAAACAAGCAAAAATTAATATCCACTCGCGTACAACTTCCACACATATTACCTGTTTTAATAGTTCGTCAACTGGGCGCGAGGTGTCGCATGAAAAGTGACGTATAAATAAAAGAGACTTTTTAGTTTTTACACTGTAATCGATGTGTTCCCAAATGTGAAGTGCTGCATTTAATAAATAAATTAATAAAGCAGTATTGAACTAGAGACTTTGTTTTTCTATGAAGATTTCTTCTAACTTCAGTTTTTAAAACTGAACGATAATTAGTATTAGTGTATTGTGTGTTGCATACGCTTGTTGATCCCAAAGTGAGGTTATTTATTTTAAGACAATTTAGAATTTGCTCATTTTCTACCAATTTATTTGTTTAAAAAGAAAGCGAGTATCCATAAATGAACTTTTTTTTAACTCAACCACCGATTTATGAACAATTTTCACACAAATTGTGAGGTTATGTTGCAGAGGACAATTTTTTGATTATTGTTACATGTATTAGGTGAGAAAGCCCCAGTTTTATTTTCGCATTGTACTCAATAGTATGAATTATTTCAGGCCTACGTTATGATGCACTACGTTAAACGAAACCAAGTACCTGTGCAACATCTTAACTGTGAAATCGACAACATTGAAATTTATTCTTGTAAGGACTGTTTTTTCCAAACCGAAATTTCAATACTGTTTAAACAACACATCCAAGACCATGATTCGGTTAAGCGAGACAAAATAAGGGAGAAATACACAATTAAGACTTATATTTGTAAGAAATGTCAATTCGAAACCTATTTTGCTCTAAAGTGGTTGCACCATACTATGACATGCGTGGTAAAGAAAAAAAATCAGATAATAAATACCAAGTGCCAAAAAGCTCCATTTGAAAGTAAAGAAAAATCCATTGTGAGTGTCCAAAGCTCCATTAAATGGCACAAATGTGAAAAATGTCCATTTCAAACTAAACTCAAAGGCAACTTAAAAAGCCACATAGTCGTTCGCCATTTAAACGCAGAAGACATCAAATGGTACAAATGTGAGGAATGTCCATTCCAAACTAAGATGAAAGGCAACTTGAAACATCACGTGATCGCTCGCCACTTGAACGAAGAAGACATAAAGTGGTACAAATGTGAAAAGTGTCCATACAAAGGTAAAAGAAGCTCAAACTTAAAACAACACATTATTGCCCTCCATGCAGATGAACAAGACATTAAGTGGCACCAGTGCACAAAATGCCCGTACAGAAGCAAACACTCGGGGCATTTAGAACGTCACAAGGCCACCCATCATTTGGACGAAAAAGACGTCAAGTGGTACGAGTGTCAGGAGTGCCCGTTCAGAACTAAAAATATGTCGTCTTTGCACAGACATGTAAATTCGCTGCATTTGGATGAACGGGACATCAAGTGGTTTCAGTGCGAAGTGTGTCCATATAAAGCTAAAAGGAGGTTCCATTTGAAGAGACATGTGAGTGCGCGGCATCTGGGGGCCACATGAAACCAAAGAAAACTCTTAATACGCACCGATTATGGTGTATAAAGCTAAAAAGTGTCTTTTATGAGTGTCGCTGTATTGTGTGTTGCATACATCAATGTCAAGTTTGAGGTTATGTATCATAAGTAACATTTAAACAATATTTTAATTTTATAATGTTGTATTTTCTCAAATAAAACACGAATTTTTGTTTTAGATTTATCACTTATTTAGCGACGAGGGGTTTGTTAGATTTAATCGAGGTGTCGAATTGTGTGTTGCATACTCAATAAGTGAGGTTATGTCATTTGACAAATTTAATTAATTTTCGTCCAAATTTTGTTTAAAAGTGAACATTAAAGTGTTTTAATTGCACAAATAAGTTCATTAATGAACTTCAAGGATGAAAAAGCAAATTTGATTTCGTGTTTCACAAAAAAAGTTAACATGTCGTTAAATTCGGACATTTTTATGGTTAAACTGAGAGCTTCCGCTAAAAATACTTATCACTGTAAGATTTGCCCCTTCTTTACAACGTCGCTTTACCTCGTGGTAAGTCACATGAAAGGGCACCCATCTCTACAACAGTTCAACTGTGAAACCAACAACATTGAATTGTATTCCTGTTTGAAGTGCTCTTTCCAAACAGAGTTAGCAACTGTGCTAAAACAACACTTTCAAGTCCGCCATACCATCAAAAAAGAACACCCAGAAGATGAGAAATACGTCATCAAAAGCTACATTTGTAAAAAGTGTCAATTTGAAACCCATTTTGCGATGAAATGGTTACAACATACCATCGGTTGTCTCAAAAAGTGTGAAAAAAACCCATACAAAACTAAAGATAATTCAACCTTAAGAAGACACATAATCTCTCGACATTTAGACAAAAGCGCCAGTAAATGGTACAAATGTGACGACTGCCCCTACAGAGCTAAACAAAGCAGTCAATTGAAAAGACACATAACCACGCGCCACCTTGAAGACCACGCCATAAAATGGCACAAATGTGAAAAGTGCCCGTTCCAAACTAAACTCAAAAGTAACTTAAGAAGCCACACGATTGCTCGCCATTTGAACGACGAAGAGATAAAATGGTATAAATGCGAACAGTGTCCGTACAAAAGTAAGAGGAGTTCGAACTTGAAACAACACATATTGAACGCCCATTCAAACGAAGAAGATGTAAAGTGGTACGAATGTCAACAATGTTCATATAAAAGTAAACACAAAAGCTATTTGACGCGTCACTTCACCATGAACCATCTGGACGAAAAGGATGTGAAATGGTACGAGTGTAGGGAGTGCCCGTTTAAAACCAAAATCGCGTCGTCGTTAAACGGACATGTATATTCAAAGCATTCGGACGAACTGGATATTAAGTGGTTTCAGTGCGGAATGTGTCCTTATAAGGCTAAAAAGAAGTACTTTTTGAAAAGACATGTGAATGCCCAGCATTTAGATCAACAAGGAATACGAAAATTTCGGTGTGAAGTGTGTCCGTTTAAAGCTAGGGGAAGTTCTCACTTGAAAAAACACTTCAATAAGTGGCATTTAAATTTAAGTAAGGAGGACTTGACACGGATGTAAAGATTAGAGTTGTAATAAAATAAAATTATGTCTAAATGTGTATTTATTGGTGTATTGTGGGTTGCATACATTAACGAATTTTGAGGTTATGTTTCCTGAATTGGTTTTAATTTAATCATATATCTAATAGTTAGTAGTATTAGATATATGGTTTTAACAGAGAACATGGTAGAAGCCAAATTAGAGCCTAACTATAATTCAATTTTTGAAATTATGTTTTTAACTGATTAAAATTTTTTGCTACCAATTGAACACACCTTTTCCTTGTCACCTGGTTGTTTATTTAATTTTTAAGGTTATGTACATCTCAAGAATCACATATTTGTAGAAAAATTTTAAAGTTTATCCCACGTCGGCTCTGTTGATTATTAGTGTTTTAAAAAACTTCTTCAATGAGGTAACAAATCCAGAAAAATAAATCCGGTGACCCAATTCAACTCACGCAAAAATGTTAGGTTATGACGTTTCTTGAATCTCGATCCCTTTCGAAACCACTTAGAATTTTAACTGTGTTTCAGTAACCAAAGTAACATTTGCGTCTCTAGTGAAATAATACAGTTTTAAACAACCAGAATGTCAGTTCTTGAATATTCCAAAGCTTTTACAGTATGGGGAAGATCTTCATGGAAAAACGTCCACAACTGTAAACAATGCGCCTATTTTTCGACATCACTTTTGCATATTGTGAACCGTGTGAGGACTTCTTACATAATGTAAATGACACCTGGTGAAGTGTTTCACCACCTGAAGCATTCTCTTAGCTTTATACGGACACACTGCACACTGTAATTTCCCAAATCCGACTTGATCTAAATGCTGGGCATTCACATGTCTTTTCAAATGGGACTTATCTACAGCCTTATAGGGACACATTTCGCACTGAAACCACTTTATGTCCTGTTTATTTGATTGGCTGTCCGTTATGAGTTGTGTCCAGTTCACACTCCTCTTACTTTTGTTCAGACACTCTTCACATTCGCACCATTTTCTGTCTTCGTCGTTCAAATGGTGAGCCATCATGTGACTTTTTAAGTCGCTTTTGAGTTTCGTTTGGAACGGGCATTTTTCACATTTTTGCCATTTAATGGCCTGGTTTTCAAGGTGGGTTGCGTCTGAATGTCGATCAATGATGTGCTGTCTTAACGTTGAATTATCTACACTTATGTATGGGCATTTTTCACACTTTTGGTATTTAACATGCGGTTTTTTTTTTATGAGACAACCGATGGTATGCTGCAACCATTTCAACGCAGAATGGGTTTCAAATTGACATTCTTTACAAACGTAGCTTTTGATGACGCATTTCTCATCTTGTGGGTGTTCTTTTTTGGTGGTATGGCGGGCTTGAACGTGTTGTTTTAGCGCAACTGCTAATTCCGTTTGGAAAGGACACTTCAAACAGGAATACAATTCAATGTTGCTGGTTTCACACTGTTGTAAAGATGGGTGGCATTTCATGTGGCTTACCAGGAGGTGAAACGACGTTGTAAAGAAGGAGCAAATTTTACAGTGATAAATATTTTTAGCGGAAGCTCTAAATTTAACCATATAGTTGTCCGACTCTAACGACATGTTAACTTTTTTTGTGAAGCACGAAACCAAATTTGCTGCGAGTAATTGGACGTTTTCCTATTAGAAGTTCATTAATTAACTTATCTGTGCAATTAAAACAATTTAATGTTCACTTTTAAACAAAATTTGGTCGAAAATTTTGTCCCTTAACATAACCTCATCACAGTATAGGCATTAATCACACAACAGGGATCGATACCAGAGAACATACTGTGCTGCAAGATTGAAGTATGCAACACACAATTCGACTTCGTGTTTAAATTCAACGAAATTCCTCGTTGCAAGATAACTAATAAATCGAAAATAAAAATTCGTGTTTTATTTAAAAAGCATCACATTATAAAATTAAAATAATGTTTAAGTGTTACTTATAATCATGGTCTTATAATTAATGATATATAAGTTCAAACTTGATGCAACACACGATTCATCCAAGCTAACAAAAACACTTTTTAGCTTTATACTTTGCAATCGATGAAATTACATTGAAGAAAAAGAAAAATGCTGAAAAATGTAAAAGATATAAAAAAAAAAACGGAAGAAAGCAGAGCCACTACAGTTTTCGGCATTGAATAATGAACAAAAAGAGCCATCAGCAATTACATTGAAGAAAGAGCAAAATGCCGAGAAAAGTGGAAAACACATAGAACAGAAAAAGACACAAATGATGCCAGTGAGCCAACAGGAATCCATGTTTATTCAATTAAATGAGTCGTCTTCAGTACAAGTACCACAGCATGAACGCGTAAATGTTATTAATGAAACTCCAGTTCGTCAACTTCATCAACAACAGTCCATATTTACACGAAAGTGACTTCTGCGGCCTGAAATCTACAAGAAAATGTACACTTTGAAATTTCGAAAATTTTGATGAAAATTGGTGGAAAATTGGTCTTATTTTGCATGGATTTGTAGTGTTCAAAGGACGATTCTAGATAAACCAATGGAGTTATCGAAGAAACGAAAGCGGAAATGATTTCTACGGCCTGAAATCTACAAGAAAATGTACACTTTGAAATTTCGAAAATTTTGATGAAAATTGGTGGCAAATTGGTCTTATTTTGCATGGATTTGTAGTGTTCAAAAGACGATTCTGGATAAACCAATGGATTTATCGAAGAAACGAGAGCGGAAATGAGTTCTATGGCCTGAAATCTACAAGAAAATGTAAACTTTGAAATTTTCAAAATTTTGATAAAAATTGGTGGAAAATTGGTCATATTTTGCCTGGATTAGTACTTTTCAAAGAACGATTCTGGATAAACCAATGGAGTTATCGAAGAAACGAAAGGGGAAATGATTTCTACGGCCTGAAATCTACAAGAAAATGTAAACTTTGAAATTTCGAAAATTTTGATGAAAATTGGTTAAAAATTGGACTTATTTTGCATGGACTTGTACTGTTCAAAGGACGATTCTGGAAAAACCATTGGAGTTATCGAAGAAACGAAAGCGGAAATGACTTCTGCGGCTTGAAATCTACAAGAAAATGTAAACTTTGAAATTTCGAAAATTTTGATGAAAACTGGTGGAAAATTGGTCTTATTTTGAATGGATTTGTAGTGTTCAAAGGACGATTCTGGATAAACCAATGGAGTTATCGAAGAAACGAAAGCGGAAATGAGTTCTATGGCCTGAAATCTACAAGAAAATGTAAACTTTGAAATTTCGAAAATTTTGATGAAAATTGGTGGAAAATTGGTCGTATTTTGTCTGGATTAGTACTTTTCAAAGGACGATTCTGGATAAACCAATGGAGTTATCGAAGAAACGAAAGCGGAAATGACTTCTGCCGCCTGACATTGACAAGAAAATGTAAACTTTGAAATTTCCAAAATTTTGATAAAAATTGGTGGAAAATTGGTCATATTTTACCTGGATTAGTACTTTTCAAAGGACGATTCTGGATAAACCAATGGAGGTATCGAAGAAACGAAAGCGGAAATGATTTCTACGGCCTGAAATCTTCAAGAAAATGTAAACTTTGAAATTTCGAAAATTTTGATGAAAATTGGTGGAAAATTGGACTTATTTTGCATGGACTTGTACTGTTCAAAGGACGATTCTGGAAAAACCATTGGAGTTATCGAAGAAACGAAAGCGGAAATGACTTCTGCCGCCTGACATCGACAAGAAAATGTAAACTTTGAAATTTCCAAAATTTTGATAAAAATTGGTGGAAAATTGGTCATATTTTACCTGGATTATTACTTTTCAAAGGACGATTCTGGATAAACCAATGCAGTTATCGAAGAAACGAAAGCGGAAATCATTTCTACGGCCTGAAATCTACAAGAAAATGTAAACTTTGAAATTTCGAAAATTTTGATGAAAACTGGTGGAAAATTGGTCTTATTTTGCCTGGATTAGTACTTTTCGAAGGACGATTCTGGATAAACCAATGGAGTTATCGAAGAAACGAAAGCGGAAATGATTTCTACGGCCTGAAATTTACAAGAAAATGTAAACTTTGAAATTTCGAAAATTTTGATGAAAATTGGTCGTATTTTGTCTGGATTAGTGCTTTTCAAAGGACGATTCTGGATAAACCAATGGAGTTATCGAAGAAACGAAAGCGGAAATGACTTCTGCCGCCTGACATCGACAAGAAAATGTAAACTTTAAAAGTTCCAAAATTTTGATAAAAATTGGTGGAAAATTGGTCATATTTTACCTGGATTATTACTTTTCAAAGGACGATTCTGGATAAACTAATGGAGTTATCGAAGAAACGAAAGCGGAAATGATTTCTACGGCCTGAAATCTTCAAGAAAATGTAAACTTTGAAATTTCGAAAATTTTGATGAAAATTGGTGGAAAATTGAACTTATTTTGCATGGATTTGTAGTGTTCAAAGGACGATTCTGGATAAACCAATGGATTTATCGAAGAAACGAAAGCGGAAATGAGTTCTATGGCCTGAAATCTACAAAAAAATGTAAACTTTGAAATTTCGAAAATTTTGATGAAAATTGGTGGAAAATTGGTCTTATTTTGCCTGAATTAGTACTTTTCAAAGGACGATTCTGGATAAACCATTGGAGTTATCGAAGAAACGAAAGCGGAAATGACTTCTGCGGCCTGAGATCTACAAGAAAATGTAAACTTTGAAATTTCGAAAATTTTGATGAAAATTGGTGGAACATTGGTCTTATTTTGCATGGATTTGTACTGTTCAAAGGAAGATTCTGGAAAAACCATTGGAGTTATCCAAGAAACGAAAGCGGAAGTGACTTCTGCAGCCTGAAATCTACAAGAAAATGTAAACTTTGAAATTTCGAAAATTTTGTTGAAAATGGTGGAAAATTGGTTTTATTTTGCATGGATTTGTACTGTTCAAAGGACGATTCTGGAAATACCATTGGAGTTATCGAAGAAACGAAAGCGGAAATAACTTCTACGGCCTGAAATCTACAAGAAAATATATCTAGTGAAATTTATTTAATTTGTCACCAAACATAACCTCACTGATTGAACTAACAGGTATGCAACACACAATTCAACTTTTTTTTTAATTCAAAGAAACTGCTCGTCGCAAGATCAGTAAAACATCATAAACCAAAAATTTGTGTTTAATTTGAAAAAATACAACATTATAAAATTAAAATAATGTTGAAATGTTACTTATAATCACGGTCTTATAATTAATGATACATAACCTCAAACTTGACATTGATGTATGCAACACACAATACGGCCACACCAACCAAAGACACTTTTTAGCTTTATACACCACAATCGATGCGTTTTAAGAGTTTTGTTGGTTTCACGTGGCCTCCAAATGTCGTGCACTCACATGTCTCTTCAAATGGAACTTCCTTTTCGCTTTATAGGGACACACATCACACTGAAACCACTTGATTTCGCATTTATCCGAATGCTGCGAATTTACATGCTTGTGCAAAGACGACGTATTTTTAGTTCTGAACGGACACTGCTCACACTCGTAAGTGTGAGTGGCCTTGTGACGTTCTAAATGCCCCGAATGTTTGCTTCTGTACGAACATTTTGTGCACTGGTACCACTTTATGTATTGTTCATCTGAATGAGCGGCATTGATGTGTTGATTCAAGTTTGAGCTTCTTTTACCTTTGTATGGACACTTTTTACATTTGTACCACTTTATGTCTTCTTCGTTCAAGTGGCGAGCGATCACGTGAAGTTTCAAGTTGCCTTTCATCTTAGTTTGGAATGGACATTCCTCACATTTGTACCATTTTATGTCTTCTGCGTTTAAATGGCGGGCGATTATGTGGTTTTTTAAGGTGCCTTTGTGTGTAGTATGGAATGGGCATTTTTCACATTGGTGCCATTTAATGGAGCTTTGCACACTTACGGTGGATTTTTCTTTGATTTCATCTGGACAGTTTTGGCACTTGGTGTTTATTATCTGATTTTTTTTCTTTACCACGCATGTCGCAGTATGCTGCAACCACTTTAGAGCAAAATAGGTTTCGAATTGACATTTCTTACAAATATAAGTCTTAACTGTGTAATTCTCCCTTATTTTGTCTCGCTTAACCGAATCATGGTCTTGGATGTGTTGTTTAAACAATATTGAAATTTCGGTTTGGAACAAACAATACTTACAAGAATAGATTTCAATGTTTTCGATTTCACAGTTAAATTGTCGCACCCGTACTTGGCGTCGTTTAACGTAGTTCATCATAAAGTGGCCTGAATCAATTAATGCTGTTGTAATATCCAAAGTACTTGATGGTAAATTTCTGGATGGTACTGCAGTTGGTTTCAAACGGTTTTGGCTGCTCCAACCTTGAATTGAAAATGAAAGGCATTACTACAATTTTTCCTGGAAACAGTATCTCTTTACCTGAGCATTCATAATCGTCTTGTGTAAAATGCCTTGAACACACCGCCATGCTGTTGTTAATTTTTTTTTCGATTTTAAGTTTCATTCCCCATAGTTTTCGGCGATCACACACCTCTGCAATTCCAAAGTCATTCAGCACACGAATTTTCTCATCCTCTTTAGGAAAAAGGTGAAAACTTAAATCAGGATTCTTTTTTCTTATCGATGAACAATTAAAAACGGAACAAGTTTGTTTACTATGAGCCATAGTTAGGTTAGGTGCGCTGTTCACATCTCAAATAACCGAATTGTTGATTAGAGTCCTATAAATCGGAACAGGGTATAACGAACTGAAGGAAATCACAAGAAAACTTGCTTCTAAACATGTAAAACACAGGTAAACACACCAGCGCTAACTCGAACTTGACCTGTTCATGACGTCAGTGCGTGTTGACACAGAACGTGAGTTAGAATAGCTTGAATTCCCTCACAATTTGTATGAACTTGATTACCGGCAAAATTGTTCACAAATCGTTGGTTGAATTAACCAAAGTTCATTTAAGAATACTCGCTTTCTTTTTTAAACAAAAAAATTGATAGAAAATGTTGCAAACTAATTCCATTAAAATCATAACCTCACTTTCAGACAACAAACGTATGCAACACACAATACACCGCAACCAATTTTCATTCAGATTTAAAAACTGAAATTACAAGAAATCCACACAGAAAACGAACTTTCCAGCTTAAAACCGCTTTATTACTTTATTTATTAAACGCAGCACATTTGTGTTTCTTCAAATTCGAGCTATTCTTTCCTCTGTACGTACACTTTCCACACGCGTACCACTTGGCGTCCTTTCCGTCCAGATGCCGCGCATTCACGTGACTTTTCAAATGGTACTTCTGTTTAGACTTGTACGGACACTCTTCACAATAAAACCACTGCACACTATTTTCGTCCACGTGCTGATTATTCATGTGTTTTTTCAAATCGATGTGTCGTTTTCCTTCGTACGGACACAGCGTACATTTATGCAATTTCACGTCCACTAGAAACGACTTCTTTTGCTCCACGTGACGCGCATTCATGTGTCTTTTTATATGAAAACTGAACTTGGTCTTGTAGGGGCATTTTTCACATTCGTGCCACTTAACGTCACGTCCGTCTGAATGGTGCGTGCTTACGTGAATCTTCAAATTGAACTTGTGTTTAGCTTTGTATGGACACTGGTCGCATTCAAACCATTTAATATCGTGCTCGTCCACATGGCGCGACGTCACGTGTTTTTTCAAAAGAGAGTTCATTTTGGTTGTGAAAGGACACTGTTCACACTTGAACCAACTAACGTCGTTTCCGGATAAATGGTTCAGGTATATGTGGCTTCTCAAGTAGGAGTTTTGCTTGGTTCGGAAAGGGCAGCTTTTACATTCGTACCACTTGATGTCTTTTTCTTCAAGGTGATGAAACTTGATGTGTCTTTGTAAACCCGAACTTCCTTTGGATTTATACGGACACTTGTCACAGTTGTGCCACTTGATGTACCTTTCGTCCAAGTGCCTAGCCACGACGTGCTTATTTAAAGAACCTTTTTCTTTGGTTTTGTACGGACAAACTTCACATTCGTACCACCGGATTTCTTCGTTATTCAAGTGAATAGCGTTTATGTGTCTTTTTAAATTCCCCTTTTGCTTAGTTTTGAACGGACACAAAGTGCATCGGTGCCACAGGATCTCCTCGTCGTTCAAGTGTTTCGAAATCGTGTGTGTTTTCAAACAATTCTTATACTTTGTTCTGAAATGACACTGGTCACATTTATACCACCCAGAAGCTCGGCGGTCCCTTGGAGGGTTCACCTTATTTCTGAAACACACATTAGTGTGTTGGAGCCACTTCATCGAGAAGTGGGTGTAAAAGTTGCACTTGCCACAAACGTAATTCGCGTACTGGAATTGTTTTTTAGTGTCACGATGTTCTTCGATGTGTTGTTTGAAACGCAGAATTAGTTCAGACTGGAAATGGCATTTCGTACAAGAGTACGTTTCAATGGGGTTTTCACAGTTGAAGAATGACAAGGGTGAGGTGTGCCGATTTTCGTGATTTTCCATCAGAAAAGGGGATGTTGTAAAGTATGGACAAACGTTGCAGTTGTGGATGGTGAAAGGGGTGGATTTTCCAGGAGGCATTTTGCTCCTCTGAAAGCGAGACTGTTATAAATGGTGTAGAAACGTTTATTACGTTGCGTTTACCTGACAGGATTCAATAGAAAGTCGTTCGAATGAGGGACATAACCTCAAAAAAGACGGGGGTTACCAATGAGCACTACCTAACGACGTTAAACATTAAAATCATTGCTTGAACTTAACGAATTTGGAATTGTTTACGTCGTTTCTTGTTAAAAATTCCGCAAATTTATTTTTCTTCGAAAAATGTATCCTAACCTCACAAATTCAATGAACTTCGGGTATAGGCAACCAACTATACACCTCCTTTTTTACAGTTATTTTCGCAATAAATGAGAATTTAAAGTCTGCATTCTGTATATATTTTACTTTACGAATTTTTAAAATCATATATTACTACTCTAGAGTAGCTACTTTACAATTAAATTGAATTGTGTGCTGCATAAGCAGTTTTTGAGGTTATGTTGTTTATTTACCATGGTGTATCAATAGATTTCTTCATGCATTTCGACTGCGCTAACACAACCATCGAAACCTACTACTGTAAAAATTGCGACTTCAAAACCTTATTAACTCTCCTTTTCAAACAACACACTAAAACACACGGAGAACAAATTCCGTCAATTAAAAACTACAAGATCCGAAAGTATGTTTGTAAGAAGTGCCCCTTTGAAACCCACTCCTTGCTCATGTGGCTTCAACACACCACAGACTGTTCCAAAACCAAAATGACCCAAATCCTGGACGTTATTAAATGGTATAAGTGCAGCCGCTGCCACACCAAGTACCCCAACCCATCTGCTTTAAGGCGCCACAAATCTTCCCAACACTTGGGTCACGCTTGGTACCAATGCATAAAATGCCCATACAGAGCCAAAGAAAACTACCTTTTGAAAAGACACATCAGTGCTCGCCACCTAGACGACAAAGACATCAAATGGTATAAATGTGAACAGTGCCCGTACAAAGCCAAACAAAGCAGCAATTTAAAATCGCACATTAACATCCACCATTCACACGAAAAAGACATCAAATGGTATAAGTGCGAACACTGCATATATCAGAGTAAATATAACTCCCATTTGAAAAATCACGTAAATGCACACCACTCCCTCGACCAAAATATAAAGTGGTACGAATGTAAATTGTGTCCATACAAAACCAAACAGAACTCGAATTTGAGGCTACACGTGACTGCGCGCCATTTGGACGAGAAAGACATCAAGTGGTACGAATGCAAACATTGCCCCTACAAAACCAAAAATAACTCAAATTTGAAAAACCACACGAAGGCGCGTCACTTGAGTGCGGACGATATCAAATGGTATGAGTGTGGGGAGTGTTGTTATAAAACTAAAAGGAATTATAGTTTGAAAAGACACATAAGTGCGCTGCATTAGTGTGAGATGTCCAACGAGTTATATAAATTAATGTTGTCAGTGTACTCTTCCAAAATTTGTCTTTCTTTTGGTAGTAAAGTGAAAATTAGCAATAAAACAAGTTTTTATTGATTCAATGCACAAAAGTGAGGTTAGAAACGACGTGTCAAAGTTATGCTCTAATTTGGTTTCTATCATTCAGATGAATTAATTAACCTTCTGTCAGTCTTTTCGGATCAAACTTTCCCTTATAAAGTCAACAGATTCATGAGAAAGTCATGCAGAAACCAAATTTTGAAACATAACCTCAAAATTTGTCAATGTATGCAACCCAAAATACACATTTTGTCAACACGACTTTATTCAATTACAAAAATTTCGAGCTTTACATCCGTGTCAATATCTCGCTATTTAAATTTAACTTCGCCGTAATCTATGTTGATCTAAATGCTGAGCATTCACATGTCTTTTCAAATGATACTTCCTTTTGCCTTTATACGGACACGCTTCACACTGAAACCACTTAATATCCCGTTCGTCCAAATGCTGCGAATTTACGTGTCCGTTTAACGACGACGCGCTTTTGGTTTTGAACGGACACTCCCTACACTCGTACCATTTCATGTCCTTTTCGTCCACATGGTGCATGACGACGTGACGCTCCAAGTGCCCTTTGTGTTTACTTTTATATGGACACTGTTGACATTCGTGCCACTTTATGTCTTGTTCGTCTGAATGTGCGGCCATTATGTGTTGTTTCAAGTTCGAGCTTCTCTTACCTTTGTACGGACACTGTTCGCATTTGTACCACTTGATGTCTTCGTCGTTCAAATGGCGAGCAATCGTGTGGTTTTTTAAGTTGCCTTTGAGTTTAGTTTGGAACGGGCATTTTTCACATTTGTGCCACTTTATGGCGTGCTCTTCGAGGTGGCGCGTGGTTATGTGTCTTTTCAATTGGCTGTTTTGTTTAGCTTTGTAGGGGCAGTCGTCACATTTGTACCATTTAATGGCGCTGTCGTCTAAATGTCGAGAGATTATGTGTCTTCTTAAGGTTGAATTCTTTTTGGTTTTGTATGGGCATTTTTGACATTTTTTGTCTGCAGCACGCGGTTTTTTGATTATGAGACAACCGATGGTATGCTGGAACCATTTCATCGCAAAATGGGTTTCAAATTCACACTTTTTACAAATGTAGCTTTTGATGACGTATTTCTCATCTTCTGGGTGTTCTTTCTTGTTGGTATGACGGGCTTGAAAGTGTTGTTTTAGCACAGTTGCTAACTCCGTTTGGAAAACACACTTCAAACAGGAATAAAATCCAATGTTATTGGTTTCACAGTCGAACTGTTGGAGAGATGGGTGGTCTTTCAGGTGGCTTACCATGAGGCAAAGAGACGTTGTAAAGAAGGGGCAAATTTTACAGTGATGAGTATTTTTACAGGAAGCTCTCAGTTTTACCATAAACTTATCCGAATCGAACGACATTGTAAATGGACGTTTTCCCCCTAAAAATTCATTAACTAACTTATTTGTGCAATTAAAATGACTTAATATTTACTTTCTAACAAAATTTTGTAGAAAATTTATTAGTCAGCTAACATAACCTCACTTATGAAGTATGCAACACACAATTCGACTAAAGTGGGGTTAGAATTAGAAACGACACATGTGTATTGTGTGTTGCATACATAACGTTGCACAAAATGGGTTCATCGTTTCATTTACTTTTTAATTAGTTTTATAGGGACACTTTTCACGCACATGTTTTTTTAAACTCGAAGTCCACTTAGTTCTAAACGGACACTTTCCGCACGCATACCACTTAATATCACTTTCTTCCGAATGACGCACGGTGTGTTGTCTCAAATTACAACTCCACTTTGTTTTAAAGTCACACTGCTCACATTGATACCACACAATGTCTTTTTCGTCCAAATGGTGGCTATTCACGTGCTTTCTTAAATAGCGGTTGCTCTTAGCCCTATATGGACACTTTTCGCACTCAAACCACTGAATACTACTTTCATCCAAGTGTCGCGCATCCATGTGTCTTTTCAAACACTGCTTTTGCCTCGTTCTGAACTCACACTTCGTGCATTCGTACCACTGTATATCCGTTTCTGCCAAATGGCGCAACTTGTGGTTTTTCAAAGAAGTGCTGTGTTTCGCTTTGTACGGACACTCACTACATTTAAACCACTTGATCAGGGTTTCATCTAGGTGCTGTGTCCTCATGTGTCGGTTCAAAGATTTTTTGTGTTTGGTTTTGTGGTTGCACTGGTTACACTTGAACCATTGGACTTTGCCGGCCAAATGATGGGGCGCGGATTTGTTTAGAGACATTGTTGGTTTAGTCTTGGCCCCCACACAAATTGAAGCATGTTGAAGCCACTTCATCGAAAAGTGGGTTGTGAAGGGGCACTTTCGACAAAGGTACTCTTGAATGGTGCATTCTTGGCGATGCTGTTGTTTGACGGTGTGTACGTTTTTGAGGTGGTGTTTGTAAAAACATATCAGCTCGGTTTGAAATTCACAGCTTTTGCAGTCGTAGGTCTCTAGACGCGCATTTTCGCAGTTAAAAGGGCGTCGAGGTAAATGGGCGTTGAGGGAAAACGATCTTGAACAGAGTGGATGAATCTTGCAATTTTTCTCTGAATGTTCAGAGGATGACATACTGCTGTACCTGCACATGGTAATTTTATTAAAGAATTAAGTGTACACCGAGACTAAGGTGTTTTTACCTAGAACGTTTGCCGACCAGACATAGTCCACCAACTGACTAAGATTTTAAGTTAATAAAACTTATCAAAGTTTTTTTCTCTTAAAAAAAACTTGGGTTAGAAATATGCCGTGTATTGTGTGTTGCCTATGCAACTTTGAGGTTATGTCAGTTTATTTTATAAATTGTACCAATTTGCTTCCGCATTATTCGCATTCAAACGGTTTGACCGTTAAATGCACATTTTGATGTTTTTTAAATTGCGCACTTGTTATTGCTTTTTTTTTTAATTCAAAGTTTGAAATTGAAATGGTAATTTTTGCTACTAACGCTAAGGTTGGCAATGAAATGACAACTGACATGATAAGACATTTCGCGCGGAAACTATTATTTGAGCATAACAACGTCTACAACCTGTGTGATAAGCGTGATTGATAGTAAAGGTATTTTTGTTTTTATTAATTAACAATCACATATGTATTAATAGTTATAAATTGTAACGTTGGTGACCCTTGAAAAGGTGCTAAATTGGTATTTTTTTTCGTTTAAAGGTTGGTACTGAATTGGCTAGTAGCCGTGCACAGCAATAGCACGTGTGTTCCGGATTGGATGTTTAGGTAAGTAAAGTGTTACTGTAATTCCCTAGTGTGATAAAACGGTTTTAGGCCCCCAAAATGTCAACTCTCGAATATTGTGAAGAACTCGCAACACGTGGGAGATCTTCATGGAAAAACGTGCACAACTGTAAACTATGTCCCTATTTTACCACATCGTTCTTCCTAATGGTAAACCACGTGCGAGGACACCGTTCATCTCAGGAAAAATTTACATGTTCGAACGCTAAAATCGAACCTTTTTACTGCAAAGACTGCGATTTTCAAACCGAATTCACGATCGTGTTCAAACAACACATCGATCAACATCAAAAAGAATCTCGAGACGATTTACCAAACGAGGACTTGGTTATCCAAAACTACGTGTGCGAAAAATGCGACTTCGAAACAAATTTCGTGTTAAAGTGGCTCCAACATGTTTCAGCATGCCCAGGGAAGAAAAAAAACCTCGAAAGTGAAAAAAATCTAACATACCATATCGGCTGGATGCTACTTGACGAAAACCGGTATTTACGACACAACATGGACAAGCGGCCTGCATGTGACAAGTGTCCATTTAAATGTCAAAGCAAAATCGACTTAAGGAACCACAGAAATCGCATCCACGCAGAAGAACAATATTCTGAGTGGCACAAATGTGACAAGTGTCCATTTAAAAGCGAATTCAAAAGTCAATTACAAAGACACATCAATTCGTTACACTTGAACGAACGCCTTAAATGGTACAAATGCAAAGAGTGTCCGTTCAAAACTAAAGATGAAGCGTCTTTACGCTTACACGTGAAACACCTAGATGAAAAAAAAAAGTGGAAGGAATGTGAAGATTGCGCCTACAGGAACAAACAGCTCTCATACTTAAAAGCTCGTATAACTTGTCGACATCTAAACAAAGACAAAGTCAAGCGGTACAAATGCGAAAATTGCCCCTTCGAAACCGCTTACCATTCGTCTTTAAAAAAACACGTGATTTGTCTACATTTGGATGACAAAGAAGTTAAGTGGTACGAATGCGAAGAGTGTCCTTATAGAAGCAAACTCGAGAAAGGTTTAAGGATGCACGTAGAACGTAAACATTCAAACACACTAGAAGAGTATAAGTGTGAGTACTGTTCTTATAAAAGTAATGCGAAGAAAAATTTAAAAAGACATGTGATGGTCCATTTGAACATCAGATCGCATCAGTGCGAATATTGTCCGTACAAGGCCAAAGACAAAACTTCTTTAAAGTGTCACATAAACAACCGCCATTTGGACGGGACGGATGTTAAGTGGTACAAATGCGAATACTGTCCTTTCAAAAGTAAAAACGGGTCGTCTTACAATTACCATAAAAAACACTCGTGGAGGTGTGGTTAATTTAATATAAGTTGGGTGTATTGTGCAATTATTAACGCAGAAAATAAAAATTAATAATGAACAAAGCAAAAACTGTTTTATTAACTTATGAAAACGCTCAAGAGTGGTTAGAAAATACAGGTGTATTGTGTGTTGCATACGTAACTTTGAGGTTATGTTTCTTTAAATTTTATTTTATTAATTTATTTACACATTTAAAACAATTTATCAAAACAAACACAACTAAAATGGGCAACTCATTAATAAAGAAACAATTTTAATACAAAATATAAAACGTGTTATACATGTCTTTTTCTGTGATCATAAAAATACGACGAATTTTTAGTCTTGTAAGGACAGTGCTCGCAGTTGTACCATTTAGCTTCCGCCCCATCCAAATGCCGGTAATTTATGTGACACTTTAAAGCAGAAATGTACTTCGTCTTGTACGGACAATACTCACATTCATACGATTTGATCTCCACATGAACCGCAACGTGCCTTTTTAGGTTACTTTTCGCTTTAGTTTTATATGAACAGCGCGCACATTCATACCATCTCGGTTTTTTCGAGTGGACACGATTTATGTGCCCCCTTAAATTCGAATTGGATTTGGTTTTAAAAGGACACTCTTCGCATTCGTACCATTTCAGTTCTTTTTCGCACAAATGTCGCGTATTTACGTGCTTTTTTAAATTCCCAGAATGTTTAGTTTTGTATGGGCAATTGTCACATTCGTACCACTTAATTTTTTCTTCGGATAAGTGGTTCGTAGTCACGTGTCTTTTTAAATATTTTTCGTGCTTAGTGGTGAATGGGCACTCTTTGCATTCGTACCATTTAATAATGTCTTCGTCATTCAAGTGGACGATGTTTTTGTGTCTTTTCACGGTGGTTTTAGTTTTCGTTTCACGAGGATATTTTTCAGCATCTTGTTCATGATTTAGACTCCGTTTTCTTTTGATTCTTGTGCATGCCGAACAATGTTGAAGCAACTTCAACGAGAAATTTGTTTCAAAGTTGCATTTTTCGCAAACATAACTTTTTACAATGAAGTCCTCACTTGATAAATCTTCTCTGAATTCTCTCTTGATGCAGTGATGTTTATTACAGTGTTGTTTGAACAGAAGCGCTAATTCAGTCTTAAAATCGCAGTTTTTACAGCAATAGGCTTCAATTTTGATAATGTGGCATGTTGACATTTTTTTAGCTAAAATTTATTATTACACTAAGGAAGCAAATTCATTTTTGGTTACCTAAATCGCTACACGGTCAATCCTGGAACTGATCGTCTGTGATTAAACTGAAAATCTCTCAAATACCTAAACATTAATAAAACTATGTTCTTTGTTGATTGACTGACAAGTTAGGTTAGAAACATGTGTATTGTGTGTTGCATACGCAGCTTTGAGGTTATGTCAAATCATTTTTATTCATTTAAATTACGGTTTAATTGTATTTGAACAAGGTTGTGGTAAGAAAAGTGTGACAAAACGGTTTCAGACAACCAAAATGTCAATTTTGGAGTACTCTGAATCTCTTCAAGCAGTGGGAAAATCTTCATGGAAAAACGTCCACAACTGTAAACAGTGCCCCCATTTTACAACGTCACTGTTGGGTATGGTGAACCACGTGCGACGACACCGCACCCCCCTGGAAAAATTTACTTGCTCCAATGCCGAAATTGAGTTGTTTTACTGTAAAGACTGTGATTTTAAAACAGAACTAACAATTCTGTTCAAACAACACCTTAGTAAACATGACAAGAAAGACGATTTGTCAAGTCACGACTTTGTTATACAAAAGTACGTTTGCGAAAAATGCGACTTTGAAACAAATCTGTCGTTGAAGTGGCTTCAGCACACTGCAGCATGCACTGGGAAAAAAAGTGTTACCGAAGAAATACATTGGTACTACTGTACGCAATGCCCCTACAAAGCTAAATACAAAAATTATTTACGACGTCACACCGAAAATTGCCATTTGAGCAAGCGGTACGCTTGTGACAAGTGTCCCTATAAAAGTAGACGTCGGAAATGTTTAAGAATCCACGTAAATTGTGTCCATTTAGACGAAAAAGACGCCGAATGGCACAAGTGCGAAAAGTGTCCTTTCAAAACCAAGTCAAAAACTAGTTTAAAAAGACACTCCGACAGCTTACATGTTGTTCAGTGGCACCAATGTGTCCAGTGTCCGTTCACAACCAAGCATAAAAGATATTTAAAAACCCACGTGGCTGTGAAACACGTAGACGAAGAAAAAATTAGGTGGTTTGAATGTAAAAATTGTCCATACAAAACCAAACGAATGTCGTATTTAAAAAGTCACGTTACGTTCCAACATCTAGACGAAGAAAAAAATAAGTGGTTTAAATGCGAAAATTGTCCATTCAAAACTACGTACAAATCGAGTTTAAAAAATCATATGATTTGTCGACATTTGGACGAAAAAGAAGTTAAGTGGTACGAATGCGAAGAGTGTTCTTTTAAAACTAAACTTCAGAAGAGTTTAAAGATGCACATAAATCGTAATCATTCGAAAACATCAGAACTATATGAATGTAAGTTCTGTTCCTATAAAAGTGAAGCCAAACGGAATTTAATAAGGCATGGGAAAGTCCATTTGGACGTCAGATCCTATAACTGCGAAGATTGTCCGTACAAGGCGAAAGACAAAACTTGTTTAAAGCGCCATATAAACAACCATCATTTGGATGGGACGGATATTAAATGGTACAAATGCGAACACTGTCCTTACAAGAGTAAAAATGGGTCCACTTTGTATCACCACAAAAAGTACAATTGTAGTTGTAAGATTTAATTTATAAACATTAAGTGCGATGTTGTATCTTGGGTTTTTTTTCATTAAAGTTTTTAAGGAACAAGAAAATTGAAATTTTATTTTTTACATTGTAAACGCTTAGAAGTTGGGATATAAATACGATGTGTATTGTGTGTTGCATACACAACTTTGAGGTTATGTCATTTTATTTTTATTAAATTGTTTAAAAATGTAAAATAATTATCACTGACACTAAATACGCTAAATTTTTAGAATCAACACGTCTAGATCTACATCGGTGAATTTTTTGAGGATACAGATTATACTGTACATTAAATTCATTAAAACACCACAATTCAGTTTTTTCTTCAAGTTTTAATGAAAAGATGGTTACAAAACATAAAACATGTTCCAACAATTACCTCACCAAACTAAAACGAACTATATCTTACACATATTTTTCCTATGATGATAAAAATTCGATGAATTTTTAGTCTCATAAGGACAGTGTTCGCACTTGTACCACTTCACTTCCGCCCCAGCCAAATGTAGATAATTTCTATGCCGCCTCAAATCGAACGTGCGTTTCGTCTTATACGGACAAAATTCGCACTGATACGATTTTTCCCTCGAATGGACCACTGCATGCCGTTTAAAATTTGTTTTCGATTTACTTTTATACGAACAGATGGCACATTGGTAGCACTCTAATTTTTTTAAATGCACGACCTTTTCTTTTTTGGATGAATGCTGACTATTCACGTGTCGTTGCAAATTCCACAAATGTCTAGATTTGAACGTGCAATCTTCACATTCGTACCACTTGACTTTTTTTTCGTCTAAATGCTTCAAAATTCGGTGTCTGTTTAAATTTCCCCTGATCTCAGTTTTAAACGGACACTCTTTGCAATGCAACCATGTAATGTCTTCTTCGTTTGAGTGCGTAATTATTCTGTGTTTGTTTAAATCGGTTTTTGTCGTGGTCCTGAATGGGAATTTTTTGCACTTCACTTCGGCGTCCTTTTTATGTAAATGGAATCGCTGGATGTGGCGTTTTAAATTTCCTTTATGACTAGTGGTAAATGGACAATTTACACATTTATGGCCTTTTTTGCGGTCTTGGTGTTTTACATTTACGTGGAGTTTTAAACTGGATTTATACTTTGTTTTGAATTCACATTCATCGCATTCGTACCATTTAACGTCTTGTTCGTGCATGTGTATGAACTTCAAGTGCTGATTTAAACTCTTTTTTAACCTACTTTTGAAAGAACATTTTTCGCACTTGTGCCATTCACCATCTTGTTCATCTAAGTGGCTCATTTTCATGTGGAAACGAATACTTTGTTTATATGGAGTAGTATATGGACACTTGTCGCACCTATACAGCTTGTTCAAATCGTGTTTTCTTGAATGACGTTTTAAATTTCTTTTGACTTTAGTTTTGTAGGAACATTCCCCACAATAATACCAACATATTCCGTCATTCTGTTTCAGAGAACTCACATTTTGAGGAGTTTCTTTCGTCCCTGTGCACTCTGAAGTATGCCGAAGCCACTTTATCCAGAAATTTGATCCAAAGTCGCATTTTTCGCAAACATAATTTTGTACACTGAAGACTTCACTTGATAGATCTTTTCCAGATTCTTCCTTATTGCCGTGATGCTCGTTAATGTGTACTTTGAACAGAATCGTTAGTTCTGTTTTAAAATCGCAGTCTTTACAATAATACGCTTCGATTTCGTGGTGACAAGCGAATTTTTTCACGGGGAAACGGTGTCGTCTCACGTGGTTTATCATACCCAAAAGCGATGTCGTAAAATAGGCGCACAGTTTACAGTTGTGGACGTTTTTCCATGATGATCTTTCCGAACTTTGAAGAGATTCAGAATATTCCAACATTTTGGCTGGTTCACACTAACCTAACTTTTTTACGTCAAAAATGACACTTCAATTATTTGATGAATAAGAATATTTTACTGCACTTTAGACGATGTTAATTTCACCAAAAACAAAGTCAGACTATTCCAAATAATTCTAAATAAAAATTAAAAACTTTTGCATAGAATTTTAGTCTCTAATAATTCTATGAACTTTTGGGTAGCATAACCTCAAAAACCAAAGATCTGTGTGCGATAGGCAACATACAATACACCAAAAAATTTGTACACGATGTAGCAACAAAAATACGCATTTATTAAACAAAAATATCTCCATTGGTTGTTAAAGTACAATCAAACGCTGATTTCATCCCCGTAATGTCTTGCTTTCACATGCCTCTTCAAATCAAACCTCTTTTTACTCCTATACGGGCACTTTTGGCACTCGTGCCATTTAACCTCCTTCTCGTCCAAATGGCACGAATTCACGTGGTACTTCAGGCGCGACTTTTGCTTAGCTTTATAAGAGCACTCCTTACACTTGTACCACTTAATCTCCTGGTCATCCAGATGCCTCACAATCACGTGCTGCTTCAAATTATGACTATAAACCGTTTTAAAAGGGCACTTTTTGCATTCGTACCATTTAATATCCTTCTTATCCAAGTGCCGCCTCACCGTGTGACATTTCAAAAGAAAATTCTGCTTAGTCTTGTACGGACACTCCTTGCACTCGTACCACTTAATCTCCTCCTCATCCAAATGCACATTATTCATGTGCCTTTTCAAATTATAGTCCTGTTTAGTCTTGAAAGAGCACACCCCACATTCGTGCCATTTGACATCCTCATCTTGCAAATGCAGCCTGTTTATGTGATTTTTCAAATAATAGTTTCTCTTAGTTTTAAAAGGACACTTGTCACACTTGTACCACTTGATGTCTTTCTCGTCCAAATGTTGCGCGATTACGTGCTTCTTCAAACATGAGGTCTGTTTCGACTTGTAGGGGCACTGCTCACATTTATACCACCGGATGTCTTTTTCGTCCAAGTGGTGGCGTTTCACGTGACGCTGCAAATAAGATCTGTGTTTAGCTTTGTATGGACACTTTGTGCATTGCTGCCAACGGATGTCGTCTTCGGTGATATGTTTCGAGCTTTTGTGGAGGTTTAAATTCCACCTGTATTTAGACTTATAGTCGCACTGGTCACAATTGTACCACGTAAAAACGTTTTTTCTTGAATTTTTAGTGGTTATTTTGCTACAAGTGGACGCATGCTGAAGCCACTTTATTAAAAAATGGGTGTCAAAGGAGCACTTGTTACAGATGTATTTCTGGATGGAGGGTTCAACCTGGTGTTCTTGTTTGATGTTGGTGTGGTTGTGACGATGGAGTTTATAAAAGAGGGTTAATTCGGTGTGGAAATTGCAATCTTTGCAATGGTAGACTTCGATGCGATTTTTACAGTCAAAGTGGGTCATCATGAATCGCCTAAAATCACCATTTGGTTAAATTTTTATTAAAAGAATAAAAATTAAGCGTCAACATAACCTCAAAATTTGACTTCTCATTTATCCTTAAATGCATAAGCGGTTAAATTTTGTGCAATTGCAGCCACGTGTGCTTCATTTTATGTGTAAATTTAGTGGAAACTTTCACATTTGCTAATAATATTTCATATATTAAAAAAAAATAGGAACTACATAACCTCACATTTTGAAACAAGTTATACAACACACAATTCACTATCAAAATATACACAAACTTAATTATTTATATAATTTATTTTATAAAACGTCGTTAAACCTCTCATTAATCAACTATGTTCAAATTATAATCAATTAAAATGTGCTGTTTTCCAATAACCAGTAATAACATAATTTAAAATAAGTTATGCAACACACAATTCAATATTATTAATCCTCTACCAATTGTAGGGGCACTCTTTACAAATGACAACCGTTCACATGCCTCCTCAAATTGGCATACTGCTTGGACCTGTACCGACACACTTCGCATTCGTACCATTTAACGCTCTCCTTATCCAAGTGATGCGCATTTACGTGAATTTTCAAATGCGCGTTCCGTTTAGCTTTGTACGAACACCTATCACATTTGTACCACTTGATGTCTTTCTCGCTGCAGTGGCGTTCCTTGACGTGCTTCTTTAAATTCGCTTTACGTCTCGAGCGGTGTGGGCACTGATCACACTTGAACCACTTCACGTCTTGGTCGTGCACTTTTACGTGTCGCTGCAAATAAATTTTGTGTTTGGCTATGTAGGTACATTTCGGGCAGGGGTGCCAACGGATTTCGTTTTCGGTCGGGTGTTTCGCGCTCTTGTGCATGTTTAAGTTGCATTTGTATTTGGATTTGTAGTTGCATCGGTCGCAACTGAACAAAGTGTAGATGTTTTTTCGGTGGGGGTTTTGTTTGGTTCGGGTACACGTTGTGATGTGCTGGAACCACTTCAAAGAGAAATGGGTGTCGAAATTGCACTTGTCGCACGTGTATTTGGGGATGGGGTAGTCAGGGGGCTGTTTAGTTTTGTGGTGGTTTTTGAGGTGGCGTTTAAAAAGGAGGGTCAGTCCCGTCTGGAAATAGCACTCTTTGCAGTAGTACACTTCGATCTGGCTATTCTGGCAGTTGAAATTGAGAAAAAGCGACTTATCGAGTAACATAACCTCAAAAATCAGTTGAGCGAAAAATAGATTAACGACGTGCCAAAATTCGTTTCTAACTAATCTTGGGTCTACGAATACGACATCGTTTGTAAATTTGTCCACAAATCACGAATAATATTAAAAATACTTTCCAATTAACACACACATAGCTCAAACATAACCTCAAAAAAATCGCATATATGCAACACACAATACACACCAGCTCGTTTTTAAATCTTTATTGATACATATAAATTTAGTGTCTCCTTTTTACGTGCGTTTTCAAGTCAGAACTGTGTTTAGCTTTAAAAGCACATTCTGTGCACTTGTGCCACTTAACCTCCTTTTCGTCCAAGTGGTGATTGATCCTGTGACTACGCAAACTCGAGCTGTCTTTGGCTTTAAACGGGCACTCTTTGCATTCATACCACTTGACGTGCTCTTCGTCCAAATGATGCACGTTTATGTGTAAATTTAAAGCTGATTTGTGTTTCGTTTTGTATGTACAGTTTTCACAGTGATACCACTTGACGTCCTTGTCGTCCAGGTGGCGACTGATCGTGTGGCTGCGTAAAACCGAACTGTCTTTAGCTTTGTACGGACATTCCTTACACTGAAACCATTTGACGTCGTTTTCGTCCAAGTGATGAACGTTAATGTGCACCCGTAAAGCCGACTTGTGTTTAGTTTTGTATGGACATTTGTTACACGTATGCCACTGAATATTGTCGTCTTCTGAGTGCTGGAATTTCACGTGTCTGGTTAAGTCGCTTTTTTGTTTTGATTTGTATGGACATTTGGCACATTCTTGCCATTGAATATCTTGTTTCGGGTGGTGTCTATAAGTGTGGCGTTTTAAATTCGAACTGTATTTGGTTTTGTATGGACACTCGTGACATTCGGACCATTTAATATCCGCACGGGTTGTACATTTCGCTTGAATTTTGTTATTCCGAGTCAGACATGTCGTAGTATGTTGATACCACTTAATCAAAAAGTGGGTTTCAAACCTACAGCGTTCACACACGTACGTTTGAATCGTGTATTCGGTTTCTTTTTTGACGTTGTGGTGTTTCTCAACGTGTTGTTTGAAAAGTAGGGTTAGGTCTGTCTGAAAGTTGCAGTTTTTGCAGAGAAAGGGTTCGATGTTGCTATTTTCACACTTGAAAGGTACCCCTGAGGAACAGTGGAGTCTCATGTGGTTCGCCAGGAGGAAAAATGAGGTCGTAGAATAGGGGCAAACTTCACAGTGGTGCACAAAATTTTCTGAATCCAGAATTGACATTGTAGTAAACTAAAAGACATCATGTAACTTGTCCCCAATTAAGTCTTACCTTACCTCATTATCAAAATAAAGTTCTTAACCTAACCTCAAAATCGAGCCAGTCAATTTTCAGCTTGTTCTTGTAATTACGAACACCATTTATGTTAAATTAACACGACAAAACGCTATTTCTCGACTTAAATAACACAAACTTGTTCTATTTTGATTGTTTATTGCCCAAAATTAACATGACAGAAGCAGAAATGTCAAATTTAGTTACTTTTGTTTTATAACTAGAAGCCCCAAACCAATAAACAAAAAAATAATCATTATTAGTCCAAATGGTGCGTAAAATTGGGCGTTTGCGTCTTTGTTCGTTTCACTCCAGTGACAAATCACCCACAAGCGAAAGTTTCAGCAACTTTAAAGTACTAATAAAACAACACAACCTCACTTTATCACCCACCGCGTGTATGCAACCCACTATACACATCGTTACTTATCCATATGCCTCGCAATCATGTGACATTTCAAATGGTAGCTCTGTTTGGCCTTATAAGGACACTTTTCGCACCCGAACCACTTCACCTCCCCCTTACTTAAGTGCCTCGCATTCACGTGCCTCATCAAATCACACTTCTGCTTACTTTTGTAATCGCACTTGTCGCAGTCGAACCACGTAACTTCCTTCCTCTCCGAATGCTGTCGCTTCATGTGTTTGTTCAAATTCGAGCTGAACTTGCTCTTGTAGCTGCACTCTTTGCACCCGTACCACTTGACTCTTTCCACGTCCACGTGGATCGCGTTCACGTGGCTTTTTAAATTCGAGACTTGTTTAGCTTTGAATGGACATTGTTCACACTTGTACCACTTGATGTTCTCTCCGAGCGAATGGTGCGCGTTGATGTGCGATTTCAAAATGTATCTTTTTTTGGCTTTGTAGGGACATTCGTCACATTTGTGCCACTTGACGTCTTCTTCGTTCGTGTGCCAGGCGTTTATGTGTCGCTTTAGGTAGCCTTTATGTTTGGCTTTGTATGAACAGGACGGACAGTGGAACCAACGAATTTCTGTGTCGTTGGTGTGTTGGAGGATTTTGTGGGTTTTTAGAGATTCTTTTATTTTGTATTTGCGCTCGCACTGGTCGCAGTAGTACCATGTGGTGACTGTGGTGCGGAGGTCTTCGAGAGAAGCCATGATTTGGCTGGTTTCGGTTAATCGGAAGCAAGCAATGGCGTGCTGAAGCCATTTCATTACGAAGTGGGTTTCAAAGTCGCACTTTTGACAAACGTAGCTGCGGATGGATTCTTCTTTTGTTAAACCTTCGTATTTGTGGTCTTGGAGGTGCAGTTTGAAACGAAGGGTTAGTTTGGTCTGGTAACTACACTGGGTGCAATGGTACTTCTCGATGGGGGCATTTTCGCACTCGAAGGGGCTTATCCTTGAATAGGGGAATCCAAACATGCTCGCCATAATAAATTCTGAAATAGTATTTTTTTAATTATTTAGTGTCACGTGGAAGAAATCAATTTTTTTTTTACCTGTTATAACATAACCTCACAATTTCTATTTCTGCATAGAACCACGTTTGATTCAGCTAGAGCCTCAAGTCACTCGAAAACTCGTGTTTTTCATTCTTTATCGTCTTTAAAACCGATTTTTGTGTTTAAACTATTCTTTTACCAACAAAGAACAACTGTATCAAACGTCAACACAGCAATGTATGCAACACACAATACATATTTTGAAAACTCAGTCAATTTTGGTGTTAAATCAGTAACAACTTTTCTACCAAACTTTGTTTTATTATAAACACACATAGGAGATCTTTTAATCTAAAATCTATAACTCCAACGAAAAGAATAACTACTTTCTCCCCTTATGTCTCGAAAAAATGTGTTTCTTCAAATGCGCGCTCTGTTTACCCTTATACGGACACATTTTACACTCGAACCATTTAATCTCCTCCCCTTCCGAGTGTCGCGCGTTCACGTGAACATCCAAATTCGCTTTACGTTTGGCTTTGTACGTACACTTGTCACACTTAAACCACCTAATATCCGACTCAGCATCCGAATGTCGCGCATTTATGTGTGTCTTTAAGTGAAAATTTCTCTTAGCTTTGTACGGGCACTCTTGACAATAAAACCACTTGATGTCTTTTTCGTTCAAATGTCGTGCATTGTTGTGACTTTTCAAATCGCCTTTCTGTTTAGTTTTATACGGACACTTGTCACATTCGTACCATTTAATTTCCGGACCGTCTGAACAGTGCGTAATTACGTGTCTTTGCAGTTGTGCTTTTTGTTTAGCTTTGTATGGACACTGTTTGCATTCGTACCACTTAATATCGTGCTCGTCTAGGTGCAATCGACTCACGTGTTTTCTTAAATTGGAATTATATTTAGTTTTGAATTGGCACTTTCCACATTGGTACCACTTAATGCTGTGCTCGTCCTTGTGGTGCACGTTCATGTGGCAGCTCAAGGACGAGTGGTGCTTGGCTTTAAACGGACACTTTTTGCACTTGTTCCATTTAATATCGTTCTCGTTTGAACAGTGTACGTTCATGTGTTTGTTCAAACCTGTTCTGTACTTGGTTTTGTAGGCACATTTTTCACACAAGTACCAGCGGATTTCGTCGTCACTGGCGTGTCTCAGGAGAATATGTTCCTTCAAAGCGTACTTTGTTTTGTATTTACAGTCACACTGCTCACAGAACCAAATGTACGCCTCTTTAGAAGTCACTAGCTTGTCTTTATGTCCTGAACATATTATCTGGTGTTGAAACCACTTCATCGAGAAGTACGTTTCAAAGTTGCAGTGTGCACAAACATAGTTTCGAATGATGTGGTTGCGTACTGATTCGTTGTCTCGGAGGTGCCTCTTGAGGTGCTGTTTGAAAAGAAGGGTTAGTTCAGTCTGGAAGGTGCAGTCTTTGCACGAAAACGCTTCAAGTTTGCTATTTTCACACCTGAAATGTCGCAAGGATGAGTAGTGGCCCGACTTTACGGAGTATTCTAGAATCGACATTTTTGCCTAAAATTATACATTGGTTGTTTTATTACGTTATAAAAGTGGCCACTACACCGTCTTACTTCTTATTGTGTTCGAATTTTGTAAACACTTTTACAAAATTTCATCAACATAACCTCAAAGTTGGGTGACATATGCAACACACAATACACCCATTTTTTTGACAAATTGCTCGAAATTAAAAATAAAACCCATCTTCGCGGAACTAAATTATTAATAAGGAACATAATAAGCGAAATTAGTTATTAGAACATAAAATTGTAATAAAATCAATTTCGTCCACAAACAAAATTGTCAATTGCAGCAACTATCACCAGTAGATGGCGCCATTAAATTTTCACTGCAAGCTAAAGAGCGCGAAATTTGACTTTTTAACACACAATCAAACCCAGAACTATTGAAAATTTATTAATTAAAGAAATACAACAATCACCGTGCTATTTTGTCTGCGTATGTCGCGCAATCATGTGTTTCCTCAAGTGGGCGTTTTGTTTACCCCTATACGGACACAGGGTGCACTCAAACCACGTAATTTCGTCCCCCTCCAAATGCCTTGCGTTCACGTGAGCTTCCAAATCACCTTTTCGTTTGGCTTTGTAAGCACACTTGTCACATTCATACCGCTTAACACCTACAGAATTCGCATCCAGATGGCGCGCATTCACGTGACTTTTCAAATGACAGTTTCTTTTAGCTCTGTATGGACACTCCGTGCAGCAAAACCACTTTATGTCACTATCGTCCATATGTCGCGCGTTTATGTGAATTTTCAAGTCCCATTTGAGTTTGGATTTGTACGGGCACTTGTCACACTGGTAGCTTTTAGGTTCTTTTGTTTTAACAACCCTGGATTTCCCCGAATGGCGCGACTTTATGTGAGTTTTCAAATGAAAATTCCTTTTAGCTTTGTACGGACATTCTTTACAGTAGTGCCACTTAATGTCTTCGTCGTTCAAGTGTCGGGAATTAGTGTGACTTTTTAATAGTCCTTTGAGTTTAGTTTTATATTGGCATTTATCACATTCGTACCACTCCACATCAGGACCATCCGAATGATGGGTGATTATGTGTCTCTGTAAATGCGCTTTTTGTTTGGCTTTGTACTCACACACGTGACATTCGTGCCATTTAATCTCTTGCTGGTCTAAATGAAATCTTCGGACGTGTTGGTGCAACGAAGTGTTGTGTTTCGTTCGAAATTCACACTTGTCACACTCGTACCACTTGGCACTGTGGACATCAGAGTGGTGCACGTTCACGTGGCACCGTAAAGACGACTGATGTTTAGCCTTAAAAGTACACACTTTGCATTGATACCATTTCACGTCACTTTCGTCCAAATGGTGCACATTCATGTGGTTTCTTAATCCCGCTTTATATTTAGTCCTGTAGGCACAAATTTCGCACAAAAACCAGCGGATTTCGTCGTCGTGTGAATGTTTCACCATAATGTGCGCCTTCAAGGCGTATTTCGTTTTATATTTACAATCACACTCCTCACAAAACCACGTGTAGGCGGCTTTCTTCGTTTCATCTTCATCAAAAATTAATTTTTCTGCGCTTCCAGGACACTCTAGTTGGTGTTGAAGCCACTTGATCGAAAAGTGGGTTTCGAAGTTGCACTTGGCGCAAACGTAGTTACGGATGGTGTGTGGGTCGTCTGTGGAATCTTTGTTTAGTCGGTGATGGGTTTCCTGGTGTTGTTTGAAAAGAAGGGTTAGTTCGGTTTGGAAGTTGCACTGTTTGCATGAGTATAGTTCGAGATTGCTGCTTTCACACTTGAAATGCAGCAGCGATGAATGGTGGATCTTGCGGTGGTGCGCCAGGCGGAGGTTGGAGACCGTAAAGTAGGAACAAGCGTCGCAGGTGTGGACTTTCACGGGGCAAAGCTCCGGTTTTGTTAAAGACTTCTCGGGGTATTCCCAAAGTGACATGTTGCCTAAATTCAAAGAGTGTTACAAAATTGTTCAAAATACTTTTCGAAAACATAACCTACAATATTTGGGAAAGTATGCAACACAGAGTACACGAGTGACAGTTCGTTGATAGATAGGCAACACACAATACACTTGTGTTAAGCTGTCACCAAAAATAAATTAGAACTGAACAAATAAATAGAATGTGAATGAAAATTAGAAAGATACAAAACCAAATACCGCAAATTATTGTGTAAATTAAACTGATATAAGATTTTTTTCTCACGTGAAAATTAAACGTCAAAAGGTGGCGCCACTGTCGACTCAACAATGCCAACCTTAACAAAATCAAACTTCAACCAGTTGCCCCATTGTCCCCAAAAAACACTCATTACTCTCAACTACATCTTTTTTCATCGTTAAAAGTAAATACAACAAATACACCTTATTGCGCTGATGTACATTAAAATGTTACATGTAAAAAAAAAAACACTTTTGAAACCTAGTTCTGATGGAAATAACTTAAGCGGTGGATTCAGCTAACTTCTCTGCCTTCTGTACGACCTCTTCGATCGGCCCGACCATGTAGAAAGCCACCTCTGGCAAATGATCTAAATCTCCACCCAAGATCTTCTGGAACCCTTTGATGGTCTCGGCAAGGGGCACCAATTTTCCGGCGTGTCCGGTGAACACCTCAGCGACCTGGAAAGGCTGCGACAGGAAACGCTGGATCTTCCTGGCCCTAGCCACCGTCAACTTATCGTCTTCAGACAACTCGTCCATACCCAGGATGGCGATGATATCCTGCAGAGATTTGTAATCCTGGAGGATCTTCTGGACGCCACGAGCCACGTTGTAGTGCTCCTGGCCGATGATGTTGGGGTCCATGATACGGGAAGTGGAGTCGAGGGGGTCCACGGCGGGGTAAATCCCCAACTCGGCGATGGCTCGCGACAGTACGGTGGTGGCGTCCAAATGGGCGAAAGTGGTGGCAGGGGCGGGATCTGTCAAGTCGTCGGCGGGCACGTAGATGGCCTGCACTGACGTAATGGAGCCCTTCTTCGTGGTGGTGATGCGCTCCTGCATGCTACCCATGTCGGTGGCCAGGGTGGGTTGGTAGCCCACGGCGGAGGGGATACGACCCAAAAGGGCGGATACTTCTGAACCGGCCTGAGTAAACCTAGACACAAATAATCATTTTTATATTTAAATGACCCGTTTCGACGCTCTTTACCTGAAAATGTTGTCAATGAAGAGTAGTACGTCTTGGCCTTCTTGATCACGGAAATACTCGGCCACGGTTAAACCAGTCAGAGCGACACGAGCACGAGCGCCTAAAAAAATCCAGATTTGGTTGAATTAATTTTCAAAATGTCTGAAAAATAATCACCTGGGGGCTCGTTCATCTGTCCATACACCAACGCCACCTTGGACGTCTTATCCTTCAACGAAATAACCCCGGACTCAATCATCTCATGATACAAGTCATTCCCTTCACGGGTCCTCTCCCCCACTCCAGCAAACACCGAATACCCACCATGGGCCTTGGCTACGTTGTTGATCAACTCCATGATCAACACAGTCTTGCCGACGCCGGCACCCCCGAACAGGCCAATTTTACCGCCCTTGGCGTAGGGGGCCAACAAGTCCACGACCTTGATCCCAGTGACCAGAATCTCCTGTTCGACGCTCATCTCGACGAACTCGGGCGCTTCGGCGTGAATGGGGGCGACTTTGTCGGTGGGAACGGGGCCCCTTTCGTCGATGGGTTCCCCAATGACGTTGATAATGCGGCCGAGGGTCTCCGCCCCGACGGGGATCCTGATGGGGAAACCGGTGTCACTGACGGGCTGGCCTCTGACCAGACCCTCGGTACCGTCCATGGCGATGGTGCGCACTGTGTTCTCGCCCAAATGCTGGGCCACTTCGAGGACTAGTCTGGGGGTGCGGTTGTGGACTTCGAGGGCGTTGAGGATGGGGGGCAGGTTTTCGTCGAATTGGACGTCCACGACGGCACCGATGACGGCCACGACGCGGCCGGAGCCCTTGCCGGCAGCAGCGGCCTTGGCGGCGAAGCCTCGAGCTGAAATAAAAGTGAGGTTATAAAACTAATTTTCCGCATAAAATAAACTCGCATGTCTTAGGTCCAAAAATCATTGAGTTCGTCGTCAATATTGCGAATTACATTTTAACCCCTTGATTTTATAAATTCGTTAAGTGAAAAAGGTGATTTACGTAAGGCAAGATGGCTGACACCCCTTATTATGTAACACGATTTTCGGGATTTCGGGAGGGTTTTGGGGTCAATGGGGGTGGCAGTGGGGTAAAAGCGACCACCTCGAGTCGTATTTAACTCAGTCTTGTGGAGTTTTCGTGGAATTAACGCGATTAAAAGTGACCGGTTGGTGGGAGACAAGAAGGCAAAAATTTGCGATTTTTCGGTGAAAAGCGGACTTACATGATCCATTGTACACGGAGACGATTTTCATGGACTCACTGCCGAGTTTTTCGATGGTTTTTCCAGCCAGGAGGCTGGAGCCTGCTCTTGCCACGGCGCCCAACATGATTGACCTGAGAGAGTGATTCTGGGAGTCGCCACTAGGACGATTTGTGGCAGTTCCTTTTGCGCCTGCGCACGATCGATTTTTTTAGGGGGCGCCAAATTCAATTGGAACGTAATTCTCTAAGTCAAATTCAGCAAAAGCAAAATTTTTTAATTAATCAAAGTCCTGTCATTAGTGTCAAAATTCGGAGAGGCGCCATCTCGTGACCGGACAAACTCAACTTGTGAAAACATAAAATATTTATTAGTTAAAAAAGGCATAAATAAGTGTCTTATTTCACAGTTGGTCTTTCTCTAAGCTGTCAAGGAATGCTGTACAAGAACGCAGACACTGCTTGTAGCACTTTTCAAAACCCTCGGAACCGGAATCCTGCAATTTGAATATTATAAAGCCACTACAAACTCAAAAATAGACGTGGCAACGTAGAGTAATCGGTTATAAAGATCCACACTTACATAATACGGATCCCTAATAATCTTATCACCTTGAGGGTCATAATCCCCCAGCAGTAATATTTTTGCTTTGGAATTTGCAGGCGCTTCACGCTTCAAACCATCAATATTATTTTGGTCCATCCCAAAGATGTAATCAAACTCTACAAAGTCCTCTGTTTCTATCTACAATCCAAAAATCACCAAAAAAAAATCGGGCAACCTTATTTACCTGTCGAGCTGTATTGTTATAATCAATTTTATATTTAGCCAAAACCGCTCTAGCCCTCGAGTCGGGCCTATTACCGCTGTGCCAGCCCCCAAGACCCGCACTGTCCACTTTCCACTCGTGCGAAATGCCTCTTTCTTTCAAAAGATGCAAAAAAACGGCCTCTGCAATTGGAGAACGACAAATATTACCTACAAAAAAATGGAGAATAAGCGACTGATAAACACGCTTTATGGTTACTAGAACTTGCCAAGACACACAAAAAGGGCCCCTTTTGCCATTTTTCGGATATATTGGGGTCTAAAACGTTCGTAAAAAGCTAGGTTAGAATGACGTAGAATGACACATGCGCTTTTGTGGATACTCGGTCAGTCAAAGCCACAATTTCGCACGAATTACTCATTGTTGTTTTAATTTCCTTATACTATAAAAAAATTACAAATTATTTATTTTGTAATGTTGTCAAAGTTATTGGTTGAAAGTCGTTCGCGTTTCTAAGAACGCAGCACCCATTTATTAATCAGTGCGTCAACCGTGAGCGCGGTACCGGAAGCTCACTCAATCGATTGTTTTGTGTCATAACAAGAAAGTGAGAAACCTGACCCAGAACAAGAATCTCTTTTACAGTTCGACAAAATTCCCGTGTTGTTTGACTAGAAAAGGCGGACACAATGAAATTCCAATACAAAGAAGAGCATCCCTTCGAGAAGAGGAAGTCCGAGGGCGAAAAAATCCGCCGAAAGTATCCCGATCGAGTGCCAGTAAGTAAAAGACGTCATTGCGTTAAATTGGCTCGAAAACAAAGAAAATCGCTCGTTTGTGCGTCATTTCGGTTGATTCGTGCCGTTTGGTCGTTGTTCTGCGATTTTCGATCGATTTCGCGTTATGTCGTCATTTGTCCAATGTTGTTTTTGTGCACAAAGATAAATAGGAATATGGCGCTTCAAGGTCGTAATTCTATTCTGTCACAATCAGGTGATCGTGGAGAAGGCCCCCAGGGCCCGCATCGGCGACTTGGACAAGAAAAAGTATCTAGTTCCTTCGGATTTGACAGTTGGACAGTTCTATTTTTTGATTAGGAAGAGGATTCATCTGAGGCCAGAGGATGCGCTATTTTTCTTTGTAAATAATGTCATTCCCCCTACGTCAGCTACGATGGGCTCTCTCTACCAGGCGAGTCATTTTTTACAAACTTTGGGGTTATTAACTCGTTGTCGTGTTACAGGAACATCATGAAGAGGATTTTTTCCTGTACATTGCTTATTCCGATGAGAACGTTTACGGTGCAGAGGAGCTTTAAATAATTTTACAAGTCATTAATTTTTATAACTATCTAATTAAAATAAAACAGCGGTAAACATAGTTTTTATTTTATATAACATATTTTTGCATATTGTTTGACTTGGTAAACTCAATTATTGTGATAGATTAGTGTTGTTCATGTTTTATTTGCTAGGGTTGAAATAAAGGTCTTATTTTCAGTATAGGTGTGACGCAGAGCAGAGGATTTATTTCATCCACATTTGAATCACGAGTATTAGAATTATCTTGTGTAGAATGTAGACAGACACAAATAAAAAGTTTAAAAATAATTTTCTTATCTTTGCAAAAAAAACACCGTTGTTTACAGTCCACTGAAAAACAATCTTGCTGAAAATTGTGGTGAGTCATGAGTGTGCCGCCTACTCAAAATGCGCACTATACAGTCTGTTACATCAGTTGCCGCAACTCGATTTCAAAACACATTTTTTAAATTTGTATGTAGGCAACCAATAAATCAATTATTTTTGTTTACAAAATATTTCACTGAATGCCTTGTAGTTATAATACGTTGAACGTCGTTTAATTAATTAATTGAGGATAACTGGAATAAAAACAAAATGGAAATGATAGAAATCTGACATTTCTGGATATATTTGATGTTCTCAAAAGAGGGCGCCTTAGGTTATCATCTGTCAAGAACAAAACAAATGTCATCGAATGTGTTCCACACTAGAGAATTGCGCAAAATTGGGGTTTCTGTATGATGGGTTGCATAATGTTTAAAAAATTGCCACGTCTGCAGTGTTGTGATTGTTCCAACATCTGTCTCATACGCATATACATATGTTTATTTAATAAGTATGCATCATTCTATAATGTAATGTGTCCAAAACCCCCAAAATTTCGTAATTTTTTCGACTTTTTCCGGTGTGAATCTGTCTCCGCGGTGGGGGTAATTGAACGCGACCCTTGACACGGGCTACGTTCACGCAAGTCAAGTGTCAACGCTCCGTTCTAAATATACCTGTCAAAGTTTGTTGTTATTTATTTATTTTTTCACTCGTCCCAACATGGACTTTGTGATATCGGACGTAGCGACTGTCGAACAAGACGACGACGACGAGCCCCTCTTCGAGGTGACAAAAGTAGTGACAGTAGTGAAAGAAAAGCGGCCCTACCAACACCAGACCCGAGAGGTTAGGCCTACAAAGTACATAAAAATATGCTTCGTGCCGCTGTGCCCCAACACCTCGAAGTCCACCCCCGAAAAGATGTTCATCACGATACCCGTGAACCCCGCGCGGCGAAAACTGTGGTTGGACGCCGTCGGAAAGAGCGCCGTGGGGAGGAACCCCAAGTCTCCGATGTTCTGTTGCCAGGACCACTTCAACGTGAGTATGCACCCGGTCTAGAGTCTCTCTGACGACCGTTTCCAGCTGAAGAAGGACATGAAGAACTTCGAGGAGCACCTCAGACGGGGCAAAGTGCAAATGTTGCTGTACCAGACCGTGGTGCCGCACATCTTCATCTGTAACAAATACGGGCACTTGAAGAGGAACGAGCGAATAGACGTGCTGCGGAAATTACACGAAGAGAGAGATCTGAAAATGTCGCAGGAGCCTGATGAAGTATGGGTGTTGTCGGTGTACGTAAAGTGTGCTAAATGTTGTGTTTAGGAGCAGGAGGAGGAGGTCACCCTTATCTCGAAACTAACGCCGCGCCAAAGATCCCTGGAAGCAGCTAAACAGAAACAAGTGGAAGAAGTATTGGTGAGTGGGGCTGCGCGGGTCGTTTGTAACCTCACTTTTTGTTTTTTTTGTTTTATTGAAGCCCAACAAGACAGTATTTATCGAGATGCCTGCTTTCGAATACGAAGATCAACCCGAATACGTCGAGATCAAAGAGGATGGGGTTGACACCATCGTTATCGATGATTCTGATTGAGTACTAACACACCTCATTATGCGTATTTATTTATTAAATAATATAGTTAAATCTCAGTTATCTATATATATGCAATTTAATAATATTGACTCATAAATAAAAGTATAATTTTATTAGGTTTTGTGATTCGTGCGATGGGGTCAACGGCCGCCATCTTGAAACCAACAAAGAGGTTATGTAGGGTTTACTAACCTGAAATGGCATTGGAACGTTATTTTTAGCCAAGATTGTACTGAACCGGCGATAAAAAACAAACCGACTCTTGTAACTACATCATTTATTTGCCGACAGAATACAGACACAGCAACTACCGCGGAATCACGTGACTAAAAATGGAATCGTCTTAATTTAATCATAAATATAAAAATATAAATATCCATTAATAAATTAAGTTGCAAATTTCATTGAACTCGAAACTGTTACATGAAACACAATAACCAACGAAAAAACAACACTAACATAAAAAAAAACACATTCAGCGTTACCAACATATGGATAAAACAAGTTTAAGCTACTTATTTCCTTAAACACTAGTTGTTGTATTGCTCCGGCAGTACGTACGAGATGTCGTCCCATGGGTGCCTGTACAAACCTTGCTTCAACCTCTTCTGGTCCATATAGTGCCCAATGAACCCTATCGAGCGCCCCAGAACGAACAACGAGTTGATGGCACCCATATTAATATACTCCTCTGCTTCCTCGCTACAAAACCAACTTTATCAAACCCACCAACCTAAACCCACCCTTACCTCGTAAAACTCCCGCAATTCCTCAACATATCCACGAAGGAGCACGCGATCACCCCGTCCACGTTCAAAATCAGATTCGGCTTCTTGCTCGTCGTGATCTTCTCCACCTCGAGGGCGTACTGCAGCAGCGGCGTCGCCGGGAAGTTCTGCATCACGAACTCCTTGACGATCTGCACCCTCTGGTCGGGGTTGTTGATGGACTTCACCCTGTGCCCAATCCCCATGATCAGCTGTCCCTTGTTGCGCATGTGGTTGACGAACTCGGCCGGGTGCATGCCGGTGTCGTAGGCCTCGCTGAACTGCTTGGCGGCGCCGTCCAAAGCCCCTCCGAACCGGTCTCCGATCGTCAACAACCCGGACACCAGACTCGACACCAGGTCTTTGCCGGCTCGAGCGCAGACGATGGTGTTGTGGGCCCCGGACACGGCCGGGCCGTGGTCCGCCGTCACCATGAGGCACATCTCGAAGAACTTGCACACGTAGGGCGGGAGGCAGCGCTGGAACCAGAGCAAGGAGATGACGCCGCCGATGCCGACGTTCTTCTGGAGCACGTCGGAGATGGGCATTCCGGCGTAGATGAGCTCCTGACCGCGCTCGTCGCAGATGGAGGTCATGAAGCTAGCGGGCTTGCGGATGAGGCCTGGATAAAGAATTTGTCAAAAAACATCCTGAACAACAAAAAAAAAACTACTATACCTAGTTCTCTCGCCCAGTTGTAGTCCATCGGGACCGTCGGAGGCGGCACTTCGGCCGCCGGTACGATCGCCCCCTGCGCCACCAACTTATTATACACCTCCTGGACGACGTCCCCCAGGTGGTCGAACGACGAAGGCACGTGAGCCCCCGCCCCCTTCAGCGCTTCGTTCTTGGCAGTGGCCGTCTCCTGGTTGGAGTTGGCGCAGGAGCCGGCATGCCCGAACTGCACCTCCGACGTGAACATGGCAGCGCACGTCCCAATGCACCACGCCACCAGCGGCTTCGTCACGATTTTATTCTTGAGGGCGTTGCATACCTCATACTCCTCGACTCCGCCCACTTCGCCCAGAAGCACAATCATCTTGACATTGTCGTCACCCTGATACCTACAAACGCACAACCAATCAGACACCGCTACACCCCAAACTCCACCCACCTCAAAATGTGATCCATGAACGTCGTCCCGGGATACCTGTCCCCGCCTATCGCCACGCCTTCGTACACGCCGTCCGTGGCCTTCGACACGATATTGTTGAGCTCGTTGGACATGCCCCCGGAGCGCGACACGTAAGCGACGCTCCCCGGGCGGTACAGCTTCGAGTGTAAAATGTTATCCATCATTCCACCAGTGTTGCCGATTTTGAAGCACCCGGGTTTGACTCCGCCCACGGTGGCCGGGCCTATGATAGACACGTTCTTCTCATTGGCGAGCTTGATCAGCTTGCGCGTTTGGTTCTCGGGGATGCCTTCGGCGATGATCGCGATGGTGCGGATCTGGGGGAACTCCATCGTCTCGATGGTGCTCTGGTAGGCCGAGCGGAGGGAAGCGAAGTTGACGAGGACGTCGGCCTCGGGGTGCTTGGTCATGGCGTCGTTCATTTTCTTGTACACTGGAAGGGGAGGGTTAGAGGGTGCGTGGGTGGCGCGGTGGGGGGTTTACCCGGGATGAGAATCTCCTTGTGTCCCCAGTAGTACTTTTGTTTGTGGTCGCCGGTGAAGGGGTAGATGATGGCGACGACGCTCGGCTCGCTTCGGCTGCACACGAAATCGAAGTCGAGCATGCTTTGGACGGCTCTAGTTTGCATGCCCCAAACGATGGATTTTGTTTTGTTTGTGAACATGGGAGTTTGGACTCCCGGTGTGTCACCCTTAACACAATTGAAACAGAGTAAATAACCAGTACACATCTAGAGAGGGGATAAAATTACCTTGTGCTTCTGTGGATAAACTACGTTCACTACGAGGTTTGGTATGACATCCTTTAAAAGTATACGGTGACATGTCAGTGAGTTTTGTTTGGCTTTGAAAGAGCGACAAGAGTACAGTTATGTACAAGTTAGAGCCTAGAGGATCTAGGGTGCGTTTAAAAAGAAAATTGAAGACAGGGAGGCGGTGCGTTAGTTATATGATAGAACTAGGCGGTTAATGCGCGTGTAACTATTGGTTTTTAAATCTTAAGCTGTTAGGTACTGGTTGGCCAAATGAACTGTGTCTGTGTGAACTGAAAGTCGACATAGTTCACTTACCTTTGTTTATTTCAAATCAATACTCATACAACATCTCATTTAGAAATAATAAAAAAAGATTAGATTAGCAGTTTAGTACGAAATATTAATAAGTAAAAGTTAAAAAACTATATACATATGTACATGTGACTGCGAATATATATAGAAATAAATATGATAGCAGAAAAAAACTAAACAACAACCTACGTGACGTAAATATAAAATGTATTATACAACACAAGTAACAGTAACAAATAATAAAATATGTATTAAGTAAGTGTATGAAAGAAGAACGAAGTCCGAAATGTACAAAGATGTTTCACACAACTCAAAACTACTACTGAGATTCTTATTTTTTTACAGTTTACGTCAATACATCATGTTGAATATTTTTTAATAATCTCCGAAAGTTTAACAATTTTAATATATAACCTGAGCATATGGTAGTATCAGATAATTCTGTAAGTCTTGTGCTTACGCTATAAATATAATCCCTATGATACAACTAACGGTAAAAATAGTAACCGGTATTTTAGCTCGAAATTATGTTATCAGGTAATTGTGCGACTTACTGCATTCTTATCACCGAGGACGAGTTTTATCGTTTTGTATAAAAATACAATAGAAATTCAACCCAACTGAAACAAAATACATATTAACGAGTTTTCATTTTTTATAATTCAGGCTCTACTAGCTTATCTCAAGGCAACTTTTGTCAATATATTTACATACACAAATTTGAGTCGGAATTTGTACTTAACGTTTATTACGGCCTAGACTTCGCTTCGGTTTCTCCATTAGTTTAAATTGCAAATCGTAAATTTTTACAACCAATTGTGACTTAAACATTTACATTTTTATATTTCCTTGTGTGTTTATAGGTTACGTTACTATTTGTAGTAACACCCTCCGTTTCAGAACGCAAATGATACGCCATTGACAGTTGATGCAACGTTCTTCTCATAGCATTTCCACTCTACATTCTTACATCATCACACATTTTTTTTTAATTAAAAACTGAATAATTAACACACATTTTACCTCGACTTTGATCGGTTTCATCGTTATTCTAAATTGCAAATTACAACTCCTTCGATATATTTAGCCGATTTAAATTTTTTTTACAATCCCGACAACATCCAGAATATGTCATCGCATCAAAGTGGGCGTCGACTCGAAATGTCAAATCGACATTTCACTTCATAACCTCAACCATCAAACCGACCCGCAAATTTCCAAATTCTACGTCAACTAACACCCCGTGCACCCTCCGCCCCCGAAAGGTGTCACCACCAAACCACCGACAGAAAAGACCACCACAGAACAAGACAACCACCCCACTTACCACTATCCTGCTGCACGCCGGCGCCGGCGCCCCGTCGCCCTCGTCCCTCTTGCTCGACGCCAGACTCTGCTTGTTCGGCTGCTTCTCCCCGCTCGGCAGGAGGAAATTGGCCGTGGCGAACTCCACGTTGTTCTCCTGGGGGATGGGGCGCGTCCCCAGCGCCATGCCGCAGATGGCCGTCATGTGCGTCTCCGGCCCGAAGACGTACAGCGGTATGCCGAGGGTCTGGCCCACCTCGCGCATCCTCCGCAGCCCCTCCTGGTAGTTGGGGCCGGCGCGCCGCACGAAGATCGAGATCTTGTGCTCGATGAGGCGCTCCTGGAACTCCACCAGCGCCGTGATGATGCCCCGGAAGGTGGCCGCCACGTTGGTGAAGTTGGCGATGCCGCCGCCGGTGATGAGCACCTTGCCCTGGGGGTGCTTCTCTTGCGTCATCAGCGACAAGATAGTTTTAGCGTACTCGTAAGTTTGCTGCTCGGAGGGGGCCCCCGAGTACTCGCCGTAGTTGGCGAGCTCCGAGGCGCCTCCGAGGTCGCAGATCGTGTCGCTGTAGATGACGGACGCGCCGCCACCGGCCACCATGGTCCAGATGCGGCCGGACTTGTTGAGGATGGTGAGCTTGAGGCTGGCGCCGGACTTGGCGTCGAGGTCGGCGATGTAGGCCTCCTCTGCGCAAAGAGAGGGAGTTTTTGAATAAATGAAATCCACCTGGTGGATTTTTCATTTTTTTTTTTTTTCAAATTTTAATGTTTGATTATACAGTTTTTCGGTATTTTAAATTTTACGTTCTTCTTTTCTTTCAAGTCTTCGATTTCTCCATTGTTCAAACACCTCAATTTTGGAAACTTCAATTTCTAACTAATCTTCGACCAATTTTTTATGATTATAAAAACCAATTAATCGTCTACACAATGTATGCGATTTTACATTTAAAACAGCGAAAATAACAATGCTAATTTTTTTACTAAATACTATTTAAAAAAAATGTTAAAGAATAGCAAGTACTTGTAAATTCAAGGTTATTTAAATCGGAAAACTTACGCCTCGATAAGAATCGAGCAACCAACAAATCTAGAACCCCGGTTCATGTTGAATTTGACATAACTCTTGTCAAACCCGCAGTGCTGCCACCCGCACCCCGATCCGCGCCAAAACTCACCAGGAAAAGCGTCCCTTCCGAACGGTGGCGGGTAATCGATCTCGCCCCACATCGGCTTACAGATAAAATCGGCGGTGGCGTCCAGCTTCGCCGCCAAATCCAAAATATAAATCTCGCTGTCAGTCACCACCAGCGGGTTGATCTCCAAGTACGTGAAATACAAATCCACGTAGAGCTTGTACAGGTGGAAGATGAACCTGGCGACGGTCTGCCTTTTAGCGGCCGCCACCTCCCCCAGGAGCTTGTCTTTGATGGTCTCTTCGTCCACGCTTTCTCCGATGGGCACGTCGAGCTTCACGGCCTTGGAGTCCACGTCGCCGATGTCCACCCCCCCTTGGTGGTAGAAGAGGATGGTGTCGGCGTGTCGGTGGGAATATATACAGACGTAGGCTTCTTCGTTGTCTTGGTGAGGCACGAACGGCTCGATGATGAAACTGCGGAGTTTGCCGGTGGCGGCGCCGACCTTTTGCTCCTTGTTCATACGGTCGGCTATCCATTGCTCTACCTCGGGGAGGGTCTTGTTGACGGCGATTAGACCTGAGGACGTAATGAACGTTGTAAAGTGTCATAAAGTCGACAGATGGCGGGTTTTATAGTTTGATTGGTCTGACGCAAGCGTTTTATTGGCGGTTTTTGGGTTACGTCAAACCGGGTGATTTTTGTGTTTCGTTTTTATTATTATTATTACTTTAATTAAAGACATGTTAATTAAGTACGTAGTCGATTCCAATTTTAAAAACGAACCATTTGATTTTAATTTAGCAAGGTTAGTGTCAAGGTCGTGGCACCGAATGGAATTTTTGTCAAATCGGAGGTGATACAAGGAAATACCACGCAGGTGTTTGCCACCGGAATCACGTACCTAAAACAATGACTTATATTCACCTAATTTCCCCCTCCGCTTGATCAGCTGATCTGGTTTCACCACCAACTTATCCGTCTTCAGCCACGGGTTGTTGGCCACCAAGTCCGCGATCTTGGTATCAGGATCGACCGCCGCAAATCTGCACGTCGCCGCCGCCGTCTCCTTCCCCAAATACTTATTCAGGAGACTCTTCCCCGTGGCTTCCCTTATCGCCTTCGCCGACATCTTGCTTCACCTGCAACCAAAACCCGACTTAAGCTTAACCCACCGGGAAACCCCGACTCTCTCAACCCGTAACCAAATTTCGAGGTCAACAAAGTACCTACTTACTTAAAATCGCACGAATAACAATCGCGGTAGTAACTCGAATGCGTTGACCTTGCCTGAGTAATGTATTCCAGGAATGTAGCGCTTAACCCAAGTGACTTAAGTCGTTCCGGCGCCAACTCGAATCTCGCTGCACTTCGGAGATGCGCTGGTCCGTATTATCGCGTCGAAAGCCCCCACGGAACTGACCGGATTCTGACAAATCGCGTGAATGAAGTATCGTACGATGTGGGCAAAGGGGGGACGCAACGTCCTATGCTATAGGCTTAGAGGTCATTACTTCGAGTGACACGATCGCTAATCTGACTGATTGCGCTCCGCGAACACCTGACGAGGCGAAATCCGATGCGATTTCGGGGGTTCGTTGCGGAAAGAGAGAGGAAGAACGAAAAAGATGGAACGAGCGCATCCTTGGTCGGGATCTCGGTCACTGGGTGATTGCCACTATCGGGTGCGTGGTCGGGCGGTGAACTCACAGAGTGAGCGGAACGTATTTTTGGAGCTTTGTTGCTTTGGATCGTTGTTGTTTGCTAAAAATAACGGAGGACTGAGGGGAAACCCTGAGGAGCGTGAAGCGACGTTAAATTAAACACTACATAAAAGATGAAATTGTCCTGACGTTAATATTTAAAAAGCACTAAAATAAATAAGTCAGAAAATTTACGTAATACGTGTATAAGTCGACATTAAAAAAACTTATCACAATTACCTCGGTAAAAATGAACCTTGTTACCACATTTCCTGGTTAATTTATTTTTTGTTTTGATTTTAATCGTTATAAGTGTAACAATTATTTATTCAAAGAGCCAGTTTTTTTTTACAGAATAAAGTAGGATATCAAATGTTACTTCTGGGCCGGGGTACTTTACGCCTTAAAAACAAAGCAAAAACCTACAAAGTTCAGACAGACGGAAGACTACTTGTTTTGTACTCTAGGGGTCATGAAACGTCGAGAAAATATATGTGACCATTCGTCCGATGAACTAGGAAGCTTTTTTCACGGATTTTCTAGGAACTTCCTTCACACATTCGTCACAATGTTTGTGCGACTAACATTGATATCTCAACGGTGGACGTCCTTGCATTTTGAACCAAGTTTTACTAAAAAACTTCTATTGATTTTTTTTTTTCGTTTATTTGCGACCAATTGTAGTTACACTTAATCAGTATATCACTTAATGCCAGACAACTCAAAACCAATTTGCAGTAAAAACAAACAAACCGCATCAAACCTACAACTAAATAGGCACAAGAGCACTCCATAATATCAGACAATTGAATTACTGTTCAGAAATTTACGTCAGTTGGTAACAATATTATCTGAATATTATTTAAAGATCATTGTTACTCCAAAACAAAAGATTACTGTAGGCAAATAGCTATATATGTCAGAATACACAAAAAAACATATTTTTGTATTTCTAAGCGTTATCTCGTCATTGCTTTGATCTCGTGACATTGATCCAATCTGGAGCGACCTCCACAAAGGGTACTGCAGGTCAGGAACCCGTGTTTACATTTATGCAATTTTGATTTTTTCGCAGTTACGCTGCGTTTTTATTTTTATGTCGGTATTTCCATAATTATATGTTCCGGGTAATGTTCCTGCTCATATTTATGAATGACAAGACAAGTGTCAAAACGTCACAGAGCAGTGATCGTGCAATCACCTCTTTAGCGCAATGATCGTGTGCGAGCACCTTAAGCACCTAAAACTTGAAACTAGCCAAAACCGCACACCGTTCCAAATTCTGCCACAAGCAATAATTTCGCAATAAATATTTAATTTCCCGTTAAACTTTATCGCGCACTTATCGCCTTAAAATTTTAAACTGACATTTTATGTTTGACAGATGACAGAAGCAATGATTTTGGTATTTTTAGCAAAAGCCGCTTTGTACTCACAATACGGCCAATTTTAGTCGGTCTCGAGTCGAAACAGCGCCAAGTTTCACTTCCAAAGTCACAAAAAGTCTCTTAGTAACACAAAGTTCTTGAATTTATAACAAACAAGGAACAAGACACCACGCTTCTTGTCATTTGATGCACAAAATGCGTTCATCGGGTGTGGACGCGCGGCGCGTTCATCGGACGCGCGCTAATGACAACACACGTAATCATACAAAAATAAATTTATTCGAATGAATTAACAACTGAGATGTTAAGTATCTCGCTTAAAATACGCTTCTATATCTTTGAAAGTTTTCCCTAGCGTTTCTGGAAGAAAGAAAAACATGAAGATTACCCCGCACAAGTTCACTAGCGCCATAACGTAAAACAAGCACTGGATTTTAATCAAGTCTAACACGAAAGGGAAAACTTTCACGGTAAAGAACATCAAAACGTACGCTATTGAAATCATTAAGCCACCTAGAACACCTCTAACTTTCACTGGGAGTAGTTCTCCTATCAAAGTCCACGGGATAACAAAATACCCCATCGAGCTAAAGCAAACATAACCTAGAACGCAATATAAAGCGATATTGTCGCTCTTGTCTTTCTGGATACTGAGTTTGGCAAGTTCGTCGGGCGGAATCACAGTGAAGTACATATAAATTCCAGCTACTAAACTAGTAAGGCACATGCCTAATCCCGAGATGAAGAACAAAGGTCTGCGGCCTATTCTTTTCGAGATCAGGGACGATACTATAGCCATGATGAATCTAATAGACCCCAGAAGAACCAAAGCTACAAATTCGTCCAAGCCTTTTTCAAAATGGCCGCCGATTTCTCTGAATAAATCGACAGCATAAAAAATTATCACGTAGCCACAGGACAACTGCTGGAAGACGAAAATAGTAAACAAGATAGTGAAAGGTTTGTACACAATCGGTTCCTTATACACTTTCAGCTGTTTCTTCATGCGGGTCAACCTTGGTTCTTTGTCTTTTGACTCCTGTGGTGGCTTTTTTGACGTCGTGTCCAGCAATCGTTCGTACTGATTTTCAAATATCTAAAAATGACACCTAATTATTTAATTTGAAAAAAAATAAAATGTACTTTTTGATCTTTGTATAGCCATTCCAGGGACTGCGCCGCACCACTTGGGTTATTTTTGAAAACGATTTGCCAGTGAGGGCTCTCTGGTATAAACCACAAACAGACCAGAGTAAGCAGGACCAAAAAACAGTTAATTAGGGCCATAACGCGCCACCTAAACCACAACCCTACAAACACAAAATAATAAAAATCACCACAAAAGTCACCAGTTACCTAAGACACAAGTGAATAAAATTCCAAAAGACACAAAAACGCTGTTAAGACTCAACAGCATTGTTCTGTAATTAGGGTGAGTGATTTCGCTCACATAAACCAAAGCAACGGTCGTCAGACCGCCACTAAAACCGGCTATAATTCTTGCTACATACAAATGATACACGTTTTTAGCACAAGCGTGCATTATCCAAGAAATCACAAACGGTATCGTCGCACAAATGCACAGTTTTTTTCGACCGAACTTATCCATTAAGGGTCCAATTATAAAAGACCCCAAGGGAAGCGCTATAGCCACTATACTTGCTAAAATAAAAAAAATATCGATGTTGGTTAAAAATAAATATCCCTAGTACCTATCCAAGACGCTTCCGACTTCGAAATCCGTATGTCGCTCTTCTTCTCGTCCAACTGCGGCAACAAGATGGCGCTGAACGACATATTGATTCCCGCCTGAATGACAAGACTGTGTGCGACGCAGCACGCTAGAATCTAAAAGCACCTTTAGAAGATTTACACATTTTTGTGTTAAGTAAAGCTTGGTTCACCTGTCGCAGCGAGCTCCTCCAAGGGATCGAATACACGGGTTTTTCTATTTTCGTTAAAATAAGGGCACTGTCTGTCATGACGTCACGTCGCGCTTCTTCCAATCGGAGGAGGTTTTCGGACGTTTTAGGTGGCTCCATGTTTAATGAAGTGCGTCTTTACTTTAAATCTCGTTAATTTGAGCAAACAAATAGGTGGATGGGATTTCGCGTTATCATTTCGTCAATTACGGAGACTGTCGTTGTACAAAGTCTGAAAGAAATTAAACAATAGAGAATGGTGGCAGCGAGTCAGACGAGTTTAATTCGAAAATGAGGACGAAGAAAGCAGTGAGTGGGTGGGCGACTGGACTTGATAACGTGACATTGACACTCGCTTTCCGTCTTTTTCGAATAAAGAGGTTGCTGAACGAGAAATTAAAATGCAAAAAAAGTGATAAACATGTTCGTGGAAAAAACTTACCGAAATTGGCTATATTGAGTAATGGGAGAGTTGTTATTTTCGACGATGTTTTGTTGTGATTACGATAATTATAGTTGAATAGACGGTTGTTATCGCAATCCTGCAAATTGCACAAGTAGAACTTTAACTTCTTAATCTTGTATATTAAACCTGTCATTTGTTATCTAATCTGGACGTTAGATCTTTTTTCGTGACTGTTTTTGAGAAATCGGCGCCAATTTTTTGAATTTCGCGCTAATAAAAATTTACGAGTTTAGTTTTTCGGGTGTTAGTATGCGTCAGTTTGTTGTAGAAGCGGCACAATTATAGCGCAGCCCGCTTTTCGAGGAAGTGGTTACAGTCAAGTCAAAGTGGCCATTATGTATATCGTCAATTACTTAATTCAATTTAAGTCTTACTATAAAGAAAATATCTCAAACAATACACACCTTGACGAAAGTGGGACGTTTGTGTTTTCTTCGTTTTTTATTTTCCAAAGTCGATTTAATTCATTAAAAATAAAACGCAAGTCACACTTACGCCGCTCGAGCTTCCTTATTTATTGTGTTTTCTCGTGAAATCTGCGCGAAGACATATGTTATCTAATTTTAGCAATTTGAAAAAAAAGCGCCACCCGCGCCCCTGGCGACTAGTTCCTCCACCACCCGCAGCTGCCTGCCTTACCGGCCCCTTATCAGGCAAATATTTTTGGGTGGGGTTTGTCAATTTTGTTTTCCGAGTGTCTAAATTTTTCCAAAAATCTTCCCCGCGCTCTCGGCTGCCCCAACGATTTCGAAAAGCGCGCAAAAACCGTTCCATAAAATGCTCAGTGTCGGGCAAATCTTATCGACCGAGTTTTTGAGGTTAGCAGGCCTTCCATTATAGTGACAGTTCAGGAGCTAACCTCGTTACGATTTCGTGAATGTTTTCGCTCGCAAAGTCGCCCAAACCGACTTTCCTCCCTCGTCGCCCCGTTCAGTAGAGCCGCTTTCGCCCCAGCGAGACTCTCCCCGAAATATGTGAGGTGGTGCTTGTGCTCAGCCTGTGAAAGTTCATTGCAAAATTATTTTCCACGACGCCATTTTGTAAGTATTTTGTGAGTCGAAAAGCGGAGATTCCGCGCGAGGTTCGGGCGGAACGCCGCCCCCGGCGGCCTCGTCGGCGCCTCCGCCCCCGTGCGGCGCGTTCGTGCGCCATCTGCGCCGCCCGCCCGCCGCGGCCCGCTCGCCCCCTCATCAGGGCCGTACTTTGTTTTTGCAGTGAGATGCGAGCGTAGCGACTTCGCGGGAGAGCATGGCGCCTGTCCCCAGACCGGGCAGCCTGAGGGACCCAGAGATCGCCGAACTCTTCTACAAGCATGACCCGGAGAAGATCTTCGAGGACCTCAGGGAGATCGGGCACGGCTCCTTCGGGGCCGTCTACTACGCGCGCTGTCTCCTCACCAAGGAGATCGTCGCGATCAAGAAGATGTCCTACACGGGCAAGCAGAGCCTCGAGAAGTGGCAGGACATCCTCAAGGAGATCCGCTTCCTCAAGCAGCTCAAGCACCCCAACACGATCGAGTACAAGGGGTGCTACCTGCGCGAGAACACGGCGTGGCTGGTGATGGAGTACTGTCTGGGCTCGGCCTCCGACATCATCGAGGTGCACAAGCGGCCCCTGAAGGAGGAGGAGATCGCGGCGATCTGCGACGGGGTGCTGTGTGGTCTGAGTTATCTGCACGATTTCGGCCGGATTCACAGGTGAGGGACGGCACAAATCTGACTCATTGGCGCTCGTTTGTGATCTTAAGAAATGTCACGCAAGGTCGGTCGTTGACTCGGAAATTTGAATACTGGGCTCGCAGTGGCGGTTTTACATCGAAAACGTGGTGGCGAAAAAATCGCAAAATTCGAATAGAAAAGTGCCGCTCGGCGGGTTCAAGGGAGTTCGTTTCAGTATTTTAGGACATAACAGGTGTTCTATATATGTATGTAGTTGGCTAGACTGTGGTGAAAAAAGAAACTTTGACGATGATTCATTTCCTTTGATTTGGTAGTGAAATACGCTGTTATTTCCTTTTCTGATATCTTCAAAAGCGAGAAGCTTTGACAGGTTGGAGAAACCGCAATATTTTAACGTAACAAGGCCGACAAAGGGCAAAACAACATCGAGAATTTTTTATCGTCTCGATTAATTATTGTTTACTTTGATAGCAAAAACTTGAAAAAGCCTTTGGGAAAGTGTAAATTTGCTAGCGCGTAATGTGTGTTGCATACCTTTTGTTTTTGTACAATTGGTGGACTTCTTGTTGGGTTGTGGGCATTTAAAAGACGATTTCCCATTTCCGTCGGTCTGACCATGATGATTTTGTTGCAGAGATAGACTTGTTACATGTTGTAAACTTTTAGATGAAAATTTTCTTTCTTTTCAAAAAATTTACGACGTTATTTTGTGTGGGCGGAACTGAGTAATTTTGATCCGCCTTTCATTGAAGAGGAAATCAAGTCAATCTTTGAAGTGGGCGGGCATAACTTAAATTTTTGCGAAATTTAGATTCTGCCGTTTGCCAAAATTAAATCCATTGTTCGTTTGGGAGCAAATAAATTTGCTCACTCAAAACGAGAGGGGGTGGGTGGGCGGGGTTAAAATTACATTTCTTTTGTGTAGATTCTAATTTTTAATTGATTCTCTAATTAGAAAACTGAACAATATAAGACCCGCCTTTCATTTTAAGTTCAATACAATTTTTCATTGCACGAGAAAAACGGGAAGTAGGTGGGGCTAAGGTTCGCCGTTTGTCTTATAGGCAATAAAGCATGTGTCAGAAATGGTGGGTGGAGATGTTTTTTAACTTTTTAGTGGTCTTTAATTGCGCGCTATTTTTCTCCAAGTAAAGGCAGACTTTAAAATAAATAAACGATGGCTAGTGGGCGGAGCTAGGGAATTTTATCCACCTTTCACCGAAGAGAAAATTACGTGAATTCGGGTGGGTGGAGCTAACTTCACTTTTTATCAAATTTAGTTTCTGCTGTTTGCCAATATAAAATTGAATGTTCATTTCGGAGCGAATAAATTTGCTCATTTTAAAGAGAAGGGGTGGGTGGGCGGGGTTAATTATTTGTGTTAATAGTGTAGTATTTGCCAAAACAAACTAAAATGAAATAAAATGAGTCCTTTAAGTAGAGAAGGGGTGGATAGATTTTCTAAAATTTGTATTTAGATTCCACTGGAGGTTAATTTTGCATATCTTTTTTTTAGTTTCCGGGATTTGCTAAAATAAAAGGTCTATGAGATAGAGAAGGGGCGGGTGGGTGGGCCTAATATTTTCTGTAGCAATTAAAACTAAAGGCATACCATTTATTTTTACGTAACATTGAAATTCAAAGCATTTTTTTGATAAGCTTTTGGTTAATATTTTTTGGGATATTACCAATTTATTCGAAAGGATTTTTTTTTCTTGAAATATTTTTGCTTCTTTTAGTTGCATTTTTTTGTCGCTTTTTTGGATTTTTTTAGTCTGATTTTTTTTGTTTGTTGCCTTTTTTGGTCCTCGTCTTTTTTTCTCCCAGCTCTTTGCCGTCTTTTTTGTTCCAATTTTTACTTTCTATTGTTGCCTTACTTTTGAGCATCTTTTTGTTGCCTTTTTTTGACACTTCGTTTGATTCTTTTTTAGTTGCATTTTTTGAACTTTTTTTTGTTGCCTTATTTTGGCAACATTTTCTTGTCGCCTTTTTTATCATAATTTTTTGGTATTTTCTGTGGCCTTTCTTTTGTGGTAATATTTTTAGTAGCATGTTTTTGGATTCTTTTTTTAATCGCGTTTTTGGTTTCTTGCTGCTTCTTTGACGATTTCTGTTTTTTTTCTTGCCTTTTTTTGGCTGCATTTTTTTGTCGTTTTTTTTTCCTTGCTTTTTTACTTCCCGAGCGTAAGCGTAAGCAGTAGCCCCGCCCACCCACCCGTTCTTCGTTTCAGTGACTACTCTTAATATTGTTCAGTCCTATCTTGGCAAGTTTTGGCCCGCCCACCCACCTTTTTTTTTTCTTTGAGGATATGTCATTTACCAAAATCAATCTTATGTTAACAAGTAGTAGCCCCACCCGCCCGCCCTTTATTTTCTTAGAGGCTGTCTCATTTGCCACAATCAATCTTATCTTAGCAGGTAATAGCCCCGCCCACCTACCCCTTCTTTTCTAGAGTTTGAGTTTAAGATCGATTTTGGCAAATCACATACCTTCTAAAAAAAGAGAGGGTGGGTGGGCGGGGCTAGTACCTGCTGAGATAAAACAGAATGTGGCAAATGAGATTTTTTCGTTCTTTCGATTTTTTTGGTGCTTGGGTTCTTTTTTTGATCGCATTTTTTGGTTTCTTGCTACCCTTTTTTGACGTTTTTTTTTGTTGCCTTTTTGGCTGTATTTTTCTTGACGTTTTTCTTGCCTTTTTTTAATTCGTTTTTTGTTGCATTTTTTCTTGTCCCTCTTTTTTTTGTCACTTTTTTGAGGTTCACTGCTTTAATCGTATTTTTTAGTTCTTTTGTTCGCTTTTTTTGTCACAATTTTTTGTTCTTTTCTTTTTTCGTATTTTTGTTGTAGTAATTTTTGAGTTCGGATTCGTTTTTTAGTCGCATGTTTCGTGACGCCGTTTGTGTCCTTTTTTTGTTCCGTTTCTTTGTCACCTTTTTTGCTACATTTTTTTGCCTTTTTTTGGTCGCTTTTTTCCTGTTTTTTTTTTTTTAATTCATTTTTTATCACTCTTTGACTATATTTTATTTTGTCGAATTTTTCTTATCGCTTTTTTTCTATTCATAATCATTAAAACAGTATGGGCCTTCAAAAATAAGAACAGTTTCTAAGATAAATTTGTCAAATTGTATTCTGCAGACTGCATTTTGTATACAATAGTCTTTATACGGCAAACTGTATATTAATAGTTAAAAACATGATGGTTCGCATTACTGCCATGATAATAGAATGCATTAAAATAGAAAAAATTAGCCCCGCCCACCCACCCTTTCTCTCATTTGGCGATTTTTAAATTTGCAATGAGATAAGGATAAGGGCATTTATTTTACCTAAGTAAAAGTAAATATTGAAAATCGTTTATTAGCCCCGTCCACCCTCCCCTTCTCTGTTTTGGCGCCTTTGTTATCAGATCTAGTATAAATTCTGCTCCAAGGGCGAGCGAGATTTGGGGGAAATAAGATTACAATTTGTTTTCCCTGTTTTGTCGTTTCTTGGATATAGATTTTAGTAAAAACCAAAATTATCGAAAATCGTGTTCAGTAGGTGCACATTTCATGAATACACGCCGATTCAAATGGCAACAGGAGTAATAAACATCAATTTCTCGCCGGAAGTTACGAGAACGGGTGCGGTTTCGTCGGTTAATTAATTGATGATTGAAGTAGTTTTTCAATCAAATAACGCAAGGTTCCATAATTAACCAAAATAGAGCGTGTGATTCGATCGAATGCCGCCATGGCAAAAAACAGATAAAATTGAGACGGAATAAATTTAGGATCAACACAAAAAAAACTTCGTTCTTAGACTTAATCCGCATGTTTTATTTATTTAGTAGAGAACAATGATATATCGCATCGATTTTTAGGAAGTTTCTAGGGTTTTTTTCTGATTTGTGGTTGTCGGTTGGCAGGGACGTGAAGGCGGGCAACATCCTCCTCACCGAGAACGGCACCGTGAAGCTGGCCGACTTCGGCAGCGCCTCGATAAAATGCCCGGCGAACTCGTTCGTCGGCACGCCATACTGGATGGCTCCGGAGGTCATCTTAGCCATGGACGAGGGCCAGTACGACGGCAAGGTGGACGTCTGGTCCCTGGGCATCACCTGCATCGAACTGGCCGAGAGGAAGCCGCCCTACTTCAACATGAACGCCATGGCGGCCCTCTACCACATTGCTCAAAACGAATCACCCACGTTGCAGTCTTCCGAATGGTCGGACCTGTTCAAGCACTTCGTCGAGGCTTGCTTGCAGGTGACTTACCCACCCCGTCGAAACTATCGCACAAATATTTTTTCCACAACCAGAAACTGCCATCCAACCGGCCGCCGTCGAAAATCCTACTCACTCACCAGTTCGTGACGCGGCCGCGCAGCCCCAACGTGCTCATCGACCTGATCCAGCGCACCAAGGCGGCGGTCCGCGACCTCGACAACCTCAACTACCGCAAAATGAAGAAAATACTCATGGTGGACAGCTGCGAGACGGAGAGCACGATCGACGTGGACGACACCCCCGACGAGCACGCGGGCGGCGACAGCTCCAAGAGCAACTCGGTCACGTCGGAGCACAGCGTCCACTCCGTCGGCGTCTCGGCGAGCAGTCAGTCGAGCAGCACGAACAGTTTGCCGGCTGGTAAGTCCTTCAGGTGTTGGTTTGCGTTCGGTTGACTTGATTTTGGTAGGCGCCGAAGACGGCACGGCGAGGAGGCACAAGACCTGCTTCAACCACGTGGCGGCGGCGGCGGCCGTCGGCGACCACGGCACGAACAACTTCGCCACGATCAGGACGACGAGTATCGTTACCAAGCAGCAGAAGGAGCACATGCAGGTAAGGGTCGATGGGAATTTCGAAACGATTTGCGCATGCGTGCGTGTTTGTTTTTTTGAAGGAGGAGATGCACGAACAAATGACAGGTTATAAGCGCATGCGACGCGAGCACCAGAGCGCCCTCTTGAAGCTCGAGGAGAAGTGCAAGATGGAGATGGAAAGTCATAAGAATCAGCTGGATAAGGAATACGAGGTGTTGTTGCAAAACTTCAGCAAGGAACTCGAAAAGTTACAGGTATTTGTTTATTTAATATAAATTTCATTAAAATCCAAAAATATTAAAAAATGATTGACGTTTTTAGGCGAAACACCAACAAGAACTGGAGAGGCGACTTAAGCAAAACACGGCCAGCGAAAAGAAGCTGATAAAAGACATCACCAGCAGACAGGAGAGCGACAGGAAGGCGTTCGATGCGCATAGGAAGAAGGAGTACAAGGCGAACAAAGAAAGGTGGAAACGAGAATTGTCTCAGGACGATTCGACACCAAAACGTCAACGGGATGCTACTTTACAGTAAGTTAATTCATAGTCAGTTCAAAAGCGTAACTCTGCCTCTTCCAGGACGCATAAAGACAACCTGAAGTTGGTGGACGCCCAGGACGAACAGAGATTAATCAGATGCCAAAAAGAATATTTAGAATTGGAAGTGCGAAAGTTCAGGAGAAAAAAGCTCCTGTCTTACCACAACCTAGAACAGGATTTGCTGCGCCAGGAATTGAATAAAAGACAACAACAACTCGAACAGGCCCACATGATGCTCCTCAGGCACCACGAGAAGACAAAAGAGCTGGAGTACCGACAACAGAAGGCCGTGCACGCCCTCCGCGAGGAGCAGGTAACTAAACCCATTAAAGTCGATTTTTTCAATCGTGACTTGGTGGCTTCCAGGTGAAGAACCAGCACGACACCGAGCTCGCCAACCAGACCGAGTACATGAGTCGGTCCGAGCGCGAGCTGCGCAAGAAGCACGCCCTCGAGGTGAAGCAGCAACCCAAGTCGCTCAAGCAGAAGGAAATGATGGTGCGCAAGCAGTTCCGCGAGACGTGCAAAGTCCAGACGAAACAGTACAAGGCGCTGAAGGCGCAGATCCTCGCCAACACCCCCAAGGAGGACCAGAAGGCGGTGATCAAGAAGCTGAAGGAGGAGCAGCGGCGCAAGCTCGCCTTGCTCGGCGACCAGTACGAGCAGAGCATCGCCGAGATGCTCCAGAAGCAGTGTCTGCGGCTGGACGAGAGCCAGGAGAGCGAGTGCGCGCAGATGAAGGAGCGCCTCCACTACGAGCTCGAGATCTTGATCGCGTACCAGAGCAAGAACAAGATGCAGGCGCAAGCGCAGCGCGACCGGGAGCGCAACGAGCTGGAGGAGAGGGTGGCGGTGCGGAAGTCGCTGCTCGAGCAGAAGATGAACTCGGAGACGCAGAGGTTCCTGGACGAGAGGGCGGAGAGGATCAGGATTTTGCACGAGCGGCAGGAGAGGGAGCTGGAGGAGTTCGACGAGGAGTCGGTGCGGCTGGGGTTCAGGTGGGTGTCGAGAGGCGAGTTGAGGGGGCGCTTTGACGGTGTTCTGTTTTCAGTGCCCTGGCGATAGCCGAGATATCACGGGAGAACTACGACGACGACGGCAGTTTGTCGGGTTCGATGCTAAGTCTAGCTCATTCCAATAGCTCTACGAGTTTTCCGCCGGGGTCGGTGTAGTCGGGGCGGCTCCAGTAGTGGGTTTTATCGGCTGAAGTCACTTTACAAGCGATATCTCGGTACTAGGTACTAGGGCGCGGCGTCGAGGCGAGATCGATTTGACCAGAATTGAGCGAGATATCGTGTGTAAATGTTTACATTTTAATTAACAATTATTTCGTTAATTGCTGTCACCAGAAATTTTGGTTTGAGTCTGTTGCCTATACAAATTAATAATTTTAATCGTAAGTGTAATTAAATTTAAAAAGACTAACAAATACCAAAAATGTGGATTGGTATTTACGCTTAATGTAAATTGAGCAATAATAATATAACGGCCAGGCCACAACTCACAGGAGGGATTAAATAGAGTGATGGAGTGGTGATATTATTATTGTTTCCTTTCCGGTTCCCCTTGTTTTGATAGCAGTATTTATTGATTAAATTATAGAGAGATCACTGTATATATTTTTCAATTTGTTTTTTAGTCAGTGCTCATGCGTTTACGTGTAAAATTCTGTTAATGGTAAATGTAATATTTTGTATTGTTTGATAGCATGACAAAATCAAATTTATACTGTTTTAGGAACAGTGTTTAGTAAACAAATGAATAGTGCAATTTATCCTTTATTTCGTTAGTATTTAATCACATCACAAACTATTTTCGATGTTAAGATTGTGATAATTATATTTCTGGTTACTTAAGTCGCGCGAGCCGGCTTAAGTCATGTTACTAGGCTACTCATGTAAATTTTTCATTTCATGTAAATGACTTTAGTAAGCGTAGAAGTTGCTTTAAGTCAGGCGGTCGCTAATTATCACGGAAATGTACATATTTACCGAACCTTAGGACTGTATTAAACTGAGGTTAGTTAGTTGTATGATGCAACGATTCTGTTCGTCTGAATAACTATTTATTTTCGCTGTGGCTACCAACAAAATATAACAAAATGTATTTTATACGTAAATAAAAATTATTGCTTTAACTGTTTTGCGCAGACTTTATATTTTCTCAATTACACAACGTATAAATCAACTAAAAATATTTTTTTTAATCTATTGGGTCGGAGAAAAGTCAGTCGGCACCATGATCCTGCAGTGCATTTCCCTGATCAATGGCACCGTGTACGCCACGCACTCGTCCCACCCGGGCGACCTCCACGCGCTCTCTCTGGTCTCCTTCCTCTTGTTCAAGTCTTCATAACCTAAAACGCGCCCAACTAAAATAACGTGCACATTCGACCGATTAACATACAATAAAAGTTCAAAAACTGCAAATTTTCAAAAAATAAATCAAAATTTTGATCCTAGTTAACCACGTGACATTTCACGGTTGCGCCATCTAGCGGCGCCAACTTACATCACAAAGGTTCTCGTCTTTGCTATATTGTCAGTGCACGCTTTCGTGTTTTTACGTTTTCGCCGCACTGACGTAACAATTATGTTTTTCAAAACAAAATAATAACTCCATTAATACGTAACTTACATAGTTTTTCCGCCACATTTACCCAACATTTGTCAAACCGGACTTTGGACCTACTTACACCAAATATGGTGCACGTTGTACAGCCTCCCGATCTGCGAGAAGAACCCGGCGAACGCCTCGTCATTATTCTGCCTGAAATTGATAGCCCTCGCCCAATTGTTCCCCCACTCGATCATCGTCCCCGGCTTCAGGGCGTACGACCGAATCTCGTACACGTTGTTCGGCTTCCTCAGCTGTATCTGCGGCCAGTAGCTGAACGCCAGAAGGTACTGCAAGTGCCTGGACCTCACCAGCTTGCCTTGGCACTCGACGATTTTTTTAAAGTCCTGTAACTCAATTACATAACTGTTTCAACCCTCAATTTCACTCACCTCGCTCTGGCTGGTGATCTCGTTAAACGTGTCGATTTTCTCGTACCCGCCCGTGAACTTCCACAAGTGTAGCGCTTGGTCCTGGTCCCCCACGTTCACGGTCCACGAGCCCACCAGCTCCACCTCGCCCGCCAGCGAGTTCTGCGCCTTGATGAAGTCGAGCGTCTGGGAGCTGAAACGAGAGCGAGTTAGCCCGAATCGGGGGGCTGGGGGGCGTTACATCGTGCTCAAGTAGGGGACTTTGGAGTCCGGCCTGAAGTTGTGTGTCTGTAGGGCGTAGATGATTTCTTTGTCGCTGAGCATCCGGCTGTGCGATTCTTTGGTCGGCTCGATTTTACGCACGAAGATTTTCGACAGCCAGGCATCGTTCTTGGGGGCGGAGGTGGTGAGGGTTCTACAAAAATTGTTTAAAACAAACGAATTGACATTGATGACATTTGTGACAAAAGGGCATTCTTTTGTTTTGGATCAGGTACCTGAGACTTTGTGGGAGTTTTTGGAAATATTTGAGAGTGTTGGCCATGTTTCGTCGCTGCACTTTCACGCGGGCTATTTTCAGCTATTTTTGTGTTTTTAAATGACATGAAGGTTATCAGTAACGTGAAATGATGTATTTTGGGGCATCGTTGTCAGCACTTTGGAGTTTGGTCGCGGGTGGGCGGGTAGAGGGCGCCACTGCACCGGCAAATTCGTTCAACCCGAATTATAGTTGCACGGGCAAAATTATCACCGGAGGACGTTAATAAACATATAAATCGTCGCATAATGGTATAAATACACCGGCCGTGGTCTAAAAACACCAGTCGGGGGCGGCGACAATCAGCTGATATTACAGGTTCCTGTAAAAGAGTGAGGTTATGTGTCGGGCTGGGAGGTGTAATTAAGTGTCCTGTTTTTTGGTGCCGTGCCCCCATGATTTTGCATTCACAGTCATGGGTAAGTCCCACACCATTTTAACGTTGTATCCTACCATCCCACCAACTTAATTATCGTTAGAAGATTAATAATCACCCTCCCTCCAATTATTTCTTTCAAATCATAGACGGTCAATCCGAAGTGAAGAAGCTCCAGCAGCACCTAGCCTTGCTCAAGCAAGAGTACGCCAAACTCCAGTCCAAGTACCACGAAATCGAGAACAAGTACGACGCTATCGCCGCCACCAGCGGAGACAGCTCCGAAGACACCTTCGCCGCACGGCTGCTCTCCACCGTAAGCACTCTATACAACTCGGAGACCTACAGCGACATCCAAATCAAACTGCCAGACCGCAAAATCAATGCCCATAAGTTAGTCCTAGACGCGCGATCGAACCTATGGAACGAGTCAATTCTACGCGACAAAAAAGAACTAGACTGGACCGAAATGGAGTCCGACGTCGCCGAAGCAATAATTTTATGGCTGTACACGAACAAAATCGACTTAAAATCCGAAGATATAACCCTGAAAGTGATCAGGAAGGCGTTCGAGTTCAAACTAGACAACCTAGTGGAGAGCTGCGAGCAGTTCTTGATTTACTCCGTCACGATAAGGACTTGCGTTAAGTTCTACTCGGTGGCCGAGGAAATCGGGGCGGAAAATCTGCGCGAGTACTGCTCGGGGTTGATTTCGACCCACTGGGACGACTTAAACTCGAGCGACTTCGAGCACATGTCGGGGCCGCTGTTGTACCAGATGCTGAAGAGCAAGACGCAGCTGCCGCTGCACTCGGCCGTGAGGCTGCAGCGGGAGGACGTGGTGTTTTTGTGTCTCGTGGAGAACTCGGCCAAGGTGAGTGAAAGTCAGTCGACGCGGATTTTTTTTTATTTGGTGCAAATATTTACAATTAGAGTAATGATAAAAATAATCACAGCTGTGGGAATAGTTCGTCCCGGGGCGCCATTACACAGATAGCTCTTGCAGTAGCAGTCGACGGTGGTGGCGGTGCGCAGGCCTTTGTCGTCGACGACCGAGCAGCCCTCTTTGTAGGGCTCTTCCATGACGACCTCGGGCTGCCATCGGCCGTTTTTGAAATTCTGGGTGATGTACTTCTGGTGGGCACAGTCGCGTTCGGTGGCGTTGATCGGGGACGGGATTTTCGCGGTGAAGTACTTCTTCATGCAGAACGTGGAGTAGGGGCAATCGACGATGAACTTGTCGGAGTAGTCGAACTCGGAGCAGAGGCGCACGGTCTCGTTGCTGATGAGGGGCGGTTTCGTGGTCGTGCATTTGTAGCAGCGGATGGCGCAGTCGGCGGAGAGAACTGAAAAACAAAAAAATGCGAGATTAATTAAAATAATCTAAAATTAGCTCCACCTTCCTATTACATTAAGCCCCGCCTATGTATCATTTTTCAATGAATGATTTTGATGAGATTTGAAATAGAAGGTGGATATTGTAGTGGCCAAGAGCTGACATTATTTATAAAAAAGAGGAGGGGCGGGTGGGCGGGGCTAACTTCTTTTACACTGCTAAAAATGAACATCGTAATTTTTTGACAAGGTCTTCAAATTTGAACAAACTCATGAGACGCTAGGAAGTCGCCAGATTTTTTCTAATTCTTAAAAAAAACATATTACGGTTCCTTGAGATTCTTCAAAATTTTTTGTAAAATAAAACAACGAGGACCCCCAAGACTTTTACAAACTTGTTCAAAAACGAAACATGACGGGCCTTCAAGGTTTTGAAGCTCCCTAAGATTTTTTGAAATTTTTTCAAAAACAAAACACCGGGGGCTCTCAATATTATTTGACGTTAAAAAAACGACTTTGGGGTCCTTGAGACTCTTTAAAAATTTTTCTGAAATAAAGCGTCAGGGACCCACAAAATTTTTACAGAATCTTTCAAAAACAAAACACCAAGGCTCTCCGAGATTCATTTTTTTTTTACAATAAAATACCAGAGGCTCACAAGATTTTTACGGACTCTTTCGAAAATAAAACAGTTGGGACCTCCGAGATTCTTTAAAATTTAAAACACTAGGGACTCCCGAGATTCTTTAAAATTTAAAACACCAGAGGCCCCAAAGATTCTTTCGAATTCTTTTAAAAACCAAGCACTAGGAGTCCCCGAGATTCTTTAATTTTTTTCTAAAATAAACTACCAGGGGCCCCAAGATTTTTACAGACTCTTTTGAAAATGAAATACTAGGAACCCCCGAGAAAATACCAGGGCCACTCAAGATTATTTCGAATTCTTTCAAAAACTTAGCAGTAGGAGCCCTCGAGATTTTTTTTTTCCTAAAATAAGACACCCAAGATTTTTTACACTCTTTCGAAAATGAAACACTTGGGATTCTTTGAAATTTAAAATACTAGGGACCCCCGAGATTCTTTAAAATTTAAAACACCAGAGGCTCTAAAGGTTGTTTAGAATTCTTTTAAAAATGAAACACCAAGGACCCCCAAGATATTTACAGACCCTTTCGAAAATGAAACACTAGGGATCCCCGAGATTTTTTAAAATTTAAAACACTAGGTGCCCTCAAGATTCTTTCGAATTCTTTCAAAAATCAAATACTAGGGACCGCTGAGATTTTTACCTACTTTTTAAAAAATGAAACACCAAGGACCCCTAAGATTTTTACAAGTTCTTTCAAAAATGAAACACTAGAACAACCGAGATTCTTTAAAATTTAAAACACCAAGGCCCCTCAAAATTCTTTCGAATTCTTTGAAAAACCAAGCTCTAGGAGCCCCCGAGATTCTTTACATTTTTTTCTAAAATAAAAAAATGAACCATTCGAGAGCCCCGAGATTCTTTAAAATTTAAAACATTCGCAAAATCAAATCTTATAATTCTCGAAAAATCTGTATTTTCATTTTTTAATTTTTCAAAGTTTCGGTTTCATAATTTTTCGTTATTCCAACTTTACTTTTATCAATTTTTCAATTTTAAAATTTTTTGATATTATAATTTTTCATTCTTCGCGTCTTCAGTTTCTCAATTTTAATTTTTCGATTTTTCAGTTTTTTGTTTCCTCAATTTTCAAGTTCTTTATTTATATTTTTCATTTTCCCGATTTTTTTATTTTCATTGTGTTTATTTTATTCACAACTTTTTGTTTCATTTCCTTTAATTTTTCAATGTTTCTTCCGATTTTACAATTTTTCGTTCGGTAGATTTTTGTAGAAAAGTATGTATATATTTTGCAATTGCTCCTCGGTCCAACAACGAATGAAAAATTCATCACAATTCAGATCAGGGTGGGTGGGCGGGGTTTAATCTTTGTTTTTTTTTTTAATATATAAAGCTTTCTTTCAACAACAAGATAGTTAACATGTTTTCAGTTTCTTGTTGGTAAAAAAGATTTTGCATATTAAGAAAAACTGGACAAAATATAAGCCCCACCCACCCACCCCTTCTCAATTGTGACGAATGTTGTATTCACCATGACCTTAGTTGCAAAATCCTCCTCTACAAGAAATTACCATATGGAACTTTCTAAAAGGGTAGAATTTTCTAGAGAAATTTAGATGTTATAATTAAATTCCGCCCCTCTCACAATTGAGATGGGGGCGGGTGGGTGGGGCTTAATCTTTCTTTTTTTTAATTCTTTCATGTTAAAAAAAATAGAAGTCCCTAAAATTCTTTCAAGATTTTTTTCTAAATAAAACACTAGAGACCACCAAAATTCTTACAGAGATTTTTTAAAATTTAAAACACTAGGGGCCGGCCCTCAAGCTTCTTTGACGTTAAAAAAAAGAAAAAGATTTTATGGGTTCCCAACATAAGTTCTTTTAAAAATAAAATATCAAGACCCTGGAGGTTTTTTTTTTCAATTTTACGCGTCTTTTTCTATTCTTCTGTTATTCACTTTTTTTTCTAATACAAGTTTCTTTTATTTGCAAATATAATAATAGCGACAGTTCGACCGATTTTATGATCCCGCCTTTTATAATTAGCTCCGCCCACTCGCTTTTTAATAACCCCGCCCACCCACAGCTTTATTTCCGTGAATAATTTTCTTAATTTTGAGATAAAAGGTGGATTTTATTCGTTAATACCAGAATCTAAAATTTAAAAAAGCCCACTGTCTCACATAAATTATAATTTGTAAAAAGGTAAAAAATAAGACACAAACAGAAGAATTCAATTTTATAAAATTTAACTCTGCAAAATTTTGGCATGACGTCATCAAATTATAGGTGGGGATGATCGGACAAATTTTAGTTAGGCTATTTCTAAAATACTTTTGATCTGATTTACCATGAAATATTTGAATCCAATTATTTTTTAATTCACCAAACAAACGGTTCATAAACAAATCGAAACAAACGTCTTTCGGTTCCACTCTTTTGTAACCCACTGCACCATCCCGACCCCCGACCGAGCGAAACCAGCCACCACACAACCCAACTCGTCTCACAGTCGTTATCAATTCGACCATTAATAATTTGATTAAATTAGGGGGGAGGTCGATGCTCTCGTGTTTTTTTTATTGAAAGGGGCGCCCACTTGTCATTTCCGGTTTGATTAAAGACGTGCGACCTTCGAGTAGTTTGATTAGGTGATGGATGACGACAGAAGAATTTTAATTGGGCTCGAGTCGATTTTTTGTGAAGAGTTCAAACACTTTGTTTGTTTGTCTTGTCTTTTTTTGCGAGGATTTGTGTAGGTTTTTGCAGAGACCAGATAAGTTTATCTCGGTTTAAGGAAAAATTTGCGTCCGGGATACTGGGAAGACATTATCGTCTGACGATAATGGCATGAGTGAAGAGGTTTTGTTTTCCCCTTCTGTTTTGTTTAATCGTTTCGGTTTCACTATAATGACTAGCAATTTATGATGATATAGCGGACAAAATATGAGAAAATAATTTCGGTCATGCGAAGTATAGTATGTATTAAATTATATGGTGTCTCCGAAACCGCGAATTCGAGTTTAGTGACCAGTTTTTAATGGAAGAATGAATAGACAATGATTAACACATCATGAGTCAGTTTTAACTGTTAAAGTTGCATTAGCAAAGCTATCTTTAATTGCAGTTTTTTTCAACCAGAAATTTTTAAGTTCGTTTCCATCCAAGATATTTCGCATAATAAATGTCAGAAGTGAACATAGCACGACATAATTTATGTTTATGTATTAATCTACTTGTTAAGACTTTGTGGAACAAGTAATTGTCTAGATATAACCGTTCTTAGCACTATTATTACTACAATCGTTGATAATGATAATAGTTTCTGCCTTGAATAATCTCTTGTGCAACGATTGCTTTGTGAGAATCGTTCACAATTCTGAACCTCAATCGAACTAATTGTTATACAATGCAATATTTGGCAAAAGTAGATTTCACCTTCAATGTATTTATTCCACTTACGTTCACTTTTTAATACCACGGAAAATAATTTTCTTTAACGAACGCCACCCACTTCCTGAGAAAATAAACACATAATTTTCCTAAGAGGTCATATTATTAGGCATTTAAAGCCAATTATTGGCCCATTAAAATTTATTGGTCCGTAAGGAGCGCATTTATGCGTTTTTATTTAGCGATAAAATTTTCAAGTCACATCGATGGCCATTTTCAACCAAATCGTGACTAATCCAGCCGTAGAAGGAAAATCTCTCCCATTTGGTGAACACAGTGTTTAATCGATGCAGAATTCGCAGCAGTCTTAAGAACAGAATGCAAACACGTGTCGCATTTTCACCGAATTCAGCGGAAGCGGTTATTTATCATCGACGTGGAATTTTGTGGAAGAACTAAAATAGGTCAGACCGAGCTCCCGGTTGGTTTTTAGCTTAAATTCAGCGGTTTTCAATCGCCAAATATTTACTTGCGCAATTAATGGACCGATTTATTTTTTTATCAAGAAAAATGTAGTTCGACGAGTTCGGTCATTACGAAACGCCGTTTTCATTTTTATCAGTTGTGCCAGTTGGAGATCGAAGAGGTTAACGGTTCGAATTTTTTTACGTAATGTGTTTCACAACACTTGTTCGATCGGTTTGACCAATTATTCGTGTGGCTTATCAGAATGTGGTTGTTTTGTTTAATGAAAGGCGCAGGAGACTGTTGGTTCTGTTCGAGTTTAATTGTTATTTGCGTGGTATCGGGTTTGTTGTAATCGAGCTGTCGCCGGTTAAATTGGAACTATGGGCGTTCGAACGCCGTTTTCTGGACGGGTGGTCGGTTCATGGAGCGTCACATTGTGGTAATTGCTAACTCATCGATAAGCAATTTCACTTTTCGATTACCACATCGGTGAAGATTGCAGGAATTCCGCGATGGTGTGCCAGTTCCGATTATAGATTGATTGGAAACGTTTATTTTGTTTTTACTTCCCGAGTGTAAGCTGAGGAAGTGTTTTATCGAGTCGTTTTCTGTCTGGCTGCCGTCTGTACGGATTTTTGTGTAGATGGTGACACGTGTGTGGTTTATGAATCCGTGTTGAATTTTTATCCTAGACATCGAGATTTTTGGAAAAATTAAAATTATAGAGACAATTTTATGATTTTTCAATTTTTCGATTTTCCAACTTTGCTTTTTCGACTTTTCCATTTCTCAGTTTTGCGATTTCTCTATTTCCCGGTGGTTCAGTTTAGGTATTTTTTAATTTTTCCATTCTTCAATTTTTCTTCGATTTTTTAATTTTTGGATATTTCAGTTTTAGGATTTTTCAATATTTCAATTCTTCAATTTTTCCATTTTTAAATTTTTGATTTTTTAAATTTCGAAAATCGACTTTTTGTTCAATAAAATAGGTGATTGGAACGAAAACCGGGTGGGTGGGCGGGGCCATTTTGAATTTTTATAAGCGTAGATTCGGCCACTGGACAAAATAAAGTTCAATTTTCATCAAATCGAATAAGCCAATGAAATTCAAAAGCGGACGTGGGTTAGTTTTAGCTATTCGTCTAGATTCCACTGTCATTAAATATAAAATGCACTTTTCGTCCAATAAAATGAGTGACAATAAGAAAACCGGGAGGGTGGGTGGGGCCACTTCGAAGTTTTTGTATTAGATTCATCCATTTTCATCTCACAGTAAATAAAATAAGCCAATGAAATGCAGACGCAGGTGGGTGGGGTTAATTTTACCTTTGAGACTATTTTACTACTACTTGTCAATATAAAATCCGCTTTTCGTCTCACAGCCAATAAAAATGAGTGACTAATTCCATTGGCTCTTAATTAAAGACGAATCTCATCTCGGCAAACGTGACTTTCTTTTTGAGCATTTTATAGAATTTACAGAAAATTTTAATATTTTAAGAGCTTTCAAAAGAGAAAGATAAAAATTAAAATTACATGTACGTTTTTTAATATTCTCAAACAAATTGATAAACAAAGAATAAACATATGGGACGGTTTTAGAAAGAGTTCAAAAAAAGATATCAAAATACACGGTGTCTAATTCAAATCTGTCTAAATTCCCCGCTTACCTTTTCTTATGGCATAAACTAAACATGTGACGTCATTTGACAGTTTAATCATAATAACATTTTATCAAGGCGGCAAATGTCAGTGTCCACTTCGTTGTGGCGTCATTTCTAGATAAAACCTAGACTCGCTTTGCACAAACCGAAAACAATAAAATATAGTGCGTTTAAAAGTGGTTAGAGTGGTGCACAGTTGAACATCTGTTGTGATATAACAATTTTAACAACAAGCAAAAAAAAATTTAGAAAAAGACGTTATAAAAGTGGTTTATATAATACTTCTGTACTATTATTTATTAAATAACAGTTGTTTGCCTTTATAATATTTATAAAAACTTGTAAATTCTCTAACCTTTCTCAATTTAATTTGTCCAAAAACAAGGAAATCACAAATTTTCGCCCATTCTTAAATAGCCACTTTGGCTATTTTTAAAAAATATAAATAAAACTAGTGTTTGTAAAGAATCTGTTCCTTGTTTCTAAACTCGAATTGGCACGCCTTCTCCGATCCAAACAAACGCTCAATTCCGACTTCGAATTAAACAAAAACCCTCGAACAGACCTAGAAAACTATTTCACAGCAATTATTTTTAACAACCGCAAAAACGTCAATCGGTTTCCAATTCTGTCCAAGCGCGAATTTTCGCTTTCGGTTCCACCCGAAGCCGCGAAGTTTGCGTGCCACGTGAAGCCAAATTTGCGTGTTTTCGCCGTTTGAATTCTATCAGTTGACACTCCCGACGCCGTTCTACTTTCAGGTTTTAATTAAAACGGAATCTATGTATTAATAATTGTCGGGAAGCCGCGAGGGGCGACAATGAATGCTTAGTTACAAGGACGCGAAAAATTCGCTCTCGTTGGCGCATTACGTCTTTATTGTTGGAAGAAATCAAGATCGTTGTAATGAATTTAAACAATTTTGTTGTTTTCGTGGTTTTCCGACTTTGTGTACCCGCAAGAAATCCTCTTACTTGTCAACACCAACACTAACAACTCCCTGAAGGCACCCATCTTCGAAGTCACCACATTTCATTCAAAAAAACTACGAACTGGTCATAACTACCACGACCGGAGTCAACGCGTTTTCGCCGTGACGGACAATGCCGTCTGCCCTCGCTGACGTTTATCAGCCAAACTAGTCCTCGCTCCGTCTCTCTCTACTTAAGTCGGAGTGGGAGGTTGAGTCATGTTGCGCGTTTCATCTGTTTTCTGCAAGGTCTTTGACTTTCGATTTTTTGTTTTTCGGTCTTTACTTGCCGAGCGTCAGAATTGTAATCGAATCCGGGGATTTCATGACCTCGCTCTTGAAAACGGCAAAAATAAAAAAAATCGGCGAATTTTTTCCCAGTTGAGCGACATCGTCAACGTGTGGAGTCCCACCGGAGAGCTGCCGCTCGACCTGGCCCTGAGGGGCCACAACGCCAGCATAGCGGTCACCCTCGTCCAGCACAACGCCGACATCAACATCCGGGACTCCCAGGGCGACACCCTCCTCCACCGCGCCATCAAGCACGAGGACTCCTTCTCGGCGCTGTTCCTCCTCGAGAACAACTGCAACGTCGCGCTCGCCACGCGCGCCGAAAACGACTCGGCGCTGCATCTGGTGGCCGGCGCGCCGAACCTGGAGGACGGCGCCAAGATCGCCGAGAAGCTCATCAACAAAAACGCGAACATCAACGCTCAAAACCGGCTCGGGTAGTAAGTGATCCGGACCTCTTGTCGATTGGTTGTTAATGTGTGTCTTAGCACCGCCCTCCATATCGCCATCCAAGCCGACAACCGCCCGCTCTTCGTCTTGCTTCTGGCCCAGGCCGCCCTCGATGTTAATTTGAAGACGGTCGACGAGCACGTGCCGCTCTACTACGCTCTACTCAAGTACGAGTCGGGCGACGACTCCGAGGAGTCGTACGCGTGTCAACTCCTGGTGAAGGGCGCCCACACGGGTGCGTTGTACTCCTCGAACTGCGACAGTCTTCTTCAGAAGGTGGTGGAGGATGGGGCGACGAACGCAGCGGTGTTTCTTTGCGACCACCTCACCAACGTTAATCACGTCAACGGCGACGGAGAGACGGCGCTGCATGCGGCGTGTGCGAAGAACTCGCCCCAGGTGGTGGACAAGCTGCTAGAACTAGGTGTCAACCCCAACTTGTTGACCAATGAGTTGAGACAATCGCCGCTGCACTACGCCGTCAAGAGCAACAGCGTGGAGTGCGTGGAGGTCTTCATCAAGAGGGGCGAAGGGGCTAACTTCAACGCGCGCGATATCAACGGGGAAACCCCAATCAGTCTGGCGCTAAATGAAGGTCACAAGGATCTGGTGCCTGTGTTGATCCGCGGGAACGCCGACGTTAACGTACGAAACGGAAAAGACTTCACGTTGTTGCACCAAGCCATCCTGAAGGAGGACGCCAAGACGGCGCTTTTCTTACTGGACAACGGGGCCGACATCAACGCCAAGTAAGTACAATTACTAAAATTTGACAAATCTTATTGGTTGAAGGACGGCGGAGTCGGAAACGCCCCTCCAACTAGCCATCCACTGTCGATTGGGCGAAGTGGTCGACGCTTTGTGTATTCGGGGCGTGGACATGTCAGCGCCTGACCGATTGGAGAACTGTCCCTTGTGGGCGGCGCTTGACTCCGGCCAGGACGATATCGCCAGCATTCTGGTGCGACATGGGGCGGATACTGATTGCTGGGGGCCGGGCCCCGATGGGTGCCGCCAAACGTTACTACACAAAGCAATCGATGAAAACAAAGAAGCGGTGGCTATTTTCTTGATCCAGTCTGGATGCGACCTGGACTCCCCCAGAATGCCTGGACCCAACGGAGAAGGGGGCGAAGAGGCAACCGATAGAGCGTCTCCGCTACACTTGTGTTGTCAATGGGGACTGGAAACCGTGGTCAGAGTAAGTTGAAGAATTTTTACGATTATACGCGCTATTTTTTTTTTTTTCCAAGACTTTGATCGAGCACCGCGCCAACGTGAACAGTCGCGACGCCGACAACAAGACTCCCTTGCACATCGCCATCGAGAACCAGCACCCAGAAATAATCTCGTTGTTGCTGAGTGTACCAGAGATCGACTTAAGTCTGAGAGATAAATCCGGTTTGAGTCCTTTCGCTACGGCTTTAACCTTCAGGAATAATAAGGCGGCGCAAGCGATCCTAGATAAATTACCATCAGCTGCTGAACAAGTACGTAGATTTTTTCCATTTTGACATTTCTTTTCGAGATCGAAAATTCTTGTGCTTTTTGTTCAAACAAAACAAGTGGAAGTGTTTCAAGGTTGGCTACGCTTATTAATTATTTGGAACAATTTTAAGTAGTTGTGTTTTTTTTTTAATATGCAAAAATGGTTCCTAGTTATACTGGCTGCAGGTGGATATTACACATCAAGATTGATGAAAGTCGATAGATTTGTTTTAATTTGATTTTAATGCATAAATTATGTAAATGGGACTTCCGGCATATACGAGAACGTACTTACCTGAATTTCGCCTCTTAAATTTAAATGTGTAAACGCAACGCTGTTGCGTCACGCTACATTAATTAAATGGACTCGTTCGTGTTAATGTTGTTTAATTTCTTTATCTCGTTATAATCAGGTGGAGGTTGATGGCAATTAATTGCGCCATTTAGTAGCTGTAATTATTTTTGTGACTAATTCTACATTAAGCCCAGAATCTCTGGGGAACGCCAATTCACTTTTTTTGGTCTAACACAACACGTAACAATTAGCGCAACGTTAAAAAAATCGAATATGATTGCCCCGCCTCTTGTAAATGGCCCCGCCCACCCACCCGTCCCTCTAGTGCGGCGAATCATTTTATTAACTCTGAGAAAAGAGGTGGATCTTATTCGTCAGTACTAGAATCTAAAATGGAAAATATTGCAATAAACCCCACCCACCCACCCCTCCCTCCCTCTCCGTTTCACTTCTGATTTTATTTGTCGGAAATGAAATATTTATTTTACATTGGCAAACTTTAAATAAATAATCAACATTCACACTTTGTTAGACACAGTTTTGTTTTAAGTGATCGTTCCAAAGCTAGTTTTGATTTGATTTTTTTAAGCATTCCATTCGTTACGTATCAATCTCAAAACAAAAAGTCCCTATGTTGTTTCAAAGGGAATTCGGATATTTTTTTACACTTCAATATTTTATCAAAAGAAATTTTAAGAGACGAAAAAAAGTTACATTTGATGTAATTTTAATCCCATTAATAATTTAAATAAATAAAAACAAAAACAAAAAGTCCCTATATTATTTCAAAGGCAACTCATATTTTTGAAATTTCAATATTTCATCAAAAAAAAGTAAAATAATAATAATAATAATAACGTAATATTATCCAACTCCGCAGTTCGACGCCAAGGGCCAAAACTTCCTCCACATCGCGATCAAGAAAGGGGACATCGAGAGCGCCCTCTTCCTCCTCACCGTCCGCGTGGACGTCAACTCCCGCGTCCAGGATCCCATGCTGACGCCGCCCCTGCACTTGGCGGCGCGCCACGGCAACGAAACCCTGGTAAGGAGCCTGATTCTGGCGGGGGCTCGCGTGGACGACAGAGACGCGCAAAAGTGAGTAACCACCCAGCCAAAAACCCCAACTGAAAATCGTTACGTAGACGTACGGCGCTTCACACGGCCTCCGAAGCAGGCAACGCCCCCGCGGTCTCCGCCCTGCTCCAAAACAACTCCGACTACGACGCCCTGGACATAGAAAACGACAACGCCCTGCATATCGCGGTCCGAGAAGGCCACTTGAACGTCGTCCGTGCCTTGCTAACCGAGTCCAGCATAGACGCCGAAGCCGTCAATCTGAAGGGGCGCAACCCCTTACACGAGTTGTGTAAGTACGGGAAGGACAACGCCGCCGCGATTTGCGAGCTGTTCTTGGAGTGTATGCCGGAGTATCCGATCAATAAGACTGATATTATGGTAAGTGGGTTTTTTGATTTGTGCATTCATTGAGTGATTTTAAGGGGAACTCGCCGCTGCTGTTGGCGTACATGAGGGGCAACGGGAATTTGTGTAGGGTTTTGGTAAAGGCGAAGGCGTGTTTGGCTACGGAGAATAACGAAAGAGTGACGATTTTTAACTACCAAGTTCCGAGCAAGCAGCTATTGAATAGGCTTCTGGACCAGTTGAGTCTGCCGGCGGTTTGGACTAACACGGACTCGTGCCAAGAGTGTGGAAAGAGCTTCTCGATAACGGTGCGTACTCACCATTGCAGGCACTGCGGACGAGCCTTGTGCAGCAAGTGCTCGGATCAAGAAGTCCCCATTATCAAGTTTGGGGAGAATAAACCGGTGCGCGTTTGTAATATCTGCTTCGACGTTTTAAAAACGGGGGGTAGTTAACTTACCCGCAACCACTAAGTAGACATTCCTGCTTATATTATTTTTGTAATTGTTTGTTATGGAGATTTTATTAAGTCTATTAATAGTGTAATAAATCATTGTATGTGATTTCTACTATTTATTGGAACATTAAATAACAAATTGCTCTATTGCATCGTTTTTACTTTGAATTATTACAGTTAAAAACCAAAGATACAAGTTTGAGGTTATGTTTTTTCTCACCCTTAATTCGTACTCGCAAATCAATTGAAAAATTCTAACAGTCGTGGACTGGCAACAATTCTTGTACTGGAAATTCCTCCATACAGGCCTATGTGGAATAAATTCCACTAGCCATCAACTTTCGCCCCATTTTGGCAAAAAAAAAAACAAATGTCATTTATATACAATTGTACGAACTAATAAAACACATACGTTTTGCATTGTTTTCTTCTTTCAAAAAGAATAAAACTACTATAGTTGCCCAACAAAAAAAAACAGGGGAAAAAGACGAATTTTAAGTGTTTTTGAAAGGGAAATTTGTTTAGACGAAACCGTATTCTTGTTTGGAAAAACGGTGTTTTTTCCTTGAAATGTTGACTATTTTGAAAAGAGTACGTTTGGAAAAACTTTTAAAAAAAGTCAACATTTCAAAAGTTACCTTGAAAACCAGAGTAAAAGCATTAAAACGTGTTGTGTTCTAAAGGGGCCATTATAGTAATAAACATTGGGGTTATTTGTTCTAGCTGCAGGGGATCAGTTGGTAGTAAATGTTCATTGATGGAAACATTGAATTTGGTTTAAATTTAGGCGCTATTATTTTGTTTAAAACAATTTGGTGACACATCGCTGTAACGAAACAACGCTGCAAAGGGATAACGGGAATTCATGTAGGAATTTACCCCTAACCACTAAAAGACATTCTTGTCTTTGAAGTCTATTAATAATGTAATAAATAATTTCTACTATTTATTGGAACATTAAATAACAAATCTACTATTGGAGCGTATTTACTTCAACCTGCTGAACAAGTCTTTGGTGACGCAGTGATCGAGGGCGTGCAAATAGTCGAAGAGTTCCTCGACGCAAGTCTCCGTAGTTTTCGACCTGGAGTTAACGCGGTCATTGCAAGTCTGGTACTTCTCGTACAGTTCCTTGCAGTGTGAGGTGTCCCCACACTTATCCTGCAACCAAAAGTCAACTACATTTTTGAGGTTATGTTTCCCCTCACCCTTAGTTCTTGTTGCGGGTCGACCAGTTCCTCCTCGGCCTCCGCTTCGGCTTCCTGCGCCCTAACCTTGGGTAAATTGAAGAATTTCTCGAACCACATTACGTTTTAATTCTACTTTAGCGACTTTTCCAACCCAACTTGCGTAACAACTGTCCGATTACCCCCGACGGCGCTGCCAACCTCACTCCGCCGATCTAAAAATAATCCGCGGCTTTTTCCTGGTGATTTTGCGTGCGTCGTGTTGGCGAGCCCGCCAGCAGCAACTTTGACGTGAGGGTAGGTTAGGAGGTTGAGTGCGTTTCGTTGTGCGTTAATTCGTGAAAATCGCGTGTTTTCCCGTGAAATAATAAACCCGTGAATGACAACTCGCTGAGAAAATAATTTTCCGATAGCCGTCGCCATTACAAGCGCTCATTACCATGCACGCATTCTCTATATTTGATCCGAGCTGATTTGTGATTGTTATTATTTACCATCCGCAATACCTCTTTGTATAGTAACTAAGGTAAGTGGTAGCGATGGCACGACGTCGAAAAAACACGTTTTTGCGTAGAATGAACGGTACAATGGAGCCACGCAGGAGCGACGGTCACACTCACGGTACGTCCAAGGGACCCAAAAACTACAAGTTGCTGGTCGACCCGTTTCTGGTCAAGGGGGCCGCCAAACTGTATCGGTACGACGGGGTTGTGCCCAACGACGCCTCGTACCGCCCGCCTGTCCCCCGTGACCCCAGATCCCATCTCACGAGAATCTGGACCAGGCTGGAAACGCTCGACCTGCCTGTACCAAGGTTTGCATTTGTTGGGGAGCAGGTTTGTTCGGAAGCTGCTCGTTGCGAAAACCGACAATTTAATCTCTATATGTTTATTAAAGACACTTAAATGCGACTAAACATAACCTCAATTTTACACAACTATTGTTGAGATTCACAGTTTCAAAGAGAGGGTGAGTAATTTCGACACAGCGCTGCCAGAAAGTCGCGTTGACAATCTTCGTTTTGTGGTATAATAAACAATTTCAAAAATTGGTGGCCAAGTCATCTGAAAATATAAAAATAACGTAGTCGTTTGAAAGTTGGGTAAAAACTAACGTTTTGTAACAAAAATACACGCTTGCAGAGTGTCTCAGCTTCAGCACTATTTTACAAAAAAAATTAAATTTGTGGTTTGTGACATAACCCCACTTTTAAAATTTCATGTAAATTGTTCATGGGAGTTGTAAATTTTACAATTTTGTCCATCGTGCGACGATTCTGAGTCGAACGGAACCGTTTTCAAAATACTCCATAGAGCTCCAAAGAAAAACCATAATTGGCCGAACTCATAACCTCACTTTTTGTGGGGCTTAATTTTGACCAAAAGTCTTTACTTGATGCAAAGCCGCAGAATCTACTAATATCGTTAATTGGACATTATTAATTACATTTATTAATAATAGAGCGCAATTGTTCGGTCCCCGCATGGTAATAAAATATTTTTGTTTATGTAAAGGATCAAGGACAGATTGTTTATGAGCCTTGTAGAATGACGAATCGTGGAGAACACACGCGACCTTAACACTTTACAATAACCTACAGGAGTAATTAGTGAAAGAAAAGTTGCACTTAGCTGTCACTCAGAGGGCCCCCATGTGAAGTACTTTTCTAGCCTGTTGAAGCTAATAATAATAAAATGCTAGTGCCGCTTTAAATACACCGAAAGTAGAAAATGTGGATCCCGTTCGGTCGTTTTCTGAAAAGGAAATTTCAATTTTCTTCTAGAAGTTATCTCATAACCTCACTTTTTTTATCTGGCTTTCTGTGCCTTTGGCGCTCGGTTCGTGAAGTAGAATTGGTGCCAAGTTTTCAATGAAAGCGTAAAATAAAACCCTACAATGTTTTTGTCTTTAGAATATAGGTAATTAAAAGTTGGGAGAACATAACCTCACTTTTGAATTTTCCTCAATGCCAGCGCCTTAAGTTACTTTTTGCTATAATAATGCGTAATTGTAACCTTTTAAATGAAAACATAGTACGTGGCGGCTAAAAATAGTGCTAATTCATTGTAGATATGAATCCACACACGGTCCATCACCTTAATGTGGCGGACAAGTATTACGTTACGTTTGACCTTGATTTAATACAATCCTCACTCATTATCGCTTGATTAAACATTTTCCAACCTTATCTGAATCGTGAAAAGTAGCTTTGCCGAAAAAAGTCGTTGCGCAACAATGTTACATCATCACAAAACTAACAGTAACGTTACGACGTAACTACGTAACATAACTCGTATCAGGTTATGTAGCAGCAATGTAACGTCATGTTACTGTTGCGAAAAGCCAAGTTTAATGACAAATTGAGCGGCAGCACAATCGAGTCGAATAAGAGAGTGCCTTTCTTTAGGTTCAAAATCGACACAAACTACGTCGGCGAACCTCCCTCCATCGAAGTGACGATTTTTCACTTGAACGACAACATTGACAAACAGTTCCTGAAAGATATGGTCCAGAAGTTCGGCGTCGTCGAAGAGCTCTTCATCTACTACCACCCCCAGACCAACAAGCACCTCGGCATCGGGCGCGTCGTGTTCGAGAGCGTCGCCGCCGCCAAGCTGTGCGTGGAAAAGCTCAACGACACCAGCGTCATGGGCCAGATCCTAGAAGTCTTCCTAGACCCGTTCGGCGAAAAGTGTAAAAAGAAATTCGAAGATTGTACAGTAGAAAAGCGGCCACCGCTCGTGATCGAAAACACCCCGAAAGCCGAACCCGAAAAGCCGAAAGTCGACGAAGAGGCGAAGAAGAAGGAGGAGAAGGAGAAGGACTTGCACGAAGAGATCAAGAAGAAGGACAGGGAGAGGGAGAGGGAGAGGGAGCGGGAGCGTGAGCGAGAACGAGAGAGGGAAAGGGAGCGGGAGCGGGAAAGGTATAGGGCGTACCGGAACGACTACGCCACGCCTAGCAGCTCGGACATGGGCTACGGTACGGCGTCGAGCGAGTTTTCGGCGAATTACGGGTCTGCGGGGACCACGCCTCTGGCGTACGACTACGCCCACAACATCCAGCTAGCGCACCAGTACCCGTACGCCACGCCCACGTACCACTGCACGCCGGCGGCCGTGTGGCCGATGGCCACGCCCCAGTGGCCGTCGGAGATGTGGGACCGGACGCCGGTCCCGCCCAAGTGGCCCGAAAAGGAGCACGCCCCCAAGGAGCACAAAGAGGAGAAAAAGGAGAAGAAGCGGAACAACGCCGTGGTGGCGCCCCCCACCACGAAAACCAAGAAGGAAAAAGAGAAGGAGGAGGAGGACGGGAAGACGCTGGATTTGGACACGCGGATCGCTCTCTTGCTGAAGGGACGCGGCACGGGCGAGAAAGCCCCGCCCTTTTTGCTGCTGGGCGGGGACTCGGACGACGAATCAAAGTCGTCGTTCGACCGGATGCCCAAGTCCGTGCCGATACCGACGTCCATCGACAGCGACGACGGTAAATATTGTTCTGGTGGTGGTCGCTTCGGTCCGACGCAACCGGACCGAGGCGATCATTTTATTGGTGTGCGTTGTATTTTGTGCGTTTGCTTCCGCCCCCTTTTCGAGTACGTACGTAGGGTTCTGCACGTTTTCTCGCATCGTTTTTGGTTACCTCCTATTTATTTTGTATTGTTTGTAGACCGGTCGAGTATTTCGCTTAGTGATATGCCGATTAATCCGCCAGCTCCAGATTTCGATTCAAGTTCTGTGAAAAACGACGACAATGCCCCGCTGTCGGTGCCTCCGTCGCCCTTTTTGTCCAAAGAGATTTATCTGGAGTGTCACAGGATGGCGCTGGAGCAGGTACGAAAAAGTTTCACTGTACATCGTTGTGTTGTGAAAATGGCGCAGTCGGTGGGATGACTTTTTAATTATTTTTTTCCGTGGTTGTAGGAAGTGGTGGCTCGGCAAAAGGAGGCCCTTGAGACCACCGCGCTCCTCAAACAAATCGACATGGCGAAGATCGGCAGCGACATCTCCTCCAGCGAAGACGAACTCCTCACCGGGGACAACTACAGTCCTATCGATCGGAAAAGTGTGAAGAACGACAAAGACGACGACCGGATGAGTCTGTCGCCGCTTAGTGACACCGAGCAGAAGATCGAGGAGTCGAAATTGGTGATGCCGATAAGCGGGGCTTACCCGTACCAGCAGTACCCGGGGTATCCCGGAATGCCCTATTCGTACCCGTACAGTCAGCACGACTGGAGGCAGTCGTACCCCTACACCCACCAGATGTACTTGACCGCCGCTTCTTCCTACACTCCTTATCCTTCCATGCACCCAATCCAGAACTACATGAGCTACCAAATCACCCCCAAACGCTCCGACAGTTTCAAAGACGATCCGCACTCTCCGACCATCAACGCGGTGATCCAACAAATAACGCAAGAACTCAAAGCCATCCTAAAAAAGGACTTCAACAAGAAGATGGTCGAGAATACGGCGTTCAAGAAGTTCGAAGCGTGGTGGGAGGAAGAGAGCAGTAAAGAGAACAAGAACAAGGAAGAGGTGGTCGAGAAACCTATTCAGAGTAGGGATAACATCAACGTTCTTCTGGAAGCCAACAGAGAGAATCTCTACTCGAATATAAACCTGGACAACGTCGGCTTCGGTTTAGGCTTGAAGGCGTCGCTCCCGAAGATGCCGAGTTTCAGACGAAAGAAGATTCCTTCTCCGATTCGAGAAGACGAGGATTCGAGGAAGTTGAGCGATAATGATGAGATCGTCCACGATTCGGACACCGAAGTCCCGTCGAGGCCGTTACGACGGATCCGGAAGCACTCCACGTCGACGAGTAGCTCAGAGAGCTCGAGCTTGAGTTCCGAGAGCGAGAGTTCTAGTTCGGATGAGAGTTCGTCGGACTCGGAAAGCGAAGTCGAGGCGAAAGTCGAGATCGTGAAGAAGGAAAAAACGCCCGAATTGATGGAAGTCGAAGAGGTGGAGGTGAAGAAACCGGAATCGACGAAGCCGAATCGGTACTCGAAGATCTACAAGAGCGACAGCGACCTCAGCGACGGGGAGATGGAGTTCTTGGAGCGCCGCAGGCGCAACACCGAGTGGATGGAGCAGATCGAGAAGGAACGACAACAGAGGGAGGAGGAGACGACGCCCGGAGTGCACATAGTGGACAAAAAGGTAATAACAAAGTGGGTAAAAGTCGGGTTTAACGATAAGTTTTCAAGCCTCCGACGCCCAAGATCGACGACGTGGAGATGAAAGACGACGAGGAAGAGGAAGGTGAGGTGATCGAGCGACTCGAGGATAAGTCGTTGGAGATGTTGGAGAACGAGAGGGAGGAGCTGTTGAGGCAGGTCAGAAATCCGGAGCCTCCTGAAGACGCGACGACGGTCTCCGAAGCGGACGAGGCGCTCGCGCAAAGCAGCAGCGACGACGAGAACCTAGAGGCCCGAAGAAAGAAGAAGGAGGAAGTCAAGGAGGAGATCAACGGGGTCTTGGAGGCGGAGAAGGCGGCGAAGAGGGTGTCGGAGTCGTCTGCCGGCGGCAGCAGCCCGAGTTCGCAGGTCACGTTGGAGCATTCGTACTGCATGCAACCGGTGGAGGTGTCAGCAGAGGCGACCCAGGAGAACCTGGTGCACGACCACGGCTACACCACCACCAAGGAGAAGGTAAGTCACACCTAACGATCAACGACAATCTAACTGTGTTGTATAGGAGCAACCCATCGTCAAAGAAAAACCTCCGCGACCACGTAAACGCAAAGACCACAAGAAACTCCAAGAGCTCCAGAACACCATGAACTACCGCGACGCTTACGACCGCTACAAACCCGAAGCGCCGTACACCATCCACACGGTCAAGCACAAAGAGCGCGACGTGATGAGTCAGATGGGGATTTTGTACGAGTTCCTCACCAAAGGGATAGACCACGAGGACATCCAGTACATGAAGCAGAGCTACGAGTTTATGCTGGCCGACGACACGATGGGCTACTGGTTGAACGACACCCATTGGGTGGATCATTGCGTCACGGATCTCTACTCCAGTCCACCGAAGAGGCGGAAAAAGGACGACTTGAAGGTGCACGCGAGCGGGTGCGCTCGGACGGAGGGCTACTACAAGATCGAAGCGCACGAAAAGGCCAAGTACAAGTACCACCACGCCAAGTCGAACGCCATCGTTTCGCCCAACGTGCCGGTCACGAAGATGCAAGGTGAGAACACCACGCCCCCGGTGACCTTGGCTAACGCGTTTTCTGGTTGTAGGTTTGTCGAGGGAGGCGCGGTCGAACCAGAGGAGGCTCCTCACGGCCTTCGGGGGCGACACGGACTCGGATCTCCTCAAGTTCAACCAGCTCAAATTCAGGAAAAAGCATTTGAAGTTCGCCAAGTCGGCCATCCACGACTGGGGCTTGTTCGCGATGGAGCCCATCGCGGCTGATGAGATGGTGATCGAGTACGTGGGTCAGATGGTACGACACAGCGTTGCTGATCTGAGGGAGAGGAAATACGAAGCGACGGGAATCGGGAGTTCGTACTTGTTCAGAATCGACCTGGAGAACATCATCGACGCGACGAAGTGCGGGAATTTGGCCAGGTTTATAAATCACAGTTGTAACGTAAGTGATCTTCATACTCCGACGACACGTTTTAATTTTTATTTTATAGCCGAATTGCTACGCGAAAGTCATCACGATAGAGTCGCAGAAGAAGATTGTGATTTATTCGAAGCAGAGTATAGGAGTGAACGAGGAGATAACGTACGATTACAAGTTTCCGATCGAGGACGAGAAGATTCCTTGTCTTTGTGGTGCGGCGACGTGTAGAGGAACTCTAAACTAAAAGGGGGGAACAGACTTTAAAACCGAGTTAGTTGCTATATATATTTTAAATTATCTTTTTTATTTGTATATATGTTTCTGTAAATAGTACTTGGTTATTTGTGCTTGTTTTTCATCACAAACACAAATAAATTCATTAACAGCTCGTCTTTCAAAAACTTTATTTCATTTTATTAAGTACAAAAACCCTACTCCTTTGTCGTCATTTTCGTCAAATGTTGCATATCTAGTTGCGACTGCGCTATGTCACTCAGGGCCGCCTGAACCTGCTCGAGCAGGTCCTGCCCCTTGCGGACGATAGCTTCAAGGCGTTCGGCGGCTTCTTGGTTTTCGGCTTCAAGTATTCGAAGGCTTTGAAATTGCAATTCCGTGGAACTTTCTTCGCTTGGCAGTGACTCGATCAAGGTGTCGATATCTTTGGCGCAGCGGGCGATCAGAGTGGTGAAGAGCTGGACGTAGTCTTCTTGGTTTTGTTGCTGGGGGGTTTGCGAACCGCTTCGGTCGAAACTGGGGAATTTGCTCGGAGGGGCGAACTGTTGCAGGATTCCGATGCTGTTGCAAAAGTGCTCGGCTTGCTACAACAACAATTATCACAAACAGAACTACAACATGGGGGCTGAAGCTCACCTGGTTTATGCAGTCTTGTAGTTGAGTCAAGCGGTCTGCCATTTTGAGTTGAGGTTATGTATGAAAATAAACCGAAATAATACTGCGGACGTTTTATCGTAGTGTACGAACTAAAAGCGGGATTAAATCATCATAAAATCATTATTTGCGGACTGAGTTCAACGACATTTTCTTAAAATAATAAACAATGAACCTAGTGACACAGGGCCGCCAACAGTTACATGTAAAAATAACCCTCCTTGTCACCTGTCAAAACAAAATCAGCTGTTTTTGACTTTCCAACACAACAAAACAAATATCGAAGAAAGCTCGAAAACGTAAAATAATGTCTACGAACAAACCATGGGACCGCCCATGGTCCATGGACGAAATAATCGAAAATTCAGACAACTGGAGCATCGCCGGCGACGTAGCCCTCCTCAACACCCTCAAGGCTTTCGCCGACGTAAAATCCACCCCCAATGTCAAAATTCGTAATAAAATTCGACTTCCAGAATTTACTAACCCGCACGACCGAAATCAACGGTAATTTACAAAACTTAACCAACACTCTGGACCAAACGAGCCTACAGTTAAATATAGCCCAAAACGAGTTCCAGAGCTTGCGTAACACCCAATTCATCGAAAGTCGCGTTTACGAGGACGACGAATCCTTGCCTCAACCCGACGTGGAAAACAAAACAAAAGTGGAGGAAAAGAATGACCACACTGAAGACATCCGCCTCGCCGCTCTAAAAGGATTAGAAGTCCTGGACGAATATTTCGACAAAGTCGAAGTTTCAGTGAGCGACAGCGAAGACGACGACATCGATCTACCAAAGTACTTTTCACTCTCAAACCAATTTTGATACTTAACCTCACTTTTCAGCTACGTTTTGCGACCCAAAGACTTGTACATCCAGCGCCCCCTGCCCTACGTCATCGGCTCCGCCGACTGGCACAAAAACTGGCACGTGGGGCTCGAGGACTCGTCGAGCGACAGCGAAACCGAGAAAGTCTCAGACAAGTTCAGTGAAAGCGACTCCGAATCAGACTTGCCAATTATCCAAGATAGGTCACAGGTAACAGTTACATTTCATAGCGCGCGACTTCCACTCAACTTTTCCCATTACATTATCATAGTATTATGTGGTCTGTTAATTCTTTCTTTCATTTCTGTAATAGTTGTCTTAGTGGTGAAATGGGGAATGTTTGGTTCTTTTTTCAGATCAAAGGCACGTCTGACACGAGTTCCGAGTTAGATTTTTCGCAAAAAATCGAGCCCAAGCATAAGGACTTTTTCAACTCGAGCGATAGCGAGAACTCGGTGCAGGCGCCCGTTTCGAATAAGAGCTTCGCTGAACAGTTGGCGGCGAAATTGGGGCACGTGGTGAGTCAGGAGTTTGAGGAACCGGAGGTGAACAGGAGGCCAATACAAAACCAAACGACAAATTATGGTAATATTTTTGAAATTTTGTGTGACAAAAATCAGGTTTGTGGTTGAAGGCGACATATTTTTCGACGAACCGCCGCCCCTGGACGAGCCCAAAGGACCTTTTTCTCGGGGCAGAGGGTTGTTCGACGACGACGACGATGACGACATCTCCATCACAAAACCGCCAAATGAAAGTCCTAAATTGTCAAAAAGCAAAGGCCTGTTTGACGAAGAAAGCGACGAAGACATTTTCTCAAAGACAAAACCAGAAAAGCAGCCACTTTTTAGCGAAGAACCTCCGGCTTTAGACGAGAAAAAGGTACATTAAAACTTTTTTTTCCAATTAAAAAATGTTACATTTTCTTGTAGAAACCTGTAGGTGGGGTGTCAATTTTTGGAGGTGGCAACCTTTTCGATAAAAAGTTACTAAGAAGGCAGCAGAGTTCTGACGACGATGAAGAAGCAGAAAAAGAACACGCAGAGACAACGTCGAAAAAAGTTAATTTGTTCGACGACGATTCGCTCGGGGGTTCGTCAAAGACCGTAAAGACGGAAGAAAATTCCAGACGAAAAGTGAATTTGTTTGACAGCGACGAAGAAACCAACAATTTGTTCAATGATGACGAAAAACCCGAGAAACCAAGTCCTGTGAAATTATTTGCCGACAACGAAACACCAAAAGAAAATCCACAAGTACAACCAGAGAAAAAAATAAGTTTGTTTGACGACGACGACGACCTATTCAAAGACGATCTCTTCTCCTCCAACACAAAGAAGAGTTTTACTTCTTGTTTATTCGACGACATTCCCGGAGACGATTTGTTCTCTTCCAAACCCGAAGAGAAGCCGAAATTGTCTGGGAGTTTGTTCGACGATGTGGTGATTCCGGATGACAAAAACTCCATCAATGTAGACAATACAGATAATACAAACTCTGCTGATCCACCACGTCTGTTTAGCAACAACTTACAAGAAGTTACAGACGGTGATAAAGTTGTTGACGAAACCGACTTCTTCAAACCTAACCTCAAATTCGACAACAAGCCAAAATTGTCACTTTTCGATTCGCCGCCCCCGGAGCCCGACGACTTATTCGGCGAACTTCCACCAAAGACCGACTTCAGACCGAACTTACCTTTATTCGACCCCAGCCCGCCCCCCGACGACGATTGGGACACAAAATCCGACAACTTATCCGAACCTGAAGATTTCACCCAGGACTTCGAAACACCAACGCCGAAGACGAATTTGTTCAGCGAGGAGCCACCAGCACTGGACTTTGAACCGTAAGAACGCATTTTTGCCTAATATACAATTAAAAAAGTGTTTTAAAGGGGCCTGAAAAAACCGGGTAAATTAAAACATAACCTCAACATCAACGTTGGTGCTTTAATGCCCGGATTTGTCCCTCCAAAGCGGCCTGAAAAAAAATCCGACAAGGAAGTTCGCACGTCGGAGGATGACGTAACCCCAACGTCCACCAGGGTAGCTGTGACGTCACCGCGGAAAGTCGCGCCTGCGTCGTTCGACGACGCAGATAAAGTCGAAGTTCTTCAGAGCGTTACCAAAGTAATTTGATTCAATTTAAGAGTTTTGTGTAACTGGGTGTTTCAGGATAGGGCCAGGGTGCCCCTAAATAGGCGCCCGTCGACGCGGAGGGGGCGCAAAGCCGCTCTGGAGAAGTCATCGAGCGACTTTAAGCTAGACGACGAGCAAGAAGTCGCCAAAAATATTCCAAAACCAGAAACCGAAGACAAACAACCAAATAACTTCCTAGAACAACTACAAAGTAGTCTGGACGCTAAAACTAAACAAAGTTCTTTGTTCGACGAACACATTCCACAGCCAAAAATTGAAGATAAACCACCAAGTGACACAAAAAACAGTCACTTGGAGGTTAAAAGTTCGTTGTTTGACGAAGTGAAGACTGAAGATTTCTTTGAAACGTCGAAACGTGCGGATAGTTTGTTCGACACGCCGGAGAAAGTGCCCAAACCGGTGAAAGCGGACTCGTCGAAAACCAACATTTTTGATGAGGAAGACGACGACGACGATTTATTTTCAGTCAAGAAACCTATTTCTCAAGCAAAAACGAAGAAGTCGCTGTTTGACGACAACGAAGACGACGACGACGACGATATTTTCAAGAGTTTCAGTAGTGCGAGCGTTACGAGTAAGTCAACTCCGACTCTCCACTCTGATTTTGTCGTTTTGTTTACAGAAACCGAAAGTCGAATAGCCAAAGAGAAAAAAGTGCCGAAAGTCTCTTCTGTGAAGAAGCTGGAGAACACCCAACCCGACGACGATCCCTTGTCCGCTCTACTAAAATAGTGTTACTGTTATAAATAAAAATCGCCCTTGGTGGACGCACATGACATCAATCCGCTCTATAAATACCTTTTTTTTTATTTTTTTTGAAAACAAAACTAAATCACACATTGAAGGCAAGCTTCAACCACGCTAAAATTGACTAATGGTGATAAATTGGAACGTAAATACTTACACAATATCAAATACTCGCTTACAAGTACGCACATCGGAATGGTTCAACAAAAAACAACCTCCCAAAAAATTAAATAACAAAAAGAGAAATATAAATAAGTGTGAAAAATTGAACTAATGTAGTAATCAAGGCAAATCCCAACCGCCCTCTAGTCCTTGGCGACCTTACTCTTCTTCTTGTGTATCCTCTTGTGGTAACTCTGAGCAAACGAATTAACTATCGACACCACAAAGTACAAAATCATCGCCACGACGAACTTCTCGAAAATCGAGCCTAAAATATTCCCGCTGTCTCCCCCCGGCGCGCCCCCTTTGTGTAACTTGGCCTTCTGCCCGTCCAAGAACGCCTTGAAAGGTACTTGCAGTTTTTCCCCCACCACCGGCACGTACTTAAGCCACTGCAGCGCCGTCACGATCAGAGTTTCATTAAAGGCGATTATAACGAACAGCTTCTGGATGTGCATCTTGATGACGGCCTTCCCGATTAAAGTAGCTCCAAAGAAGGTCCAGAACGGCACCAGGAAGTGGCCGCAGGTGATGCCAGCCAAATCAAACAACGGATTTGGAATCTACAAATCCAACTCAATTATTTATTACTTTTGGTTTCGAAGTACTAACGCTAGCGCAGCCGAGGATCCCCAAGAAACCGACCCGCTGCACCAGCTCTTCGACGAAGAGTTTGCCCCGCTCGATGAGGGTGAGATCCTTTTTGTTGCTTTGTTTGCGCTTCAGCTCCTCGAACTCTTTCAAGTCGTCGTCGTCGTCGTCGGGGTCGATCCTGGAAAATACTAACGTGGTGGAAAATTCAACACACGAGGGAGCGTCGTACCCGGAAAGCCTCGCCGCTCTGGCCATGAAGTACGGCGGCAGTTCCCCTAGAGCGGTTCCGGCGCCCCAGCACATCGCCTCTAACCTCACTTTTGACATTATTGTTAAAATAGACACAGCCAACGGGTTACGTTCGTCCGGACAGATAATTTCGTCGGGATATGGGGGCTCCGGGAAATTTAACGATTCGCATTCGTAAGCGGCCAGAGTTACGGCAGCTATATGAGGTCCTAGATATAATATGAATGTGTGAAGTCCGGTTCCTAGGCCTACTGAGGATAATATGCCTGGAACAACTCGGGTATTTTTTGTTTTTGGGTTGGCGGAAAAATACCTAATCCTATCCAGTATGAACACCACAGAAGTTTCTTGGTTAGAACGTCAATGTAGGATTGGTGAGGGCCGGCAGTTTTTACCAACAGGTACGATAACAGAAATGAGATTGTTAGTAATAAAACGATTTTCTTATGTTCTAAGATCCTAAAAAAAGAAAGAAAGTTTTAATGGCATCAAATGGGTGATTTTTTCTGCACCAATAAATGTGAACAATATTCAGCTCCACACATATTTAATTAATACTGTTATCGACACTCGTAAAAATCTTTAAATTGGTTTTACATAAAACATCGCCGGTTCTTTTACGTCACGCGTGGGTTAAAAACGTCATTACGCAATTATCAAAGATACCAAAACATTTTTTTTTTTTCGTTATCTTTGATATATATTTATAAACATTATGCGACATATTTAAAATTCTTTTCGAATTATCTTTTAATACGTTCACAATTTATAGTGTGTTTGAGCGACGAATTAAATGATGTAAAGTTTTGTGATGACGTCATCAAATTTTTGAAACGGACAAACAAAACATTTTTAAATAATTAAATTTGTGACGCAACATCTGTGCTAAATTTAGAATAACTTTTTCCCTTAATTACAATATTACATTTAAAATACAGAATTTTAAAACTATCTCCACAAAGTTACATTAGTTGTAAAAGCTGTTGCTACTGTATAATAAAAAAATCAATACAAAGGTAATTCACTATACATTGACATGAATAATGTGTCTATTTCCATTAACATGAGTTATTAGGCCGAGACGTCACTCGAGAAAAAAACTCGAGTGTTCAGTGAAAACTACACTCACAAATCTAATAATCATTGTGAAGGTCACTAAAATTAATTCCTGATTACTCCTACTCAACCAAATCAGAACATTGTTATCACGCGACCAAAACACATACCCGTCTCTCTCGCACTCTTAATTATTAGGGAAGTAGTTGGGTCAATGTAACCAACTTGAACAAACAACTGCTTAAACTTTTAGTCTCAATTATCTCTAATAGAAATTATATTTGTTTGCCCATTTACTAAATAACGGTCTCCATACCGCTACATATTGATTGCTTCTTCTCCCACGTCATAAAACAAAACTCACCTTTTCCCATACGTCGTTAAGAGCACAAACACCTCCTTCGTTGAATATTCTATCGTCGTTATGGGTCTCTTCCACAACACCAGACTTTCTCTCTCTTTCCTTTCAGTTTCCTTCCGCGTCCTCTCCGTATCACTAAAATCACCCGACGACGTCTCCTCGGGGGTCACCGCAGTTCCGTTCGTGGAATTGTTCTTTCGTTTCGAGGTCATTTTGTACCCTAGTCTTTGTAGCTAAAAAGAAAGCACATGAAAGCCGACGAAAGCACCCCACAAAAAAGCAAAAAACAAACACAAAAAGGTAACTGCAACGCAAAAAAACAAGCGACATCGTCGACTTCGCCACTCTCGACGGTAATGATGCAGGCGTCCATCGCTTATCGCTATCATCGACCTTTCACATCCAATGACAAACTAAGCAACAAAAACGGAGAAGCGTCTACACAGCAGGAAGACGGGGCAAAATCGACAGCGTGTATCCCGACACACACAACTTGCTCCATTTTGCCTGCTTCCCATTCACTACGATCCCATACCAGCTCCGCTTTATTCCCGCTAGTCTTTTGTCCCCTTTTTCGGCACTCAATCTTGAGTTGCTCCTTGGTCATAGCCAGCAACTCGTCGGCGTCTTTCTTAATCGAGTTAGTCGGCACATTGACACCCTTACTGCCCGCAGAAACCGAATTCTGCGCCGCTTTCGACCGGTTTTTTTTCCCTGCCATCCGGTATCATATGGTCAGTTTTGAGGCTACAAAAAAGTACGTTTACTAAAATAGATTTTCGGCCAACGATGCATCTAGTAAAATTAGAAATCAGCCGGCGGTCGCTGCCAATTCGGCCCTGGAATTGTTATATTAAAAGTGCGAGGGGGATACATAACCTCAATTGACGCCTGTGGGGGGAAGCACGATAAGAAGCCAGAAAGCTAAAGGGGGCGCGTGGGGGCACGCCAACGACTTACTTTGCTTAATTAAATTAAAAAACTTAACTAAAATCACACATCACCAAAACACAAAAGTGGAGTGACGAACTGGTAGTGACGTCATTGACGTAACGCACAGCTGCCAACCACACAAACCAACCAACAAACAAACGACTCAAAAAACCAAAAAAGTCTCCTTACTTACCTTCAAATGACTCAAACTGCGTACTTGATTTTTAATTATTATTATAATTTGATGTTTAGAATTAAAAACTACGTCAACTGTTATAAATCGTGGTAAAAAATAAGTTGAGTAGGCAACCAACTATACACGTCGTCGCACATTTACTGGCCTAAATTACTCCTAGTTCAAGCACCTCGTCCCCAAAACCAAAATTTCGCCGGGAGCACCCAGTAACCGTCTTCTAATTACCGAAACCACGAAACCGCCGCAAATCATTTCCACCAGGCTGCTAATTGCGGGCTCACCAATTAGGACCCATCACCTGCGACCAAAACCAAGAGCAATTATTTCAAACATAACCCATGAAAGCAGCAGCCAGAGCGCCAAAGCTCGTACTACCATCATAAAAGTCCCATAAAGCATTGACCTTCCAACACAAATTCATAGTCGGGCCCACCATCGCCACCACTCCACCTGTAGCCAACTCGACATACCTGTTGGGTTCAGACGGTGATGGTAATTGTACCATGAAAGAGGTTTAGCGTTCCATCTGAGCGAAAAAAACGCCAGTTTCGTCGAAAATCGGTGTTTCGCGGGTGCGTTTTCTCGAAAAACACAGTGACTGGGTGGTGAATTTGTAGTTTAGTGCGATTTTTTTGGATTTTAAGCGCTTTGGATTTAATCCGTGGTAAGTGGGAGAGGGGGTGTAGCGTCGGTGTACCAAGCACAACATTATTTTTCGATTTTTAATAAAGAATGGTGGTTTGGAATGAGAAAATGGTTAATTGGAAGAATTAGCATGAAAGTAAATTATACGGTTGTGCTTGAACTTTAGAAAAACATCCGGTGTCTGGGTAGACTACGAACGATGCGTGTTGCTATTAAAAATAAATTAAATGTTATCATGATCCACGATTTTGTGTGAGAATGTCAGAAATTGTGACTTTCATTTTTAGACGGTTTGTGTTTTTTGGTGTGTGTGTTGTAATTTGTGGTTTGGTTGAGAATTATGTAATTTCAAAATTTTAAATTTTTTCTTGGTAGATGCGAAGAAAACGTTAAGTAGAAAAGCGTGATTGGGGTTATAGAAAGTTAGTTTTGTCGTTTGAATTTTAGCAGCAGTTCTAAAATTGTAGTAGGGTTTTCTTGTTGTAAACATTCGATAATATAAATTTAAAATTAGTTATTAACATATTGTTGTTCTATAAACCCGTGTTAGTTCACTTTATTATTCCATTAATATGCAAATCTTAATCAGGTTTTCGCAGATAAAATCATTGGGTGATTTTTGCGAATATTATTTTCAAAAAGCAAGCGGCAATAATAATTACAAACCACGACGACGATAATCTTCATACCAAAATTATTATATCATTTAGTCATTTTATCACACATCTCTTAACTTATTAAACCTATCTTGATATTTTGACATTTCCACCACAAAAAACCCATTATATTCCCATTATCTTTGTTAAACACGTAAAATTGCGAACGCAAACAACCTTCACTCCTCAGATCCGCATAATGAATTTTTTCTTATCTCTCAGCTCCATTCTTTCATTAAGTGATCACATAATGACTTCACCTCCACCAAAAAAACCATCATCACCCAACTAAAATATCTTCTCTACCGTCATCAGCCGACTACAAACGGTAAACCGAACCTCTTCAAGGAAATCAAGATTCCTCACCCAAAATAATAATAAAGACTTGAAGATGCAGCATTACGTACCACCTGAAGAATTCCTATTCCGCAACAATCGTGGCAAAAATCACACCAAAATTCAGGATCGCTCTAATTAATTAAAAATTCCGAGCTTCGGTTTCTCAACGGTTATTATTTAATGCAATTACCGAAGACAATGGCTTTTGCAACGAAAACCGTGGGCTCAGAGCTATTGTCAAAGCGTTATGAAACGACATCACGTACGTTGGAAAGGACGATCAACCGAAAAATCATAGCGCACGGTTTCCTGCACGACCGGTTGTTGCCCAATCGCCAATAACAACCAGCAACCACTAATAAAGGATGCGAATTTCACCTTAATTAATCGATTTTTAGAAATTGGTTGACAGGTTTGGCACTAGGCCCGGTTTACACCGGCCACTTTTGCGAAATCTTTTAAGTGGTGTGACTGCTGGCTGCGGTATTGTTAAAAAGGTCAAGTGTGTGATTTTAGGTCACGTGCTGGTAATTACAGAGCGACAATGTAAATGTGTGCTATTAGTATTTCAAATACGACATAATATCCGAGCATTCAAGAGCACTTTCACGTTAACTAATGCGTACTTTCGAAGAACAAAAAGACGGCGTTGGAGTGCTGTTGATGTTGGGAACTGTTGTGTAATGGGGAAACCGCAAATTTGTTGGGTACATTTTTCCGAGTGATAATTTCCCGGTATTATGGATGCAGTTCGAGAAGTGCGTTTAATTAGATCGTTAAGGCAGTAGTTAACGGAGCATGTAATGAGGAGGTGGGTTTGTTGTGGACGGAGTGGTTTCGCTTACCATTGGTATCGATGATTTTGAAAATTGTTACACGTTATATTTTTGTAATCAGCATATCGAGATCTATATCCCAGAATTTTTTGCGGATTTTTGGACAACTTTCAAAATCTCAAAATTTTAATATGAAAATTTCGACCCATTTTCGAAAATTACCTAAACAAATTTTCTTGTAGATTTCGATCTACAGAAATTAATTTCGGCCTCCTACCATTTTGAACAGGTTTAGAAATGTTGGCGTTACAAAACGAGGTCAAGTACAAGCCGGCCACAATTTCACATCACCCAGTATATGCATAAACAACCCATAAACACACGGTGCCGCCTTTAATCAATAAACAACAACCAATTATTAATAAAATCCCCATAATTCTGCTCAAGAATCTCGATTTCCTTGAAACCATACATCTGTCCGCGCTTTCAATCCCCCCAGGCTTGCCACCTCCATAAATCAAAAAAAACTTTTCTTTTTCGATTCTTTGCGGCGAAATCGTCCATGTCTTCCGCGTCTGGTGACCTTCCGGCATGACCGGCGATTTTTCAAATCCATACACCCACAAACCAAACGTGGCAACCGTGTCAAGTGGGCGGTTCAAATCCACCCATAGAAACTCGAAATAAACAAAATTTTTAATTGAAAGTATGAAAAAACGTCTCATGATTGATTTCCAAACTTTCACATCATTAATTACGTTTCCGCAGCGCGTTTCCTTGTCGCTCCGCTGGAACAAAATTCCCCAAAAGCCAAGGTCGCTCTCCCCATAAATTTCATACTTTCTTGGTTTTTTAACGCGAAAACGGTGTTGAAAGCAAAATGAAACGCACCGCTAATCAGTTAAGTAAACAACAAATCTATTCTTTCCGACTTTCGATGGCCAGGACACTTGTTACGTAAAATAAAAAAACTACTGGGTGACAAAAACTCTTAAGCCATTACTATTCACGAAGTACCGTTACGTGTAAATTAATTAAAATGTGAAGATCGCTAACCCATAAGCCTACTTGAGGATTGTTTACGGTCGGTCGTGGCTGGCGGATTTTTGAATCGCGTTGGGTTTTATTCAATTCTGACAAAACAATGGGGTTCGAGAAAGCCAGACACGACTTGAATTGTTGGTTAATTCCAAATGACACATCGTTTTTTGCGCTTGAAAGTTGAAAGAGCGCCTAATTGAAACTGCTGAGCCCGGTATGGGTATGCGGTTTCTAGCGGACAAAGAGGAGGTGGCGAAAAAAGTGACCTTTATTTTGGTAAAAGTGCATTGTCGAAAAGGAGCGAGTTAGTGGCCTTTACGTCAGTCAGGAAAGGAATGCGAGGGTGTGATACAGGTTTAATGAGCTGGTTGTGTGGAGGGAATTTGGAGGATTTTTGGTGGTTGCTATGGGTTCTGGTTGGGAGCAAAACGTCTCCGGTGTGATGGGAACTAAGGTTAATTCGCTTGATCTTCAATGTGAGCTTGACCAACTTCCTGACCAAATACAAGGTCGTAGGAGCAACATTACAATAAAATTTAAAAAAGTGCATGAATATTCTAAGATTCTCGAAATGTTATGTTGTGAGTTTAGTACTTTTAAGGTTTTCGCTGACTCAGCATTTTTATTTTCAAAAATTTAAATCCATGTCTTGAGATGTGGAATTTCCGGTGACCCTGTTTAGCTTGAAAGGTTAACTTTAGTTTAGTTTACATTACAAACTAGTCTTCGTTTTCCACAAATCATAGAACTTATATTTCGTGTTTTGGACCTACGACATCATGAATTTCTTTTGTTAAAAAAAATCAGTTCTGCCCTTAAATTAGCGTTTAGAAATTTGTTAGAATTTCATTAAAAAATGGAAAAATGGACATTTCAAAGTTTAAACTGATAAAGTTTTTCGGTATTTTGATACCTAATTCTTGCAACTCAAAAAGTCACAAATAAAAAAAAAGGTTTAAAAAATGCTAGAAATTTTAAAGATTCTGAGGGTCCTAAAGTCTCGAGAAAATCTAGCTTTAAAGATCTTGAAAATTCTAAACTTGTAATAATTTTTAAATCTTAAAAATATTTAATGATTCTAAAGATCGTAAAGATCGACTCCAGATATTCTAAAGATCGTAAAGATCCGATAAATCAGAAAGATTAGAGAAATTTCAAATTGTAAATAAACTGAAGTTCCAAGATTCTACATATCAGAAAAACCTAACAAAATCCTAAAAATTTTAAAGATTCTGAGAACCCTAAAGATCCTGGAAATTCTAAACTTCTAAAGTGTTCAAAGTACCTAATGATTCTAAAGACCCCAGACAATCTCAAGGTCGTAAGATCCGATAAATCAGAAAGATTAGAGAAATTCCAATTGGAAATAAACTGAACTTCTGAAATTATTCTTAAATTATTTTGAATGATCCAATAAAATCCTAAAAATGTTAAAGATCCTTAGGATCCTAAAGTTCCTAGAAATTCTAGAGAGTCTTAAACAGTCTGGAAATCCTAAAGTGTCCAAAATGTCCAATGATTCCAAAGACTTCAGACATTCTAAAGACCTTAAATAGAGAAATTCCATCTTGTAAATGAAATAAAGTTCTAAGATTCTACATAGGTATAAGAAAAATCCAGCAATAAAGATCTTGCTAAAGTTTCCAAAAATTCTAAAGAGCTTTAGAGAGCCTGTAAACTCTAAACTTCTAATAATTCTAAAGCGTCCAAAATGGCCTATGATTCTAAAGACTCCAGATAAAGACCTTAAAGATGCGATAAATCAGAAAGATTAGAGAAATTCCAAAATGTAAATAAACTGAAGTTTTAAGATTCTATATCGGTATGAGAAAGATCCAACAAAATCCTAAAAATTTTAAAGATTCTGGAAATTTCTAATAATTCTAAAACGTCCAAAATGTCCAATAATTCTAAAGACTTTGGACATTCTAAAGACCTTAAAGATTCAGGAAATTCTAAACTTCTAATAATTCCAAAGAGTCCAAAATTTTCAATGGTTCTAAAGGCTCCAGATGTTTTAAAAAATTTAAAGATGTGATAAATTAGAAATATTAGAGAAATTCCAAATTGTAAAAAAAATTGAAGTTCTAAAATTTCACATATCAGAAAGATCCAACAAAATCCTAAAAAAATTTGAATACTCAGAGTGTCCTAGAGTTCCTACAGATTCTATAGAGCTGAAAATCCTAAATTTGTAATAATTCTAAAGTGTCCAAAATGTCCAATGATTCTAAAAACTGCAGACATTCTAAAGACCTTAAATAAAGAGATTTCAAAGTTTTAAGATTCTACACACAAGAAAGTTCCAAGAAAATCCTAATTTTTTTTAAAACCCTGAAAGTCCTAAACCTTCTATAAATTCTAGAGAGCCTTGGTATCCTAAACTTTTAATAATTACAAAGTGTCCAAAATTTTCAATGATTCTAAAAGCTCCAGATCTTCTAAAATCCTTAAAGATCCTATAAATCAGACAGATTAAAGAAATTCCAAATTGTAAATAAATTGAAGTTCTAAGATTCTACATAATACGAAAGATCCAACAAAATCCTTAAAATTTTAAAGATCCTAGAAATTATACAGAGTTTTAAACACTCGGGGAATCTAAACTTCTAATAATTCTAAAACGTCCAAAATGTCCAATGATTTTAAAGACTCCAGACATTCTAAAGACCTTAAAGATCCTAGAAATTCTAAACTTCTACTAGTATTTCCACAGTGTCCAAAATTTTCAATGATTCTAAAGGCTCCAGATATGCTAAAAAGCTTAAGAATGCGATAAATCAGAAAGATTAGAGAAATTCCAAATTGCAAAAAAATTTGAAGTTCTAATATATTCCTAAAAAATTTGAAAACCCAGAGTCTCCTAGAGTTCCTAGAGATTCTATACAGCCTTAAAGAGCTAGAAAATCCCAAATTTTGAATAATTCCAAAGTGTCCACAAAGTCCAATTATTCTAAAGACTCCAGACATTCTAAAGGCCTTAAATAAAGAGATTCCGAACTGTAAATAAAATTAAGTATTAAGATTCTACATCTACATACAAGAAAGATCCAAGAAAATCCTAAAAACTTTAAAAAACCCCAAGAGTCCTAAATCTCGTAGAAATTCTAGAGAGCCTTAGAGAGCCTGATAAACCTAAACTTTTGATAATTCTAAAGTGTCCAAAATGTGCAATGATTCTAAAGATTTCAGACATTCGAAAGACCTTAAAGATCGTATGAATCAGAAAGATTAAAGAAATTCTAAATTGTAAATAAACTGAAATTCTAAGATTCTACATAATACGAAATATCCAACAAAATCCTAAAAATTTTAAAGATCCTGAGGATTCCAAAGATCCTAAAAATTATAGAGAGCGATAAACGCCCTGGAAATCTAAACTTCTAATAATTCTAAAGCGTCTAAAATATCCAATGATTCTAAAGATTTGACACATTCTAAAGACCTTAAAGACCGTGGAAATTCTAAACTTCTAATAATTCCAAAGAGTCCAGAATTTTCAAGATATTCTAAAGACCTTTAAAGATGCAGGAAGATTAAAAAAATTCTAAATTGCAAATAAACTGAAGTTTTAAGATTCTATACCTATAATAGATCCAAAAAATCCTAAAATTTTAAAGATCCTGATGATCCTAAAGCTTCTAGAAATTATAGACACATTTAAACGCCCTGGAAACCTAAATTTCTAATAATTCTAAATCGTCCAAAATGTGCAATGATTCTAAAGACTCTAGACATTCTAAAGACCTTAAAAAGATCTGTATCCTGGAAATTTTAAAGTTTTAATAATTCCAAAGAGTCCAAAATTTTCAATGATTCTAAAGGCTCCAGATATTCTAAAAACTTTTAATAATCCGAAATATCCAGTAATTCTAAACACTGTAGAGTCTAGACGTTCTAAAGACCTTAAAAATTCTAAAAATAAAAAAAATAGATAAAAATAAATTGTAAATAAACTGAAGTTCCAAAGTTCTACATATCACAAAGATCCAAAGATCCTTAAAAATCCTAATAGTCCTAAAGTTTCTAGAAATTCTAGAGAGAATTTTTAATAATTGTGAACTGTCTAAAATGTCCAATGTTTTTAAAGACTCAGATATTCTAAAGACCTTAAAGATGCGATAAATCGGAAAGTTTAGAGAAATTCCAAAATGTAAGTAAATAAACTGAAGTTCTGATATTCTACATATTATAAGAAAGATCCAACAAAATTCTAAAAATTGTAAAGATCCTGAGGGTTCCAAAATTTCTAGAAATTCTAGAGAGCTTCAAAGATCTTGAAAATTGTAAACTTCTAATAATTTGAGTTCAAAATTTTCAGTGATTCTAAAGGCTCCAGACATTTTAAAGACCTTTAAAGATGCAGGAAGATTAAAAAAAATCTAAATTGCAAATAAACTGAAGTTTTAAGATTCTATGCCTATAATAGATCCAAAAAATCCTAAAATTTTAAAGATCCTGATGATCCTAAAGATTCTAGAAATTATAGACACATTTAAACGCCCTGGAAACCTAAATTTCTAATAATTCTAAATCGTCCAAAATGTGCAATGATTCTAAAGACTCTAGACATTCTAAAGACCTTAAAAAGATCTGTATCCTGGAAATTTTAAAGTTTTAATAATTCCAAAGAGTCCAAAATTTTCAATGATTCTAAAGGCTCCAGATATTCTAAAGACTGAAGTTCTAAGATTCTACATACTTTTAAGAAAGATCCTAAAAAATTTAATGATCATGGGTGTGCTAAAGTTCCTAGAAATCCTAAACTTTTAATAATCCGAAATATCCAGTGATTCTAAACACTCTAGAGTCTAGACGTTCTAAAGAGCTTAAAAATTCTAAAAATAAAAAAAAACAGAAATTTCAAATTGTAAATAAACTGAAGTTCCAAAGATCCTTAAAAATTCTGAAGGTCCTAAAGTTCCTAGAAATTTTAGAGAGAATTTTTAATAATTCTAAAATGTCCAATGTTTTTAAAGACTCCAAAGACCTTAAAGATGCGATAAATCGGAAAGTTTAGAGAAATTCCAAAATGTAAGTAAATAAACTGAAGTTCTGATATTCTACATATTATAAGAAAGATCCAACAAAATTCTAAAAATTGTAAAGATCCTGAGGGTCCTAAAATTTCTAGAAATTCTAGAGAGCTTCAAAGATCTAGGAAATCCTAAACTTCTAATAATTTGCGTGTTCAAAATTTTCAGTGATCCTAAAGGCTCCAGACATTTTAAAGACGTTAAAATCCGATAAATCCGAAAGATTAGAGAAATCCGAAATTGTAAAAAAAGCTGTAGTTCCAAAATTCTGCATATATGAAAGATTTAACAGAATCCTAAAAATTGTAAAGATTCTGAGGGTCCTAGCGATCCTAGAAATTGTAGAAAGCCTTAAATTAAAAAAAAAATGGTCTTAAGTTATAACATTTCGGGTTGGACCGTTCTTGAGTTGATCAATAAAATATATTGTCCCTTTCATTGATTTTTTGAGTCACTCTGTATAAGTACATAGGTAATTATAAAAATAATGAAAGAAAGAAAATCAGTTTTTTATTAAGTATGCATTAACAAGAAAAACAATGTAGGTGAAAAATTGAAATGAGATTTTCGTTTTTATTAGAAGAAATTAGAAACACTAGTGTGGAAAGCTTCGCAACACCCAGCCTACTTAGCGACCATTTATTCTACAAACATGTGTATAAAACAAGAATAAATTTAAACGCTTCCAAGAAATATTCTTGTTATTCGTCCAGTACTCTCGCTACACAGAAACAGACTCAAACGGATGCAGGAAAGCGAAATACATAAAAACTGCAGTACCGTTACCTGGTGCACCGAACTAACAATTTCCTCTCGAGTACCTAGTCGCTCTCGGCTTATAACTTATAACTTTTAAAATTAGATACAACCCAACATCATTCCTCCATCGCAATATTTACGACAAGTCTTCGAGATCTCGCTTCCTCGACACTCTTTAAAAGTTGTGCCATAAAACACCTCTTACGTAAACACCGCCAGCTTTATCCTCCGGCAAATATTTCCCCACGAATTTCTTCAGCTATTTTCGTGACATCACCGTTTTAGACTTTACCCAAAACCAGTCTTACCACGCACTTCATTCGACTATTTTCTTCCAGCTCCACAAGGACACGGCCCGTGCCATAATACCATGCCCTAAAATGGCCCTAAAACTCCGCAAAGACATCAAAAAGTCCTCCTACTATGTCTGGTTCTTGGGGGCTAAGGAATCCAAGGGCCTGCGCGGCTCCGAGTTCGTCCTCCCGGTCATCAAGCACCTCGAGGAGCGCGAGAAGGACGTGGAGCCCTTCAAAGTCACGCTCCAGGTGTCGCACAAGGGCCTGAAGATCATCCAGAATGTGGTCTCGCAGAAGGGCTCCAAGCCCAAGAACGAGACCATCAAGCACTTCATCCCACACAACACGATCACGTGCGTGTACCAGAAGGAGGACGTCATAGCGTGTATTTTGTTGCTGTTCAACCCCGTCACCAAGTGCCCCCTGCACGTGCACGCCTACAGGTGCGACAGCCTGGAGACGGCCAGCTTGCTCAAGCAGCAACTCCTGGTGCTGATCGAGCGGCCGGAGAACCAGAAGAAGTTCGCGGAGATAGAGGGCCGGCTGAAGGCGGCGAAGGAGGTGAAGAAGGTGGAGTCGTCGGTGGGGAGCGACACGGGGACGAGCACGAGGGAGAGCGAGTCGAGCGAAGAGAGGTAAAGAACGATTATGAATTTTTTTTCATTTTCAAAATAAAATGAGATTTTTAAGACAATTAAAATTTGGAAAAAAAATGATTTAACGTTGAAAAGTTTCGATATCTCAATTTTTAGATTTTTGAATTTTCCATTTTTTTCATTTTACGTTTTTCAATTTTTCAATTTTTGGATTTTAAGATTTTTCGGTTATTCAGTTTTATCGATTTTTCGATTTAGTTAGTTTTACCTTTTTGTCTACATTCCACTGCGACATAAAATCCAATTTTTGTCCAATAAAATGAGTGATTAGAACAAAAACTGGGTGAGTGGGCGGAGCCACGTTGAATTTTTGCAAGCCCAGATTCGGCTACTGGACAAAATGAAATTCGATTTTCACCTAATCCAATAAGCCAATGAAATTCAAAAGCGGGGGTGAGTTAATTTTTCTTCGTCCAATAAGCTGATCGATGAAAAGAAATCCGGGTGGGTGGGTGGGGCCACTTGCAAGTTTTTTATTGGATTCGACCATTTGCGGAATATAATTCAATTTTCATCTCCCAGTAAATCATATAAGCCAATGAAATGCAGGTGCAGGTGGGTGGGGTTAATTTCACCTCTTAGACGATTTTACTATTATTTGTCAATATAAAATCCTCTTGTCGTCTCACAGCCAATAAAATGAGTGATTAATTTCATTGGCTCTTAATTAAAGACGAATCTCATCTCGAGAAATATGACATTCTAGAACAGGTGACCGTGAAATTTTTCTTTTTGATTTGTGCATTTTATAGAATTTATAGAAAATTTTAGTTTTTTAAGAACTTGAAAAATAGAAACAATTTTGCCGAAAAAGTCCAGATTTAAGCAAAACGAGCTTTCGAAAGAGAAATAAATACCTACATAATAAAAGAAAATAAAATAAAAATTCAAAATTTTGGGTAAAAATGATTTTGAATAAGAAAATCTATTTTTCAGTTTTCCGATTTTTAAATTTTACATTTTGGATTTTTTAAATTTTTAGATTGTTCTAAATCTCAATTTTAGGCTTTCCTAACTTTTAAATTCTTCAATTTTTTGATTTTCCGACGCCTCGACGTTTAGATTTTTGGATTTTTGGATATTCTGATTTACCAATTTTTCGATTTTGATATTTTCCATTCTTTAACTTTCCGATTTTTCGGGTTTTTGATTTTTCAATTTGTCAGGATTCTTCAACTTCAAATTTTGATAACTTAGTTTTAGTTTTGGAATTTTTCGGTTTTTTAATTCTTCAATTTTTCAATTTTTCGATATTTGGGTTTTGGGATTTTCCACTTTTTCGATTTTTAAGTTTTCTTAAGAATTTTTCTATTTTAATCTTTTGATTTCTTAGATTTTAGATTTTTCAGTTTCTCGATATGTTGTTTTTTGGTTTTTCCGTTTTTAAAGTTTTTGGTAGGTATTTAAATTTACCTACTGATTTTATTCAGTTTTATCAATTTTTCGATTTCCCGATTTATCGAGATCTCGATGTTTCCATGTTTTATTTTTTTTAATTTTTCAATTTTTCAAATTTAAATTTTCCATTTTTTGAATTGAGACAATTTGGATTCCTCGATTTTTAGATTTTTCGATCTTCCAATTTTACGACTCTCAACTTTTGATTTCTGGATGTTTCAATTTTTTTTTTCTCAATTTTTCTACATTTCAATTTTGATATTACCTACATTTTTTGAGGCTCATTTTTCGATTTTCCAATTTTTTAATTTTTCGATTTATTGAATTTTTCGATTTTTCAGGTTTCTGATTTTTCAGTTTTTTGAGATTTTTTTGACTTTTTGTTTAATCAATTTTTCAAATGTTCGATATTTCTGTTTTGGGATTTTTCTGTTTTTCGATTCTTCAATTTTTTTATTTATCGATTGATCAGTTTTTCCTACCTATTTGATTTTGGGATTTTCCAATTTTTCGATTAATTTTCACTTTTTGATTTTTCAAATCTTAAATTTTTCGATTTTTCAATTTTTCGTTTTTTAAATTCTACGGTTTTCGATTTTTTTGATGATTCGATTTTTCAATTTTTCGATTTCCCAATTTTTCTACATTTCAGTTTTGGGGTTTTTCAATTTCTCGATTTTTCAATTACTCGTTTTTTTCATTTTACATTTTTTGAGATTTCAATTTATCGATTGCTTAATTTTTCAGAATTTCGAATTCTCAACGTTTCAACACTTCAATTTTGGAAATTTTTCCATTTCTGCTTTTTTAGTTTTTCCATATTTTAATTTTAGGTTTTTCGGTTTGTCGATTTCTTGATTTCTCGGTTTCTTGTTTTTCGATTTTAGAATTTTTGATTTTTCGACTTTCCATAATTAGTTTTTTCTATATTTTGATTCTTGGATTTTTGATTTTTCCAAATCTTCATTTTCGAATTTTTTATTTTTCGGTTTTTCAATTTACAGTATTTAGATATTCGAATTTTCAGATTGTTTCCTTTTCAATTTCTCTATTTTTCAGTTTTTCAGCTCTTCGATTTTTCGAATATTTCGATTTTTGATTTTTACTTTTCGATTTCTCAAATTTTGAATTCCATTCTTTAGTACCTATTTCGATTTTTCAATTTTTCGATTTATCGATTGATCAGTTTTTCGATATTTGAGTTTTCGGATTTTCCAATTTTTCGATTCTTCATTTTTTGATATTTTAATCTTTTGATTTCATATATTTTCGATTTTTTAATTTCTCGGTATGTCGTTTTTTGATTTTTCAACTTTTCGATTTTTCACTTTTCCTTTTTTAGATTTTACATTTTTTGATTTTTCACTTTTTGGGTTTTTAAATTTATCGATTATTCAGTTTTATCAATTTTTCGATTTCTCGATTTATCGAGATTTCGATTTCTCGATTTATCGAGATTTCAGTGTTTCGATTTTTCAATTTTTCCATGTTTCGATGTTTCGATTTCTTTTAATTTAAATTTAGCAATTTTTCAAATTTAAATCTTTCAATTTTTTCACTATTCAATTTTTCGATTTTTTGAATTTTAAATTTTTTGATTGCTCGATTGCTTGCATTTTTTTTCAGTTTTTCGTTTTTTAAATGTTATCTACATTTTTTGAGATTCCAATTTTTCGATTATTTACGATTTTTTAAATTTTAATACGTAGGTACATATTTCAATCTTTCAATATTTCCATTTCTCAACTTCCCGGTTTTTCAATGTTTAAAATTTCTCGATTTTAAAATTTTTGGATAAGTATTTCAACTTTCGGCACTTCTAAATCTTCGATTTTCTGAATTTTTGATTTTTAGACTTTCCGATTTATCGATTTCTCGACTTTTTAACTTTGTTTAGAATTTCTATTCAGAATTCAGTTCTTTAATTTTTCGATTTTTCAGGTTTTTGATTTTTCAAATCTTAAAATTTTCGATTTTCCAATTTTTTGATGATTCGATTTTTCAATTTTTCAATTTCCCAATTTTTCTACATTTCAGTTTTGGTTTTTTTTAATTGCTCGATTTTTCAGATTTTAGATTTTCGATTCCTCAATTTCTCGTTTTTTTGATTTTACATTTTTTGAGATTTCAATTTCACGATTGCTTAATTTTTCAAAATTTCGAATTCTCAGTTTTTTCAACATTTGGAAAATTTTCCATTTCTGCTTTTTTGATTTTTTTATATTTTAATTTAAAAATTTTCGGTTTATCGATTTCTTGATTTGTCGGTTTCTTGTTTTTCGATTAGAATTTTTGATTTTTCGACTTTCGATAATGTTTTGATTCTTGGATTTTTGATTTTTCCAAATCTCCATTTTCGATGTTTTTATTTTTCGATTTTTCAATTTTCGATTTTTAGATCTTCGAACTTTCGTTTCCCGATTTTGCGGATTTTCGTTTTTTCAATTATTTGATTCATCGAATTTCTGATTTTTTAATATTCGAATTATCAGTTTGTTTGTTTTTCAATTTCTCTATTATTCAGTTTTTCAATTCTTCGATTTTTCTAATTTTCGATTTTTGATTTTTTGAATTTTCAGTTCTTCAATTTTTACGTTCTTCAGTTTTTAGAGTTTCCAATTTTTTTACTTTGCGATTTCTCAGATTTTCAATTGCATTCTTTAGTTTTTCGATATTTGAGTTTTGGGATTTTCCAATATTTCGATTCTTCATTTTTTGATATTTTAATCTTTTGATTTCATACATTTTCGATTTTTTAATTTCCCGGTATGTCGTTTTTTGAATTTTCAATTTTTCGATTTGTCATTATTCCTTTTTTAGATTTTACATTTTTTGAATTTTCACATTTTGGGTTTTTAAATTTATCGATTATTCAGTTTCTTCTATATCTATATGAAGTTTCCAATTGCTCGATGTTTCGTCAAAATGTAAACAATCGCGAAAATTGAAAAATCGGATAATTCAAGAATGGAGAAACTGAAGAACTGAAAAACCGAAAAATCGAAATATTGTAACATCGAGAAATTGAGAAATGGTAAAACCAAAAATATCAATTGATCGAGAATTTCAAAAATAAAAAAAAATAAAATTTAAAAACTGCAAAAACTGATAAATTGGAGATTTAAAATATCGAAAAATGGCAAAATTGAACCATCGGAATTGATAAATCGAAAAAGAAGAAATCGAAAAATCGAAAATTTGAAGAATCGAGAAATTCAAGAATCCAAAAAATGGAAAAACCTCAAACTGAAATATTGAAAAATTGAGTAGGTAATCGTAAAGCTGAAAGTCGAGAAAGTGAAAAATAGAGAAATTGAAGCAAAAAAAAACTGAAATATCAAAAAATCCTGAAATCGAAGAATGTAAAATCGAAAAACAAAAACTGAAAAACCAGAATTTTAAAATTCGAGAAATTGAAAAAGCGAGAAATCGCGAAATCGAAAACCCAAAATGTAAACAATCGCAAAGATTGAAAAATTGGAAAGTCGAAAAATTGAAAAATTTTTCAATTGTTTCAATTTTTTGGTATCTCCCTTATTAGATTTATAAAATTTTTCAACTTTTCGATTTACAGATTTCTTCATTTTTCAAGTCTCCATTTCTCAATTTTCCAGCATTTCAATTTTGAGAACTTTTCAATTTTTGTCTTTTTAAAGTGTTCGATATTTTAATTTTTCAATTTTTAAAATTTTAGATTTTTCGATTTCTTGATTAGGTTTTTTCAAATTTCCAGTTCTGGGATTTTTTTAATTTATCAAATTTTAAATTTTAGACTTTTCGATTTTCGATTGTTCAATTTCTCGGTTTTTCGATTTTTCGAATTTTTAAATTTTTGATTTTTCAATTTTTAATTTTTCAATTTTACCATTTATCGATGGTTTAATTGTTTGACATCTCGGTTATTCGATTTTTAAATTTGTTCGATTTTTTAATTTTTAAATTTCTCAGTTTTTCGATATTTCAGTTTTAGGAATTTTCAGTTTTTTTATTTTTCAATTTTCGATTCATTGATTCTTGATTTTCCCATTTTTCGATTTGTGGATTTTTCAATGTATCAAATTTTCGGCTTTTCAAATCTTCAATTATTCGATTTTTCAGTTTTTCTATTTCCCAATTTTTCGATGTTTCAGTTTTGATTTTTCAATTTTTCGATTCTTCAATTTTTCTTCTATTTTTAATTTTTCGAAAATTCGGTTTTGGGATTTTTCAATATAAATTTCTTCAACTTTTCGATTTTTCGATTTCTCAATTTTTTCTTTTTACGTTTATTAGTTTTTCGATTTTTTGATGTTTCTCTCGATTTTTCAATTTTTCAACTTTTGAAATTTTGACTGTTCCGATTTGTCGATTTTTCAGTTCTTCGGTTTTTCAATTTGTCTAATTTTCAAGTTTTTGATTTTTCAGTTTTTTGATCATTCGATTTCTCGATCTTTCGATTTTTCGACTTCTTGGTTTTAGATCTTTCAGTTTTTCAATTTTTCGATTTTTCAGTTCATCGATATTTGAATTTTTCAATTTTTAAAATTTTAGATCTTTCGATTTCTCGATTTCTCTGTTTTTCGAGTTTTCGGATCTTCGATATTTTTCTTTTTCAATTTTTCGGTTTTTTAAATTTTTTATTTTTCGATTTTACGATTTTTTGATTCTTCAGTTTTTCTTCTATTTTTAATTTTTCGATTTTTAGGTTTTGAGATTTTTCAATATAGATTTCAACTTTTCGATTTTTCGACTTTTGGATTTCTCAATTTTCTTTTTTTACTGTTTTTAGTTTTTCGATTATGTGATGGTTCTACTTCTCAATTTTTCAATTTTTCGATATTTTAGCTTCTCAACTTTTGAAATTTTAGCTTTTCCGATTTGTCGATTCTTCAATTTATCGAATTTAAATTTTAGAATTTTTCCGTTTCTCAATTTTTCGTTTTTTTTTAATTTTTGATTTTTCGGTATTTTGTTTGCTCAGTTTTTCGATTTTTTAAATTTTCTCTTTTTCAATTTTTCAGTTTCGATTTTTTTTGCTCTGTTTTCCGATTTTTCGATTTTCCAATTTTTTGGTGATTCGATTTATCAATTTCTCGATTTTTCCATTTTTTTATTTTTCGATTTTAAAAATTTTTGATTTTTCGGCTTGTCGATTTTTGGACTTTTCGATTTCCCGGTTTTTGATTTTTCGACGTTCGAATTTTTTTTAATATCGATGTTTCAATTTTGGACTTGGATTTTTCGATTTGCAATATTTCGCTTTTTCTATAGTCTTGTATTTTTGATTTTTCGAAATCTTGATTTTCGAATTTTTGATTTTTCGGTTTTTCGATTTACGAATTTTAGATCTTCGAATTTTCAGTTTTCCGATTTCTCGGATTTTCGTTTTTTGTAATATTTAATTCTCAGAATTTTCGTGTTTTTTTTTATATTCGAATTTTCAGTTTTTGCGAATTTTCGATTTTGCGAATTTTCAAGTTTTGATTTTTCGAATTTTCAATTTTTTTACATTCCTCAGGTTTTAGGCTTCTCAATTATTTCACTTTTCGATTTTTCAGTTTTCTTTACTTTTATATTTTTTGATTTCTCGAGTTCTGGATTTTTTGACTTTCTGTAAAAGTTTTCAATTTTTGAACTTTCAGTTGTTCGATTTTTCGGAGTTGTTATGAACACTACTTCTATAAAGTAAAAACCCAAAAATCGCAAAATCATCAAAAAAGCCAGATTCATCATGCTTTACTTCAAGGACAAGGAAAGTTCAATCAAAATAATTCCCACCAATTTTTTATTACACTTACAAACACACCTAAAACAAATTATCAATATCTTTCCCCCACCGGTTTAATCGTCAACTCATGAACTTGAACATGTTCCGGAGTCGACAACGCATAAACAACCCCATCTGCAATATCTTCCGGTTTAATAAACGGCCTCTTCTTCAACGCCTCCCTCTTCTCTTCACTCACATTCTTATTCAAAACCGAGAACTCGCTAAAAACCAGCCCCGGACTAACACTCTACAACCCCAATCAAAATCAACCCCCAAAACAACCCCCAAACTCACCGTAACCCTAATCCTGGTCCCAAGCAGGGTCAACTCCTGCCGCAGCGTCTCCGTCAACGCCGTAATCGCGAACTTCGTCGCCGGGTAAACATTCATCTTGGGCGTGAACCCCACGTGGTGCCCGGCGATGCTATTAATATGCACTATATGTCCGCTGACGTCGTGCTTTCGCATCATCTTCACCGCCTCTCTCGTTGCCAAGCACAGCCCCAACACGTTCACCTCGAAGCTGGTCTTCCAGGTCTGCAGTTTTCCTTCGGATAGGAGCTCCTCGGTGAAGACTCCGGCGCTGTTGACGAGGATGTGGACGGGGCCGAAGTTGTCTTCGCCCCATTTGAAGGCGGAGAGGACTTGGTCTTCGCAGGTCACGTCGGCGTAGAAGGAGCAGAGTTTTCCGGGTTTGTCGGAGAGTTCTTTGGCGCGCTTGTCGATGGGTTCGGTTATGGGGGAGACGCCGAGGACCTGGGGGAAGGAAGGAGGAAGTTGGGGTTGGAAATGCGGGGGTGGTTACGTTTAGGCCTTTTTCGACGAGAGCGTCGGCGATGGCGGCGCCGATTCCCGAACTGGCGCCGGTGATTATGGCGGTTTTCCCCACCCATCGCGCCATGGAGAGGACCATTGTGGGGTGGGGTTTTGAAGTATGACGTTGTGGTTGTCAGGGTTGACAGTTTGGGTGATTGAAAATTTTCTGTATCTTTGAGTTTTCTGAACCTTTTACAAATATAAGATTTTATAAACTGTATTTTTTTAAAGTAGAATTTCCAAAATAATTTTTTGCAGAATTAAATTTCTGTTTTTTTTTTATTTTTAGATATTTAATCCATTTAGACAATTGGTAAATTTGAGTATTAGATTTTGAAAAATCGAAAAATAGGAAATTTAAAAAACCGAGAAATTTCAAAAGTTGAGAAATTAAAATATCGAAAAATTGAAAAATAGAAACATCAGATAATCAAAAAACTAAAAAACAAAAAGAAAAAATGAGAAATCCCAAAACCGAAATATCAAAAAATTAAAAATAGAAGAAAAATCGTATAATCGAAAAATTTAAAAATCAAAAATTTTAAAAATCGAAAAATTGAAAAATAGAAATATCGATGAACTGAAAAATCGAAAAACCGAGAAATCGAGAAACCCAAAATTTAAACAATCGTAAAAATTTAAAAATCGGAGAAATGAAGAATCAAAAAATTGAAAGACGGAAAAATCTAAAACCAAGAAGTCAAAAAATCGAAAATTAGATAAATTGAAAAGCCGAAAATTTGAAACATTGAAAAATCCACAAATCGATAAATGGGAAAATCAAGAATCAATGAATCGAAAAATTGAGAAATCTAAAAATTAAAAGTTCAAAAAAATTTAAAAATCGAATAACCGTGATGTCAAGCAATTAACACATCGAAAAATCGTAAAATTGAAAAATTAAAAATTGAAAAATCAAAAATTTTAAAATTCTAAAATTTAAAATTCGATAAATTAAAAAAATCCCAGAACTGAAAATTTGAAAAATCCTAATCAAAAAATCGAAAAATCTAAAATTTTAAAAACTGAAAAATTAGAATATCGAACACTTGAAAAAGACAAAAATTGAAAAATTCTCAAAATTGAAATGCTGGAAAATTGAGAAGCGAAAATTTTCAAAAAGTTTTGTAAATCTAATAACCCAGATACCAAAAAATCGAAACTGAAAAATTGAAAAATTGAAAATTTAAAAAATCGAAAAACTGAGCAAACAAAATACCGAAAAATCAAAAATTAAAAAAACCGAAATATTGAGAAACGGAAAAATTCTAAAATTTCAATTCGATAAATTGAAGAATCGACAAATCGGAAAAGCTAAGATTTCAAAAGTTGAGAAGTTAAAATATCGAAAATTAGATAAATTGAAAAGCCGAAAATTTGAAACATTGAAAAATCCACAAATCGATAAATGGGAAAATCAAGAATCAATGAATCGAAAAATTGAAAATTGAAAAATCGAAAAATTGAGAAATCTAAAAATTAAAAATTCAAAAAAATTTAAAAATCGAATAACCGTGATGTCAAGCAATTAACACATCGAAAAATCGTAAAATTGAAAAATTAGAAATTGAAAAATCAAAAATTCTAAAATTTAAAGTTTGATAAATTAAAAAAATCCCAGAACTGAAAATTTGAAAAATCCTAATCAAAAAATCGAAAAATCTAAAATTTCAAAAACTGAAAAATTAGAATATCGAACACTTGAAAAAGACAAAAATTGAAAAATTCTCAAAATTGAAATGCTGGAAAATTGAGAAGCGAAAATTTTCAAAAAATTTTGTAAATCTAATAACCCAGATACCAAAAAATCGAAACTGAAAAATTGAAAAATAGAAAATTTAAAAAATCGAAAAACTGAGCAGACAAAATACCGAAAAATCAAAAATTAAAAAAAAAACGAAAAATTGAGAAATGGAAAAATTCTAAAATTTAGATTCGATAAATTGAAGAATCGACAAATCGGAAAAGCTAAGATTTCAAAAGTTGAGAAGTTAAAATATCGAAAATTAGATAAATTGAAAAGCCGAAAATTTGAAACATTGAAAAATCCACAAATCGATAAATGGGAAAATCAAGAATCAATGAATCGAAAAATTGAAAATTGAAAAATCGAAAAATTGAGAAATCTAAAAATTAAAAATTCAAAAAAATTTAAAAATCGAATAACCGTGATGTCAACCAATTAACACATCGAAAAATCGTAAAATTGAAAAATTAGAAATTGAAAAATCAAAAATTCTAAAATTTAAAATTTGATAAATTAAAAAAATCCCAGAACTGAAAATTTGAAAAATTAGAATATCGAACACTTGAAAAAGACAAAAATTGAAAAATTCTCAAAATTGAAATGCTGTAAAATTGAGAAGCGAAAATTTTCCAAAAATTTTGTAAATCTAATAACCCAGATACCAAAAAATCGAAACTGAAAAATTGAAAAATAGAAAATTTAAAAAATCGAAAAACTGAGCAAACAAAATACCGAAAAATCAAAAATTTAAAAAAGCCGAAAAATTGAGAAACGGAAAAATTCTAAAATTTAAATTCGATAAATTGAAGAATCGACAAATCGGAAAAGCTAAAATTTCAAACGTTGAGAAGTTAAAATATCGAAAAATTGAGAAATAGAACCATCACATAATCGAAAAACTAAAAACAGTAAAAAAAGAAAATTGAAAAATCCAAAAGTCGAAAAATCGAAAAGTTGAAATCTATATTGAAAAATCTCAAAACCTAAAAATCGAAAAATTAAAAATAGAAGAAAAACTGAAGAATCAAAAAATCGTAAAATCGAAAAATAAAAAATTTAAAAAACCGAAAAATTGAAAAAGAAAAATATCGAAGAACTGAAAACTCGAAAAACAGAGAAATCGAATGATGTAAAATTTTAAAAATTGAACAATTGAAATATCGATTAATTGAAAAATCGAAAAACCGAAAAGTCGAAAAATCCAAAATTTAAGCAATTGTAAAAATCGAAAAATCGGAAAAATGAAGAATCGAAAAATTGAAAAACTGAAAGATATAAAACCAAGAAGTTGAAAAATCGAAAGATCGAGAAATCGAATGATCAAAAAACTGAAAAATCAAAAACTTGAAAATTAGACAAATTGAAAAACCGAAGAACTGAAAAGTCGACAAATCGGAACAGCTAAAATTTCAAAAGTTGAAAAACTGAAAAATCGAGAGAAACATCAAAAAATCGAAAAACTAAAAAAGGTAAAAAGAAAAAATTGACAAATCGAAAAATCGAAAAATTGAAGATTTGAATAGCTGAAAATTTGATACATTGAAAAATCCACAAATCTAAAAATGGGAAAATCAAGAATCAATGAATCGAAAATTGAAAAATAAAAAAACTGAAAATCCCTAAAACTGAAATATCGGAAAACTGAGAAATTTAAAAATTAAAAAATCGAAAAAATTTAAAAATCGAATAACCGAGATGTCAAACAATTAAACCATCGAAAAATGGTAAAATTGAAAAATTAAAAATTAAAAAATCAAAAATTTAAAAATTCGAAAAATCGAAAAACCGTGAAATTGAACAATCGAAAATCTGAAATTTCAAAAATAGAAAAATTAAAATATCGAACACTTTAAAAAGACAAAAATTGAAAAGTTCTCAAAATTGAAATGCTGGAAAATTGAGAAATGGAGACTTAAAAATGAAGAAATCTATAAATCGAAAGGTTGAAAAATTTTATAAATCTAATAAGGGAGATACCAAAAAATTGAAACAATTGAAAAATCGAAAAATACAAAATTTAAAAAATCGAAAAATTGAAATATCGATGAACTGAAAAATCGAAAAACCCAGAAATCAAAAATCAAAAAATTGAAAAATCGGAGAAATGAATCGAAATCCTGAAAATCGAAAAATTGAAGATTTGAAAAGCTGAAAATTTGAAACATTGAAATGTCGACAAATCGAAAAATCAATTAATCGAGAAATTAAAAAATTGAAAATTTAGATACGTCAAAAATTGAAAAATTGAAGAATAAAAACCTGAAAAATCCCAAAACCGAAATATCGAAAAATTGAGAAATCGAGAGTTGAAAATTCTAGAAATCTAAAAATGAAAAAATCAAAAATTTTTGAAAATCGTATAGCCCAGATGTCAAGAAATCAAAATATCAAAAAATCGTAAAATCGAAAAATCAAAAATTTAAAAATTCGGAAAATTGAAAAATAGAAGCATCAAAGAACTGAAAGATCGACAAATCAAGAAAGAGTAAAATTGAAAAATTGAAAAATAAAAAATTTAAAAATTCGAAACATTGTAACGCCGAAAAATTGGAACTCAGAAGTCGAAAAATCGAAAGATCGAGAAATCGAAACATTAAAAAACTGAAAAGTCTAAAATTTTAAATTTGATAAGTTAAAAAATTCCCAGAACTGAAAAATCGAAAAATAGTAATTAAGAAATCGAAATTATAAAATTTTAAAAATTGAAAATTTAAAATATCGAAATATTGAAAAATTGAGAAATAGAAACATCAAATAATCAAAAAATTGAGAAATCGAAAAGTCAAAAAAATCGAAAAATTGAAGAAAAAAAATATTGAAAAATCCCAAAACCGAAATATCGAAAAACTAAAAAATAGAAGAAAAATTGAGGAATCGAAAAATTGAAAAATCTCAAAGTTGAAACATCGAAAAATTAAGAAATAGAAAAACTAAAAACTCGTAAAATCGAAACATTAAAGAATTGAAAAACTAAAAATTCGAAACAGTTCTCAAAATTGAAATATTGAAAAATTGAGAAATCGAAAAGTCGAAAAATTATATAAATCAAACAACCGCGATGTCAAGGGATTGGAACATAAAAAAATCGTAAAATCGAAAATTAAAAAATCTTAAAAATCGAAAAATTGACCAAGGAACTGAAAAATCAAAAATTTAATAAAACGAAAAATTGATAAGCAGAAATATCGAAAAACTGAAAAATTGAAAAACAGAGAAATTGAGAAATCGAAAGATCTAAAATTTTAAAAATTGAAAAATTAAAGTATCGAAAAATTGAAAAATCTAAATTTAAAAATCGAAAAAAAACGAGCAATTGAAAAATCGAAAAAATGCAAATTTAGAAACGTCAAAAACCGAAAATTGAAGAAATCGAGAAATCGAAAATTTCAAGAATCGGAAAATTCAAGAATTGACAAATTGAAAAATTCTAAGACTGAAATATCGAAAGACCGAGAAATCGAAAATCCAAAATTTAAACAATCACAAAAATTGAAAAATGGTTGAAATGAAGAATCGAAAACCTGAAAATCGAAAAATTGAAAAACAAAAATCTAAAATTTAAATTCGATAAATTGTAAAATCGATAAATCGCAAAAGCTAAAATTTCAAAAATTGAAAAATCAAGAAATAGAAACATCAAATAATAACGGAAAATGTAGGTAAAAACTGAGGAATTTAAAAATCGAAAAGTCGAAAAATTGAATAAATTTGAATTTGAAAATCCCAAAACTGAAATATCAAACGATTAAAAAATAGATAGAAGAAAAATGAAATTGAGAAATAGAAAAACTGAAAAATCGAGACATAGAATTTCGCAATTTTTAAAATATGACAAATTATGTATTAATGTATGAAAAATATTCAGAATTTTTATATTGTTTCAGGCATTTTCAAAATCTTAACATGATCACTTTAGAAGTTTGAGAGGCAGATTTTTGACGATTGTTATATTTGATCTTTAAGTCAAAAAAATTAAAAAAAAAAAAACGAGAAATTGAATAATCAAAAAGTCGAAACATCAAGATCTCGATAAAAATAAAAAATCAAAAAATCAAAAATTTTAAAAATCGAAATATTGAAAACTCGAAAAACCCAGAAATCGAAAATCCAAAATCCAAACAATCGCAAAACTTGAAAAAACAGATAATTGAAGAATCTAATACCTGAAAATCGAAAAATCAACCTCAAGAAATCGAAACATCAAAAAACTGAGAAATCTAAAATTGAAAAACTTGATAAATTAAAAAATCTCAGAACTAAAAAATCCAGAAATCGAGAGATCGAAAAATCTAAGTCGAAAATTTGAAGTATCGAATATTGAAAAATTCCAAAACGGAAACATCGAAAAATTGAGAGATAAAAAAGTGAGACATCGAGAAATCGAAAAGTCGAAAACTCGCAGTCGAAAAATTGAAAAATCCAGAACCTGACAAAGAAAAATTGAAAAACCGAAATATCGAAAAACTGATAATTCGAAAGTTGAAGATATATTGCAAAATAGGTCTAGGTTTGAAACTATTGTAAAATTTGCCTACGATTAAACAATTTTTCGTCCCGTAGTAGCTGCTTTTCACAATTCAAAAAGTTTTTTATAAAATTAGCTATGGCTAACATTTTCGCTAATTTTAATATTTATAAGCTAAACAACTCTAATTTCGTAATTTCCGAGTAAATTTATTCCACGAGTTACCCTAATTTCAATAATTTTGAATCAATTCAATTCAAACCAAGCAACAAACGAAAGTAAATATCGAAAAAACGCAACTTCGGTAAAAGCGACTCACAAAAAACGCGTTTTTTATGCAATTTAAAATCAATCAAAACAACGACGGAAAGCGACGTTTCAAGGCCGCATCGATTAAGATTAACTTATAAAAAAAGTGAAAATGACACATTCGGTCCAATTTCAAACGAAAGTAATACATTATCCAGTAATTGCGTCTCCAATTATAAAAACCCAGCATCAAGAATTCGAAAAATTCTCACTGAAAACAACAACCAATATAAATAGAAAAGGTCAACAAGTGTGAGTAAGTATTGCAAAAAGCGCCGTTATGCTATTTACATTATTACAACAAATAAAGCCGACACGTGACTCGTATAAAACACATGCAAAAAAAGCCGACAATAGCGGATCTCGGTTTTCATCCTTGGAAAAAAGGACAAAACTTAACAGTTATCCAGCGAAGCATCTCCGTTAGGGCGCCATCTTGTACACTCACTTCTTGCAAAATACCTCCGCATAAATGATTTCTATATTCTCGAGATTCTTGCAGATTTTCTTCGGTTATTCGTGTCAACGGGTTAACGCAAACGCCGTTTCCTATTATTTCGATTTTGTAGGTTAATTTTTCACGGGGACGACAGTTGTTCGATAACTTTCATCATTGATTGGATAATTCATTGTTCGAGGAGGTCATCGTGTTGGATGCTCGACGAGATTGATTTTTAATTTGGATTCGATCCGTAGTTGCAAAACATCGCAATTGTGTGGATGCTTTATATGCAAATTTTTTACCTTGACGGTCTAAAAGCCAGCGTAATCGCTCAACTTGAAAGTTCTGTCACTCGTTGGGAGTTTTTTTGAATTGGTAATTATTTCACGTTCCTGCACCGTTATTTAAGGCTGTTGCAACCGTAATAAGGCAATATTTGAGATGTTGCCAAAAATAGATAAAAAATTTGTTTGGTTGTAAAATTTCAAGTGACCTTCTCAAAGTGTTTGAATAGAAAGCTGTGGATTTTTTTTTATTGAGGTGGCGGTTTTGCTACCTACCGAAATTATAGTTGTGCACTCTTGACTACGTCACAATGATCCACATAATGATATGGTCACGAATGAAACTTTGAACAAAGTACCACGGTACTTATGTTTTCTACCTGAGAAGGTACCCATGGTTTGTGCAGATTTCACACACTACGTTATAACAGGAATGTCGTTTTTTCATCAGTTGTCTTGCGAATGCGTCAAAAGTGGAGCAATTCAGGTATTCAATTTACGTCTGCTGCTGTTCGTGATTTTCTCCAGTGACGTTGCGACTGCTAAATTTATTTATTTTTTCCAGATTCGCCGTCGAAACCACGCGCGTGACCACCCTCTACGACTCCGTGGCCGCCGAACTCCGCGAGAAACTCAACAAGAACAAGGTCCCCATCCTGCTGCCGCCCCGCGACTACGACACCGTCCACCGCCAGAAGGGCAACCTCACCGGCATCGAACTCCGCCGCTGCCTCAACGCCAACATCGTGGGCCAGAACGCCAAAGGTCGCCGCCTCGAGAGCAGCGGCGGCAGCTCGGGCATCGGCTCCGACCACCCCCCCAGCCCCGACTCGCCCGACGCCACTGACGCCCGCTTCAACACCTTGGACAATCAAAGCACCAGCGGTGAGGAAATTTCCAACGCACGAAAGCAGAACCGTATTTAATTGTACCCTTAAACGGACTTTCGGAAGTCAGTGTCGTCGACTGCGACCAATAAGTGTTTGATGTTCAACTTTATAAATATCGTGTTATTGAATGAAAACTGCAAATGTTAAGAAAAAAAGTCAGAAAACAAGCCCACCCACCCACCCCAGTCTCATTTGTGATGAATTTTTCATTCGTTGTCAGATCGAGGGGCGGGGCTTAATTGCAACATCCATATTTGTCTACAAGAATTTACCATTTTAAACATCTTTAAATTTCTTGTTCTGAAAAGATGGCCATGTATATTAAGAAAAAAGGCAAAATATAAGCCCCGCCCACCCACCCTATCGCGATTGTGATGATTTTTTTATCATCGAGAGCCAAAGCAGCGGAATTTAATTGCAAAATCCGTGTTTTAAGTTTCTAAGAAAAAAAAAAAAAAATCGTCACAATTGAGATAGGGCGGGTGGGCGGGCTGACGTTTGCTTTTTGATTTTAATAAGTGTCTACTTCTTTTCACAACTTGAAATTTAAAACATGTTTAAAATGGAAAATTTTTATAAGGAAATATCATTTTACAATTAGGCTCCGCCCCATAATTGCAAAATCCAATTTCCTTGCAAAAATGTACCATTTTATCCATATTCTAAGTTTTTTGTTGTGAAAAGATGGCTATTTATATTAAGAAAAAAATGGCAAAACATATGCCCCGCCCACCCGCCCTATCTCAATCGGGATGCGTTTTTTATTCGTTGTCCGACCGAGGGGCGGAGCCTAACTGCAAAATCGATTTTTCCCCATACAAATTTACCGTTTTAAACATGTTTTAAGTTTTTTTTCGGTTTTTCCGCTTTTCAATGTTTCGTTTTTTAAAATTTTTGATTTTTCGATTTTTTGGTTGTTCGATTTCTCGATTTTTCGAGATTTAGGTGTTTCGACTTTTTGGTTGTTCAATTTCTCGATTTTTTGATTTTTTTTTGGTTTTTCGATATTTTGATTTTTAGATTTCTTGATTGCAACTTTCGGTTTCTCAATTTTTCGATATTTCAGATTCAGTTTTCACGTATCTAAATTTTCAATTTCTCAATTTCTGGATTAATTGATTTTTGATTTTCCCATTTTTCAATTTGTCGACTTTTCGATGTTTCGAATTTTCAGTTTTTCTATTTCTCAATTTTTCGATATTTCGGTTTTGGGATTGTTCTATGTAAATTTCTTCAATTTTTCGATATTTTAATTTGTATACTTTTGAATGTTAGTTTTTCCGATTTTCCGATTCTTCATGTCTCCGATTTTTCAATTTTTACGATTCTTTAAATTTTGGATTTTCGATTTCCCGATTTTTCGATTTTTCAGTTCATCCGCCATTTTTCAATTTTTTCAATTTCTTGACATTTCGGTTGTTAGATTTATAAAATTAAAGCCAAAGATTAAGCCCCACCCATACCTGCCCTGATATAAATAGTAATGAAGTTTTCATTCGTTCGTAGACCTAGGGGCGGAGCCTAATTGCAAAATCCCATATTTCCTAACAAAAATTTACGATTTTAAATGTGTTTTAGATTTCTAAAAATAAAAAAATCATCACAATTGAGACGGGGTGGGTGGGCGGGGCTTATATTTTTCCTTTTTTTCTTAATATACTTAGCAGTTTTTGAACAAAACGATACTCAAAATCATGTTTTTAATTCCTTGTAAAAAAATACTTATTTTGCAATTAAGCTCCGCCCCCTTGGCTCACGACGAATAAAAAAAAATCATCACAATTGAGATAATTTTAAATTTTAAAATTTGATAAATAATTGAAAAGTCAAAGATATAAAAAATCGAAAAATCGAGAAATCGAATAATCTAAAAATCAAAAAGTCCAATGATTTTTAAAATCGAATAACTGCGATGTCGAGAAATCAAAACATCAAAAAATCGAAAAATCAAAAATTTAAAAATTCGAAAAATTGAACAGTCAAAAAATCGAAACATTAAAAAATCAAAAAAAAATAAAAAAATCGGAGAATTAAAGAATTAAAAACCTGAAAATCGAAAAATCGAAAAATCTAAACCAAAAAGTTGAAAAAACACCAAAAAAGTGGTGAAAAAATGAAAAATCTAAAATTAAAGATCAAAAATTGAAAAATGGAAAAAGGAAAAAATCGAGATATCGATCAATTGAAGAACTGAAATATTGAAAAATCTTAAAATAGAAATGTCGAAAAATTGAAAAATCCCAAAACTGAAGCATCGAAAAATTTAAGAATTGAAAAACTGAAAAATCGAGAAATTGAAAATTCGAAAACTCGCAGTCGAAAAATTGAAAACTCAAAAACCTGAAAATCGAGAAATAAGAAAATCAAAAATCAATTACTTAATCGACTAACTGAGAAGTCAAAAAACTGAAAATTTAGAAACGTCAAAAACCAGGAAAATTGAAAAATCAAAAAATGAAGAAATGGAGAAAACAAAAATTTGAAGAATCGAAAGATTCAAGAATCCAAAAAACTGAAAAATTTCAAACTGAAATATCGAAAAATTGAGTAATCGGAAAGCTGACAATTGAGAAAGTGAAAACTTGAAAAACAGAGAAATTGAAGATTAAAAAAACTGAAATATCAAAAAATTGAAGAATGTAAAATCAAAAAAACCGAAACATTAAAAAACCAAAAAAAAAATTAAAAAAACGGAGAATTAAAGAATTGAAAACCTGAAAATCGAAACATCAAAAAATCGAAAAAATGAAAAATCTAAAATTAAAGATCCAAAAATTGAAAAATGGAAAAAGGAAAAAATCGAGATATCGATCAATTGAAGAACTGAAATATTGAAAAATCTTAAAATCGAAATGTCGAAAAATTGAAAAATCTCAAAACTGAAGCATCGAAAAATTTAAGAATTGAAAAACTGAAAAATCGAGAAATTGAAAAGTCGAAAACTCGCAGTCGAAAAATTGAAAACTCAAAAACCTGAAAATCGAGAAATAAGAAAATCAAAAATCAATTACTTAATCGACTAACTGAGAAGTCAAAAAACTGAAAATTTAGAAACGTCAAAAACCAGGAAAATTGAAAAATCAAAAAATGAAGAAATGGAAAAAAAAATTTGAAGAATCGAAAAATTCAAGAATCCAAAAAACTGAAAAATCTCCAACTGAAATATCGAAAAATTGAGTAATCGGAAAGTTGAAAATTGAGAAAGTGAAAACTTGAAAAACAGAGAAATTGAAGATTAAAAAAACTGAAATATCAAAAAATTGAAGAATGTAAAATCAAAAAAACCGAAACATTAAAAAACCAAAAAAAAAATTAAAAAAACGGAGAATTAAAGAATTGAAAACCTGAAAATCGAAACATCAAAAAATCGAAAAAATGAAAAATCTAAAATTAAAGATCCAAAAATTGAAAAATGGAAAAAGGAAAAAATCGAGATATCGATCAATTGAAGAACTGAAATATTGAAAAATCTTAAAATCGAAATGTCGAAAAATTGAAAAATCCCAAAACTGAAGCATCGAAAAATTTAAGAATTGAAAAACTGAAAAATCGAGAAATTGAAAAGTCGAAAACTCGCAGTCGAAAAATTGAAAACTCAAAAACCTGAAAATCGGGAAATAAGAAAATCAAAAATCAATTACTTAATCGACTAACTGAGAAGTCAAAAAACTGAAAATTTAGAAACGTCAAAAACCAGGAAAATTGAAAAATCAAAAAATGAAGAAATGGAAAAAACAAAAATTGGAAGAATCGAAAAATTCAAGAATCCAAAAAACTGAAAAATCTCCAACTGAAATATCGAAAAATTGAGTAATCGGAAAGCTGAAAATTGAGAAAGTGAAAACTTGAAAAACAGAGAAATTGAAGATTAAAAAAACTGAAATATCAAAAAATTGAAGAATGTAAAATCAAAAAAACCGAAACATTAAAAAACCAAAAAAAAAAAATTAAAAAAACGGAGAATTAAAGAATTGAAAACCTGAAAATCGAAACATCAAAAAATCGAAAAAATGAAAAATCTAAAATTAAAGATCCAAAAATTGAAAAATGGAAAAAGGAAAAAATCAAGATATCGATCAATTGAAGAACTGAAATATTGAAAAATCTTAAAATCGAAATGTCGAAAAATTGAAAAATCTCAAAACTGAAGCATCGAAAAATTTAAGAATTGAAAAACTGAAAAATCGAGAAATTGAAAAGTCGAAAACTCGCAGTCGAAAAATTGAAAACTCAAAAACCTGAAAATCGAGAAATAAGAAAATCAAAAATCAATTACTTAATCGACTAACTGAGAAGTCAAAAAACTGAAAATTTAGAAACGTCAAAAACCAGGAAAATTGAGAAATCAAAAAATGAAGAAATGGAGAAAACAAAAATTTGAAGAATCGAAAAATTCAAAAATCCAAAAAACTGAAAAATCTCAAACTGAAATATCGAAAAATTAAGTAATCGGGAAGCTGAAAATTGAGAAAGTGAAAACTTGGAAAACAGAGAAATTGAAGATTTAAAAAACTGAAATATCAAAAAATTGAAGAATGTAAAATAAAAAAAACCGAAACATTAAAAAACCAAAAAAAAATAAAAAAACCGGAGAATTAAAGAATTGAAAACCTGAAAATCGAAAAATCGAAAAATCTAAACCAAAAAATTGAAAAAATACCAAAAAAGTGAAAAATGGAGGAATCGAAACATCAAAAAATCGAAAAAATGAAAAATCTAAAATTAAAGATCCAAAAATTGAAAAATGGAAAAAGGAAAAAATTGAGATATCGATCAATTGAAGAACTGAAATATTGAAAAATCTTAAAATCGAAATGTCGAAAAATTGAAAAATCTCAAAACTGAAGCATCGAAAAATTTAAGAATTGAAAAACTGAAAAATCGAGAAATTGAAAAGTCGAAAACTCGCAGTCGAAAAATTGAAAACTCAAAAACCTGAAAATCGAGAAATAAGAAAATCAAAAATCAACTACTTAATCGACTAACGGAAAAGTC